AAACTTTTACCTGCAACAATCGATCACGTGTGCTAAAGAGGCTTATTAAGGGGCTGATAGAGAAAGGCAAATCAAATACGGTATCCGGTATGTCGATATCTCGGCCAGCATGGGCACCAGTTTCCGGTGCGCTTGATACGGCCTGGACGCAGCATGCATTAAGTAAGCTATAAGGAAAAATTGCCGCCACTTAGCGGTATCACAGCGCAACAAAAGGCACCCAGGAAAATGACCGGCACGTCAATAGCGACCATATGAATTAAATGCTACAATTTATACACCTTAATTGTTTGTCAAGCGTTTTCTACCTGCTGCGGCGGAAAACAACGCGCAATGCTGAACTGCTTTTTTGCTGTGCGACAAGCATGCACAACCTGCGATGTTAAGGGTCATGTTGCGATCCTGTCATCAAAGTGGATGCAAGAATTTTAGCTTGCGTTCTTTCTCTTATATTTATAAAGCTTTGATTTTTTTAACGGGGCAAGTATGTGAGAATGCGATTCTGCAAAGCTGTACGATACAGTAAATAAGATAAGAACTGAACGGAGTATTTAAAAAAACTATAGGTTTTGTCGCGAAGTTTAAGTTCTGATGTTATGTTTTCATAGTCAAAAAATACTGTCAGAACTGCATAAATAATTGATGTAGATAAGAAAGAAACTAGATTTTCTATTTGTTTGTTTGTCCATTTAGCGGGTGTTATGTGCGCATTATAATGCAGTAGCTGAGTAGTCTGATGTAAATTGGGACATCTCATGAATATTTGTCCAAGTTAAAAGCTTCCGCTTATACGGCTATCCAAACAAAAAAATAATAACCACAGTACACCTCGCAAGTTTCCCTAGAATTATCCATACGCTGGGACTGTTATATTTGTAGATCGTGATGGTGTGAAAAGAGTTGTTTCTCCGGCAAGAACCGGCAACCTCTTAAATTATTGTGCACAAACGGATACACACGTCATCTCGACTGCTGAAGAGCATGGGGAGGTGCGTATAGTGCGTACGCGGGAAGCGTAATGTTGTAAAATCTGGATAAGATTTTTCAGGCTCTCTGTGTTGGCTCTCTGTATTGTATCATGTGGTGATGAATTATATAGGAAAAATTGGTAGGTTTTGCACGCAGGCAATACATTAAAAAATCGTATATAATGATAATGTCCATGCAGTGGCCAATAAATGATCAACATATCAGTATTAATGGGCGGCATAGCGCCGGGCCGACAGATTGTCGAGCTTTAAACAAGAAGACGAAGGCCCATTATACAGGCAACATTCGCAGCATGAGATGTGCGATCGGGGACTAATGTAGCGCAGCCAAAAAGTTTCCGGCCCGCATCATCTTACACTTTCTTTTGGATTTGCGGCCTAATTTGCTGCCATATCCATGCATAACGATACGCGTTGCTCAACTAACCCCCGTTGATGCACAATGGAAACTGACTAAAAAATCTGCGCGGTTACGAACCATTTTGCTTCCTCATGGAGTAAACAATTACAAATGCACATCGCTGTGATTTCATAAATTAAATATTATGAACAAGTTATGTTATTACATTTTGCTATCCTTCAACTGGAAGAAATTGGAGTAAAAAATTATTCATTCGTAATGACCATTACTGTTTGATGTGACGGCGCGATGCTCTCTTGTTCTACGGTATTTAATACTGTTGTTAACTGTAAAAGTTATTTTTCTCCTTCACAATGATAGCCTACGTACTTATATATTGCACAGGAGCGATTCTGTTGTTGTAAACGTAAAGTACATGTTATATACCCATATAAACAAACAAACAGACAAACAAGCTATATTGTTATAGCATAACCGGTTAAAGTTATGTACTCGAATTTATATCATTTCAGAAGAAATCTTAATTAAGCTATGACTAAGATTTCGGTTTGCATCAAACACATCAACAAACCGACAATGAACGTTTTGCAAACACTTACGACAATTATTATGGGATTTTCTGGTTTAGGCTCAGTTACGTACTCGTACTTATTTATGCTAACAGCAAACGCAATTAATTCCTACCCTACCCTTTTTGCTAACAATAAAGTTCAAAGCAAACTGGAAACATTTACAACGTTTACGCTGCCAGCAGATCGCAAGAAAATTTTTGCATGAAGAGCACTATGCATCGCTTGCATGTTTATTTGATAAATTATTGGGCTTATACGTTCATTGCAAAATAAATGCAGTTACCATAATCTTGGTGAAAAAAGTTACCGGCTTCATAGCCAGCGTTTGCCTGTACATTTTGGACATTGTGCCTACACTCTGCATGCTATTGCAGTGCAGCCTGTGAGGAGAATTAAATGGATGCACAATGTATGGGATCTCCATTTGTTTCGCACTAGCATGACGTTATGATGCGCATTATATTCCCATTTCATTCTGTCCATCTATGGACGAAATAACTCTTACTCAACGACTATCAAAAAGAGAATATTATCACCATTATCGATACATCTTGAATTTTCTCAGCTGCATTGCTGTCAAAGTGAGTGATAGCATCGTAGTCAATACACATATATACGCAAGCGGCAACAGCAGCCCAAGCCGATGCCGCGCCGCCGGAAAATATGAAACGGGAGTTTTCGTTCTGCACTGGGTCTAATATAGAAAAGCACTTTTACCGAATCCTTCCGCAACCAGTGCAGCCGAAGAGCGTGTTAAAAAGATCCGTTTACATTGGCTAAGGTTACAGAATTTTTCTATGTTCTCCAAGCTTCGATGGCGGCTAAGTTGGCAGCCTAAGGAGATGTTGTAAGTGGAAACAGATCTAGAGATAATTATGCGCTCAAAAAGTTTTGACGTTCAGAACCTAAGGCAGCAACACCGGCTACTTGGCACTGTAACACTAATCCTGCATCGCATTTCAGTTTGTTATTTATGAGAAAATAAACCAGGCAGCTTATCTGGCATTTCAGTACGCTTAATTAGCATCGATATCACGAACGCTGTCCTGCTCACATATTATCTGCATAATCTAGCACTAATCTAGCGCACCAACATAAAAAACATTTTTTTACGATAATCCTAGCAAAGTAATAACTAATATTCCCGTGCCAATATATGCCACTGCCGGCATTGAACTGACATGTGCAGTGACCGCGGCAGGGAAGGAGAATTACGTGACACAGCCCAATTAAAGCTAATCCCGGTTGCTACGTTTGCTTGTTGATTATTAATCGAGTTAAACAAGCGTGTCTCAGGGAAAGCCAAAAACGAAAACGCCATCTTTCATCACACTTTGCGCAAATGTGCCAGTTGTCTTTTCACCAGAAACGCCGTATCTGTATGGGGATGTATACGCGTAAATAGCCGGCTGGAAATGGGCAAGTCGATTATATGTGTGTGTGAGTGTGTTGTTGCCAACCTGAAATAGATTGATCTCGTCGGGTTTGCATGGGGGGACGGGAAAAAATCATTCAATACTATCAGACAAGGAGAAATTGTAGGTTGTTTTCTTTCATCACTGCCACTCATGTTTCTGCCACGACTCCCCAAATATATACGCTATGCAGCGCAGATTCTCCCCTATATACGCACACACATACACACACTTCGCGGGACTGTCTTTGACGGTTATGGGCGTGCTGTAAAAATTAAATCAATTGATCATGTCCGCCAGGCAACAGCATCATGCTGCGGCTGGCAGCATCATGCTTTGATTACAGCGACATGATGACATTTGTTCAAAAAATACAATTCTGGATTACAAGGGGAAGAGATGGCCCTCGCCGGCAGAAGGGAATTTACAATGGCGATGGTCATAAAGAGGCCAACGCGTACACCAACGAAATGTGTCACTCCAAAGGGGTCATTCGCCAACAATTCCCATATACCGTATATATACTCCGCGTTCAGCATATGATAAAGTATAAGACGGCGCGGAACATTAGCAAAACCCGTGCGCGCCAGCCAGATTACGCAATGACCACATAATTCATCCATTCATTACCGGAATCAATCCGGCGCGGCAAAAGCAGGAACAACGTTAACCAGTGCGACCCACTCTTTTTTCCGCAAATATGCACTCTGTGGCGTACTGCAGCGTATGTAGCGCGCATAATGCTAACGTAAGAGTGACCAAACCGAATCACTTCACGTATTGTGCGCATAATTCTAACGCGTGAATACACACTCCTCCGCATTATGGAAAATGGAAGGTTAAATCTGCTGATCATAAAGTGTGGTTATGCTATCGATCTATTTAAAGGTTTATCGATTGATGGGACATGGAGTGCTTTTTGTAAATAATTAATACATAACATTTATCATAAGATTTTGCAATTCACCGGCTATCGATACGCACACAATCGCTCTATTACGCTTTCGCGTATTCTGAAGCAACTTTGCGAATAATTTCCAAAGGCAAAATTAAGCACCCAGTATTCGCCTCAACAGACACATATTGAAGATCCATAATTAATGCGCTCAGCGTCTGGTTTGCGCAATTAGTGGCAGGAAAACGCATCAACCGGCAGAACTGTATAATGAATAACGGGCATTACTTGCAATTGAACAATTTAAAGAGATACTATTTATTTTTCAGTAGATAGCCGGTGTGTTTATCAGCTGTGCCTTGCCGATGCATTTCGCTTCCGTACATAGGGAAAGAAAAAAATCACTAGGAGATCGATGGTGATCAAGAGTACATGCGCAGAGTAAATGCATTGATTGGATTTTACAGTTTCATTGGCGCCATTTTGATACATAAAGTAAGTAAAGCTATTTCATGTGTGTGTGATGTGTGATGCGGTTTGGGGGCTTTTTTTTGTTCGGTGCCGACTAGTGTAAAAACATCCGGCCAGTCTAGGAAAAACATACACACAACTGCCCATTTGATGCTGGACAAAAGAGCGGAATGATACCAAATGCGGCACCAGAAAAAGCGCGCATTCACCGGCGCGTTAGTGCTTGCAAAAATGGGTAGAAAATGATGAAAGTGAAATTAAGAGAAGGGCAGGCCGCATTTGTATATTAGCACTTACCGCTGTATCATTGACATCCAGTTGTAATTCATAGCCCTTGAGGAGATTATGTCGCTGGTTGATATGATCGCGAGCTAAGAGTGCCGCCGGTAGCACACCACGTCCCAAGCGGCCCGAGTCGGAATTTAGCGCTAGCGGAAACAATCCCGCAATTAGCAATTCCTTAGCTGCCGCCGGCAGCTGATTATACGCTGGGCTATTCCGTGGCTTTTTTACGGCTGCTGCTTGATTAGTCCAGGGTGAATGCGGCGCGGTATAACATGTGTGGCGTTATTAGCCGCACACGCCGAACGGGATTGCGTAACCAGCCTATGGCAGCGACTGAGCGGATTGGACAACGTATACAATGGCATGGTTATATATGTTTAGCACACATGATAACTATTCAGCGCAGATGAATCCCAATAAACACTGTTTACCGAACGACGGGGACAGCCGCGGCGCGCGGAATCTCGGCAGGAAGGTGTTTTACATTCACATCAATATTCCAACGGGAAGTGCCAGTGTGCATCTAGCCAGCGCCGTAATCAGAAGGCTACCGGCAAAAAGCCAATACACTATACCGCGGGGTCATCGTATGCGGTAATACACAATACGCACACAATTGCTATACTCACACACGTCCCACCCTTCTTAGGCCGATGTACTGTACGAGTTTATCAAGCACCAGGAGATTTGGCAGCCAATCGAGCCACTTTATAGTGGGCCGGCATTGTGTGAACATTACTCCGAGAGTGATTCCGATTCCGGGGAACGGGTTTAGTCGAAGGGGTAAGCCAGAATTAGTGTAGCGTAGATATATTGTATTGCGTCGTTATATTGCGCTGCCGGTCGGTTGGTCGGGGCCTTCCGCTTCTGTATTCTCCAGTCCCGGGAATAAGCTGTGGGATGTGTTGCCCACTGCAGTGTTCCCCGGCCAGGATCATTGTGCAGCCGTGGATGCTGCGCAGCGCGTAAAGCGACGCAGCTATTCGGCACTCTTCGCGCCGGCGCAAAGCAAATCAAGTTACGTTTTCTGTCAACTTATCTCACTTGATATTATGCGTGAACAATGCGCACAGGACAGATCTCAATGCGCAATGTGCACTCTTCCGGAGTTATTTATCGCCATCTCGGCAAATGGTGTCCCTTTGTAAAAAATTTGTGCTGGGCTGCTCAAAAGACCCGCCACCGAGGAAATGGGCGCAAAAATTCCCAGTGGTGCATATGCAGATGTAAAGCATCAAGGATACATTTTCTCATTAAGAGAATAATTCTACTATCTACCAAACACGCTGTTCAAACTCGATAATACTACCTGAACACAAAGCTGTCCCTGCTAACAAAATTTTAGTAGACTGTACGTTTTGTTTTATCATTTTACAATTGTTATTTTATTTTATATTATTTCGTAGCCGTTAGCTTTTTACTTCTATCATTCGATATAATAGAAGTAATTTTGCTGCGAGCTACTACACTGACATTGTTGGCTTGCTATGTTCGGACGTACGCGATCGTCTGCCGCTAACTTTCTATGTAGCTCGATCTATTTTATTGAGTTTCATGTTTTGATAAACACCTTTCCTACAATTTAATCAGTTGTAAAAAATTGTGTTACGCTTGATAGGGAATGAATGTATGCTCACTCGCCGCAATGAACCCGTGCATGGTTTGACGTACTGTAAAAAAATTAGTGAATACATTGTGAACACTGCGACTGTAACTAATTAATAATTAATTAAGTGCGCACGAACAGCCTTATCCATCTGCATTTAACGTTGGATACATAAATAATAACACGAGAACGTATACAGATAGTCAATTTAAGTTAAAATAATCTGGTACAATCATATTAATTGCCGTATTTTATAAACTAAGTGAATGCTATAGTGAATAAAACACAATCGCACATGTGGTACTTGCGTAGGTATAGTCAAAAGAAAAAGGTAAGTATATTTAGTTAGCATTCGGTCTAATAAAATTCAGCCTAAAGAAATCTTTTTAGCAGGCCCAGACCCCAAGTCTTTAGAGTATTATCAAGTTCGAACAGTCAAATGGGCCGATCATGAGTGATGAATTTTTTGTTTTCGATCTGGGAAATTTTTTATGTACTGTGAATTCTCAAATGCCCATCAATAAGGAACGAAAGGCTGAAAAAACGAGTTTAGTTAGCGTTGTACAATTATTATGTGCTGTACAGTAATATGCAGCAGCCCGATGGGTGAAATAAGTCGGAAATATCCCGCTCTGCAGCATCTTCCAGACCACTCTAGATGTAGAGAAGTGCGCATAGACGAGAAAGACTCGGCATCGGCGAAGCAATTCAAAAACGATCCGATAATCATCCGGTACGCATGCTTCCGGCACAACGTCTGCTCGAGTAGCCTCTTACTGGATCAAGTACATTGTCATCGGAGGTAGCAGGCGATTGGGTATTTTGTCAGGCTTCTCTCCCTGCAATATTTCTTAAATGGCTTTCTCGACTTTTCCAATTGCCTATTGGTAATTCGTTTCTGAAGACGAATACAATGTGCTGTACATATGTCCAAGTGTACCAATAAAATGTCGCGTGCACTCGTTAGAACTGACTTTCACTGTATATATAAGCCATACGGCTTTAACCGGAACTCACATCATAACTGCACAAAAGGGCATCGGTGCTTTGCTAATGTGGTTATACTTGATGATGTGTATTTGTTGTCACGTCAGATGATACAATAGGTCATCGGAAATATTACAAGCATGCCAGCAACAGAAAATGGACAAATATGTCTCCATTCTAATTGAACGAAAACAGCCAGTAACTTCTACGGTAACTTCTACGGTAACTTCTGCGTACAAATATACGGCGAGGTAGTTTAAGCACAGGAAGCTACAGAGTATGCCGATTGGCGTGGCATCGTTCGCTAATTTAATATAGGCTTCCCATGAATTATTATTGAGAATGGAGACAAGATGAAATCGCTATCTCAGTCAAGAATATTTAATTATATTTCGATTATATTTCGGTCAAACAACAGTATACATACAAGTATATTAAATACACAAGCTCAGAGCTTTTCAATTAGATAATTTTATTGTGGCGACAATGAATGCGAGAAGGGCTGTAAATCGGTTGTATTGCTTAAAATTATTTATCACCGGATAGATATGACTTCTTTTCTACAAATACATGGCGTAAAGCACTTGAAAGAAGCTTATCCTTACTGGAGTGGCTCTATGCACATATAATTAATTAAAATAACGAGTATAACGGAAGTGAGGTGCGCGCAATAATTCTAGCTTGTAGAGCGACGATAACAAATTCGATGTCTGCAGGTGTTTTGGTGTCCCTTAACTAATCCATAATCATCTCGCCTCACTCACTTTTCAACTTTCAACGGATTTAAAAATTGCACTAGGCAGTTCTAAAAGCAAGTTCTACATTTGGCTACATAAATATTCTGACAGCCTCTACCAAAAATTAATTTCCAGAAGCAGCTAAACAAGCAAATATAAGTAAACGTTTGAAACAAGGCACAATAATTTAAATTGGCTTCCTTCGAAACAAATTGCCTTAATTTTGATCAAGTTGACGCTTAAACTCTTTTTTTGCTCGTTCCTGTACGTACATATTCGAAAATATTGCAATCGCAAGGTACTCGTATAAATTAAGGAAATGGTAGTAGGTATTAGGTACCCCCTTCCACCCACGTTTACTACAGGCCTACAGGCAGGCTGAGGCACACACTTTTTTAATCTTGTTTTAACTTTAATAGTTATGCAAAAGCCGCCTGCGTAACACAATACACATTTTTAAAGGGCGGTCGCTGCTCAGTTATTAATTAACAGAAAGTTGCACAGTATCCCATTGATTTACGTAGTGATCAAGAACCGAACTTAGGATCTCACTGTCAAACGTTCAGATAAAGTCCCAAAATATTCGCCCAAGGAATTTTATAGCAACTACCCAGATTATTTAATACTGCAGTTAGTTTTATTCACCGTTTTTTTTATTTTAATTATGCACTTTACAAGTATATGATCATATTCATAAAGAATAAGTCATTACAAAATAAAAATATTTTAAAGGAAAAAACAAAACTTCCGTTAAAGCTTATTGGTATTCTTAAAGTAAAGAAGTAAAACTACTAGTATTTATGCAAAATTTTGAGCCATGCACTGCTTAAAGCAGCCCTAAAAAGCAGCAAGATTTTTCCTTACAGTGTTCCTCAATTCAAATTACATTGCAAATGCTCCAAGAAAGGTGTTAAATTGGCTATTTATAATAATTTAGCGAAATTAGCGGATACTGAGCGTTTTGGACCGTCTTTGATAAGTGAACTTGAACATTTTCTGAGCCAGAAAATTTGGAAACTATCTGTGTGTTAACGTTCGATGGTTTTAATTTAGCTGCTGTCAAATTGTTAATGGAAAGGCGCATGCAACGGCCGTTTTAAGTATTTTTTTTCGGTGGTATTGTGTAGTGCTCATATTGTATCTCAAACTGTCGATGTTTTTTCAATACCTCAATTTACAGGGGTGCTACGCCAAGTTGGGACAGTTTTTTATAATTATTACTACATGTCTGCCGTCATTAAATAAATAAATAATTATTTTTTACTTGACTGCCGAAGGATCAGGCATCTTTAAACCAGAGATCTCTACATTTAGAACATGCTTCAAGCCCCAGTGAGGGAAAACTTAAGTAGACCAGCTAAAAAACCGCTAAACCCGTATGGAGTGCCAGCTTTCCCCACACCCATTAATTTTTTTTTAAAATCCTGTTGAGGCCAGTCCTAAGGTGATAAACCACAGTTATTTATCATCCAGTTCTCTTGTAGGAGGTGCTTGACAACAGTCGATTTCAGTCAAGCCTCTATGACCTTTGCAGTACTTCTGCGAGCACTAAAAGTGAAGGGTGACCTTATTATTTGCCAGCTCACGCGCAGCCGCAGAATGCCAGAGAAAGCCGTTTCTGATGAAATCTCGTTCCCAAAGCACTAAGCGTCAGCTTCAGGTTTACAATCCATATGAAGCGGAAGACACTCTGCTCCAACAAACTCCAACAGCCACCATGACTTTTTTTGTTCCTACAGCTTTGCTGGTTTTTTCTGCCGCTCTTCTTGCACTTACACCTCCCCGCCTATGAGGCATGTATTTCGCACATCAAAATCAACAACTAACAGGACCTACAACTTGTTCACGAAAAGTATTAGATTTAGGTTATCTCTATTTATGCGCTAGGCAACCACAATTCTCGGTAGGCCTTTTTAACATACAAGTCTATGGGACATACCCTTGTTGCAGCGCTAAGACAAACACTGAACGCGAAAGATTTTTGTCCTGGCCCGTGACAAATGCTCTTTGGGTCACTCAACAGTTTGCAGAAAAGTTCACGCAAAAAAATATCGATTGGTTGAATTTGTTAGAGGCAGATATAAGCAGTCCAAAAAGGACTACTACCCCTTCTAAATCAACGCTCGGCCCGCAACTGACAGCTGGAATGGCGCCGGTTTTAGTTTTTCTGGATTTGCAATAAAAAGTTGCATGGGAAAAGTCTAAATACAAAACCAAAATAACGTATAGGAATTTTTGGCAGTTGTTTTACAAAAGTGTCCCAACTTGGCGTAGCACCCCTGTAATACCAATTAGATTATAGTCGTGCATGCGCAGTACCACTATGATGGTATAATTAATCTAATTGGTATTTGTATGCATAGTGAAATCGCGCAAGGCACTTCTTTTTCTTAGAATAAACGGATCGCCTAAAAAATGATTTTATTATCAGACTGTGACTTTAATTTGCGTAGTAATGATACTATAGATATAATATGGCCTGTATTACCAAAAGCAAACTTCCCGTGGCCATAAACAGGTAGGATTTCTGTAGCCGAGATAACAAAGGTCAATCAGGCAATACGGGTCGGACAGGTATGAAATTTGGGTAAAAGATGACACCGATTGGGTGCAAGAAAAAAGTGTTGCAAAATTGTTTGCTTGGGAATACCTTGTTTCTTAATGAGGGTAGGTACAAAGTGGGCCAAATTTTAAAACTCTTAAACTACTACAATTTTTAATTTTAAAACATTTTACTAATATATTGTTTTGATTTAAGACTTGCCCCACTTTGTACCTACAATGGCAGTGTATTTTATTTACTCGCGTAAAGCCGGCGGTAAAGGTACTATAGCAGAAGATAGTTGTGCATGTACAAGTACACATGTAGTGTAGATAGAGGATATATATTCATAGTATCGAGCACAGAAGCAGGCGCGACCAAATTATGTTCGAGGTATGGGAAAACAGAAAGAAATACAAATACACACCGTACAGCAATAAAAAAGATTTTGAGAAATATTTCAAATATAAAACCCTTAACGAGGCCAGCTACGAAAATATTTTAAACATGTGGAAATGCGGACAGTTTTCAAGCTTTCCGGTTAACGACCAGTTTTATAAAAACTGAAAGCCTCCATAATTTTTCTTTTTGCCTTTTTCACGGTTCTTTTTCCCGTTTTCAATGTAACTTTATATTGCCGATTCTAACGAACTGAAAACCTGTATTTTTTGGTAAGACAGATAATATTTACACGGTGATAAAATGGATGGTGTGGGATCATTTAAACGATGCCCATAAAAAACCGTTCGGCCGATATTTCAGCGCGGAATTAATGGAAACTTGTGGGAAACAATTAACGGTTGCCCAAGGTGACCTCGCACGCTGCATGTAAGATTGCAAGATTTTCAGCCATTCAGTCAAGCTCTTCAGTAATTATTAAAATAAAATAAATACATATATTATATTAGATTTCGAGCTTAGTGAGTACCCAAGCTATCGCCAGTATTACAGAGCAACGTAGGTTAGTGAATGCCCAAGCAACCATCAGAATTACAGAGCCATTACGTGAAAGAGTACGTAAAACAGGCCGCGGGCCGGCTTTTTGATATATTTAGAAATTACACATAAATTAGACCATTTAAACCGTGCGATATTGAGATACTCAGATTTCTAGATATTTTTAAAATTTTGAAACTATGGAGGCTCAGAAAATTAGAGGTATGGCTGCAAGGGCCGAGTCGAATATGAAATATTTAGAAATTCTGGAAATGAAAAAGCTTTGGAGCCGACTTTGGATAAATTTACAGTTATTTACAGTTATTTTACAGTATTCAAACGCATTTAGAAATATCTGAAAGGTTTCTAGAATTTAAAAATGTATATTTAAAAGTTTGATGTAATTGACAATTTTAAATAACTATTGTTTAGGTTGCTAAGTTACAAAACCTGTATTTACTTCATTCGAGACGTTTCAGAATTTACTGAAATTTTCTATGAACTTTGAACGCTAAGTACTGAAAGTTTAAAAGGGTTTTGAAAACGTTCCGGAAACCAAAATTTTTTTCCAAGCAGCAGGTAGGAAGCTGTGGGCGATGCTGGATTTTATAAAACAATCAAAAGCTTCACAAACGGAATCTCGAATTAGGAGATATTTTCCAAAACCAACAACCTTTAAGTACTAACAACCTTTAAGTACTACAGCTTTTAAAAAATTTTTTAGACCTTCTCCAAAACTTCAGATTTTTTTAAATATAAAGGTAGGAATGTTTGTGCCATGCTCTATTTTATAAAATCATCATCTTATTTAAATAATCAATCTTGATTTAGGAGATAATTTCCAAAAAATAAGGACGTAAGGATATATGAATCTATTGATATTATACGTATCTATATCTATATGTATCGGTACACAGTAGTAGTCAGTTATTCATCGTTCCCCGAAACGACGGAAAGGGCGATCTAAAATTAATTAATAACGTCGTAATGGATTAAGCTATTCATTTTCATTTGGCAACAAGCGGTTCCCGCTCAGCGAGCTCGAGATTTGTAAATGTGTCAGAAAACCGAAAAAAGTAAGGTTACTTAATTATTTTATTACGAAGGCGTCGGAATCGCTTAATTGCGCGCAATGCGCGAAGCGTTGATATCAAAACCATTACTACTATTTACAAACGAAATACTTATACTACACATTTCAATGAAAGAAAAAAACTATTCTTATGCTAGCGAAATTAAACTGTAGCAAAAATAGATTAGCAAAATCAAAGGCCGCTAGAACGTATCCGATTGTACGAATGCAGCGAGCGATGTTGTACAAAAGCATACAGTACTTTTGTGCACACTATGCACAAGTGCACATCACGAGCGTGCATGGAGAAGCAGTCACGTGCGACTATTTATAGATTTTTCATTTTCGCTTACAAGACAGAGTGACCACGAATCCATTCAGTTCTGAATCGTAGAACGTAAACCACTTAAATTTTATGCTTGATCGATTTTTCCATTCCCTTTTATTAGTGAAGTCAAATTGCACAGGAACCAAGCCATATCTCGGCGGAATTTATTATTCCTTTGATCTTCTCTTCCCGGAATACTGATCCTGGCCGAGTTGTAGTTGTAGCTGAATACGAATCACTTTGGCACGGTTTGAACGTTTGATCGAGTTGGGAAACTGCAGGATCTGAGCTGTGTCCCACTCGTTTATTTTTTGTGCAATAGCGTCGCATCAAGAATCAGAGGTTCCCTGATTTGTAGTTCATTATGTCGACTTCTGCGCGTCGAAGATTGTTGAGAGACTTTAAGAAGCTTCAAGAAGATCCGCCTGCAGGTTGCTGTGACACATTCTTCCTGCTGACTTCGTATACCTAATGGTGCTCGACGGAGAATTTAATTAATTTGATTTTATTTTTTGTAGGAGTGTCTGGAGCTCCGACGGACAACAATATCATGGTGTGGCATGCTGTTATTTTTGGGTAAGACATAAAACAAAATTATTTGTCTAGTACGTGATGCGAGGAGGGGGAGTTTATCTGTTTATGACTACATGTACACGCGCTGTCGGGATTGATTTTAGAGAATAATTTGACGTGAATATTCGTCTTCCTGTGACGGGAAGAGTGTTTTATAGTTGAGTATTGTTGAATTCAGATATTTTTGAAGTGTTGTTGAGAATTAAGCTGAGTTAACTTAATTTTAAAGTGGCACTGGGAAAAATTTTTGTGTTTTGTTTCCTTATGTTTTCTTTTCTGTCCTAATAATTATAAGGGTAAAATTTCTTATGGTGAAAGAGTGCCACCGTGACTGCCTTTATGTTACTATGAACGCTTTTGCCTATTAAAATCCACTTTGCAGCATGAGAAACTGACAAACTGCATAATTGTCATAGTTTTTTTTTCTGCATGACTAGACGTAGTAAATTTTACAACAAGATGGAACAACAAGATGTAAATAATGGAGCTTTTCCGTACTTCATTGGTGCTAATGTTTATCTTTTGTTTTGACAACCACTTTTTTAATTCTAGGCCAGCCGATACGCCGTTTGAAGATGGAACGTTTAAGCTGGTTCTGGAATTTACGGAGGAATACCCCAACAAACCGCCGCTCGTCCGCTTTGTTTCGAAAATGTAAGGGAGATCACTAAGCGATAAATTTATATAGAATCTCTGCTCAGACCCTCGGACGATATTTTTGCGTTTTAACAACCGTAGGTTTCATCCTAATGTTTACGCTGATGGTGGAATTTGTCTGGACATTTTACAAAATCGCTGGAGTCCGACGTATGATGTGGCGGCGATTTTGACTTCTATTCAAGTAAGCGCAGTAAACACACATGTTTCGAACATCAAAGTTTTTTCTGAGCTTTCTTGCAGTCGGCATGTATCTGTACGGTAGGTGTGTTTTAGATGGTGATTAGTGAGTACTGAGTAGTCACTGTGTTTAACACAAACGATCAAATCCACGCAATTAATCTGCCTTTGTGAACTGTCTTTGTAATCCGTTCGATGAACTATACTTACGGCGTTTAAATTCCGTAATAGGTACTTAATTTGTTATGCGGAAGAAATTTTCGGTTTTATGTGGATTTTGGCAGATTTATACGATCTGCGATTGAACCTCGTGAATTTTTTGACAATTGTATAAAATGTTTCTTTGTTACAATAACTTGATCGCTGTATTTGGCTGGATTTTTTCCATATTTTATGCTGCTATATCGAAACTCTTGAAAGTTGGAAGTGACGAACGAAATAATTTTGTTGCAGTCGTTATTGGACGAACCGAATCCGAACAGCCCGGCCAATAGTTTAGCATCTCAGCTGTACCAGGAAAACCGGCGGGAATACGAAAAACGTGTTGTGGCCATCGTGGAACAGTCATGGATTGCATTCGGGGATGAAAAGGACGAAAAAGACAAGAAGAAAAAGTGATGGGAATTAAAGTTGATATGTCACGCTTAATCGCTTGGTTGACAAAAGAATATCCCGAAAGTGGAATCAAACGGCTGGGAATTAGGGAACGCTTCTCTGCATACTTTTCATGTGTAATTGTACAATTTCCGCGAATCTCTGACGGTTGTGTCAATTTTCTCCAGTCTTTCAAAGAAGAAATGAGACATACCTGTGGAATTTTCAGTTAATTGTAATTTGTAGATTTAGAAGGTCCTAATACCGCTTGCGTTTGGCATGGCGAAGCTACCTCAGTGGAAGTGCTTGTTTCCTTCCCTGCTAGTCCCCTTTTTGTGCATCTGTCATTCGGACGGTCGGACCTGACATCCGAACAATAAATTATTCGGGCTTAAATTTATTTATCTACATTTAAAAGACTTAGGTTTTGAATATATCAGATATTTTGAGCGAAATAAATAGCTTTACTTATCCAAGGCGATGGCATTGTGGCTGGCAAGACTAATCGGAAAAGCACGTTACTGTACATACTTCCTTTTTTTAATCGGCGGAAGACAAAGATTTTGTGTTTCTTCAGTGTTTAAATTTTTTTAACAAATAAAATAAATATACCGCGTAAGGGTTTTTGTTATTTATTGGTTAATGCCTGTTAAAGATTTTGGACAGTTCCGGTGAATTTTTGACCATTAATGAAATAAACAATGTAAGTACTTTCCGAGTATGCTCTCCACAGGGTGGCAGCCGTCAAACAACATTCGGCACCCAGTGACTCACGACATGTTTTGCTTTTGCAGATTGCAGAGGTTTTATTTTTTAAACTTATGAAAAATAATGTTACTGTAGCTTGAAAGTTAAGCTACTGTGGATTGTACAGTTTTAGTCATTATTATCTAACTAATCGTATCCTGACTAATGCCGTTTGGTTGGATCACTTGGATGCATCGTGGAAGCAAGCAAGAATTGGTGTGATCTCTTATCCTTCAGTCACAGAACATGGCATTTGTTACTGCTCAGAAACGCATCGCGACACCTGCTGATATGCCAGCATGGCGCGCTTCCAAGGTATTCCAGGCTTCCAGCATATTTGATGTGCGTCCTAAATATTCCTTGAGTGGGTTTTTGGTAGGCCTATAAGGATTACATGCATTTCATCATGGATCTGAATAAAGCTGTCATGGGGAAGACGAACAGTGGTTCGGTCACGGAAAGCGAGGTAAGTCCAGCGCACCCGTTTTTATAACCATTCGTAACCAAGATAACTTATGCTGTTCTTGCCGTTTTCACTCGCAGGCTGTTACGCTGGTATGCGCAATGCTAGAAACATTAAGAAAATGGATCGACGACATCCCGCCTATCCAGCAGCCCCAGCGATTTGGGAATCAAGCCTTTCGGACGTATCATGCGCGTCTCGTTGAGGTATTGACATTGTTCAAGTCCTCTGCTTTCGGGAAGGGTGGAAAATGTTCTGCCTTCGACGCTTTGGGTGTTTGTTTCTTCAGCGAAGTGCAGAACTTCTTTGTGGGATCCTGCCGGAATCGTCGCGCGATGCCACGGTGGAGCTGCAGCCGTATTTGTTGGACAGTTTCGGCAACAGCACGCGTATCGATTACGGAACAGGCAAAAAAAGAAAACAAAAAATACTTTTTTAGTTTTGAATAATGATTTTATTTCGCATATACCTGTATAGAAATATAGACTCATTAGGGATAGTGGGTATAGTATAGAGTTATACATAACTTTATTCACTAACATTGCAAATGATTGCGCCTGCTAAAAACACTTGCAGTTAACATGGGAAGACTCCTTCCCATGTTTCCAACATGCTCTGGGTATTTGCGCACTGAACCTCGAAGCATTGTGTAGTGTTGGTATTGTACATCGTTGTTGCCGTGAAGAAATTATAGAGAAATCAGGGAGTTGGACATGTTTATTTGGCGTATTATTGCGCGTTTACGATTTACGAAAATAATAATGTATGTTATTGACTTATTACTCGTGATATTCGAATTTTTTTACCAGAGATGCTTCCAAGACGTACGTTATTTTTTAAATGGCCTTTTCTTGATAAAGTTGCGGACCTGTTTGCAGATTTTCTTGTATTCTATACATTCGGTGATCACGCTATGCTTTCCAGGTCATGAAGCGAATTTCATAATGTTCCTTCTTTGTCTGTGGAAACTGGGGGTCTTCCAGAAAACTGATGCTACTGCTCTTGTCACCAGCGTGTTCAAAAAGTATGTAGGGCATAACTTGGTGTTTTGCTGGCTGTACTTCTTTTGCTGGATCTTTGCACGCTTACTGTACTGTATAGTTTCCAGACGTCATTGCTTTGTACGTGCGCGAGAACAACAAAGTCAACTTTCTCTGTTTCACCAAAGAGTTTTTTTTGCTCAAAGCAATGGTCAGCATACTGTCGTATTTTCCTTAGAAAGGTTCAAAGTTGCATTTCTGTGTGCAGATATTTGGAGCTGTGTCGACACTTGCAGTTAACCTACAAAATGGAGCCCGCTGGCAGTCATGGCGTGTGGAGTCTGGATGACTTCCAGTTTGTCCCTTTTATTTGGGGCAGCGCGCAGCTGATCGGTAATACAGGAGCAGATCTAATGATAAAAGTAGCTCTTTACGCTAAATGTTTATCTCGCCAGTTCATTGTTTCATATACTCGTACACACGGGGATTTACGCTGGACCTCTTCTTCAGAACATCCAAATTACGATACCAAATGCTATTTGGACGAAAAGATTGTGGAACGCAGCAAGGACGACTTTCTTTGGATGGGCTGCATAGACTTCATTGGCAAGGTGCGTACTGCGCTTCCTGTTTTGTTCCCACTCATTTTGGTTGGGAGAATGGATTAAGGTTTATTTGTTTGGGTACGAGCAACTGTTTTGGTTTTGGAATATCTAGGTTAAATCCGGTCCCTTCGCTGAACATTCTAATCAGCTGTGGAGCATTAGCGATGTACCGAGTTGGGGAAAAGTGAACAGCGGGCTAGTCAAGATGTATGAAGCAGAAGTACGTCAAACGCTGCAATCGTTAACGCTATGGCTCAATTATGCGTAAAGAGATTAAACCTATTTTGGCTTCTTGTGCAAGTTACGATATTATCAGTACTAAAAGTACATTACATGATGCTAGCAAGTAAAAAAATGCTGTCTCTTGTTCTTAGACGTCCTTTTGTATTTCCCTTAGGTGTTGCAGAAATTCCCGGTAGCTCAACATTTTTTGTTTGGATCTCTTCTCTCCTTCGATGCTGCCGCGTGATTTACATAACCACGGGAATTTATTTATTTCCAGTTGGTTTCTTAAATTTAGAAATACGATTTGTAATTTTTTAACACTTAAAATAGTGTGAAACCATTAAATGGTCTGTAAATTCTAAACAACCAGGTGAAAGTTGTCGCTCTAATATACGTACGTATTTAACGATTCGAAACAAGTCTCGTGAAAGCCTTGCGTTTAGATAAAAAATGGTACATCAAATTCCACAAAATGTAGAAAACGTCGGGATTTCGATGAAAAGCTAAGCGTAACCGCAGTACACAGAAAGGTGCGCCGAAAGGTCACATGTGCCGGGTGTTGCCCATGTTGATGCCGTGCTGGTTGGCGCCTTTATTGGATCCATACTGTGTAACACAAACCTCATTATGCAAAGTTCGGTGTAAGGTTACGTATTTCGTATTTTTGTGTACAGAATTTGTTACGCTCTGTAGTACACAATGGAAAATAGATAAATATTAAATACAGTATGCTGGAAGAGCTCACTTGTAAGCTGATCATGCCGTCGCTTGCGCGGAGCTGCTCGTCTGTGAAGTTGCGCACATTCTTATCCGCTTCCTTCGGCCCAATACCTGGCTTTCCAAATTTGCTAGCCTGTAATTACATGCGAAGAATGCACTAGAGAACCGCGTTGGATCTACGGTTTACAAAGTAGTGGAAATTTTCGCAGAAATCTCGAGTGCTTCGCATTATCAACCACAACTGCGTTAAAATTTACCTTTCTGCCAAGAGATTCCAGGCATATAACAACAGCGTTCAAGTTTTGCCGTTCCCATAAATCCACGCTCTGAAACCGTTCATCAACGTTAATATCACCCTGACGTACACACAAGTTTACAATTACGAACAATTTAATTCATCCCTATAGGTACGAAGTGAATATTCATCCATTTTGCAAGTGCATACTGCTTTTTCCTTGAAGTAAGTACTGCACGGAGGATTTCTTATAAAGCAGCACAAGAACTATTCATATTATTCAGAAGCAAAACTGCGCAATGTGCGCAAAGTATTTTTTGATGACCAGCCAGTGGCTTTAATACTAGCCACTACATATATACTAAAACAAGTGCTAAAGATTGTGAAACGACAGATTAATGCGTTCAGAGTTTTAAGCGTTTTGCTGAACTGCGACACGTATTATACAGAACATAGCAATTATATTTTAGCAAAACACAGTTTCAGAAAATCGTGAGCATTGTTAAGTTCGAGTACTGTATCTGTGCTACAAATATACTACTTCTGTAGTACTTTGTTTTGCTCGGACATGGTACGCTACACTGTACATATCGCGACCACATTTACTATTTTTTTTTGTATTAATTTTTTTTGTACTGGTATTGTATTAATTGGCTGTGTTAAAATGACCTTTGGCATCGTGTCTTTTTATGACGAAGTCAGGTAGTAATAATCGCTGTAAATTCTTTACAAATTACCTGAAAGAGTTCTGGCGTAGGGACGCCCATGGCCGTGGCTGCACGCGTGAAGTTATTGATGTTTTCCATGCATTTGAACGCCATTTTGCTCGTCTCGACTTTCTTCACACTTCCTGGTTGCAGCGCATTAGCCAAACTGTTTATATACAAATAACAACACTGCAGACAGCAGTCACTCATGCGTCCATGAATTATAGCACTTGCGAGCGTTCTTGTACACATTAAACGAGCAATTTAGTAGCTAATACTGTTGAATAAAACAATCGCTGGTCATTTATCTGGCGCATAATCCATCTGCCGGCTTACTTGCACAAAACCACTCCGTCCTTCAGCGCTTCGTAGAAGTCTTCGGCCTTGCCGCTTGTGTTGACGCTGCCGGGTCCGAGTACGTCGTTTATCCATGCTAGCGCTTCCTCGGCACGGGTTTCGTCATACTTCCTTTGCAGCTGATAAAAAAATACACAATAGAAGTGCCAATCGATAATGGATAATTATGACTTGTGACTTATAATTACTTGTAATTATGACTTGTGCAAACTATAATTAGCCTCTAAAATTAATTAAGTAACATTTTACAGTTTAATTTAAGGACGTGTGAAATACTAGAGCAGACAAAATATGCATTTGAGCATCACAGAAAAAATCTGAGGCTGTCGAGGACAATTAGTACATTATTTATATTTACTTTTGTTAATGAAGCTTAAAAAAAGTTAATACTGAGCAAGCAGTAGAAAAGTATTACGTTAATGTGCGCATTATTAAAATATTAAAATCATTGTCATTTTACCAGTCTGTATGGTTTTGAAATAAAGTCAAGCATATTTTTTGCTTAAACCCATTAGGATATTAAAATGCATCCTCGATATCGTGTTCCCAAAAAGATTGAGGGATGCTAGCAAAACTGCATTTGTGGCCGCACGTCAAGTTCAAAGGTTGAGTGCGGATAGTAATAATAATATTAATACGATGATCAGCGTTATATTGTGGTTATTACCATATTCCAGCATTACGCCATTGATTGTCTGCTTATTACAATACTTGATATGACTGCTTGTTCCGGCGCGTTGTCTGGGAGGTCGCTGCACTTCATATTGCCGCATACATAAATACGCTCATATAACACTGTGCCATCTCGGCATTTAACGCATCATTGTCCGAGCGTGTAACGCTGTCATCGTAAAATTTTTTTAACGAACCAGGACTAAATTTCCAGGTAAGTAGGTACGAGCATTTGCAAAGCTGACACTGCTGTGACAACAAAAATGAATGTATTGCTTATTTTCCTAGGCAACTTTCAGTGGTATTCCCGTAGTAAGCGTAATGCCAACGGTTTTTTATAAAATAATGTACGAATAATCGTATGTCGTCAATTTTTATAAAAGCGCAATAAAAGTATGAAAGGATGTAGCACATATTGTTCTTCACCGGGTTCTGATGCAAAAAAATGGATTCTGTTTATACGTTTATGTACATGTTGGTAAACAACATACGTTATTGTTAAAATAGAACCTGTGCATCTTAAATTAGTCGTACATGAATCGTCTTGACATTTTTTTCTGCGCACCGGGTCCCGCCGGGATATATATTGTACACTTTGCTGTTTGTTATTCGAGCACAACAAATTCTCTTTGTTGACAAACGATTAAATGCTGGAAAAGCACATGTCGAATTCTACAGTTTGACAGAAGTATTTGGGGCGCTTTTCTGACCGACTGATTGATTGCTACATAGGCTTATCACTTTTTGACTCGCCGTCTCGATTCTGTTTGTTTTGCATATTGAGCGTCATTAGTTGAATAAAATAACAAAACTAAACACTTTTCAGACCTGACACGGAAATACGTACATAGTCAGTGTGATGCCGGCTTGCACATCGACAGCACTGAAAAATGCCTTAAAAGATTCGGCACGGGCGGCATAATTGTTGAAGTTTTTTATAATTAGTACAAAAATATACGTACTTCTATATGTAAGTACAGCATATGAACTACACAACTAACAGATACTAGGTAAGTATTAACCCGCATTATTTACTGGTCAGAAAAATCCCTCCGCCAAGGGCTTAGGTTGCATCATTTTAAGTAAAACGAACGCACCATTACATGAAAGCTGTAAACAACAGTATGTCTATGGTTCTGCAAACAACTACGTTTTGCCCCTAAAAAAATCTAAACTATTTACTGTACTCGTATATAGACTTGCATCGGGGAAGTCATATCCCGAAGTTTGCATATTTGCCCATCGTAATTTGCTAAGCACAGCACGAACAGCGATGCGTAAACAACTTATGGTTTGCCGGCTCGCAAAACGATCCGTGCTTTGTGACTGCTGCTCGTATTGTCGATTCAGAGAGAGTATAGTAATCCGTAATATTCCACCGTAGCTTGACATTTTATCTCGTAGTAGGCAAACAAATGATATTGAGACAATATATGTTGGTGAATAACTTGATCTGCTAATTAAGGAAGTATTATATAAATAATGTAAAATCTGCAACTACCTACTGTAGTACCTACAGATACGCTGTACTACGACTAGCAAACAATGCATTCTTTTATGCCACCGCATATCACCATGGCAGGAAAACATTTAAGTTATTTCAGTTTATTCTGTACAGGCAGGCCAACGCCCTGTTCTGGTAAATGCTTCTATAGTTCGAAATCGGCAAAAAGCCTTTCAAGCAGACGTTGCATTAAATCAAGCTGTACAAAAAGTGCGAATTAACATTTGTAATTCCAAAGAAAAGCCTTACCAAACTGGTTTATGTTGACAATCTGTAAAAGAAGACGACACACAGAACCGCCCAAAGATAGGAGTTCAAGCATGAGGTACAGACAGGCAATGTCAGTGCGCGCTTACAAAAAGAACATACCATTTGCACGCGCTGATTTGTCTAATAAATTATATTGCCACAGATTTTGCAACCAAAGCTTGCATCGATTTTCGTTTTGAATTATTCGTGCTTAAACCGCCATATATATTCTTAAAAACAAGCGCAGCAAACACTAAAAACTGAGAAAAGAAACAGTACATATGATTAATTCGAAAGAGTTTTTTGCTAGCACTACTTTATATTTCAGTCACAAAATGTAAAAACAGAATAACGCTTTCAAACATGTGCAGCTGAAAGATTTCATGTTTGATTACGAAAGCATTTTTCAAAGTACTTACGCTGTAGTATACCAGTATTTTAGTTTGCTACTACTCTGTACATAAATTAATGTAAACAGGTCGCATCATACGAGCAGCGTACGACTGCTTTGCGATTCCGATTTTAAAATAAGCTGGTATAAGTCGATTTATTTAAGGTAAGTCTATCTACATAACGCGGTATCCAAAACGTGCATTTGCACTATTCACAGCGTCCTTACATTTTGTATAACAAGAAAATTATAAAATTTTTCTCTATCGTCCGTCTGTGCAGGATTGTAAGATAAATTCGTTTCTTTTGCTGCATACCTTCATTTTGATATTCGGAGCCAAACGCGCACTATGACTGCTCGTCATTATGCACACAATGAGGAATGATTTATGGGCAGATTCCAAAGTTTCTCACAGCGGACATGCTTAAAGAATTGTAATTTACATATGTAACAATTCTTATCTGTTTATCGTACACATCCTCCATCGAATCATACGATAACAATTATTTGAGCAGCGAAGATAAGATATACATCCAGACACTTGACGTGTACACAAATGCAGCGATAACACTAAACGAAAAAGGTAACAATCTTCTAACAATGCGACGATCGTTTTGACAGTTTCCCCACTTTCACGGCAAAACCTAACATTACCGTAGAATACTGCGCCCGCTATCACAAGCAGGCAAATTATATGTTCTCAGCTATTTTTGCACCATAACAAGAAAAAGTAGCAAGACTTGCCAGAAATACGGTTAACGAAATGTCACAGTGCAGTGTGCCGCAATGGATCATCCAACGCGAATTAACTTGTTTCTACCGGCAATTGACCACTATACGACATATTAGTGCACTGCATGGCGCTGGCCTAGAAAGTTGATATGGCACTCGACCAGTTTAAACTTTAACACACCTGAAGCCGCAGTTTAAGTACGTTTTAAAATCGAAATATATTACCTTGTTGTGCGCCTCGGCAGCCAGACCGCTCTTTGTGGCACGGCCAGTATATGTTCCCGACATCGTGATTATATAAATAATTGATCAAGGTAAATCGCTTTTTTCGCGCGGGGGATACCGATAGGTATTTAGATAGATAGATGGCGGAAGAAATCAATAGAGGGACAATTAGCCTATACACACAATTGCGGTAAATAAAAACTGTACTGGCCAAACGTTAGTAAATCATTAACTGCATGCAGCGCCCACAGCCTACCAACACGTTGCAGAAGGGAGAGCAACAAAACGGTTGGCAATGAGTCACACAACAGCATATATATGACTGTATATAAAATTTTTGTCTTTATGATTACGCAGTAAAAGGTTACGCATCCGCACGGCGGAAAAATCTGATGGACTGCCTCGGTGCGCGTCTGCTGTTTGTGCGAGAATGCACTCGGAAATGGTAGGTAGCGTTGGAGGTAGGTACTTGCGATAAGAGCCCGGCGATTCAAACTTTTGTTACGTTTCAAGTATGAACTTCAATAATTCAGTGGGCGGAAATGCTGCTTCGTATATGATCGACGATGGACGGATGGATAGCTTACCGACCTTTATGATTTTGTCGTCTGTCGTCATACCTGTACAGTGCATTGGTTTAATTATTTTATCGTTTACTTGCTGTTTTATTGCGAAGTATTCTGGTCTAATAATGTGAAGATATTTAGGAAATTAGTAAGATCTTCAATTTAGATGATGATTATTATATGTCCTAACACCTAAGCAAGTTATTTCGCTAAAAATTCGTTGCTGTTAATAGCTAGCTATAGGTACGTTCCATAAATCTTCGCAAGTAAAGTAGAGGAGCGAAATACATAAAATTATCTGAATCTCGATTCACTATGTTTTGGCGGAACATTTTTCTGAACTCTCCGAATTTATGTAAAATAACCTGGTAAACACACTTTCGGTTAATAATTGAAATCAACCGGCTGCAGACACAAGATCCAGCGCACGCATAATCAACTGTGAACCATCAAATCGTATAGCGAAACACTGTACTTATAATATTAAAATTAATGCTATAAGAAATCACCGTAACAGAGCAATGCAGATTTTTTCAAGTAAAAAAATGCGGAATTGTCAGTCCATTGCTGTTCGTTGCACAAGGAAAACACAGTACAAGCGGTACTTTCTTCTTCGCTCTAAAGGTCGGCAAATGGCAGAAGTTTCTTATTACAAAGTTTTGGGAGCTACTACTCATCGAAGCACTGTACTGTACTGTGAGCGGAAGCCTGCAGCTGGAGAATGATTCACATCCGGTTAAGAGCAGCGTCATCATATCGTCGATGTTTTGTCGGCAATATCAAAGCGCCGATAACGGACTCTTGCAGGCAGCCATATTCAACGAGCTTGTTGTCAACAGCTGATGCCCATTTTTATGAAAACAAATGAATCCTGAGGCTGCATTTTAAACTCCATATTATGCAGATAAAGGATTGCATTTGCCACAATCAAATGGTGCATATGTGCTTGTATGGGTCGGATACAACAATATTAAATCTGTACCTTTCCTCGGCCTATCGCACATGCGACCGTAGACGCTGCACTTCGCGGTGGAGTAGTTATCCAGATAAAGATAATATCATTAGATATACACCACCTAAAATCAAACTGGACACTATAACTATTAGACTGTTAGACCACTTATAAACTTTAAACACTTTCTAAGAGTTAACGTCGCGGAGTACCTAATAACATTTACAAGTTAACAGATCCAATTTTGGGGGCTGTTGCAATTAAGCTTCTTATACTTACCAGAGTTATTAAACGGCAGATGCGTATGGCAAATTTAAGCTGATCTTAAATGATTTATAGCCTAATAATATTAATACTAAAAATGCGTTTAGATTCCAGACATCTATCGTACATAATAAGGTGCTAATTTGCAAAAGCTATATCACAATAAATGCACAAGCCATACATGCAAAACTGCAAATTATAATTACCAAGTATACAATAATTATTATACCTTAAATTAATAAATTTAGACAATATAGAATATTACTAGTTTGTGCATATTAAGCAGAAATCAGCAAAACTCTAGATTGCTCTAGGCGTCGCTTTTAAACAACAAACCTGACCGTGACCTTAACGTTATTGGTAAAAACGAAAGACAGCTATGTTGCTGCCGGCAATAGATTCGATTCTGATAGTTGACAGAGTTGCAGCACTAATGCCTTCGCGCATTGGGATAATGTTACTAAAGGCGCCAAAATTTCCCGTTTAAGCTTTACAAAACTGCAACAAAATTTCGATACATGTCGTGCCTGTAATTTTGTATACATGCGTCAGAACCTTGTTGTTATCTCTTTTAATTACTGAGCTTGGTTTTGACTGTATCTTCAGTTTTGTTCTGCAGCGGCTTTAATGCTTTTAAAAGCGTTACCAGGTTTTATTATTTATTTTTTAGCTCGTGCAAGTTGCTGTTATTTCCGTCTAACAATCTGCACAATAAAAGTTCTCGTTCTTCTACGCCTCGCGATCGGGTAAGACCAGCCGGATACTTCGCGTATATACGCAACCTGAAATAATTAAGTACTGTACGTATTTTGCACGGTGATTCTCGAGATTTCCTTAACATTCAGCGTTAACACTAATTTTGAAAATTAGATTGCCGTATCCTTAAATGTTTTTTGATAAACAACAAACAAATTTTGCTGCGAAATTTTATATTTAGTTTGATCGAAATCTGGTAGTTTTGAATTTGTAAAATGCTTGGTTAATACTGTGCACATCAACATCAACATTCTTAGCGGTGTGTGGAGTCTGTGGGTATAACTCATACTGCGCTAGATTTGTACCAAAAATGCTGCCCAACGCCTTCGACTTGTGCATGCTGACTGACATGTAGTGATTTAAAATACAGTTTTGAAATTCTGATTTTCCTTAACAGATGACCGGCTGTCCTGCAAAATCTACTGGAAGCCATGCCACCCGTCAACTCATCGCAGCGTCTCACGAGAAGCCTTCTCTTGGCAGTGTTTTCCGTTACCATCGGCACATGGTATCCCCTCGGCTTCAGTCTAACCAACATCAACGCTCCGGAGGATGTCATCGTGCAATGGATGCGCACGGTCGAATGTCACCGTTCCCTCCACGCCAACGCGGACGACTCAACCTTATGGTGCCGGCCGGCGTATTACAACGAAACACACCAGCTCCTGAAAGAGAACTTTGTCCTCAATTCCTTGTGGGCATTGGTCGGGTGTTCGCTGATCGTTGGCTGTTTTGTATCCATCTGGATTGCCAATTACATGATGGCGAGATTGGGCATGAAAGTCACCTTTTATATCTGCAATGCGGTGGTGGCGGTGGGCGTGGCATTGTGTGGATGCTGTGTCGTAGCGAAGTCGTATGCGTTGTTTATCATTGGACGGTTCGTGGTGGGCATGGGTCTTGGTGTCTCCATTTCCGCGGCCAGTATTTATATTGCAGAGATCAGTCCAGTGCGGCTGCGGGGCGCATTGGGAACAGTGCCATCGCTACTGTATGGCAGCGGAATGTTGACAGCGGCAATTCTTGGTTTGCCGCAAATCTTGGGAAGCGAAGAGACATGGACCGGTTTATCGTGGTTTCTGTTTCTTCCGGTAATTCTGCATTTTGTTTCGCTTCCGTTTTGCCCTGAAAGTCCGCGGTATCTGCTACTGAATAAAAAAGACAAAGTCAATGGAGAAAAAGCCCTGCAATGGTTGCGGAAATCCGCGGATGTCAAAGAAGAAATCCGTTTGATCGAAAACGAAGGTCATGCCGCCGAAGATCAACCCATCGTCTCGGTGATTGGTCTGTTCAAAGACAGCTTCTGCGGCGCAATATTCTAATTTGTGTGGCGATTATTATTGACCAGCGGTTCACCGGCTATGTCGCCGTGTACACGTACTCGACGGCTATTTTCTCCAGCGTCGGATTGGCCAGACTGCAGTCCATGTACGGGACCATTGGACTAATGTTCGTACAAACCATGTCCGGTGTATCGGGCATGCTGTTGATGGACAAAGCGGGCAGGCGGAAACTGCTGATTGCTGGCAATATCGGGTGCACGTTGGCCATGGTGTTGCTAACGGTGTTCTCACTGTTGGTCAATCGCGGAGTCTGTCCACAGTGTCAGTGGGGTGGATTGGCTGCGGTGTTGGCGTTCATTATTCTGTTTGGTATCGGACCGGCGTCGGTTCCCTGGGTTCTGACGGCGGAAATGTTCGACAAATCTTCGCGGTCGTCGGCCATGACAGTGGTGATGGCGTGCTGTCACGCGGCCGGAGGAACCGTCGCGGCGGTGTTCCCACTCATGATGACGTCGCTGGACGCGTGGACTTTTCTGGTTTTTGCCGGGATTATGACGGTGTTTACCGTGTTTTTCTGGTGGACGGTTGTGGAGACTAAGGGCAAAACATTTAGTGAGATACAAGCAATTTTATGGCAGAAATACAATAAGCAGGACTAATATAAGAAGTACGAGTAACACAAATAGCAGGATTGTGGTGCGTAACGGCTCGGATGTATGTATTGTACCATGCTGCTACTGCTGCTTGGTATAATGAAGAAGTGCAAAAATATCATAATGGCATTCGTGAATGACTGAACACCAAATAAAGTCTACTTTACTGGCTGGTTTATTTTTATGGTTATGAGTAACAATTTTATAACTTTCGGTTTTCTGGCTCTAGTGTACTCTGTGTATCTGTGTGCTCTAGTGGTGTTACCGTGTTTTAAGTACGAGTCCTGGAATCGTTTACAGTAAAATTAGTACCGTAATTTATAACTTTCTCGTTTTTATGTTTCCGATGCAGCATCATTTCTGCCGAATTATTCTTTACTGAACGTAATGATTATGAGTAACAATTTTATAATTTTCGGTTTTCTGGCTGGTAGAGGGAGCAGTCGGCAGATATCTGTGTAACTAAAGTGTATACTCTAGTGGTGTATACTGAACGTAATGAAACTCACTGTCAGAAAATGCGACGAACAAAAAAGTTAAGTCTTGGCAAACTGATATCTGTTAATATTAATTTCACGTTTTTCTGTGGTCGGTCCCAGGTTTATGCTCAAGTTATAATTGGAGAAAAAATTGGCATGCAAAAGTTGTGCATGCTGGCACTGGGAGTACCATTTTGCTTTTGGAGATCGTTATAAAATCTCGTTTACCAGAGAGATCATTTCTGCATCACGATTACTAAGCTAATATACGCACCTTTACAGAGTTGTTACTGCGAATCTGTGACCGTTATATGTTTTTCTTAATCATAACATTATCGCTTGATCTCTCTTAATTATATGAGTCTCGCATGTTTATACATAGAAGTACTAATACAAACTGTGCTTGCACATCTGCCTTATACTACGAGTAGTACTGATGGCAAAAATAGTTTTCGGTATAAAATTAAAAAGTACTTGTTTAATAGTCAACTTTTCATCAGTAAAGCTAAAACATCGCTGATTACACTTCCCGAAACATGTGGCCTAATCAGTAATCACAAAAACATTGAACCTGAATTGGCCGAAGTAAGTGTTGTTCGAATGACAGAGTTGAAGTTCGATGCTGATCCGCGCTGGCGAAAATTCTTCGTCGCCAGACCGTATATGTCACCTGTGTTTCGTGCCGTATCATCTTCCAGAGACTGGTGACCAAGGACGAGGCTTCCGGTGCGTACGGTCCAAGCGTGTCCATGCGTACGGTCCAAAATGTCCGACACTTTTTGTCACTTTATCGTGCCGGAAATTAATAGAACTGCAGAGCTGGTGTCCACCGGAGAAGCCGCTCTTATCGCTTACGTTTTAATTAACTGTTATTTTATCCCATAAGCCGGCAAATAAACAAACTGATGCCAATTTCTCCAATATAAAAACGCCAAACGAGCGGTTTCGAGAGAGGATACTCCGACATTGTCTTATATTGTAGATGATCGAAAAATACGGAACCTCTTTTTTAGTGGCGCAGCTGGGGCCTGAAACATGTATGTAATCAAACTAATCTATATTTTGCAGCGTTGGTGTTACGTTTTTTTGCACACGTCAAAATATCACTTGCAACGAAACCCATCAACTTTCTGAATATGACAAAATCAACCCTTGTTACCGCACTACGTCGACGCACAAGTAAATCAGGGGACAGATATATCTGCCAATCAGTGTTACCATAGGTATATATCAGTCATGTTAATCCCGATTAAAACTGTGCTAAATATCTGTACAATAAAAATACAGTCACAAATATGACAACACTCGCATACCTAAGGAAGTAAACACTTTAAATCAACAATAAATTTTTTGCGGGTTTTGCGCTACAAATCCGATATCGTATACGGCAAGGTGTTCCTCCGGGTGAACATTCGACAACGGCCGTGACAGCTGATAGAATCGGTCAGATCTTTAATCATGCGCACAAAGGCGACAATTATGCTGTCGGCCGAGAAATATTAATTAACCCACGCGATTATATTGGCAAATTCTGTTTTCTGGTTAGCGTTCAGGTGTTAATCCACAAATGCATTACAACCACCATGTTATTAACTGGCACACGCGTGTTCATAAATCATTTCTTAAATTTTAATCCTTCGCGCCGCTGCTTCGGCAAACAATCAGTTCCCGGTAACGTGTGCTGATTGCCACAGCATTTTTGAATATATAATGATATAATGCAAAGTTTCCACTTTCTTCCGACATTGAAAACGCTTTTAAGCTGAATAAGCGCGGTCATAGCGTGCCGAACCTTTACAAGTGGTGCACATGTTGCTTAATGCGCAGCATAAACAATACCGGCGAATGATTCTTGTTGCAACGTATTTATGCGCCGACTGTTGACTGGATGTGTATATAATGAACAAAACCCTTTCCGGGTCAGTATTGTTGTGACAAGTTGACAAAGTGGCGGTTCTTGGATGTCTTTATCTAGCGGCTCAAAGCTGTGGCGACAAGAATCCGACTCCCTCGTGCAGCGCCACCACAACATGACGGCCAATACTAAATCGCCGGGACTGACGAGCAATCTGCTGCTGGCCGCCTTCTCCACCACCGTGGGCACCTGGTACTTTCTCGGTGTTGTCATCACCAACATCAACGCGCCGCAGGACGTCATCGTCAAATGGATCCGCTCCGTGGAATGCCAGCGACGGAACTATACGCATGCCCTGGACAGTGACCTTTGGTGTCACACCGCGTACTACAACCAGACGCGGCAACTCCTCAAGGAGAACCTGACCCTCAACTCGCTGTGGGCCATGATCGGCAGCTCCTTAGTCATCGCCTGCTTTATCTCCATCTGGCTGGCCAACCTCATGATCTCCCGGCTGGGCATGAAAGTGACCTTTTACATTTGTAATGCGGTGGTGGCGGTGGGTGTCGTGATCTGTGGATGCTGTGTGGCGGCGCAGAGTCACGAGATGTTCATCGTCGGGCGGTTTGTGATTGGGATTGGACTGGGTGTCTCCTTGCCCGCGTGCAATATCTACGTCGCCGAAATCAGTCCGGTGCGGTTGCGCGGCGCGGTGTGCACGATCCCGTGCTTTTTGTACGGCGCCGGCATGTTAACAGCAGCTATTCTGGGTTTACCGCAGATACTGGGTGGTGAAGACACTTGGACAGGATTGTCGTGGTTTTTGTTCGTTCCGATTATCTTGCACTTTATCTCACTGCCATTTTGCCCGGAAAGTCCGCGGTTTTTGCTGCTACTCAGGAAAGATAGCCATAGTGGAGAAAAGGCGCTGCAGTGGTTGCGCAAAAGGTCAGATGTCGGCGAGGAAATCCAGTTGATTGAGAACGAAGGCCACGCCGCGGCGAAACAGCCGATCGTTTCGGTGATTGGTCTGTTTCGCGACAGCTTTTTACGGAGGAATATCTTCATCTGTATGGCGATTATGGTTGACCAGCGCTTTACCGGCTACACTGCGGTCTATACGTACTCCACGGCCATTTTCTCCAGCGCCGGACTGGCACGTTTGGACGCTATGTACGGAACGATCGGGTTGATGGTGTTGCAGATTGTATCTAATGTGGTAGGCATGGTGCTGATGGACAGAATCGGTCGACGGAAATTATTCATTGCGGGGAATATCGGATGTGCGGTGACGATGATCATGTTAACGGTGTTTTCGTCGCTGGTCAAGAGTGCCCTTTGCCGGCAGTGCCAGTGGGGCGGCTTGGCATCGGTGTTGGTCTTCATTATCCTGTTTGGCATTGGACCGGCATCGGTGCCTGGGTGCTGACCACAGAAATGTTCGATAAATCTTCGAGGTCATCGGCAATGATTGTGGTCAGTGCGTGCTGTCATGCAGCAGGCGGGACGGTGGCGGCGGTGTTTCCGCTCATGCTGGCCACGATGGATGAATATTCGTTCCTGATGTTTGCAGGAATTATGGCCGCCTTTACGGTGTTCTTCTGGTGGGCGATTGTGGAAACAAAAGGAAAGACTTTCAGCGAAATTCAGGAAATTTTGTGGCAGAAATACAACAAGCACAGTTGACGGGACAAAAAGTGTTATTAAGCGATTTATGCGCGCCTATAGCACATCCCCGAATGTCAGGGCAAGTTTGCTTTATTAAATTTGTTAGTTCTGCGTGCTTAATTCGAGGTTGTACAAATTATTTCATTTGATACACCGATGTGTAATCATGTAGCGGATAAAGTTATTAGCCTTTATACCAACTTTTCAACATCTCTGATATGCATATCTTTAATTGCCCGTAACTAAATAAATTTCAGTTACGTTATTAGGACCTGGTTGTTCGCACATTTCGAAAGTAAACCACCCAAGCGATATTTCAAAGGATTAAGAAAAAAATCGCACATTTAAGCACATTAAATCCTGAATCGGTCTTGGAATCTTGAATTTTAACAGTACTCGTTTAAATGTGAAGTGTCCTGCTTGGCGTTGTGGTTATTAAAAATCGAAATAAGGACAGACCTTGCGAATTGGTTAGCGTGCTACAAAACTTCTGGATGTTTACAGTACTTGTTTCTTCACTTTTAGTTTACGATGATGTACAATAAAGGCTGCTGCTGACATTAAATACGAGGTACTTTGTAGAAATTTGTACCTGTAGATCGTAGAATCGTAGTTAAGCGACTGCTACCGAGCCAACACGGCTTATCCCGTACTAATACTAACTGTCAGCATATTCCTTATGGTCAGATAAAAAATTTTTATTAAGTCAAGATGATATTAAGCGTTCCAATTACAACTTTTTTTCTAAGTTAAAGAAAGTTACTGATCACAAAATTTGTGAAAAAATATTTAATATTTTTTTATAATTACGAAAAGGTCATGCCCTCACGTGTCAGCAGTTATGTGCTCTCTCGCGTGAAGAATAAGAAATCTGTGCAAAATGCCATGAATAATAAAAAAGTCGACAAGCAAGTCAAATTACAGATCGAACTATAATTAATCATTCCACAGCCAACTTATATATGCTTATTTGTTTTCGGCTTTCTGTTAATGTTGTTGAACGATATCATTAAAACGCCATTAATCAAAAAATGCACCCTGCGGTACAATAATTACTGCGCAGACCAGATAAATTTACGGCTGAAATTTACACCGCCAATAGGTAGGTATTCGGACTGTTCACTGCACAATGTTATCCTTAGAATTAGAATACCAAAGCAGTCTCACTTTTATTTGTAGTTCGAGTTGCAATTGTATTTGGAAACATTTACCACTTGACTCCGATATTTATTTATTCTTGCCATTAACAAAAGAAAACAAGGCGTCAGTGCTGGAAAACTGAAACCGTTGTCAGCATTAACACAATAAAACATAACAATGCAGTGACTGAAAACATGCAGTTGTGAGCAAAAAACTTGAGAACAATACTGTCATCATCCATACTGCCAATACGGAAAAGTCATCAGGAACAATGATATGCAGAAACTAGCATAAGGATACTCAGCATTAAAAGCTGAAAAAGGCACAACAGATCTGAAAGACACCGGCTGTTGCCATACAGGAATTGACGTGCACAATGGAATTCCCATACACGCTGCGGAATTAAATCAAAACGGAATCCAGGTTTAACGCACTCGATACTCCTTACCAATCCGAGGGCGAATTTTCTCATAGAAGAACTGCTGGCCCCGATCCACGTAGCGGCCATTGCGCAGTACTAATGTTCGCTTCTTGACAAACTGAAACTGTTCATAAGCAAATCGATAGAATTCCGCCTCCACTTTGTAAACATCCGACTGCTGCAGCTTGTCCAAAGTGGCTTGTAACGGTGTAGTTTTATTATATGTCTTGCGTAAATGGGATTTGTCACCCCGTTTGTACGCATTCCAGGCGCCGCGGAACATGGACGGTAAAGTGGCCTCCAACATGAGGACAAAGTCCTCCATTTCCTCCGTGACACCGACCAGGAAATACTTATCGACCAGATTCCGTTTGGCCTGCTCCAGCGCCCACGTATTGCCTGCCGGCTCCCAGCAGGCTGCGGCATGTCCGCAGAAAAATGGCACTGTTCAAACAACAAACGGCTGTAGGATTTTTAAAGCTAACACTAACTGAAAGGGAGAATAATTCAATAAAGATAAGTGCCCAACCGAAAATTTGCGTTCACTCGGCACGATAGGGAAAGTAAGGGAAAAACATCTATCTAATCTAAGCGATAGACCACTATAAAATTTGTAATACACACTTTAACAAACGTCCATAAAAAGAGTGGCTTATAAAATAGTATATTCACATAATCGACTACATTGCATACGGACTTCAGAAGCGGCAACACGACGGCATGGAAAATTTGCGCTGTCCATTATAATGCGATACTGTTACAGTACCAGTACAGCCTTTACAATGAAGCAATAAAAACTAAATTTCTGCAACACGTTTAAAATGCATGGAAATTAGAGCAATCACACAAGATCGTGCCAGCACTAAATACCGCTTAACGTTTACCACTTATCGAGGCCGTCAGATGAAATTGTAGCTTATTTACAGTCTGCAGCCTACATTTACCTTGTAACCACATATTGCTGGGATCACAATCCTTTCCCTCTGGAAAGAGAAATACAAATTGACAGTAAATCGAGTATAACCGCGGAATTTCATCACGGCTAGCAATCAAGTGTAATAACGTGTTTGCTTACGGCTTTCCACACAGTCATCGATTGATTTTCGATCGCCCTGTCTTCGGCGGGACAAATAGGGACGAAAATCATCCCCATAGCGGAGAAAATAGTAATAACTGACCATCCGATCGATGGGTTCACGGATAATGTTGATAAAGACCGGCTTCATTTCCGTGCCCAACGTGGCAAAATCCAAGAAGGCCACATGACCATGGAAGAAGGCCGGATGCTTATCCCGCCATCGTGTGACGTTCTGGGCAAAACGATACCGATCGGCCAGCGACAGCACATGCGAGTTCTTGCTGACATTTAAATGGAGCACATGAAATTTATTCCGACTGCACAATTCATAAGCCAGACCGGTGAAGGATGTGCTGCCGGTTTTGGGAACACGATTATACACCACAATCAAGCTGGATTCGACAGATGGTCCATTTGATAGGACGGAGCCTGCAAGCGCCCCAGAATACACATTTTATCCCTAATTCACTATCAGGATCAAAATGAATTCCACGCATTAACTTCTAAGGGTTTCTCTGGATTAACTGGCATCCACCAGAAAATTATACACTATCAAAATACACATTGCCAATGACAATTTCTATTGGTTTACAAATTAGAAGCTATCTAAAATGGTTAAAGCGCAAGCGTAAGGCAATCCATTCTTTCAGCAGCACACACAGACTGCACAGTATAACAAATAAGTAAGCTACAGTACGTCATAACAAGCAGGAAAAAACTAACAAAATTATATACAGCAATAATTACCCACATAATAGGCTAATACAGTACAGAGTAATAAATCGTCCGAAACTGAAACATACAAACAAGACAAGCCGGAAGGCAAATTTATACCATTAATTTGTACACACAAATCTTGGTCAGACTTTGTTATTGTACTTGCAGACGTCCACTGGCCACTTACAGTAACATTTCAAAAACGGTCTTGATGTTTACCGGTTAGGTATAAAATTTTTACGAGAATTCTCTTAAGCACATACGAGACATCAAGAATTTAGCAAATGAACGTAAAATGCCTAAATCGATTATTACACATTACAAGCAGGCTGTTTATGTGCAATCTAAATGTTAACGTAAATAATGCAACCCACCGAAGCCATCAAATCAATACTAACTTCATACTGCTTGCGCGAAACAAGATGCCTGATGCTTCATTAATAAATAATTACCTCCGTTTAAAGTGGTGAAATTGTAAGCAAATCCGTTTCCAGTGGCGCGAAATCCCTCCAAATCCAATCCACTCAGTCGCACACCCAGCAAGCCCAACACGAAAACACCAAAGCCCAGCACGAACAACACCAGCGCTTTAAACTGCACCATTCTTATCCCAGAACGCTCAAATAAAACGCAAATGCATTGCACAACGCGTCCGCTCGGGAAACTGCAAGAAAGCCCATAAAAAACAGCCCATCTATATCCACTCAGCGTAGTTGATACACATCTGTCAAACACTTGACAGCTGTGTGTCTCCAGCAGGAATTCAATCCACTACCGCAAACCCCATCCACGATGCTATCGATCTCATGCAAAAGGAATCATATTTTTTCCACATCATTGACAAAAAGGTCCTCCACGGGCTAAGGATAAAGGCAATTAAGACCTGCAGGCCATTTTTCAAGAACATGGGGTTATCTCTCCGGAGTAATGGAGTTATTCCGAGCACGCATCTGCCACTTCCAGACAATCACTTGGCCAAATGCATTGTGTATGCAGTGTGCGCTGGATAGAAACCGACGACGGGCAGCGGGGACGTCTGGAGTTGAAATCAATCGATAATTAAATATGCGTTCGGGTTGGTGCAATTCAGATACAACAGCTGTATCAAGATTGCGCTCCGATATCAGATTGATTCGGACTTGTGACAAGAAACGAAATGACTGCGTACAGAGATTTCAGGTAAAACCTTATCATATCCATAGTCCAACCACTACAGCATAACCAAACGGTTTTGGGGGGAACCTAAACAAAATTAGGAGCAAGAAACAAAACATCAGGAATAAAAATAACCGATGGTGATGAATTACTAACTCAATTAAATTGCCTGCATAATTACAATTTTATATAATAATATTAATTATAAATCTCGTATTATACCGGAAGTGCATATTGGAATTAGTGCCATAATCTACGCCTCGAGGTAGGTCGCAATTGAAACCGAACTCGCTGGATGGTAGTCGGCTTGGCTTGCCGGCCCGGCGGCTGCGCAACAGCATCGCCAATGTTTTTGTTGCTCATCATTTCGCAGCTCACATGAATGATGCGCAGATCGGACATCGATAATTCCATTCTCTCGGTTTTGTTGTCTTTTTTTCAGCGCGACTAGTGTGTAGATATCGCTACGCGTTTTGTATGGGAACGAAATATGGATTTATTGTCACTAATGTTGCTAATTACTTACTCGTAATAGATACAGCGCATGTTGCCAGTTCTTGTTGTCAGCTAAAAATTTTGTTAAGCTTTTCCAGCTTTGTGACACGCGGTGGCGAACTGTGGAATTGCTAAAGTCCGCGATCCATATATTTTCTGTTCTGATAGCACCTAGCAGACAGATACACTCTGATACAGTCTTTTGTCGCTGAATATCGTTTGACAATGGCATCCTTCCAGCTTGCCGCCGATAACTGCGAGAAAATTGCGTCACCTTTGGCCGAGTGGATCCTCCCGTTGGTCGATAAGCTGCATGCCAGCAACAGCATCGAACAGACGGGTGCCGTTCTGGAAGAAGCCAACACCGCCATGGATTCTCCCGAGTTCCATATGAATGTCCTTCTGGAGCGGCAGACACAGCAGCAGCAGAAGACCATCTTGACCATCGTTAATCTCTTGCTGGAGGAAATCCCCCACATCTTCCCCACTCGCAACGCTGCTCGTCAATTTCACGACCTTATTGTTAGTCATTTACATGCCTCTGGAGTCAACAAGTGCGTCTTGCCCAACGAGCTGAGCGACGCTCCTGTTGGGCATACGCTTGATATACCGAACACCTTCAACAACATGGCGGTGTTGGCCGGCCGATGCCCGCTGGATGGTCTTCAGAATTTATCGAAAACGGAACCGATGCAGAAGATTCTGGACGGATGCGGCAACAGTGGAAATTGCGTGGTTATGCGCATGGATGCGGCTGAGGCAATGAAATCGCTCGAAGGTCTGTCGGAAAATGTTCCTGACGTCATGCTTTTCATGAAGAAAACCCGTGTTCGGATTGGGAATCGGGTTTTGGATAATGTGGAAGGGCGGCTGAAAATTCATTCCGGACTGCGTCGAACGTGACAAACACCTTGCCGATGTTGTCCGTTGTACAGTACGTACGTTTAAAGCGTGCTTTTAAGCTACTCATACAGAAACTTTGACAATTATTGTCATAGCCGTACAGCTTACAGCAGATTCGAAAATCGTTGATTGCCAAGCGCAAAAATCGAAAGCCGTTAGGGGTTCGTGTTTTTACGTCAGTTTTTTAATAAATGGTTCTATGAATCGTTTTGTCACGTTGGTATCACTTCTCAATAAGCTGGAGTTTTATTGATTGTATTCTGTTCGGGTAAATCATCAAAAATAGAAACCCCATCATTTCATTTCCTTGTAAATAATTATCTACAGACTCTGTACAGGAGCGAGTTAACAGTCATTACACTTCACACGCAACCTGAGAAACGACTAAATGCACCCTTGTTATCGTCGGAACACTGCTTTTGAATTAACGGGAATGCTTAAAGTTATTCCAGGTCAGCAGAGTGTAGGAAATCAGTTTCTTCCTCGCTGCCCAATCCTTCTTCGTCTTCATCCACTAAGGAAAAAAATCATCAGAGGTCTGTCCGAACAAGCTAATTTCGAAAATGGCCTTACTGCTCAACTCTCCTTCCTCGTCCGACAAATCTTGCTCATCCGGTAATCGTACTTCTTCCCGTTTTGGTAGAATATGAGCAGATTCGTGTTGCGGAAACGCGGACTGTTAAGGTTCACGAAGTTTTTAATTATTAGATACCGGCATACACCAGCGACACAAAAATACAATTTGTAGAAGCGATAAATTAAACGGACACTCACCGCCGCAGGTAAAATTCCCAGTGTTTGTGCACGTTTGGTAATGGAACCATCTTTTTCCGTATCCGCGCCTGTGGGTAAACGCCGCCGCAGATTATCCAGAAAATCCACAGACTCGTTCCGTAGTCTGCAAAAGTAATGAGAAGCCGCTTTATTTAAGCCGACATCAATACTTAATATCGCGCAAAAGAGAAGCATGCAGTCTGTATCAAAAGACTTTTATTTCGATAAACGTAAGATCAGTACCTTCTACTTGAATCGTTTTCCGCTAGTTCACGCAGTTTCACTGCCACATCTTTCGCACGCAAAGCAGCAATTTCAGCACATCTTGAGATCTGTATTTGACATCCACGAAAATGTTTTCAACAATGCAACAGGTGGTTCAGCATCTCAACTCACAGTCTCGACTGGAAGGGCAGCCATTCCGTGCTTGTACGTCCCGCAGATTTCTCCATTCTGATTGACAACAATGGTCAAGGCACCGTTGAGGACTATTTCTTCCTTTCCGCTAGGATCCACGATGGCGAAATGGCTACATTATGAAAATTCATGCTTGAATGAATACTCAACAGTTAGAATAACGTAAAATTAACTGACCTTGCCGGTTGGAAGCCAAACGTTGTGGAAACAGGAATATGGTTAATTTGCAACGGAATTGGGGTTTTGTCAAAAGTACTAAGCTAAGAAAATTCAAATCCTTTGACGCAGTTCAGTCGCAAAATGACATCTAATGACACTTACAGCGAGAATCTGGTTGCCTTCAACTATAATCTCGGGGCGCCTACGAAAGTGTAGTAGAATCATAGCAGGCGGACACATGCAAACAAACTAGCACGCAGGCAATAAAAAAATTAACCGAAAACTACCAGAAGTGTTTACATTCCTAATTTCCTAATTACAAATACAAGAAAGGCAAATAACAAATGTCCTACGAAGTAAACGATCATAACAAAGAAATTCATGAGACAAACAAATCGTGATATATTTACTCAAAAGAAAATCACAAAAATTCCGAAAAAGACAGCGCGATTAGCTTACTGTGTATTCAGCAGACACGCTACCGCCGCCATGCAAGTGGCATCGAAAAGATTCCCATCCGCGTGGATTACGTCTATGGAAATGTGCACTTGGAACACCTTCATAACAAAAATTCTCACTGTACTGCTGTAAATCGGGATCACCAATTACCAATCCAGCGAAAACGATCATTTTCCACTAACCGCTTTCCCCCTTGAAATGCACAGGGATTCGTCATCCACGCATTTCGACCAGAAAATACTGGATTTGATATGTTGCCGCAGCTGCTTTCGTATTGTTCGCAACCTTCGACGAAAACGTAAACCAATGTATTTTAAGAGGCAAAAGTTGCTTGCTGAAATGATTAGCCGCATGAAACATAAAATAGTAAGCTAATAACTGTCAAAAATTTTTTTTTAAGATGGCAAATTTTTTCAGAACTTTCTAAACGCACAAAAATACGGTAAAAAGCAAAAATCAGAAATTACAGCGCTTGTTGATTCCGCTTGCACAAGTGATTTTCGTGCGGACTGACAACAAATTTATCTTTTTAAGAAAAAGTAAATTGCGATACAAGCCATTGCTGCTGAAAGCAAAAATGCAGCTAATTTATGGTTTTATACCTCTGTCGGCTGGGCTGGAATTTGGAAAAGCTCATGGCGGATAAGCTGAGATCCACACGAGATAGACCACGCACTTGAGTAGTTTTCCAGGTTCTCTTAGGTAACACTTTCACCGTGCACATCACACTATCGAAACAAAACAATGTGTTTAAATAACAACACCAAATTCAACAATAAGCAAAACGACCACAAACTACAAAGCATGCAAACGATACGAATGTAACTGCGTTATCAAAAAACTTACGTAGTATTTCCCAGATAAACCACGCAAGTTCCCGGGTCTTTCGTGTAGAACACCTGCCAATCCCGATAATCAAACGCCGCGCGCTTGTCCTCTCGCTGCAATATTCCGCGAGTGTTTTGCCAGCAGCAAATGAGGAATTCGAGAGCACAAGAAAGGGGTTTGTACCTGGCCATATTTGAGAAAACGCAGGTACGTATCTTTTTCCGCGATGCTCACGTACGAACCATCCATCGTCTTTCAAGAATCAAGAGTCAGATGCTGTTGGCGCACGGGGTGAGTCCAAACAAAACGAATACACAGAGTCACAGGCGAACAGATTTCAAGGAGTCGTGCACCTTCCACTCTAAATAGTGCAAAATTAAAAAATTACTGGAAGTGCTTGTAAACAGATCAAAAAATCGATGATATGCAAAAGAACATAGTCAGAAACTCAGACAAGTTACAAAATATCACAACATGATCATTGTACATCCAGTTATGAGTTATGCGACTGATCGACTTCGAATTTATTGAAGTTTGCCGGCGCTGCTCCGCTTTAGCTAGCTCTACTAACTGCGTAGTCCATTCCATAGACTCCATACATTGTTGCCCCGTACGAGGTAAGCCGGTTTGTTCATTTTGATGGCGAACAAAATCGACTTTACTAGCTATAGATTAAAAATCTGATCAGATTTCTTATGTAGCACAACGTACTCCTGATAAACAATAAAGTGTTATATCACTTATATGCTCGTAAGTTTCACTTGAAACTTGCAGAAGCGAAACTTCTATAGTTGTACAGATACGAGTAAAAGTGTTGCACTTGGGCCGGCTAAAATGTAAATGTTATGAACTTATGCAAATGTATTTAAAATGTACTTGCCCCAGCCTTCTGTCTCAGGTCCGGGGTCCCTATAGGCGACCAAGATACACTTTTAATTGTTTTACGTATTTTTTAATCTAATAAATCTAGGCGAAAATTATTGGGAATTTGGGATGCAATCTTGCAAATGTTGGACGTTATTTTTTCTTGGCGTCGTTACATTTGATGTTGGCGGAAGCAGAAATATGCATCATCGCTCTGGTTGACGTCATCGACGTTGTGCAAACTGCAAACCGATTCACGACACGTGTTTTTCCTTGTTGCAATCGATAACGAGAAGGAGAGTTTCAGTCAGCATTTCAACGGTCGTAAAGTCTACTATGTACGTTCAATACGTTGTATTATGTATACTTTGCTTTTCCTGGCGATACTTCATTCGATTTTGGGAATTACGTAACCGCTATCGTCATTATTGCGAAGAATTTGTGCAGTAGTTTTCGTGTGTGATTCCCTGGAAATTAGTAGCTTCCACAGCGAGTTGTACTTGTTACTTGTACCTTCTGGCGCGGACGACTATCTCGTGGTTTTCCGGACCAGCACACATTACCACCTCAACCGTCTCAACGAAGTTTTCCTAATTAGCTCGATCACCCTGGACATCACTCCGAAGAGCCATCAGCGTTTTCAGTTTTGGCAGAGCACATGCTAAATTTGTCGGTCACGGTTAATTTACATTGGACAGACGCGTGACTGAGCGATCTGCTTACTTCGCTTCCAGCGCTGTTTCTTTAAATGTATGCGAAGCATCGTCAGCTTGCAGCGTTTTTCTCATGACCGCAAAACCCGTGTAGCCTGTTATCTTGCAGAATAAGGTCAGTTTTGCAAAAGTAAAATTTCCTGAAATCAGCCAGCCATCAATTGGGATGTGAACGATATACTATTCGTCGTCCAACGTCATGTTATTGTTATACAGTGAGATATGGGAATCTTATTTCAAGTCCTTATCTTTTCTCTTTTGATTTTCATTGGAATTTTCCACAGGTATGTTATGTGTTTCAAGTGCTTTATTGTAAATGTTACATTTTATTGTAAGTTTAACTTATTTTAAATATGGTTTATTTTATTGTAATAATTTTTAGTCATTTTAATGTTATTTATAATTTATTTATTGTATTTTCTTGTAAACATTTTTGCAGGGGTCTTCTGACTTCGTACGGAACTGTGATTTCTGAGCCCGTGGATCCATCGGGTGCGCCTGTGATCTCCGAAAGCAAAATGATCCCACACCACCAGAAACACCTTTACAGAAAACGGAATCTGATGAGGTCTCCGTGTCAGAAACATCCACAATTGCTCCTCCAGAAGCAGTTATCGCTGCACCCACCGTGTCACAAACGGTTTATTCCCTCCCGATACCCAACGTGTTTTTCCATCCGCCCCTTCTCGACACTTTTTGGAACGTCTTCCTGCACTCCGGCAGACGTGGTGTTGGTAAAAACACCCCGACCCACGCGGTCGACGTCCCTCCGCCGATTCCGGCCGTGGATGCACCGAGCAGCACCATTTCCAAAGCGGAGGAGGATATGCCGCCGTTCGAGGAGTGGCGACAGCAGAAGCTAGTGGAAAAGGAGAAAAGCGGAGCGGGGAATAATGGCACGGGCAAGCGGCGACCGCGGACGATGAAGAACACCAACTACGCTTCCATTGCTTGCGGAGCGAAAGTCATCGCGCACAATGCGGAAGCGGAGAATCCGGGTGCGATATTGTCCTCCAGCCGCGATGAATATATGCTGAATCCGTGTAAAGCGCGAAAATACTTTGTGGTGGAATTGTGTGAGTCCATACATGTTCATGGATTTGATATCGGCAATATGGAATTGTTTTCTAATATTCCTCGACAGATTCAGGCAAGTCAGTTTTCCTTTTTCCCTTTTTAATTGTAGCAGAATAAATCTAACTTGTAGGCGGCGCTAATATAATATGGGTAAAAGATGTTATTCTTCCAGAAAATTCTTCCTGTATGTATATTATAGTAATGACATGTGACTGAGGTAAACATATTTCAGAAGAAACTGAATGAAAAATTTGTTTGTGACATTGACATTTCTGGGAAGAGTGTTGCCTTATTACATAATCTGTCACCAGGCGATGTTTTCATTGTGGTCTTAAAAACCTGTTTTGCCCAGTGTTATCGAATTATCATTTACCTTCTCTGTGAACGTTTGCCGGAAACTCGGTTATAAATTTCCCACAACTTGCATTTACGATTTTCATGCATACGGTATTTATTATCAAATTTTATCATTTTATGTTAGTATTTGGATTCATTTTATATAAGTATTTGGATTTGAAGATTGGCAGTTATTACAACAATGATTGGCAGTAATTTTATTGTACAACAATAATATGTAGATCCTGCCCTGAATATTAAGACGAATAACTTTCTTGTGGAATGATGCCGGTTTGTTGGCTGTACAAGGTTAACATGGCAAGGCTTGATAAAAAAGATTGAAGGCATCTGAGTTTTTTTAACTTCTGGAAACGTCGTTTCCTTATTAAATTAATGAACTAATGCAGTGGTTGTTAAATATGTTGAATGCACAGAATTTTGATTTGTCACACGGGTGGTGTTTGTGATTGTATTCCGACTATTCTGTACAGTATTTACTAATAAGTTATGATTTGTGATGGAGTATTTCTTTTTGTTTTGCATTGTCCAATCACACAAAACAAACGTTTAGGTCTCTGCATCTGTCCGATTTCCAACCCGTGATTGGATTGATCTCGGGCGGTACGACATGAAGGAATCTCGCACAATACAGAACTTCAGTGTCGCCGTCAAAAGTGGTTTTGTTAAGTATGTCAGAGTGGAAATGTTGGAGCATTATGGCAAAGAGCACTACTGCCCGATCAGTCTGTTCCGTCTCTTTGGGACCAGCATGGTTGAAGAATACGAAAACTCGGTGGATGATGACGACGACGACGGTTCCGGGCATGAAACCGGTGTGGATGAGGATGCGTATATGGAACAAGATAAGTGGGGACAAGACACACTAAGTACCGGTGGATTCGGCAACGGCATCACGGATCTGGTGGTTAACTTCGTAAAGAAAGTGTCATCTAGTGGGTATAGTTTACTTAAAGGAAATGCCAAGAATTCCACACCGGCACCCTGCCGTAATGCGACGGCGATCATATCGGTAAATTTTGTGTTGTCGTAGTTTCGGTATGAGTTCGGGTTGATTTAATGATTTGGACTTGATTCTGCATCACGAAAAAGAAAATTTTTACGATGTTTACGCAGCCTGTGCAAGCAGTTAATTTTTTACGTTTTATTATAATATTTTGCTTGCATTCATAGTTTTACTGAAAGTAACTAGTAATTTATCTGTACAATTGAGCTCTTGTTTTAGGCTTTGCATTCAAATGATACCGAACATGGGGATACATCACCGCATGATTCTCGAATTGCACCGAATTCTCCGCTTTTGCGTTTGTGTTTCTCGACATCGAAAGGATGGGATGCCACCACTCCAACCTGCCAGTACATTTGGTGCCTCCTGCAAGCTTCTAACTCCACTTTGTCGTTCTGTCCATTATCGCCGGATAACAGTAATCCCGTCTTCCAATTCTCGACGCCTGAAGTTTTCGAGTGCGAGGAAACAATGCCGAAATTACCAAATGAGATTGGTGTTGCTGTGCCATCACCTGCTGCGCACAATCACCACGAAACGACACCGGAAGCTCCTGCAGCGACTGTACCTGTTTCCACTGTGCCTATCACTACAGGGGAAAGCCAGATTGCACCTGCTAAAGAGATTATTAGTGAAAATGCCTCCGGAACGGCAGCGGAGACTGTCCCAGAGATTACAAAAGCAAACGCAGAGGATTTGAAGAATGTTAGCGACGAAAAAGTGGAGAAAAGAAATGTCAATGCGACGGTGATTAACATGGCAGTTCCGGTTCAACCTCCGGTAAACGCGACGCCGGGACAGAAGGAATCGGTGTTCGTTCGCTTGGGTAATCGTTTGAAGACGCTGGAACTGAATATGAGTCTGAGTGGACAGTATTTGCATGAGCTGAGTCGGAGATTTAAGAAACAGGTACGAGTACTGTCTGCATATTTTCTTACTTGTCTGACTGAACAGTTTTCGATATTTTGCTGACAGGGCGAGGAGAGTGCCAGGAATTTTACTGTGGTGTTTACAAAAGTAACCGAAATCACTAAATCCACCGCCGACAGCCAAAACGAATTGAATCGCCGTGTGCAGCAACTGGAAGCACGGAACAAGTATTTGGAGCAAGCCTTGCAGGACACGGAGAGCACGTTGTGGATGTTGCGACTGGTGTTGCCGGCGGTGATTTTGTGCGTCATTTTGGTCAGTGTGATATGCTTCATCGTTGGATTCTACTTGTTACGTCGGTATGTCCTGCGTGCGGTGATCGATGATATTAGCAAGCGCTTGATAGTCCATCAGAATGGTTATGCCAATGGAGCGGTGGCCAGTTCCTCGCGTAGGCCGAACGGACTAGTCAAACACCGACAAAAGGTCGTTGTGCGACCGGAAATGAATGCAGACGATGCAGTTGTTCCTGGTTAGATGTCAAATGTTTTTTGCACATGTTTCTTTTTATTTTGTTAGTGGATCTGGAAGTTTTGCTCAGTTGGAAACAGGTTGAGGTTGTTTTGCTAGTCTGTATTTATGCTCCAGTGTTACTAAACGATTTCCTGTTTTTGCAAGTTTGAAAGTCACGGTGTATAGCGTTTACCCGTTTTTGCCATTTTATGGCATCATGTAGCATTTGTACGGAAAAAAAACAGAATGTGATGTTGTGTTACCAACTACCAATGTTCATTAGAAGATAAGTACGACTACAGTACATTCATTCTTTGACGCCAGATGCACACATCAGACATATGCTGGTATCGTCAAAAGAATTCCCAATATTCGTAATGACATGGACCAGCGCTACGTACAGGCTTAGCAGAGCCTACGGCCCTACAGAAAAAACTCGCTCAGTCAACAGATCAGTTATTTCACTTTCGGTCAACCTGAATAAATTTCGAACATTTCGTACTATTCTTGCAGAATCTCGCTTAATCATGGTCAACAGTTTCCTGAGCGAAAATAAATACAATTCAACAAGCAAATGGTGATTGGGGGATAATCTTGACCGGAACACACAAGAATATTTACAGTGTGGTTACCAAAGGCGCCAATAAGCAACATTTGTGCACAATGCACATACATTATTAACAACTTAAACCAACTCTCTAACAAACAAAATCTACAGCTGCATTGTGATTGAAGCAAAAAAATAAAGGAGATTCTCATCAGGACGAATAATTATTTACGAGATTGCACAATGTATGATGAAAACCAACAGCAATGCATTGCGTTACACCGGGCCACTTCCGGGCGCGATAAATACAGCCAGCATCCGCAACAAAACAGGCAGTGTTCACCGTTAACCACCATTCCATCTCTACTGCTTCATCGCGCGCTTCTTCATCGGTACTGCTTCGTCGTGCAGATTGTGGTGATGTTCGGGTGTCTTACCCAGTATGGCATCGATCTCCACAGCCCAAGGATGGTTCTTTGTGCGTCCGTACTGGATATCCAACAACTCATCATGGATGCGCTGCGTGACGCTGTTACGGCTTCCGGGCTGCGGTAAGTCCACATTTTTACCTTCATACAGTATTCGCGACACGGGGCACACAACGCAAGCAGTGCCGGCACCGAAAATTTCAAGTAACTGCAAAAACAAGCAACAATGTGGTCAATCACGAATGAATCCAGCGACAGAAGGCAATGTTACCCGGTTCTCGTGTTTAGCTTTCAGAATATCTTTCATCGATATCGATCGCTCGACCGCTTTCAAATCACTCTGCAGAGAAGAAAGCGGTACTTATATGAAAATGTTGTTACGACTTCACTGAAAAACTGTGACGCATTCTAAAAATAACAAAAGGCGAAAAATATAAAAATTCGTGAAAACAATCAAAATTTTGTAAGCGAAGTTTGGCATTCGATAAGGGTTCAGATCACTTATGACGCTTTACCCAAGTTTGAGTCAGATCGAGAATGCTTTGGCGGGTTACACCCGGCAAGATCAGTCCGTCCAGCGGAGGTGTGAGCAATTCTTTTTCTGCGAAAAACATTCAGCGTAACAGCCCAAAAAGTCATAAACTACGCGAAGCAAAATTCATTTACCGCCTTTTTCGTTAATCCAGTACACGAAAATGTTCATCGTGCCCACTTCGGTGAGGTAGTGTTTGTCTCCGAACAACCACAGGACTTGTTGACAACCCTGTTTGGCGGCTTCCTTCGCCACGTGAATAGTAGGAGCATAATTGCTGTTAAAGAATTAATACAACATTGCACTGAAAGCCATTCTTTGTGATGATCGTTTCCTGATAAAATTTTTAACTTTGCCACACCTGCCCATCTTGTAAGCACCAGCACCACCCGGCCATGATCTGACAAACTTCGGATCCGCCAACAGCGATATCGGTTTGAAGCCCGACGGGAAGTACGGTCCCACTGGACCGACGATAACGTACAGCAGCGCTTCGCTGGATTTAGCCACACCGAGTGTTGGCTCGGTGCCGATTAGCGTCGGTCGGATGTAGAGCGAACTATTCGTATTCTGCGGCACCCATTCACGGTCGACGTCGATGAGTTTGGCAATGCAGCGGGTCAATTCTTTTCCATCAAATTCCTACATGATTACGGCATTTTTCAGTAATTCAAATGAGAAATGAATTCAAAGCCCCTATAATTGAACAGCTGAAAGGGGAAAGTCTGTCTGTATAAGCACAACAGAACATTCAAATTCTCACCTTAAAATTAAAACGAGTACAAATTTAATTCTGAACTACAAACATAAGACTGAAAAAAACTACAAGAACCAGCTCTGTGCCAGTTCAAGTATTGTACCAAATAATTGTGCGGATTACCGGAAGTGCCAATCTTTTGGAAGTGTTCAGCATGCGCGCCATATTCAAATCGGGACGAAACAGACGGATTTTGTGATCCACACCAGTGTAAGCTTTCATGCCTTCGAACAGCTGAAAATTACATAAAAAAATAAGTTTTGATTTTGTGGTAAAACGGTGGAAATCGTCACAGCTGTCGTAATAATAATTTTGTTGCTCGTCTAATCCTAAGGAAAAACATTTATTCATACCGGCGCATGACGCGAATAATACAACAACATAAAAATATAAATCGTACATGACACATTAGCATTACGGTGTATATGCACTAGCAAAAATAATGGCCAATCGATTTCATCATTTTCATGTTCGAAGTCTCATGACACCTGTCATGAGATCGTGACCGCATCATTTATGAGTGTCTGCAGAAGCAAATGTACTTACAAAACTTAGTGCCCATAAATGAGATGATTTTCTTGAAATTGTGCTGTCAACAACGCCATATGCAATTTATCGCAAGCAGCACATCAGCTAACCTAACCACGACAGGGAGAAATAGTCGAAATCGAAAAACCATCCATCTGTACAGTACATTTTTAAAAAAGGTAAATTATTCCCGCAAGCCGCTCACAGTGACGTTCAGTACCGCTGTCACTGCCACGATGGAATTTAGAAATCTACTGCTTTAAGTGAATCTTTGGATTAGTCTTACTGCACACACTTATTTACTAATCATGCGATCCCTCCACTGATATTCGTTGTATCATAAACGTAATACTTAAAGACAGATTATGATTTCGTATGCGGGTACGGAATTCCAAAATGCAACAAATTAACCGAATTTATTACACCTATAAGATAAAATTAATTTGTTAGATGGATTGCAACACGTACTCTAACATCGATAATAAAAGATTATTGTTGTCTGATTAAGAGTAAAGAATTCATTTGCAAAAAAAAGACATGCGTTACACAATTAACAAACTCAACACTTGAGTGCCAAAAATTTACAATTTAAATTACAGTTATTTATATCAGCCTGAAATCTGCATTCGTGCAGAGTACGGTTAGAAAAACAAATTCGAAAATAGTAAGTTCATGAATTATTTAGTTAATTCATCCCTCGATGACGGCTGGTTTTTGAATGTGTACTTGTACAATCCATTGTCAATGCAAATAAGTATCAAGATAAGATTACAATTCTCAGTGTATTTAAATTTTACGCTAGACAGACGAGCCGATTAAATAAGCAAGATAGCATCGCTAACGACTTCAACCCTGGAGATGTTAACTTGCAATTAGTCAGGTCTTGCGTAACCGGAATTCCCTTCTGGCCTTAGGCTATTTTCCAATAAAAATTTACATCGACTTGCTTAAAAAAATAATCGCAATACTGAAACATCCCGAAATTTATTGTGCAATATTTGTGCCCCTAACATCTGCCGGGAATAACAAAATTCGAGTAAATGCTAATCTCACCTCCGATGCATAATGCAACACTTTAGCTGCCGGATGCAACTGGAAATTGTGGAAGGGAACGATGCGCGGAGTGCCCCATCCTTTGGCTTCCGACCAAGCCACTTCGAACATGTGATCTGAGAAGTGGTTTCCAAATTTCAAAGTGCTAATGTCTGGTTTCTGCTGCAGTTTGTCCTCTAGCTGTACACGGATGTCGGCAAACTAAAAGCAAAAATTATTCCTGTGTATCAGTCGTCCAACAAGGCGCATATCGCCAATACCATGTAAAAACCCACGACACAGTATATTGAATGAAACCGGGAGGAAAATAAAGCCGCTGTAATAAAACTTACCTTAAATGAGCGCGAACTGTCTCCAGACAAGTGGGAAGCCGTTCGAATTTCCACCAAGGTTAGCTACAATTTATGTATCGTTGGTCAATACAGATTACGTAAAGCTAGAAAAAGGTTTATAAAGCCACGTCCTACCGGACAGAATCTCTCCAGAAGAAGACCCGTCTTCTTAAAAGCCTGCATGGTTCTCGAAGCTATAGCCATTTACGGTTTACGACCAAAAAACAAAAGTGCAGAGCACTAAAATTGTGCTGTGGACAGATTTGTGAGAAGAGATGAATCAATTTTCTTGGGACAAAGTGAACTACATGTAGGTATCCGTATAACTCAGTTAAAATTAAACACTCAAACACAAAAAACGTTTTATTCCAAGGCTCACGTGGCACAGAAGTATGCAAAACTCTAGTAGTTGGCAATGGTATATCGACGAGCTAGAAAAATTCAACTGATCTTTTTAGACTGAAGTCAGCTGTCTGTCGCCGCTCTCTTGCGACAGCCGCTACTGTGAGTCAGCCGCCGCTCGTATTAAGCTTTCGGAATTGTACTTACATGCCTACGGGCCACACCTACGGTTCATTTGTTCCAATTGGCGGAAATCCAATGCGTACTTGTACAATACTGCGTGATGTTGCAGTTAAAGTAATAATACTTTCTGCAGTAATGTTAGTGCTTACGATAGCACTGCTTGTACTGTAAAATTAAATTTTACAATAGTTAATTTAACTTACCATTAATTCGTTAGTAAAAAAGTACAGGTCATGCAGTCAGCAGTATTAACATTTTTTTCGTTATTAGCACGACTGCACGAGGCAGCAAGATTATTGTGATAAAATGGAGAATGATTTAGTAAGTCACCATTAATTTTAACAGCACGATGGTTGCAACCGTTTTCGAAACTTGAACGAACGTTAAAAGTAGTCAAACACTGAAAGTTTGAATAAAATTCTATAAATATTGTACTGTGCTTTATATTAATTTTTATAAAGTGCAATACTACAGGACAGTAATTCAGCGACCATCGAAGGTGAGTCAAGACTGTCAAGTGATATTGTACGAAATAATGTTGGCCCTCTAACCTATCGCTTCGCATGCTGAAATCCCGCCACAACTACTTCCCTCTGCGCCGGAAACCGTGCTCGAAAAAGCTCTGCCGACTGGGATACAGTTATTCAGCTCGTACGACGTACAGAATATAATTATGTTTCCGGTGTATGTGTGCGATTCGGCAACTGGGCATGTGATCTCTCGTGATTTTCTTCTGATTCTATTCATGTTCTTTAAATAGGTGACGCAGATGGATGGCAATTTTTAACTTGATCGTTCCTCCAGTGCTCTACGGATACTCTGCCACAAAAACGGCAGAAATGCCACAGAATATCATATAAAACCACAAACACATTAATTATTACATTTTTAAATAGATTTATAATAGAAACACACTGTGTATAAAGTTCGGCATCATGCCACGATGACTAAGGACAGTAATTATAAGACATGACAAGAACTTAGTACTTTAATTAGACATAGCAAGCTACTCACACACTCTACATAAAACACACTCATACAATTAATTTCAATTAAATTACAATTAACTTAGTGTCAGATTTTTTACACACACTCACAATTAACTTTAGGTAAGTAGAGTAAGTGTGCTTACTACGCACTAGTTGTGGTCAAATTCATATGGTCAAAGGTCAAGAAAGGGTTCCTTTTTGAATGTTCCTTTCTAAAGAGAGTACTTCTTCACAATACGGGGTGCGAGTATATACCGTTGGCATATAAAATGGGCAACTGGAGCAAAATATGGCACGGAACTGCAGCGTGTAGACTAGTGTACAGTCTGTAGATGACCCTAAAAATTAATAGTGTACTCATACTGCCGCCCATTTGTTATTTATGGCTGTGAGAACTACGAAAGCGGAATTTGGACTCTAGAATCGAGACAATAAAGCAGACGAACTGATTACAAGTGACCCTTTGCCAATCTGATTTATTTTACACTGCATTTATAAGGAGATGGCCGGCAGATCAGCAAAAAAGTAGCTCAGGGAATACCACAGAACAAAATTCAAAAATTGAAAAAAAATTAAATCTTGAGTATCCTTCTATAACAGGCGGCATACTACTAGTACCTAAAACAGTTTATATCATTTATTGAACTTACGAATTGAAATGCGCTCACAAGTCAGTTTATTTTGTGTATCTGTGTCTATCCACTTGATTTTCCTACACGGTCTGGACAGCGTCGTAAACGTTTAGGAAATATTATACTTATTGGTTTTGCTGTTTGCAGTAAACAGTTAGGTATTCAGGAGCGGCAACCCGAATCTTGATATCAAACTTGCAACAATACCGAAGAATCATGTTAATGCTTTTATAACTTGACAAAACAGCAAGCAAAAATAAAGTTATTATTACACAAAAGTCACCACACGATTTAACATCATACAGCTGATTTAACATCAGCCTAATAATAATTTCAAAGCTAAACTTTCATCTTCGGCAATGCTTAACTGTTCACGCTTTCTCCGCTTCAAGGTGCTTTCATCAGGAGTTGTTTCCGAAAGCCGCTTCTTTTTAGACTTCCTAGGTTCTTCTTGAACAGCTTCATCTTGGTATTCCTCAAAGGCCACCGGCTCATCCTCTGGATCGCCTTCATATTCTGCCAACGTCACGCCTTCATCAGCGTCTTCGGCCTGTAGACGCTCATCTTTGCCTAACGGCTGACCGGGTTTTCTCCGCAGTGCCTTTCTTTTTTTCCTGTCTTCTTTGTGCTTTTCTTTAATCCTTTGTCGATATGCCACACGGTCCTGCACATCGGCGTTTATCAAAGCTTTCTTTGCTTCCTCCACATCCAAACCTTTTTCAGGCACTTTGTGTTTTCCATCTCCAGATTCTAATGCGGATCCTTCAACTTCCGCAACGTTCCCTTCGTCATCAAACTTTATACGTGTATTAACAACGATCCCTTTCTTCATTAGACGATTGGCTAGCATAGCTTTCGAAACTAAACGATTTTTGTTTTTGCTATTGCTCCGCTCTTCCCGGCTAGGTGCAATCTCAAGAGTTTCTTCTTTTTCGAAATCGTGCTCTTTTCTTTGGGATTTCTTGGGAATCAGTACTTCGTCGTCCGATTCATCATCAAGCTCTCCATTAAAAGCATTGGATTTACTACTGCTTTGGAGTTTTTCAATTGTAGCCTCTTCCGATTTCTTATCCTTACGACGTTCTTGTTCCTTCTTAAATCTCTCAAAAAAGCGGATGCGTGGTTTATGATGCAATCCTAATGATCGGGCATAGGCATCCAGATCGATATTCATGCCTTTTTCTCCATGTGTCATCCAAATCGATTTTAAATAAGCTTTGAAACATCGCTGTGCCGATTCGTTCAGGCCAGGAAATCGTGCCAACATAGCCTCAAGATTCAGAGGCTTCAAGTGCCGGTGATTGGTTTCCATTTTCTCAATGGGGATTTTTTTATCTATTAACTGGGGAATAAATCTTTCTTCCTCGGAAGGAGTAACCTAAAACAACAAAAAACTTGTAACAACAGCAGTAAAAGCTGAAAAAGGTCAAAATGAAACAAAACCCTTGCACGCAACTGTCGAAAAAGTCACAAGCTCGAAATCGCTAAACCAACTTAAATTTTAACAGCAACTAGTTTCAAAAGGCATCTCTGGATCTGATAAAAAAGGAAACAAAAATTATTGCAAATTATTAACGAATGACGATTTGACGTTAAATAGAAGCCTACAGTATAAAAATTACTGGCATTCAAAAACAAATACTTTTATCGTTAATCTGTATCTGTTGGCTGCGGAAACGCAAAAGCCACCAAAGCAAATATTTATAACACGTCTTGTCCTCACAATTAAAACTGCAACTCCATTCAAGTTAAACCGCGCCGTTCTGCCCGCACGATGAATATACTGAACCACATTATCCGGACAATCTAACTGAACAACGTAATCCACATTGGGAAAATCCAATCCTCGCGACGCGACATCTGTCGCTAAGAGAACCGCTTTTTCCTTCCTATGAAATCTATCGTAGATCTCCATTCGGCGCAGCTGATGCATATTGCCATGTAGAGCATACAAACTCACTCCGGGCTTGAGATGCCGCAGGGCTTCGTCAATGAATTTCACCTGTTTGCATGACGCTAGAAACACCAGCGTCTTCTTTTCTTTGTGAAATTTCAGGAATGACCATAGAAAATTGAGCTTGTCTTCGACATTAATGACGATATACGTCTGGGTTAAGGATGCCGGCGTCGCGTAACGGGAATCTTCGTCAGCGGATACAAACTCCGGGTTGGTTAAACTCAAGCGGGCTAAGTCTTTGACAGAACGGGTTTGGGTAGCGGAAAACAGCAGGGTCTGGCGAGAGGGAAGGTGCTGAAGGATTCCGTTGACTTCTTCAGCGAAACCCATATCAAGAATTCGATCCGCTTCATCCAGTACAAGGATCTGCAGGTTGGAGCACTCAATGTTGGGATTTTTGTCCAAATGGTGGCAAATCTGTAAAATAAACAAGAACTCACTTTTATTTTCAAGCAGTCATAACTCTTAAAAAATTCTTCATTTACAGATATAACCCAAGCAGTTAACTGCTTTCGACAAAACATTCTTAGTTTTCGCGTTAAGAACAACTGCGCAATTGCATTTGCATTACTGAAACAGTCAAATCAACAAATTTTCTGTTTTGCTAGTAATGAATAAGTACTACCCTAGTACTTAAATTATGTTATAGGCAGATTAAATTATAGACAGATCAAATTAATTTAGGGTATGCACTTAAAACTTTAAAGTGTCTACTTTTTAGCGTACACAAATTAGCCGTTAATATACTCGTACTAACTGAAACGGCGAAAACGCATCTATTTACGGTGGCTTTACCCGCCCTGGAGTTCCGATGATAATGTTCACTTTGCCCATCCGGGGCGTCTCAAATTTCAGATCCTTTCCTCCAATAATTAATCCTGCAGAAAAATTATGGTGCTTGCCGATTTTCCGGAGAACTTCATAGATTTGGTAGGCCAGTTCGCGTGTTGGTGTAATAATCAAAGCTCCCAAACCGAAATCCCGAGACCACTTTACCGCATCTAACTTTTCGAGAACAGGAATAAGGAATGCTAAGGTTTTCCCCGATCCAGTGCGCGCAGCACCCAGGATATCTTTCCCTTCAAGCGCAAAGGGAATGGATTTGGACTGTATGGTTGTTGACTCCTTGTAGTCATTTTCCTCCAGACCATCCAGAGTTGCTTTGGAGAGGCCAAACTCGGGGTCCGTAAAAAGTTTCGGTGTCCCCATTTTGCTACGCGCACGAGAAAACCTACAACCTAATGAACAAGGTCTCACATCTAAATTTAAAAATTGGATCAGTCGTAAACGAACGAATCTTGGAAACCTCTTACCGCTTACGTTAAGCTTCTACAATATACTAGCGGTTTAGTGGAACAGCTTCCTAAGTTTTAGAAGTAAAAATGACTCAAAATCTGAAAATCTTCAAAAATTTCTGTCTGCTGGTACCAGACGAAATACCATTCATAGGCGCAAGGGCTAACAGCCCTGGTACGGCGGCGTCTTAGAGCAAGTCTTGTTGGTGCGATATGGGCAACGCAATCATTTGCCTTCACACGGCCGGATTTATCACATCTGTGTCTTGCCGTGTGGTTATAAATTTTGTTTATCCCGTTTCTAATACAGTGGACGACTTTCCTTCCATTTTGCGTTCCACGCAACCTTGTGAAACCCGTGTGACAGATTGAGGTATCTTGACGTTAGTTTGCCAGTCGTTTTATGTTAAGTTAAAGTGTGTTACTAAAGCTCGAAGCTGGGCGCATCGTAAATGAAAGTGTTGAAAAAGCCTACCGTGTTGTGTCATCTGTGATAAGGAGAACCTCCTTGTGAAACGGAAAGTGGTTACATATTTCATATTTGGATCCCATAATATAGCAAGGACAATGCTGGCATCAAACGTCAAGAACATTTACCTTCTTCAAAAATTCTTTCCGGTATGTAAGTCGCACATGACTGCACGGCGCACATCGCTTCTTGCGCTGAGACTTCGGATTATCAAGCAGCCAAATTTTGCAAAACCTGCGAAATCGTTGTTTTCTCAGCTTTCCTGTGTTCTCTACCTTATTTCTTCGTTTTGTTGAATCGGGACTCTTTTTGATAACCTTCTGTTCTTTTAGCGGACTTCAGTCCAAATTCAGACTGCTTCGAGCGCATCTGCTCAGAAGCAGTTTCCCCATCCCTCACAGTCAGCCGTAGTGTACAAAACGCCAGCTGAACAGGCTGCCAAAGCAGCGCAGGATATACAAGAATGTGCGCCTGGCACTACTCCTGGACCCGATGTGGTTCCCATTAAAAAACGACCCTACTCTCCATTTAAACCAACCAGCAATGCGGAGTATGCTCTTGCCAGAGTGGACGACCTTCTCAATTTTGCGCGCAAGGTGAGTGGGAAGCTATCATAATGTCTAATGAATAAGAATAATATAATGCAAGTAGAGTCTTAGTAGACTGTAGAATGCTGGATTTTGGGTCATAGGTATTTGCGTGATACACCTTTCTCATTCTCGTTAGTTATTTGTTATTATTCAGTTATTCTACTACTTAATATTGTATATGCATTTATGTATTAAATCAGCTTTTGGCACTTTTTTTTAACCGTCTGAGCGTATTAGAATGTGCTGAAAAGCTAAAGATCATCAAGTTGTTTAATAAGATCAATCATTACTACGAGTACCGAAATTTTCCCTCTCGTCTTCTGATGTGTAGCATGTGTATAAATTCAGTATGCAGATATTCTACAAATCATTCGATTTAAGTATCTGTATGATATCCGAGTTTGTTCCACCGCTGTCTTTTTGGTTTATGCAGAATGCAGATTATGTCGGTATGCGCAATGTGTGTGATAATTGTTTTAATGTAGTTGTAATTTAAATTTCGTTTTTTATCTCCAGCTATAAAAATGTGTGTATGTTTTATGACTGCAGAAGACTGAATTTACAGAACTGGCTTTTCCTTTTGTAAACTGTAAGCAATAGGCCTGGTCTCCTCGATTCAGGCTGCTGAGAAACGCTGCCTAATATCTTCCGAAAAAGAGCGTCGTGTGTCAGTGACTACTGACTCGGCGTTCGGTTTTGGGAAATCCAAAATAAAAATACTGCTTGCTGATGATTTCTTATGCTCTGCAGGGCTCTTTGTGGCCGATGACGTTCGGCTTAGCATGCTGCGCTGTGGAAATGATGCACATGGCTGCTCCTCGTTACGACATGGATCGTTTCGGTGTGGTCTTCCGAGCCAGTCCCCGTCAGGCGGACTGCATCATCGTGGCCGGCACCCTCACCAACAAGATGGCCCCCGCCTTCCGTAAAGTCTACGACCAGATGCTGGAGCCAAAATGGGTGATTTCGATGGGATCCTGTGCCAACGGAGGTGGATATTATCATTATTCGTATTCGGTGGTGCGAGGATGCGATCGCATCGTTCCCGTTGATATTTATGTCCCAGGTCAGTTATGTCAATGTGACTTCCTACAGCGGCAGTGCATCGAATTTTTGGTGTTGGTGTTATAGGATGTCCTCCTTCCGCAGAAGCTCTACTTTACGGTGTCTTGCAACTACAAAAAAAGATTAAACGCATTGCAAAGGCTCAGATATGGTACCGCGAATAGATTTAGGCTCATTTCGTCGGATGGTAGACACCGACTAGCTTTTGACTGGTGATTCAGCTTTGACATCTGTACAAGTTGTTTACATGTCTGTTGCATCTGCTTGATCACAGTTTACCTGCAGATGTGTATGCTGTCGGAAATTCGGAATGGTTTATTTGTCACTTTTCATGTGTGTTGAGTGTTCGTGTCCAGATTCCAGAACATATGTTGACTTTCTGTACCATATTCTCTGAAATAACCCATTATTATAAAGAAGACTTTGTGATCAAAAATTTTAAATATGAACTAATGTCTCGCACTTCCACCGGCTTGAACGAAGTTTATAAACTTCCGGTGAGGATGCATTTTGCTGACAGAGTCAAAACTTGTGGACAAGCTGGACACTGCAAACATTTACAGTTGTCACTGAGTTGTGGAAGTCTCTGGTTTACTTTATACACCCGGACACCCGATGCAAATAAGTGCGTTCAAAGTTAACGAGCAATAAGTATTTATTATTAAGCTGACAATGAGAGAAACAATTTTTTAATACGAAGTATTAAAAATTAATACGTATTCAGTTTACTTACTAAAAAATGGTCACATTCACACATCCAATACGACCAGGTGTTTTCATTGGCTGCCCGCTGCCGCTAGCTACCGTATACGGAACCGTAAGTACTTCGAAGTTTGAATGGTACAGTACAGTGATTTAATGGTATACTCACTATACTGTAAATCATTTCCTCCATTCGGTAATTGTCGAAGTGTCTCTTGTTTTTCCGTCGTTGTTTACACTTTACTGACATAGTGACATTCGGTTGAACTTGATGAAATTGATCAAAGTGTACTGATTCCAAGACTTGTCAGATCAGATGAAACTGCACTGAGTGGACTGATTTTCCTTTTATGCAGGACACTTTCAGGAAGAGGTTGTTGAGTGCTCACTGCTCACGGTTGAGTCTTTGACTGGCTATTGAAAAACAGTTATTACAGCGTTACTGTTGTTGTTTTTGTCCAGTCCGACGTTGTGTTTATTTTCGGCTTGGGAAAATGGCCAGAAATTCTCCTTCAGCGTCTTTTGGTGCTCCTTCAGCTGCTTCTAAATCTCCGACAGCTGCTATTGCAACACTCCAGGAAGCTCAGTTCACCAAACCTCTCATCACCTTGGGTAATAGACTCTCGTAAGTACTAATTGTAAGTGACACAGTGTAATGGTGTTGCATCGCTGCCTTTTATTTTATGTTTCCGTTCTACGCCACTCCTCAGTTACCGTGTTTAATAGTCCGTTACTACCTGCTTGTGTACGAGTAGTTTAAATTGTGAACTGCCAGTAATTTTAATGTCTGCTCGCAATTTCAGGGAGTTTAACGGAAATTCTCTGCCTCCACAGTCGCAGGCTGCGCAGCTGTGCCGTATACTGGCCGACGTTTTGCCAGAGATTCAACAGTTGAAGACCAACATGACCAAATGGCATCAGGCTATCGACGACATTCCCGGAATCCAGCGTAATACAGCGCAGCAGATGGAGCGGCTCGATAACCTGAATTATGCTGTAACGCGACGGTATGAGCTCCTGCAGCGACACCGAAATCTCGTCCCTGATGGACTGGGCGAGCGTGCGGGAAGGAGTGGGAATAACGCTGGCAAAGCCTGGAAGCCTGCTCCCAGTATGCCGAAAAGATAGTCCCCCGGAAAGCCTTACACTGGTGTTAATTTCGTTTTTTAAATTTTCCAGTTCCAGATTAGATGTGTCATATTTGTTGATTTCTTCGACTCTTTTGTTGTTACTTATTAAAAATGAAGATTACAATTCCTGTAAAAAGTAGACATTTGCTCTTTGTTAAATTCTTGTTAAACATTGTTCACTTCTGTATTATGAGCAAGTTACATTTTCAAAGAATATTGCATTTTGTTTGCAATGCAGCTGCTGTTTGTTCCTTTGGTAAATTCACCTAAAGGTGGTACTCAAGTATCGATTTTCAGTTCTTTAACAGTTTAATTTCAACACTTGCATCATCACTTTGACACTTTGCAAATTATGGGTAGTTTTCAAAATGGTAGGAGTGACAATATTGTCTGCAGTCTCTGCATAGGCTGATATTTTATGATTATGGTATGTGTAAAAAATGTATTTACGTTAGTTCCCAGAAAATTTAAAAAACGAAATCAGGATTCAATTAACAATAAATAATGCACCAAAATCAGGTTTGCAAAAAGACCACAGTCATTCCGGAAGTGGGGTGACCGCATCGGCAGGTAGCATTATGTGCGTTTTAACAGGAGTTTTAAGCCTTTTCCGTTCTTTTGAGCGCTCTTTGATAAGCAGAGTTTTCAAAGCTTCGAGCAGTTCTCCTCCTCTCCAGTTCTTACCGGCCACAAAGTGCTCGATCCTGGTCAAGCAGCGCAAAACATCCTTGTAGCTATCCGTCGCCTTTAATTTTACAGTCGTCGTCCGCGATACAGACGCAGGCCCTTGCTCTGTCTCCGACTCGTCACTCGAACTCGTCTCAGCACCCGCAGAAGCCATGATATCATGTAAAATCTGATCGTACACTTCGGGACGGACGTCATCGTTCAGGCCCACAAAGCCAGCTTCTTCGGCCAGATTTCGGAAGGAAATATTGTGTCGCTGACGGAAACTCTCCAGCCATCCATTACTCGCAGCGAAATCACTGATACCGAAGTTGTCTGCAATCTGCTTAGCCTTACTTTTGAGCATCACACCGGAGACGTGAAAGTGTCGCGTGCGGCACTCACTGAAAAACCGCCACGCCAAAGTGTCCACACGTTCGAAACGCATGCGCGTGAAGATGCGCTTTCGGTTGACTGGTCTGTCTTCTTTGACGATCCGCTCCAGTTTGCGACGCGCCTTCAGGATAGCCGTCACGCTAGAATGGGAAATGCCGAATTTCGTCCCGATCTGGCGATAGCTGAGGCCTTCATCTACGGCTTGTATGATTTCCAGCTTCTTCTCCAGGGTCAAATGGTTCCGGGGCTTTTTCGGACCTGCACTGACTTCCACAACTTGGTAGTCATCAGACATGGTGAATAAAAGCCAAGTTCTTCCCTGTTAACCACTAAAAAACTCAATAAAAATTAAAACGTTCAAGCGCAAAAATCCCTTCTCTACGTAGTGGACCAGTGGGCAGGTCCATAAGAACCGTGAGATTTGCGACAATTCTGTATCTGTACAGGATGGTTGGCAACTGAGGGACCCAGCGACGCACTGCATTCAAGTCGGAAACTGGATGGCTCAAGCAGGTGTGCGCGTCTAACAGGGCGGAAGTCACGGTCAAATGCAGCGCTTCAATATGCTTGCGCTGAGACGGGTAACTGCCAACCTGAGCGGTAAATGTATACAATCTTCCGGTCAGTTCAAAGTCAAACCTCAGGGCACTTTCTACAAAATAATAAATTATCAGTTTCGTAGAAAGTTGTACAAAAAAGTACACGAACGTAAATTAACGTTAAAAATAAGCAGACATAAATGGTGTATTCCTGTTCTCGTTTTTCATGATGAAAACAATGAAAGTTGAAAATTATTGCGTAATTAATACTAGAAAAATGCACGTTGGCGTACTGCAATGGCAGACCGGAGCTTGGCTAACCAGTGTCAGCCATAAATTGCGTCAACAGTGTTGTTTCGATAAGTAAGCGCCAGTTTTATTTTTTAAAAAAATGTTTTTTATCAATATTATTATCAGTAATAATCACGAAAACATTTAAGTGCCAGAAAATGTGAAAATGTGAGCGGTAGCTGCCAGTCTGTCTCCTGGGCGGTCACAAACAGGAATTCGTGTAAAATTCTTGTTAATAGAAGTATTTAAAGTACTGATCATGCAACATATTTGGTTAATTGTTAATTTAATATTGTAGTTTTTAGTCGAAATAATTAATCAGTTCGCCGTGATCGGAAATTTAATTACAATATTATAATTACAGGCTTTACAGCTGATGTATCTTATCATTCCTGTGTGGTTTAAGTCGTGGTGAGTTAATAAATCTAACAAAACTTTTTTATTTAAAACGGGAATGAATGATTCATGTGCAAAATTCATAAAAATCGTGTGTGACAACTCATAAGGCATAATTCACAGATGTTCAGGAAATTTTGGATGGACTTAGTGAGTCATCTTTTGTTGCGAACATAGCACACGCCGTCTACAAACTCGATGCCGCCTCCGGCCACCACATCGCAATTCTGCACGCTCTCGCTCTCCCCTTTTCAATCGCCGATGTATGGCAGGCGTACGGTCTGAAATTGATTGTTGTGATATCGTCCATTCAAATTTTGCTATCGCTATCTTTATGAGTCTTGGTGATTTAGTCTTCCATATCGGATGCCTTTTAATCACTTTCGCAGATTTCTTTGAGCAGTAGTCATGACTGTGTTACTGGTGTCCACGGACCTTAAGAGGAATTTATCGATTTAATATTGTGCACTGTTTTCCTTTGGATTCAGTAGCTTACGGTTTGTTGTCCTGATTCTGTACTTCCTTGTTAATCTGCTCGGATAATCTTTGAGGGTCTTCCTTCCTTCATCTACAACTGGATGGGACCCTAAATCTGGACAGCAAAATCAGAAGCCATTTATTAGCGCGTTCTCAGTTGCGCAAAAATCCAACATGTCGATTCTGGACCGTCAGTTCAAAAAGTTTTTTGGCGAAATATAACGTTCGACCATGCTTTGCTAAATTTGGAACCTGACTGCTTTTCTCTTGATGTGCCGTGTCTCGTATTGATCTTGATAATCCCTTTCTCAAGTGGAACTCTTGCTGCTTCTCGGGGAATTTATTATTGAAATTTACCTGGTTGTATTCAGAATGGGAAAGAAGCTGTCGAAATTATTTGGTGGAAAAGAAATGCGGATTCTCATGCTTGGGTACGTCAGTGAGTTTAACTGCGAATATCGGTTTTGTGGTATTCATTAATTTGCAGGGTTTTTTCACATATTGGTAATTTATTATTTACTATTGAACAAAATTTTAGTAAGGCTTTAAAGTTAGGAAAGTTAGAAAACTTGTAAAATGGCATAAGCACTAGCTGCTGATTGCTGATATTTGATGTTTGCAGATTATTGTAAAAATACTGTACGGTAAGTAGATGTTTTCAGATTTTATTATGTTCACAAAATTAAAACCTTTCCTTATGAACGAAATTATTGGGCCATAATATAAGCTTGTTTTGCACGCTATACCTAGGGCATCCACGTAGAACAAATTTAAATTTAATGAAAAAATTTGCTTTTTCTTGCAGATTGGATTCCAGTGGTAAAACAAGTAAGTCCTTTTTAGTCTCTCCATGCTGAAATGTATGTGTTTGTGAACGTCAAGGTGTACGCGCCTTAACAAAACATCGCATAATTTGAAGCAGGTCCTTCAACGTGATAATTACGGTTTAGCACTTAGCAGTATTGCCAGTTTTGAACAATTTTACAGTAAAATGGATGCTTATTCCATTTGATTTAGTCGATAATCCTAATTGCTAGTCTGAAATACAGATAATTTGAAGGCTCAAGCCGCACTACATCAATAAATTATTAGCATCTTGATACTCTTGTATTCCGTTATGGCATTTCATGAGTGCGCTGCTGCCGGTCTAAATACTTACTTACCATTTTATTGAGCAGTAGCCTATAAGGCAACAAAAAAGCGCAGTGGGAATACCGCAGAGCGAAAATTTGAATATTAAAAATGCAATTAAGAACACGCCTGGTATCTTTTTCAAACGGCAAATTGCTTAAATCAGACGTACAGATTAAGAGTATAAATTTTCCATTTACAATTGCTAATTTGCCGGTTTAATAGGCATTACTTTAATTTTATTCGCATCGCGTGCGCACTGATGAGAAATTTGGACATCCGGGATGAATATTAACTTATGAGATGGCTTCGTTAATTGACGATTATGGTTTTCCGGTTCATGAAAGCGCACTCGCTAATTCATGCTGACAACTGGATTCGTTTGTTATAACTTAAGCCTGTTTTTACGCAATCTGCAGGACAAATGTCAGCATCAGCTGTTTTTAAAGCAGATATGCTTTTTACGCGTGCTGCAAGGTTCATGGCCATCACTCACAATTTATTAGATTGCCGCTTTTCACAAAAATTGATGCACTTGTACATAAATTACAATTGTGATAGTACGTACATAATATTATCGTGTAGCATATTTTGACTGTTCACACACGAAAGCATTAAAGATTGTGCGCATTCGTTCACGTCTGCTTTGCGTAAAATTTGTTTGCTCTCTATTATGCTTATTTATGGTTTAAAACTGAAAATTTGCACAAAGTTTCTTTGTAGCTATTCTTTACCGATTGAAGTTGGCTCAGCACTCCAACATTACGACCATTCCAACCGTTGGCTTCAATGTGGAGACGATATCTTTCAAGAAATTTCGCATGTCTGTATGGGTAAGATTATTTGCCGATCGTCTTTGCTTACCTGCTTGTAAAATTGATTGCGTGCTCGGTGGAGCCTTCTCGACGGGGAGAATGAAGTGGCTGATTACTCGGCACAAGTGCATAATGTTGTGCACAACATGTTTATTTGTTCGGCTAGGACGTTGGTGGACAAGATAAGATTCGGCCTCTTTGGAGACATTACTTCACCGGCTCACAGGCATTAATTTTTGTCGTCGATTCCGCCGATATTGATCGACTTGACGAGGCACGACAGGAATTCCATAGAATCATTAATGATCGCGAAATGAAGGATGCCATCATCTTATTATTTGCCAATAAACAGGTACTAAATTGACTACTTGGCATACGATACATACTTGTGCGGTAAATGGCCACTTCTCCGGTTGTGTCTTGGTTTCTCTTTATTTTTTTGTGTTTGATAATGAACCTGCGGTTTTTTTGCATCGCTGGAAACCTGCCACCTGGTAATCTAAATATATGTCAACGATTTTTTCCACGAGTTTTGATAACAGTATGTCTTCACATTCTGTCTTGCTGTTTAAGATTGGTACCGGTGCCGGTATGGATTTTTCTCATGTATTTCCATCACCATGTGATAAGATATTTTGCGTAACTTGCCCTTTTATTATGCTGATGATAAGTACTTCGTTCAACTTCAAATAGTACTCTCAGGGGTATGTAAAATTAAATGATTGGAAAATGTACGATTCAAACGGCTGTGTTTCTCATATACATAATTTGAAATGCGCGGTTTTAATCTGAGCATTTGCAGGATCTCCCAAATGCTGTACGACCACATGACCTGCAGGATAGGTTGGGATTAACGAGGCTGCAGAATCGGATATGGTATGTGCAGCCTTGTTGCGCCCCGACCGGAGATGGATTAACCGAGGGCCTCACATGGTTGACATCCAACTACAAACAGTAGTTCGCGTAGTCGTGATAGTATTTCGGGGTTTTGCGGGGAAGATTTCTGTTTGCGTTTGATGGAGGGTGTTGGGGGTTGGTTGAACTTTTTCTATTGATCGTATTTTGTTGCCACCTTGATGGTTTTTTGAACTTTTTTCCAACGCGTGAATTGATCTGCGGTTGGATTGGACTCTGATGTTGATTTTTTGAAAAAATTCCCCTTTTGTACCGGTTTCGTCTGCTTTGGAGTTTAGTCCGGATTGAGTGCATGTGAACGGTTGCTTGGCCATACATACAAAAGTTTGAAACGAATAAAGTTTCATCGTTTTACTGTATTTTTGCTCATATAGATATCATGCAATATGTAATAAGCCAGACATGGCAAACTAAATAACTATGGTACTCGTATGGATATGGTAATGGTACGTACAGTACTCGTACTCTAAATACGAATATAAGAGCAGTTTTCATAGCTGTTGTATGCAGAATGCTTTACAATTTTATCCCTCCTTTCGTGTTCGCACTTTACTATAAAAATTATTTAAAAAAACTAAGAAAATGAGAGTATTTTAAATAAAAACTCGTTAATTGCGTTCGCGATTTTATGTGTTTTATGGAAACCGTAGCATCCCGAAATTTTGGGACAAGTCGGGATGGATTGCAAACAACAGCATTTTGAATTTATTAACAGGAAAATTATTATAAAATTTGGCTTAATTAATCTTTGGCAATAAATTAAGTCCCAATTTAACGCGGAAATCCAGTAAAATAGCACCGCACATAACACAACTCACTGTAATAATGCACTCTTGCAGTGCTAGCAGCTTGTACGTATACGTACCGTACTTACTCTTTCCGGTTTCCCATCGGCCAACTTGGGTATAAAGCAGTTCACTTCGCAGTTTTTCCCCATTTTCTTTCAATCTGCTTTTACAGTTTTACAGCGTCGTTTTCGGAAGTGTAGTTTTCGAAGGTTATTAGAAAATTACAGAGTTTATCATTTATGTTCGTGTTGTAAGTGCGCAGTTTGATTTGTCGTTCGTTTACATCGATCAATAGAGATGCCAAATCGTAAGAAACCGTTTAGCGTCAAGCAGAAGAAACAGCAGATGTTACAAAAGCGGGAAAGGAAACGAAACCGAAGCGGCGAACTGCAGACTACGAGCGACGAAGGTGATGTGGACGATGCCATAATTCTGACTGGGGACTTTCAAGAAGAAAATCCGCCGGGATTGAACGTTCGCGTCGCCAAAGTTAATCAGCAACCTGGATCTCAGCAGCTTCATTCGAAAGCGAAGAATGAATATGATCCCAACCGTTACCGACTGCATTTCTATCGCGAGTCAAAGGTACAGACTGTACAGTTGAAACAAAATGTTGATTTCGATTTTTGTCATGTTACTGTGCTGATATAGGTAAACAGTATTCTTGGTTGCTGGATCTTTGCTCATATATGTAATATGCTTCTTAGGAAGAACTGAAATTGCGGAAGGAAAAAGCTTCGCTGCCAGTGGAAGCGGTTCCCGAGGAGAAGCTGGAGATGAGCTTGGAGGATATTTACCGACCTGGTTCGGAGTTGGACATGCCTCGACGCCCGCCGTGGGATTACACCATGAAGAAGGAGCAGCTGGATGCACAGGAGCAGAAGTACTTTCAGAGTTATGTCGAGAAGATATTCGCTGCTCATCAGGATTCCGAGGATTTGTCGTACTTCGAACTGAATCTGGAAACTTGGCGCCAGGTGATAATGAGCGGAAAATCAAATTAATTCTAAATGAGCGAAAGCATGGAAAATTTTGTATATAATATGGATTCAAATTTCGGGCGATTCGGAATATTAATTTAAATTTTCTTGAATGTCTGTGTCAGATCAAAGCAAATCAGCCATAATTTTCGGATGCCTTTTAATTACTTATTTTTATGTGCTGAAATTAGAAAAAAATTACTTGAGTTTGTGAATATGTAAGTAAATGCAATAATTATAACTTGAGTCTAGCGCAGCTGACTCACGTTATAACAACTTTTGATGCGTAAAAAATTTAATCTTCCTTATTATTTTTATTTTTAGTTGTGGCGTGTGATGGAGATGAGCGACGTGTTCCTAGTCATTGTGGATCTTCGTTTCCCAGTTCTACATTTTCCTCCGACATTGTATAAATATTTAATGGAAGAATTGAAAAAGCCGATCATTCTTATTCTCAATAAAATCGATCTGGTGCCTCCGCCGCTGGCCGTAGCCTGGCGGCAGTATTTCTCTTCGACGTATCCTTCCTTGAAAGTGGTTCTGTTCGGTTCCAGTCCTCGTACAGCTGCGGATCTGGAAAGGATGTTCAAAAAGAAGAAGCCAACTAAACGCAGCAAATACCAGATCTGCTACGGTGTACGCGAGATATTTGACTACTGTTCCGAAGTAGCCAAAGGGGAAGTCGACATGACGTTGTGGAAACAGCGACTGGATGCTGTTGAATCGGGAGGTGCACTTCCGGGTATGTTCATGAATTTCTTCACAATATACGGTATTTTTTGCGACGAAATGTAAGAACTGTGGCTAACGAAAAATCTGTCTTTCATAATTTGATTGTTGAGCTCCACCAATTCTAGTTGTGCTTTTCTTGTTGTGGAAGGTAATCGTCGGTGTATGCCTATGTAAGTGAAATTTATAATTTATAAGTGATCTATTTCGAAATTGGAAAACATAAGTGAAACTACTTATTGTGAAATCGTGTTTGTTACCGATTTTCTGTAGTACATATGTGTTATCTGTAAGTGGTATAATACAGTGTGTACTTATTACTGGTTAGTAAAATCGTTTTTTCGTAAAATATTATATAAGTAATTACTTCATATGTTTGGATTGTATGGTATTAGATAAAGTGCCGATTCCACCGGCGGATGTTCATCAGATGGACGGACACCATGTTCCCTTCAAAGACGGTGTGCTGACCATTGGTTGCATCGGAGAACCGAATGTCGGCAAATCTTCCGTGATCAACGCGTTAATGGGTCAGAAAGTTGTGTCTGTCTCGAAAACTCCCGGCCATACCAAGCATTTCCAAACCATATTCCTTGCTCCGAATGTTAAGCTCTGTGATTGTCCTGGATTGGTCTTTCCGGCTACTGCGCCCAAAGTCCTGCAGATTATCGGCGGAATCTATCCCATTTCTCAAGTATCGGATCCATATAACGTTATCGGCTATTTGGCCGCTCACCTGCCACTCATTCAACTGTTGAAACTGAGACATCCAAACGGGGAAACGGCCAAATTCTCGGCGTTAGACATTTGTGAAGCGTGGGCGTTGAAACGAGGATTTTTCACGGCGAAGGCAGCCCGACCGGATGTGTATCGAGCCGGCAATCATTTGTTGCGCATTACGCTGGAAGGGAAAATATGTTTGCGAATGTATCCACCGGGCTACGTGGAGCACAAGAAACATTTCGAGAATCTGGCCGAAACAAAACAGTTGACAGCGGAATTGGAACAATTAGAACAAAAGCTGCATGGTGGTGCTTCGGAAGGGGAGAGGAACCCAGCGAAAGGCTCAGATGACGATGACGACAGCGATACGCTCTCGACGGAAGAGGAGACTGACCGGCAGCATTGCTTTGAACAGATTGCGGGGAGTAACAAGTTTGCAGCGCTGGGAATTTCGTCGGATTGATTTTTTGCGGTGGTTGTATGATCGTATCGCTTTTTAAGATTCAAACTTTTTTGTTTGTATTCTTTTGGTTACTGTTTGCTGTCTCGATTTCCATTATCAAAACCAGTGTTCTGGCTTTCCGACTTCTGGAATTTCTTGCTTAAACAGCAGTGCTCCTTTTGTGGACGTTTCCTATGTGATATGCGCGTCTCCTGTGAAAGATCGGTTATTCTGCTTCTTGTACGATTTATGTGAAGTAATAACAAGTTTGAAACTGAAACTGCTCAGATAATTCAGAAGGAGATGGAAGGAAGTAATAAGTTTCGCATGACAGTTTTGCATTTTCCTAATATGGCGTCAATTCAATAGGAACTGTGTGCCAGGAATGGATTAAACGGAAGCAAAATTGAGAAATTTCCTGCGGTTTTCTCACTCATTCTGTGACTGTGGTCTCTGAGAATATACACAAATTGAATTAATATTGTGCAGTTAAATAACAAAAACTATGAGTCTCGCCAGATGTGTACTTGGGACTGGAGAATTGGATGGGAAGTTGGAAACATCCCTGCACAGTGCACGTTCCTTTGATTCTGAGCCAATTTATAGACAACACTACTTATCGTGCAACGTGGAACGTTATCGTGCATTGTTACAATAAGATTAATATCGGAACATCCTTTTCTTACTCAAGCCTGGAAGAAGTGCAAAAGGCAAAAAACTAGAACAGTCGGTCGTGAAAGACGGTACGAGTATACCATCGCTGTTACACCGAATAAGGACTCACATCTATTGCATCTTTTGGTTCGCGTCAAGTGGCCATGGTATTATTGACTGTAAAGTTGTAAACACTCAACCAAGAGTTATGTTTTTCTGTTATAGTTTAGCGCGTTTCTTTTTATATATGTGTACTGCGTTTTTGATTCGACCACTAAAGTTCCGAGACCAAGAGATGATATTCCGCGGGAGGGACTTCGCATAGAAGTACTGCAAAGGTTTTTAGATTACTAAGGTGACATTAGTAAGGTCACGTCAGAACGAAAAGCTGACATGGCGTGGGTACTGTAACTAAATACTGCATGTCGAAGCCGCAGTGAGATTTTAATGCCCCAGTGCCACTTATACAGTAGAAGGTCGGTCGACGTCGGAGAAGGACAACAGTAATCCAGTAATCTAATTTGGATAATACTGTTGTCCTTTTGTGAACGAACACATGCGGTATAATTTTGGTTAATTGGCGACGATTTTGGGCCGATGATGTGCGGCTGCTTCTGCTTAGTTGAAGCAAGCTTATCATTCCAGCCTATATTGATCAGGGAACTGGCGCCTGGAATACTGTTTGGGCACTTCTGTGCACAGGGGATGGCGACGGATGTGCGAAAACTCAATCGATGCTGCCAGTTCACGAAAATGATTATGCCTTGATGCTTAATTATGGGGCGGTGTTCGACCTGTTCGGTTCTGTAGGTCTGGAAGATGCAGGACAGAGTGCTACCGCAATTAGCCGCAAGTGCGCATTCCCATTCGCAATCAACGGGATTGGCTTGGCGGCTGACCTTTACGCGAAAACTGTTATGTATATAAAATACTCATTACAACCTTTTGTTTTAGTGTATACGTAGGTGTAAAGTCATTGCTTGTTAATTAATGTCGTTTTGTGTTTCATATGATTCTACATTTAGATATTCTCGAAAGTTACAAGAGTAATTTTACGTGCTCTAATTATTGGGTTTTTAAAGTTTAAATGTAAACGGCATTGGCTTGCACAAGTTGCTAATAAAGTTCTACATTCTAGGTCTAGCTATAGAATGATACTGTGAAGTGTTATTTTTGTCGGTTTTCTTTGGCTAACCAGAAGTTTGAGTTTTTTTGTTAACTGGAAATTTTTTGTAAATCACGCAAAAAATTTTGCTGGTTTAAGGAAATTTTTATGCGTTTCCTCAAGGTAATCCGTGAAATTTCTGTTAAAGGTTGGTTTATCTTATCGCACATTATTACAGCGTGTCAACAGTTGATAACAAGCAAGTGCGATTATCGTTGATCAAACAGTTGTGATTGTGCTTGCATCTAGCTGCCATGCAGCTGCAGTAGAATTACTCATTTGACCATTTGCGTAAGTTTAATTCTGGTGCGTCTTCCGGTGCGTGGTTGTAAAGTACGAAATGGGTCCAAACACCGTAATGTAAATTCGACATAAACAAGGCAAAATGCATTAGCTTGTGCTTATGCGACAAAGTATTTTCCAAACGTTTTTCCTATAATTCGAAAACCTCGAATTCATCATGCGATTCAATCCCAGTAAATCGATTATGGGATGTACGATTATTGCATTAGGGTCGTTGTCCGTCGGACTTGAAACTGGAGGTAAGGAGATCTTACTGTAGTTACTAGCATAATCAAACTGTATGAATAACGCAAAGGAGTGCGGTAGTACCGTACTGCGCATGTACACGGCATATTACATTTGAAAATTATGTGTCCATCAAGAATTAAAAAGGGCTAGTACCGATTTTAATGCTGGGAATGGGAAGGATTTATGCTAGTTAGCCCATAATAACCCATAATATATAGCCCATAATATATAACGTTATCATTAGCTTCACCTGTATATAGGAGGTATATTCATGCAATCACCTGAAATCATATTCTCTTCGATTGCCCCATTATTTAGTTTTGGGTCGACAGATTCTACGCAAGTTTTTTGCAGTTGTAATGGCCGGCCGCGCGGACAACCGCGGTGACACACAACTTCACGGACTACATCGTGTGGCCCCGGGAATATGGGGCGGATTCATCTCCATTGTGTCCGGCGTGTTAGGCATGATGGCTGACAACCGCACACAGATGCCGTTCAGGATACCCAAATACTATTATCCCTACTTCTGGGGTTTGGCCGTGTCATCCTTTTTGGGATTTGTTATATCTGTTATATCGCTGGGCGTCAACGGAGCAATGATAGGAAATGTCGCGAGTGATTGTTCGTCCACGAGGATCGATGCGCAGTTGTATCTCTATGTTGACCTGGTAATTATATAAGCAGGCCGGATACAATAAGCCGCGTGTTCCTAATAAACGAATTATGCCCTGCTGGAATGTGCGTAATATTTTATTCAAAAAAAAGACATAATGGAAAAATTTTATTCGTGCTTCTTTCAAAGAACGTACTTACTTATTAACTTACAACTTCATAAATGGGAGAATAAACTACGACAAACATTTTTCCCGGTTAATTAAATACGAATATTGCTTAATAAGTTAGCGTGCTATTAAACTTTCTTGGTGATATGTATTGTAAGTACTACTTTTTAATTAAGTACGCATACTATTATGCTTTGATTACAGTTTTGCTATGGCATCGTTGCGGCGGTTATACTGATTCCAGTCTCCTCGGTGTTGTTGATACTTCACGGGATATTCAGCTACTACTGCATATTGACCATTCGGCATGTGTTCTGGAACAGACAGTTCGAAGGCCGGCAGCGTCTGCACACGAATTCCACTTCCGGTACCGCATCCATGTCGTCCATCGGCGACGACGTCAATTTTGGCAGCAGACCGAAGAGGAATTTAAGCGAAGTCTCGGAAAGCTACGAGGAAGGCGTCAATCCCAATTACATAGGAGATTCTGGTGAAGAGATGCCGAACATATCGGCAGGCACGACTGCATCTGGTCGTCAGCGCGCGCCGAGTTCGCCCCAGCCGTCTTCCAGCAGAGCACATTAACTCCCGCTTTACTAAGACTGCAACATCGTTCGCTGGCCGACTACTTTGCGCATGCAGAGTGTCATGATCACAGTTTTGTAATAGAAATAACTTTTTAAAATTGGTCAAAATTACATACGATTCACGATTGTACAGCATGTAATGTGGGAATATCGGATTAAATTTTGTCATCTATCTGTTACTTATCTTTAATACGATGCATATCTCATATGCATATTTAATAAAAAAAGCTGTAAAAAGCCTGTCCATACTCTGCAGTAAATGCAAAGCGACCTGGTCTCTGTAAATGGCGGATATTAAATCTTCTTCTTCCCTCGTACGAGTATAATTATATATATTAATAATATAAATATTGGCACAAAATAAATCTAATGGTTTTATAACTCGTAGGACGTAATTACTTTAGGTGACCACTCCGTACACACCCTTTCACACCCTTTTACTCCGTACACAACCTTTTGCACTACCTTTCATTCCGTGCACAACCTTTTTGAGCACTACCTTTAACTCCGTACACAACCATTCCCATTCGGCACTACCTTTATCTGCGTGCACTACCTTTTATTTTTTTAATTTTTTCGCAGTAAAGTTGTTCTTGAACTCCCGCGTTTTTGTTAGGAGCAGTTATTGCTGCATATTTCAAAGCATCATCGGCAGTTACAAAATCGAAATCCGGAGAGGAAATAATTCTAGGCGCCCTTGTGCCGGTTTTTCTTCGCAGGGTTCGGAATTTGGACAGTGCTTTCCAAGCTTGAAATAGTGCAATCTTCGCTTTCCGAGCTTTACACAGTGCAAAAGTTTTAGAAAAAAAAAGAAAAAAAAAGAAAAAAAAGTTTTAGAGAAAATGCTCCAGATTATCATAAGTATACATAACAGTTATCAAAGAGCTTGAAAGACTCATTGCAGTAAACGTTTAATAAGACTTTTACTGATCGTTGATTGGTAGTGTACCGAGTGAATGGTAGTGTCAAAGGTTGTGTACGGAATAAAAGGTAGTGCCCGAAAAGGTTGTGCACGGAATGAAAGGTAGTGCAAAAGGTTGTGTACGGAGTAAAAGGGTGTGAAAGGGTGTGTACGGAGTGGTCACCATTACTTTAATCCATAAGCTGACCGCAGTCCGACTTAATTACCCTATACGGAAGATTTTGAATTTCTCTCGCAGGTCACACAAATTTACAGTACTACAGAAATAGAATATTGCATAGCAGTCTTTCTTACTTTCTTTGAAAATTCATGACAATGATACTAGCTTAGCATAGTTAATAAGAAGCTAGAATAAACGTCCCATAAATTCGGGGGGATTCGACATTCCAGACTGCCACGCCTTTTCCGATTAAAACACCCTTCCTACGGCAGTCACATGAATAAATGGTTTGTAAGCAAAGCCAACCGCCAATTTAAGCTCCTCATGCTGTTTAAACTGCTGAATTGGTGACTACAACTTTGTAAAATTAGTTTTTCACGTTTTTAAATCGACGGTTTTTTGTACTCTTTGAATTCTCATCGCTAGACTGATGCGCGTTAGATTTGCAACGGATTTATTTACTAGGTATTTGTAATGTTTAATTCCGGGAACCGCGGTCGCGGTCGTAGCGTTACAAATGCGCTGGGATCCAACCGAGGCCGAGGAGCGAGCAGCTCCTTCAACGGAGGCCGCGGAGGATTCAACTCGTCATCGAGCGCAGGCCGCGGAAATGCTCGCGGGGGGCGAGGATCCGGTGGAAATGCGAACGGGACGCCTGCTTTCTTAACCCAGTATACGAAATCGATGCCGCTTTCCAAACAAAACAGTGTGGAAGATGATGAGGAGATGGATTACGATGCGTTCCAGGATGACTTCGATGTCGATATGCCTGATGATGACATGGTATCTGGCGATTCCTTGACTGCTCCAGGTAAGAATCCATCTTATTTGACTTCTATCTAGTGCTAGGGGAAGTTGAGGAGCCAAATGATTTGCCATGCTTCAGTCATTTGTTGACATTAGACTATAAGCGCCCTTTAAACTAAATAATAATATAGTAAATCTATTATAAATTGTGAAAGTGTGATACCTAAAACATTTGTTTTCGTTCATATGTATGTTTGTAAATGTAGAAGAGAGCCCGTACTTAATTTGTATCACCTTATCGCTTATATTTACAGGCTTGCAGCTAGCCATTAAAAATTGATAGTTGATGATTTCCCAGTTTCATAATGTTTAATTTTTTAGGACGCTAAAATGTTTTGCAAATATGTCGGTTTTTTGCGAATCGCCCGGGATGTGGCTCGATTTCCCTGAATATTTTATTTGAGAAATGACCGGAAAAAATTTTTTCATTCAGATCAGGGAACGGATTCACTCGATGGGGCACTGTCGAAGGCGTGGGGCCGTCCTCAGGTTGCCGAGATTGATCCGAGCCGCGACACTCTGGTGTTTCAGCAGGTGGAAGTCGATCACACCATTGAACACGCGGTGCCCGGCCTTTCCAGTTTTCAGGGCCAGGGTCCCGTGATTCGCTTGTTTGGCAGCACGATGGATGGACGCAGTGTACTCTGCCATGTTCATGGGTTTCACGCTTACTTTTACGTACAAATTCCGGATGATATCGAACCGGCCAAAACCTTGCAGTACAGCAAACAGTTTCATGTAAGCTGACTGAAGTTATGTATAATATTATATTGCGTACATAAATGCAAGAACGAGCGTATGGCTTGAATGAAAAAAGGAGTAGCACTTATTTTGTTTACTGGTTCAATTCTGTGTTCGTCAGGTCGAACATGCTTTTCTTATTTCGTAAAGGGAATTTTTCAGGATAACATTAGTGCAGTGAGGAATATTCTTTGCAGTGCATTTGACTGTAATTCCATAAACTCCTTGCTGGTTACAGACGGATCTGAATAGGCGGTTGATGCAAGAAAGCACCGTATCCCGCGCACTCAGCTCTGGATCGCAAGGAGTTGCTTCCGGTGTGGCTGTGATTCAAACGGAAGTCGTGAAAAAGCAGGATTTATATGCCTATCATGGTGGTACCAACGAAATGAGAAATTTGAAGCGATTCCTCAAAGTTATCGTGGCACAACCGCGATTTATAGCACCGGCGAGACGAGTGCTGGAAGACGGCTCTTTTGGTCGCGTGTTTGTAACGTACGAGAGTAACGTGGAGTTTGAAATTCGCTTCATGGTGGATGCTGAAGTATACGGCTGTAACTGGATTGAGTTACCCGCAGGAAAATATAAAACTCGAACGACCTCCAGCAAAGTAATACAAAGTGACTTACGGGATTAAAAATCCGTGAAACCAACCTTCATGAATTTCACAATTTTGAATTATCTTAGAAATTTGTGCTAAGTAAAATACGTACTTTTGGGCTCCTAGTGATTTTTAGCGATTTGTTTGGCCATGCTTTGCTTCCTTTCTTAAATTCCCATATTTGTTTGGCTGTTAGTAAATTTTTTGTTGGTCAGCTTGTACTGCAGCTTAATTTCATCGCATTTTTGTAGTTTAGTCCAGAATTTCAAAGTGGAAAGGCTACAGTATCGCGCTGTCAGATCGAAGTGGACGTCAAGTGGGAAAACATGAAATCTCATTATCCGGATGATGAGTGGAGCGATATGGCGCCTTTCCGTATCCTCAGCTTCGATATTGAATGCGCCGGCAGGAAAGGAATTTTCCCGGAGCCAAATTGCGATCCTGTCATACAGATTGCAAGTATGGTGCAGCGAAATGGGGAAAAGGAACCCTTTATCCGTACTGTTTTCACACTGAAGAAATGTGCGCCCATTGTTAACTCCAAGGTAATATAATCTTCGTGTGCAATGTCACAAGATCATATGATGTAAATCAGTTCAAGCTATGCCAAATGCCATAGTTCGGTATTTTCGATATTTTTATTGGGTGAGACTATAGGCACCCCTTTCACCCCCGTTTGCTAAAGGCACCCCCTTTTGCACCCTGTTTTACTATAGGCACCCCTTTTTTGTTAGATAATTCTCACACCCCGTCTTTTTCCGCGGACTATAGGTACCCATTTTTATTTTTTTTACCAAAGCACTGACTAAGATTTTTTGAAAGTTTTTTTGGTTGACATAGATTTTTTTGACGATTTGAAGGCATCACATAAAAAGGTGTACTAAAAACTCCATCCGACAATGGGCCGCTTTCAGATCGTCTGACTATGAATGTTTAGAAGCCTTGAAGGCAGATTCGAATGTGGAAAAAGCCGAATAACTGTCCTGAAAGTCGTTTCCTACTTTTCTTGGATAGCGGTTGGATAGACCAGGTCACTGTCAGATCGTGATTATCTTCGGATGGGCTACTTATTACAGACTGTCAGACATTATCACTACAGAGCAGTTTTTGCTGCTTTATTATTACAAATTTTGACAGAAATTGCACCGTTATTATTACAATGCAGTTCATATTACAAGAGAAAAAATTCTGGAGCCGGTAGTGCAACGACTTTCTGTATTCTAAGGTCAAGAAATTCGACCTTAAAAATAGCATTAACGGATAAAATAAGGGTGCCTATAGCTTTCGCACGCAACGGGGTGCAGAGATTGATTAATCGAAAAGGGGTGCCTATAGTCTGCGGGGGTGCGAAAGGGGGTGCCTATAGATAACGGGGGTGAAAGGGGGTGCCTATAGCCATTTCCATTTTTATTTGACAGTGTGAACTGCTGCAGTGGATAAAATAAAAATTTACGTAAATTATATGCCTGTTAGAATGTGTAAAGTGGCAAAATATATTTTTCGCATAGGTAAGAGGATTTCTAGTTGTAATGGTTTATGGAACTTGAGGGAATTGGTGAAATTTTTTGTTTTATAGGTAGTTTGCTTTGAAACCGAGGAAGATCTCCTGGACAATTGGGCAACATTCGTCCGTCTGGTGGATCCGGATATCGTTACCGGTTATAACATCCAAAATTTCGACTTTCCGTATTTAATAGATCGTGCTGCCCACTTAAAGCGCAGTAGATTCCCATTTCTCGGGCGTCTGAAAAATACCGTCACGCGTGTCCGCGAAGTTCAGCTGCAATCCAAGCAAATGGGTGCTCGCAAGAACAAGTTTTGCAACATCGAGGGACGAGTGACTTTTGATTTGTTGCAAGTTCTTCTGCGGGATTACAAGCTCCGCTCGTACACCCTTAATGCCGTGAGCTACCACTTCCTGCAAGAGCAAAAGGAGGATGTGCAGCACTCCATCATTACGGACCTGCAGAACGGGAATGAGCACACGCGCCGACGCTTGGCAGTGTATTGTTTGAAGGATGCCTGGTTGCCGTTAAGGTTGATCGACAAGCTGATGAGCTTGGTAAATTATATGGAAATGGCCAGAGTGACCGGAGTACCGCTGTCCTATTTATTAGCACGAGGACAACAAGTCAAAGTGGTGTCGCAGCTGCTTCGAGCGTAAGCTTTCATGTCTGACTTAGGCAATGACTTTCAAGTAGTTAATTTTCGGGAAACTTTTTATGCTTTTCTATTAGTGAACTATAGATGAAAATGTGCCTTTATGGACTACGTTTCCATAAAGCAAGCGCTTGAAAATTGAGATCGTTGTACCATATTCGATGTTAAACTTAGGCGCTTTTGCAGAGCAGCAAAAGAAGCCTACGTGATGCCTGCCAGACATGTTCAAACTGGCGACGAATTCACCGGTGCTACTGTGATTGAACCAAAAACTGGATACTATACGAAGCCTATCGCCACGTTGGATTTTGCTTCACTGTATCCGTCCATCATGATGGCGCACAATCTGTGTTATACTACCCTGATTGAAAAAGGAAAACTGGCTGAACTAAATCTTTCGCCCGATGAATTCATTAAAACCCCGTCCGGGGATACGTTTGTGAAGGCCACCGTGGTCAAAGGATTATTGCCAAAGATTCTGGAGAACCTGCTGGCTACACGGAAAAAAGCTAAAGCCGATCTAGCCAAAGAAACCGATCCGTTGCGGAAGAAAGTGTTGGATGGAAGGCAGTTGGCGCTGAAAATCAGCGCTAATTCTGTTTATGGATTTACAGGTATTTGCTTCATTAATGTTGTGCAGAATGCTCGTGGATTTTGGATATTTTAGTGACACAATTTTTTCCATGATATTGTTATTACCGTAAATACGAAATCTGTAGGCGCACAGGTCGGAAAGTTGCCATGTTTGGAAATTTCCGGTAGTGTAACAGCATTTGGACGTTACATGATCGAGGAATCCAAAAAGCATACCGAAGAGCACTTCACAAAAGCCAATGGTTTTGCTCACGATGCAGAAGTCATTTATGGTGACACAGACTCGGTCATGGTCAATTTTGGAGTGGACACGCTGGAAGAAGCCATGAAGCTAGGGCGCCAAGCAGCGGATATCATCACGCAGAAGTTTGTTAAACCTATCAAGTTGGATTTCGAGAAGGTGTATTTTCCATATCTGCTCATTAACAAAAAGCGGTATGCGGGATTGTACTTCACCAACACTGAAACTCACGACAAAATGGATTGCAAAGGTGAGCAATGTACTGTTCATAATATTGACTCAATAATTTTATTGCTTGCGGTGTTTCGTAATTGTTAATGTGGCACTGTATTACATTGTAGTAGTTTGTATGTGTATCGTGTATCTCAATAAGGTGTATCGTTATTATTGTAGTGTGGCAGAGATGTGTTCTGAAAGCAGTTCTAATTCAAATTAATCGTTTCTCATTAAAATTGTTAGGTATTGAAACCGTTCGCCGCGATAATTGTCCGCTCGTGGCCAATTTGATCGACATGTGCCTGCAAAAGCTTCTGATTGATAAGGACAAAGAGGGTGCAATCTCGTATGCTAAACAGACCATTTCGGATCTGCTATGCAACCGAGTGGATATATCTCAACTTGTGATTACCAAAGAATTAACGAAGAAAGACGGCGAGTACAAAGCGAAACAGGCTCACGTCGAACTGGCTCACCGGATGCATAAACGCGATGCCGGCTCGGCACCTAATCTGGGCGACCGTGTGCCGTACGTAATTATTGCCGCCGCCAAAGGCACACCGGCCTTCGAGAAGTCTGAGGATCCCATCTACGTTCTGGAGAATAATATCCCCATCGATACGCAATATTATCTGGAGAATCAGCTGTCCAAACCTTTAGTGCGCATCTTCGGGCCCATCCTGGGCAGCGAAGACAAGGCGGAGTCTGTGCTGCTGCGCGGCGACCATACCCGGACGAAGACGATCGTTACGTCGAAGGTGGGGAAATTATCGGCGTGGACGGTGACCAGGGCGTCATGTATCGGCTGTAAGGCGGTGTTGAAGGACGAACGCGAGGCCTTGTGTGAACACTGCAAGAAGAACGGTGGCGAGATTTATCAGAATCAGATAGCTGATTTATGTCAGATGGAGGAGAAGTACCATTCCATGTGGGTGCAGTGTCAGCGCTGTCAGGGGAGTTTGCATCAGGATGTCATCTGCACCAATCGGGATTGTACGATTTTCTACATGCGGAAAAAAGCGCAGAAGGAGTTAGAAGAGCAGGGGAAGATAGTGCAACGGTTTGATTATGGAGAATGGTAATTGGAATTTACAAAATGCCGATGATGTGTACGTATTGACGATAATATGGCTCCTTCCTGTTTTTTTTTTGTTTAATATTCCGCTTTACGGTATTGAAGGATAGACTGCTCCTTTGAAATTGTAATGTTGTTTATTTTGTCATACAGTATGATGCATGACAGTATTTGCTTCTCACTTTTTTATCATGTAAAAATTTCCTCTTTACCAGAGTGGTCTACGTTAAGGGTGTAGTGCTATACATGCTGAAATTATATAGATATTGACTTCATTTCACTTTATACGAGTACTGAATGTGATTAATATATACTGGATACATGTTCAGTATAAAATCTTTGAATCCAGTTCGTGTCTGTCTCAGTTATCTATGATTCCAGGATTTCCAGCTCACAATCAGATGGTAAATAATTTGCATCCTAACGTTTTAGTATTTACATTATTTTAACCCGCACCGTTGCACAGCCAACTTGTTGTGAGAATAATTACGATTATCACTAACAATAGGATAAGCTCCAAACCACGCAACACGCGTCGGCCATCTGTTCGATAAAACTAATTTACAGTTAACACGGCCGTATGAACTTGCACACAATTATTAAAATGCCACACATAGCCAGATGCCAGACTAGCCGCTGCTGACTACATAACTCGCAAAAAATCTGCCGATTGCGGGAATCGAACCCGCGTCCTCTATACTCTAAGGCCGAGAGAGGCGGCCAGGTGCTTATGGCGGGCACCCGCCTTGGCGGGTGCGATGAGGCGGGTCTTAACCATCAGGCGGGCATTGCAGAAATGCATTTGCACAGCGCACTTTCCCACTAGAGCGCATCCTTGCCGCCAGTGCAAGTCATATACACTATATTTCCTCACGCTGCTGCACGCTTTATAACTTTGAGACCTTCAAAAATCACCCCTTGTAACATTGTTTACAAAAAAATACGCAGATCTTTCTAAATCGTTTTGTTGGGCAACTTGGACTTGGTTGTAATTTGAAAAAATGCGTAATGCAAGATGCAGGTCATGTCCCCAGTGATTGCTACTTTGGTAAACCACTTGTTTTAATGGCTTCAAGAGACTCACTTAAGTTGCCAGAGAATTTTTATGCCTCTAATTTCAGAAAACCTATTTCTTTTACACGATTGTTACCGTAAAAGGCATAGTCGCAAAATATTTAAATACATATAGTTTGCCTTCATAAGTTACCAGCCGTGTATGAAAGCGATTAAATCTATGACATTAAGACAAGCAGTACAAAACTACCAAATAAATTTGAAGCCCGCATTTAAAAAAAAAGCAACTTCCGGTGACTTGACCACACAAACCAATATCTACGACTGCTGTTTGCAACGACGTCCTGTTAATTTTGTCTTCTAATATAGTTGTCCACAGTGCTGTCAATTTTCAGCATTTACGCACTGATGAAAACCAGTATTACCATATAGCAAACCATAACATGCTCAAATGTTTGCAGTTTTGTCTTGTAATTTAGTGTCTAACGTTTAGCTCACTAAGGACCGAATTTTAATTTATTATAAGTCCCAATAACATGCAAAATGAAAAGACAAGCAGATGACATAGTTTTTTTAGCATATAATTTTAGCATGTTTTTAACATGCAGCATTCATTGCTAAAGAACAACAAAACTATTGTACCGGTATTTCGTTAAAAACAAGAAGCGATAAAAGAAACAATTAAAAAATGGCAACAGTTTTCGATAAAGCCGAAGAAAGAAGTACTTTGAATCACAGAGTATCTTACATCAGCTTAAAGGTAGTCTCACCGTTGAAAATTACATATGCGGAAGAAAATAAGTCGCAGCTTCTATTGACACAGAAAAGGGAAAGCTTGTAGTATACCGCAATAAAATAGGCTGCAACCTAAATTCCAAAGAATGTTTTGGAAAACAATAAAATAGCAACTTAGGCTACAGCCTAAATCAATAATTGTGTCTTGATATCAAGGAATGCATACCAAATAATTCTTTCTTATTTCGCTTGTACTCTGAGATAGAATCAGTTGGGAGAGAGTTTTTGTGAATGAAGGGAACGGAAGTCAGAAAACTTAGGCTGTAGCCTCTGTTAATAAAAAAAATCGGAAAGTTACAGCGACAAATCGCGCTTTACTCACCTCATCTAATTCATACAGATGGAACCTTCTTTTATTTGTGTTTCGAAACCATTGCGGGTGTAAACCGAGTTGTATGGGGACTATTGGGTATCGCAAGAGCTACATATTATATATAAACTGTTAATAGATCCATTTGCGTTTTTGGTTTGCATATTACTGACTGTTCGATTGACTGTCTCGCAGATTTTTACGACATGGTTGGAAGATCTCTTGAAGTTTTCCTATTAGCAATAGAAAACTAAGATTATTAGAGAAATAACTCCTTAACCTTCCGGCATTACGATATTGACGAGATTCGGAGAAAATACGGTCAATAGTTTTTTGAGCATTTAAATGCATTATGCTTGGTAAATTGCTAACATCTATAATATCGTTCTGTACGTATTGCGGCTAGTTTACGGTACCTACTGTTACTGTACTGGCACCCTGCACTTGGGGAAATTTTGTACAGTATGAGCAGCACGGTACTGTAGACAGGTGGATTTAAAGCCGATTGCGTTCAGCCAATAGCCAGCAGTCTGCATGCAGTTGCAAGCCGTGTATGTGACCAGTGAACGCAGTCGTACAACGTACGCGTGGCTGCACAGCAAAAACTTTCTCCGAGTGCAGGGTGTCAGTACAGTATGTTTAAATGTGGTCTTTTTTTCTGATCTGCGTGACTTACTATTTTTAATTTACCGTTAATTTTTCACAAAAGTTCTTTTATTTTGTTAGGTGCTTTGGAGTAGATAACCATTAACGGCTGCTTCGAAAAATTGGGATGCTGTCAGGATATGGTGTCTTCCGTGTTTAACTTTTTTAAATCTTATTAAAAAATCTGAATGTGTAAAGCGATCTATGTCAAATAGCTTTACATTATTTTCGGCTTTTAATCGGTCTTTTGCGTTAACGTAAAACGTGTATGAACCTGCTCTCTAGATGTATGAATGTCAAGAAATGTGTAAACGTTCGTTTTTATGACTTAAAAATTCAAAAAACTGTTCAGCTACGAAAAACAAAAAGTCGCGAATACACAAAGCTGTTTAAATCGAAAAGGCTCGTGACACAGTAGAAGTGCACTAGCGATTAGGCAAGTGCAGCGCAACTGATGCCTCAGTGCAGTGTGCAATTCGTCTGTGCCCGCCACTGATATTGATGCCCGCCTTATCGCACCCGCCAAGGCGGGGGCCCGCCATAAGCACCTGGCCGAGAGAGGCACCACTAGGCTATCGGCGTACAGCAGAATATCGTAAGATATTCTCCGTACAGCCGGCAACCTAACGAACAGAGCCACGCTCTTAACACAGACAACGCCGTATCGATCCATAACTCGGTCAGCCGCCAAAAGTACAGCAGGTGCCGAACTGTAGATCATTACGCCCTGCAACTATGGTGAGTCGCAGCACAAGCACATTGCCCAGTGTCCACTGCCAAAAGCCTACTGGGACGGGCATATAAATTTTGAATTTCTTCCTTTGGCTCTTACACTTAACACTTGAATTTTGCAAATACTGTACTGCTCCAATCGGTTTTTATTTTCTACGTTTATAAGTTTTTTACCATTGCTCAGTGATTGTAAAAAGATTGCGGTGAGTCCGTACGTCCTACACTTGCGAGTGTTGTGAAAAGCTTGTCTTATTTTACTTCTTTTCCAAGATTATCATATTCTAAAAGGTTGACTGAGGAACAAAACATAGTACGGTATTTCCTCCAGGACCAGTCCAGGTATTAGTACAAAGTATTGGTTGCCGGTTGGTCAGAATGAATTCCGCCAGATACGCAAGTAAGTGGCTAAGTGCACGACTGCCTTTTAAGTTTAATGTTAAACTGTTAAATTTTTGGGGGTTGTTGCCTATGGGATTGTTCCACAAACACGACTTTCCGTAAGTGCGACTTTACCGTTTTTTGGGTTTTTTTATTGTTGTACTCTGTAGATGTTGTTCTTTTCATACTAGATTGAAGTAGTAGTAGATTCGTAGACCTTGAATCTTCTGACAATGCAGTGCGCGCACACGTGCTCAAATGCACTCTTGCGCAGTCCAAGTGCAGCGTCCAACTGACAGATTGTAATTTGTGAATAGGAAATTGGGAATATTAAATCGCATTTGCAGGTGCTTTCTTTTATCTTTTGATTCTTCTCTTGCTTCGAATTTCTTCTGGTGATAACTGGGTTAAGGCCTGAGATTCATTATTTGGATTATGCGGTTTGAATCCTTCTTACGGTTAATGCTTTCACTCTATTGATTTGTCGCGACAGAAAAGCTCAGCGACGTTGCAGCGGAGCTCCGTACGTTTTGAGGCAGCCGCATCCTTTGTTCCGTTTGTTCAGCCATTTGGCCTTTGTAGACCTGCAAGTTATCTAATTCTAAACATAAATGACATACAGACTATTATCCTTATGATCTTAATATCTTATCCTGCATTTTGATTGAATCAGGTGGGGTCTGTCGATAACATCGGCTTGTTCGTAACGGTGCATGCGCTTTTGACTCACGAAGTGACCGTCAAGAGAAGGTAAGGATGAAATCATTGAAATTATTTTGAATCATTAAAATGACCGATTTCACTGTCAGTTGTTAGTTGTAAACTGCAAACGTCGAATCATTACCGTAGTATGTTTGGATTATCGAATACTGACTACTGACTAGTAACTAATGCTACAGACGTTTACATATGTTTACAAAATTGCGAAATATTTTTGGTACAGGTTCAGTAATTCTTCTTATTCATTATGATCGGATCGAGGAGAAGTCGTAGTCGTAACGATTCGATATGATTCGCCGTTGGGAGGTTCTCAGCTTTTGTTTTCTTTGTCGACTTTGTGCGCTACTTTCTTGTTCTGATAATCGTGCCAGAGCAGACCAGCGGAGGCATATCAAGTTATCAACCAACGCACCGGCGTTGCTGCGCCCATACAGATTTTCTGGTTTCAGTTTTCACTGTTTCATTTGATTACCGTTGCTGCCGTTGCAGTTTGCTTGTTTATTTCTTTTCCTCATAGTTTTAACGATTTGTTTGTACTTTTTGTTTTATTAGATTCGCCTAGTTTAGCAGTATGAGCGCGAATTTCAAACTGCCAGTATGCAAAGCACAACCAGAAGAAAACTTCCTGACGTTCCACCAAATGGGAGTAATGGATCGGTTTGGTGGACGCACAAGGTTAAAAGTGTTTCATGGTGAGAGAGATGGGGCGACGGACTGGCGGAATCAGTTCGGCCGACCATTCTCGATTTCGGAGAAGAGCATGAGGAGAATAAGGGACCCTCGAAATGGTACGGCAATAATTGTTTACCTAATTTTCGCAGCTTTGTCTGTGTCATCGCTGCAGTCCCGTGTTTGACCGGAGTGTTAACGAAGGCTGGCAGAATATTTGTTTTTGGTTTGGTGGCTTTTGTAAATCTGCTTAGTTGGTTTCATATCACTTTTACCATGTACGAAATTAATACCAACGAAAAAAATTTTTTCCTTGAATGGTTGTTTTTGCTCATGCTTTGTTAAATATCGTTTTTGCATGATTGGTTTACTCACTGGTCAGTATTACTTACAGTGATACAGCAGAGAATCGACGGCCGGAAGTGGATGTGGAAATGGTGGTGACCAAGGAGCAGCTAATCAGCATCGCGAAAAAACCATTGAAAGTATTAAATCAGCTTTCCTTTCCCGTGACGAAAGCCAGCCTGGGCCCAGCTGGACATAAACCGCTTACGATTGGGTAAATCGCACTGATTTCTGAATTAACCAGGAGTCTTCAGTTTTGAAAAGTCTCCGTAGTGTTAAACTGTTTTATTTATTCTTCTTCAGTCTTTTATCGTTGTACTTGTTTAATTAATACGAATTATATGATCGCATAAAGCATTCAGACAGTTTTAACTTCACAGTGTGAAAATTTTTTTGTCATGTTAATAGTGGCGCCTCAAGACATAAACGAGACGCCGGCGGACACTGCGTTTCTGAAGCCTTCCTCAGTTTGAAATTTGACGACTCTGCTTTGGAAGGAATGTAAGTGAGCTTGTGGAGTTTATCGTATTGCATTTGTGATCTTTACAAAGCTCGATAGGAAGCGATTCCTTGTATTTACCAGTGTAAACACCACCTAACCATAAGACAATTTTGAGGCAATCCGTGTTATTGTGTTCCTTCATATGTAGAGAACCACCTCGAAAAAGGCAGCACTTGGCATCCGTTGGGAATGCCGACGAAAATGTTGCATTGTCACCCGTGGTTTTCTCAGTTGGACCGCCCGCGAAAACGAATATTATTGGAGACCACTCCCGGGTAAATTAATGTTTTCATAAAGATATGTATCTCCGATTTCGCATTTTGTTCTTGCAGCCGCATCTTCTCCCAACGGTCAGCAGTCGTCACTGCGGACTGAAATGCATTACCGCCGATGCCGTAAGTTTTTACAGCTATCCGAAACCATTGTAGTACTGTCACAATTTTTTAGTAGGAATAACTGCTGTTGTAATGTAATTGATACAGCGTAATTAAGGATAAACAGCAGATATACTGATTGGAATTCTTGCGATAGGTAAATATTTGTTTATTAATTATTTAGTTGTCTAACCGTCGCGGCATACACGCGCGAATATTTTACTGTATACTGAATTTGACGCGGATAAGTTGACCGAGTATCGTTTTGTGTTTCTTATTGTGCATGAGCCATATTGATGATTGTTTTTATTTTGTACAGAGTAGATGCGAAATTGTAATTTGTAGCTGCCATTGATGTTATTTGGTTTCGTAGCTTAAACGCATGATTTTAAATAAATTTGCCCCGGATGATATTGAGCGGTTTTGGATTGTGGACTGCCGGTATCCGTACGAGTATGCTGCTGGCCATATCCGAACGGCTGTCAATGCCTACCACCGCGAGGATCTCGTTAAACAGTTCTTTCAGCAGCCTTACGTCCGTCAGAATCCCCTGAAACGGATTATCGTGGTATTCCATTGTGAATTCTCGGCGGAAAGGGGGCCTTTACTGTAAAGAGCGCGGCTGTTCGTTGTATTTCGCGTTGGTAACTTTGATTTTACTGCAGGGCGAGGTATATGCGGAATGAAGATCGAAAGTTGCATCAATATCCATACCTTGCGTATCCGGAAATTTACCTCTTGGAAGGTGGATACAAAAAGTTTTTCGAATGTGCCAAGGTAGACATGCAAGAAGATGTTTCGGCATTTAGCCATTAACAAGTTGTTAGTGAAATTTCGGTGGGAAATATTATGGAAAAACGTTAAATTAATTGCGGCGTTGAATTTATAGTGCAGAAGTTTTTTTTTATTTTGCTTTAAAGTGACTGCATCTCACTTGTCAGGAGTTTTACCATTTTCAGGATCTTTGTGAGCCTCCATTTTATACTCCAATGCGTGCGGTGCAGCATCAGTCAGAGTTCATTCATTTCAAAACAAAAGCCAAGTCTTTCCATGATTTCACCGTAATGAGCAGTCGATCAACACGGTCCGGTAATATGTTCGACATCCAGTCGAAGCAGTAAAGATACTGTGCTAAATCTAAGTCCAAGCTGTTTGAGCGGTTATACTTTGTTGTTGTAACTTGTACGCGTACTTTGTCTGAATTCCGTTGCACAAGTACAGAAGCTATCAGTTAGCGTTAATTTTGTGTCGTTTGCTGATGAAAGAGTGTTAAGCGCGTACTGTTTTCAGTATTTTTATATCTGATTTTGTTTATCCTGATAGTGAGTGTTATTATTTTTTATTATGGTGTGCCGTAAAGAATGTGACCGTCGGATCTTATTACTTTTTGTGTAGAAGTCTGCTTTTTGTGCTTATGAAAGATGTACACACCATGGGTTTTGAGCCTTTGTATTTTTTACGATGTTTACTCTCATTTGCATTGATCTTGACGGTTTAACCAAATTAAAACCAGTATTTGGTGCATTTAAAGGAATCTTTTCCGAAATGAACCATTAGCTACACAACTTGAAAATCATCACTACTTACGTATAATTTATATTTATCATTTCGTGAAAATAATATAAAGTGTTATCGTTAACCGCGTAATTTCCGTACTGTGTGACCATTTGCCACCCCAGTTATGCGTTTTTTTATCAGGTGTTCAACCAGTCGCAGAGAAAAGTAATCAGTGTAAACTGACTGCGAAATTTTCGGAGCGACATTCTAAAATTCGACTTGGTTTAATGGAAAATAGAATTTCGCTGGAATGTTTAAAATAAACAACGATTTTGGGTGCCACGGAAAAATCAAAAATGAGTTCAGTAGGTTAGGAAGGTAAATCGTTCGAGAGCGGAAGTGAAGATATAATCGCTGAGATAAGCGGATTGTTTTTCCGATACGGAATTACTGTTGTAGAATTACTACAGTGTAGAGTGTTAAGGGAAGCGCAAGTGTTTCATTTCCAGCACACGTTAGCGTACGTTTTATCACGATGAGGTTTTACTGAAGCCGATTAAAATTCTCTGCGGCAAACGGTCAAAAAATTATCATGCAAAAGGTTATGACTTGGAATTCGCGATTTGTACATACTGGCGATGCGTAATACATTGACACTTGATCGATGCCGGTGTGTTGAATCTACACACCGGAAACTCGTTCTTTGCCATCGTTGCGGAAGAAGATTAGACTCGAGAGATTTTTGTCGAGTGCAGATACTCAGATTAAATGACCGTTGTTGTTTTGGTCAGTTTCCCCGTGTTGAAATTTCCGAAACTGTCTTTGCCGATGCTTAAAGAGTGCACCGTTTTCCGGAAATGGAATTAGTTCGGATTTACATTTTATCTTGTTCAGCGCAGTAATATTAATTTTTTTTGCTTTTTCAAAGAATTTATTCAACAGTAACGTGTGTAACTTATTACGTTACTGACTGGGTTAATCTTTGATAATTCGCTGTTGGGATATTTAGCCATTGTTACTTGTTTGAGTCTAGTCTTTCATAACTATGAAGGAGAAATGGCTATTTATCGTCGCTAGCAGTTGGATTCTTTGACAATTAGGTTAGCAAAGTGCAGATGTATCGTTTATTCACACATATTTCTGATGGATTATTTTATATAGACAAATTTTTAGATATAAGTCAGAAAATGCGTAAACTGCGTGCACTTTCTAATGTTGCGTGGTTAACAAAGTGGTTTTATGTGACTGAAATATCTAACTTGTTTGAAATACGTACTCTGTACTCCAGTTCCATGCTGAATCTGCGTATTCCGTTCTTTGCAGGTATCCTGCCCGTGATCCTTGCTGAGTTTTCTTTTGAAATAAACCCGCGACTGTTAATCCATGTTAATTTCACCAACAAATTCCAAACGCAATGTGATAATGACAATGACAACGTTAACTGCACAAGTATCGGTAAGCTCTCCATAATTGTACGAAGTATGTCATTATTAGTAACAATTTTTATGACCGATCTGTATCAGCTTCGAGCATAACATTATGCTGTAACAGTATTATTTTATGTGATGGGTTGATTAGTACATTCTATCTATATACGAGTACATCGAATCCGATCTGATACCGCTTTACTCGATTTCCTGCAATATGTACTTCTGTGCATGTGGCAAATATGTAACGAAATTAGTAAGTGCTAAAGATTTGTTAAATTTTGCTGCTGATACCGAAAATCGGCACAACATGTGTACGAGCATCGCGTTTTACCATTTCTTATTGTTAGGTGCATTTTTTTCATTTCTGAAGTTTTGTTTTATTAAGCTGTAAAAGGTGTGATTATGTTGGGCATTTTTTAAAGCGCGTTATTGCATTTGCGGCATATGTCATTAAACCGTGAACGACCTTTTTGATACAGTGCCGGAGAAAGCATTAATACCTTCGGGTGACGGGAACACGATAGCGCCGACAATAAAAATTTGTCAAACAGAGAGGTGCCACGAACTGGGTATGTTCGTTGTGCGAATACATAAAATCATATACGAGAACTCGACAATTTTGACGAGCTTTTCACCGGTAGCATCATCCATGAAGATGGCCATGAACTTCTCCGTTGATCCGTGTGATAATTTCTACGAATATGCCTGCGGCAACTGGAGCACTTATAATCCAATTCCAGGTATTTTTCAGATGATAGCTGTCGTATTATAATTTCGTGTTTGACAGTTTGACAAATATCCTTTCATTATCTAATGCGCACACCGTCTGCTTAAAATTTCATTTGTGTGCCAATTGCAACTTTTAATATTATATATTTTCCGCAACTGCACGATTTCTTATGCGTTCCAAAGTTTACCGTGGTTAATTTAACTTATCATTACGCTGTATAGTTACTCATGGGAAGATTTTTATACAAAGTTATGTATACTTTTGGGAAGTATAGTTATGTATACTTTTATTAACTATTTTTTATAAACTATATCTATATTTGGTACAAAAAGAGCTTGCGGAAAACTGTGATGTTTAAATACGTCATCGAGCACGTGGTATGCAATTTCGCCGCATGCCAACTAAAATGCTTGTCTCTGATTGCAGATGATCAGGGAAGCTGGGATACTTTCCATGTGGTATGCGGTTCACCAGCATACGAGTAAATTTTATCTTAATTGTGAATTGTGCTTGTTTTTTTAAGGTTACGGAAAAAGTAACTTAAGGGTGAGATAGTTTAATTACCGTTAGAAGCAACTTAAGGGTGAGATATTTTAATTACCGTATGTGCATGCTTACAGAATCCAGTAAGAGACTAACATTGTAAGAGTGCAGCAATTAACGCAAAATTATGCATAAATCATAAATATTACTGCAGTTCCGGTTTTGCAGAAATCCTTGAACGCGAAGATGTAAGCGACCTTTCCACCTCTAGGCAAAAGGCGCGAACGTTTTACAAAGCCCGGTAATAACATGAGCAATAAGCGGCATAAACTACATAGTCAATAAGTTATACATATTTATTAACCAACTACAAAGCGTCCTCTATACTTGGCAGCATACTTAATCCGATCCGAAATACTGCTGTATAGTTTTGTTTTGTTTTAGTTATTAATTTATTTACACTATGTGCTGTTGATTCAGTGTACCAAGCAAGCATAACCATTAACCAATGTTGTAGAATCGTGAGCGAAGTGTGGAAGTTTTGCTGTATTGCATAATTCACTGCAGACATGAATTAATTTCTGTACAAAGACTACAATAGCGAATTAGCGAAAAAAGGGTATAATGTCTGCAAGAATTAAATCAGCAGGGTAATACACTAGATACATTTAGTTCGTGAATACACTAACCAGATTTTTATATCCAAATTTACGTAGAGTAACGTTTGCGTTTAATGTTTTTCGTTACGAGTAATGTTTCTACAGATCGCATGGACAGCCTCGGGCCTTGGCCGTTACTGCAGCTGCTGCGCAGTGTGTTGGGCGAGTGGCCGGTGTTGGCTAAACAGTGGGATGCCGGCGGTTTTCACTGGTTGAATGCCATTAAGAAAACGAAAAAACTGGGATTGGGTCTGTTTCTGGAATGGGCCAGCTCGTCCGACCCGGAAAATCCCAAGAAGAATATCGTTCATTTTGTGGAAGCCAGTCTGGGGTTGAACACGCGGAAACTGTACTTTGCAACGCCAACGGGAATACATTCGCGATGCGTACAAGGGCTTCATTCGCAACCTCATGGTGATGCTCAACGATGAATCGGGATTTATTGCACCGGATAAAGCGGCACTTATTCAAGCGGATGCCGATGCGGTGTACGAATTCGAAGTTCTGCTTGCGGGGGTAAAAACAATACGTACATATGCAATCTAATGTATATATTTAAGATTTTCGAACCATTTTTAAATTAGAACTTGATTTGTTTGTGTGAGACATACTGAAATATTTTTGTGACTTTTTAATAGTGCGTAACGGTAAATGGATATTGTGGTATTACAGAAATGCTAAAAACTGGTTCGTTGTATAGCTTTCAGGGACGGAAGAAGAGCGTCGCAATTTATCCTTGTCGTTGAACAAGATGACCCTAGAGAAGTTCCGTGAAAAATGCCAGATCAGCACGATGACCTTACAGCAGCTAATGGATTATATGGTGGAAATAATGCCCAATTCCACGCTGAAGGAGTTGGTCACGCCGAGAATGTTATCAACATGGCCAGTCCGAATTATTTTGTGAAACTACATAGTGTTTTGGCCACATATTCCCGTGAGCCACAAAAACAGCGTGTGCTAGCCAATTACATCGGCTGGCGATTGACGATGGATTTTTCCGCCAAACTAACGAATCGAAGAAATTGCGCGACGTTTCTGACGCATTTGGACGAGTGCTGGATGGGTCGAAGAAGGAGCCGGAACGCTGGAAGATCTGCTCGGGAAAGGTCAACGCGGTAATGAACACGGCGGTCGGGTCACTCTACGTTAAGAACTACTTTGACCAATCCAGCAAATGTAAGGTTAGATTAGTGGATTTTGTACAAAATGTACATTGATGTTTATATACGTGTATCCATGATGCTGTATTATGTTATACTGTATATAGTATAAAATTAATGTATGTATGATTACTATGTGTATGAATTATTTATACATATTTTCTGTACATTGTTATTAATTTGTGAGCACAGTGAAATTTCAGGCACCTTGCAGATTCGGTTGTTAATAAAAGATTTGCGAGCCTCTTTTGGCGCGGTGTTGAAGAAAGCTGACTGGACGGATGAATTAACACAACAGCGGGCACCTGATTTAAGTTATAAGCTATGCACGAAGACATCGGATACCGGGATTACATAATGGACGACATTCCAAGTCTGGACAAGGAATACGAGCGCGAACGATGGCTATCTTTGTGCAACAAGTAATTTTAAGACAATCAATCTCAATGCCATTATTGTGTTCCTTCTCCTGTAACGAAGCACATCGAAAAAGACTGCACTTGGCATCCGTTGAGAATGCCGGCGAATCTGTTGCATTGTCGCCCGTGGTTTTTTCGGTTGGGTCACCCGCGAAAACGGTTTTTACTGGAGACTACTCTCGGGTAATTTAAAATTTTCACAAAGGTATTAAAAGTGTCTTATTACAGCTTATAGTTATTGTTAACAAGGCTTTCGATAATGCTACGCCGGTATGTACTACAGTCTACAAGATGTAACAGATACTGGAGCAGTCCCGAATACGACCGTTTACTTGGCGGAATCGTAATGGTTAATGGATTATACCGTATTTGTTTATATCGAGGTACTAGGTAGTTGGAAAAGCTGCAATTACTCAACAATTATTTCAACAAGTGCATATCTGTACACCGAAGGTTGCTGTATCGGTAGTCTGTCTCAGATCATTTCGCAATTTTATTTTTCTTTGTCCTGACTACGAGCATTCAAGCAGCGCGGAAGCCACAATTGAACATGAAACAGAAATACAGAAATCGGTGGTACATCTCGTTCCTTTCCGGGATCCTACAGTCAGTAGATAACCTGCATTTTTTGGATTTTGACTCCCGGCACAAATCTGCAAAGTGACAAAGCAAAACTACTTATGGTAAATGACAAGTAATAGCTCACTTCAAAATGCAGATTGCTCATTCGCAAACTTACGCGGTGTGCTCCACATGCTGCTCGTATTCGGCCAGGGATGTGCAAAACAGGATGACATGCTGCGGAGCATCCCATACGAATCTTTGATAAAAATAATCTGCCAGCTGTCCCCCGTTAATGTGGGTCAAAAAGTCGAAAGCTGCATTAATGCCGCTGAACGCGTTGTTGTTGGCCATGGCCAGGATTTCGGCTGCAAAAGGATTTAAAAATTTGTTCATGATTTCGTAATCAGTTCAAACCGCTAATATACTGCAATTAACGGATGTTTTGTTCAAGCAAAGCACAGCAAAATTTCGCAATGTACGCGAGATACATGATAAATCTTACTACAGTTTCTGAAAAACAAGCAGTACTGACAGTCTAATACCAAGTTTATAGCAACCAAGGAGACCATCGTTGCGGCTATGAAATAAAACAGGAACCAGCTTGACCACCATAAAAATCAATTAACACTTACCACAATGAAAACTTATGCGTAATGTGTCACGCAAATATCTATATGATGCCATGACTCACCATTATGTATCAAGAAGTGGACTTCACGTCCAGGAAGATTTTGATTTCCCTGAGGCACGGGCACTGACATTTTAATCTAAAAAGAGAACATTATCAGCTGTTATCCCAGCATCAAGAAGGTCATGGTAAGCAATCTGCAATCACGAAAATTAAGAAACAAGAACTAATAAACAGCGGAACCGAAAACTTGCTCAGTACTTGATCCAGACTGCTGAAACTTCGGCGTTACTTCGCCTTTTATTGTCATCGATATAGCACTCAATCTTTATTATTTTTCGATCGCTATGGCGCAGTTCTGACCTACAATTTTCTGACAATAACAACGAGATCAGTTTTCGAATAAAAACAACCCGGATAGGTTTCAAAACTCGAGGAACCCAAAACTCGAAGCTAAAGGAAATTCACCAAAAGGATTAATGTAAGTTAGTCTGCTGGTAAAAATTTACCAAGGGTCGTTCGTAAAAGGCGTAAACAGTCCGAGAACAGAAGCGAGAACTCGAACTTACGTCTAAAGAAGAAAACGGGAAAAGGACGGAACGAGGAATAAGAGCTTCCAACGGCAGAATAAAGGTCTAATAAGAAATGAAAATTTGTCAAGCTGAAATGCAAAGATCAAAATTTCAAATGGAGATCTCACTCACCTCATGGTCAGCAACCTGACATCACGCTTAAACCGGTGTTCAGGCTGAAGTAATGGAAGCAAGCCCCACCTCAATAGCGGTTCACATTGCGACACAAATTCTTTATGTGTAGCCTTACGTACTGTACCTGACCATATCATGCGCTTGCGGTCAGTTGCCGATACCGGTAAGCACGTACTTACCTATTTTAATTCACTTCCAGTAACCTTCCAGGTCTGGTTCTGGGCATTTTGTTCCGCGTCATCTAGGAAGGTTTAAAGCATAAAAAGCTTGCTATCAACAACAAAGGCCTACTGGTAGCCATATCGAATCAAAAACGAGCCATATTTGTTGCTTTTTACGATTATATTAATGTAGCACTTGTCTGAGGGTTGATTTAACTTTCCAAAAATTGGTTTTTATTCAGATCGGCGGTACAAGTCACAACGTTCTATCAAATTAAAATAAAGAAGTACTAAAGTAGCAAAATTTAGTAAAGGATCAATACCTCTTTTTTAATGCAATCGCCGTATCAGTAGACATAGGTAGTCGCAGTCTCACACATCTGAGAAAACTGTCTTGATGCCCGTTTGGATGCAAACTCCATTAACGAAGAACCGACTTTTGTTCCAGTATACTCATTTTAGTTTTGAACGTTCAATATGCAGCAGCCACAGAAAACTTGAAGATTATTGTAAACACTGTACTACTTTGTAGTACATATATAAAAACTGCAATGCAGGTTGCAAGGTCTAAAGTTGTCCAAATTCTGCTTACTTTTCAACCTTCATATTTTCCAGATTATGCTTTGCATGACTTTTTGTAGACAAAACTTCACTATTTATTTGTTTTTTAAACTAATTTTATTTAATTTAATTTTAAATTTCACGTAGTGTACCGGCGCTCGCAATCGTTGTTATCTTGGCGGCTATTGCCCATTAAAGAGGCATTTTATTTAATTAAAAGGAGCACCTGCAAAGGTAAACATATATATCTATATATCTACGCCTGCTATGCGTACAGTACGTTAACTAAAAACATTCGAACATGCTGCCTGCACGTAGACAATTCAGGCAAATTTACCGCATCAAAAACTGTTTGAAATTCTATTACAGGTACTAATAAAAAACAAAGAAATAGTTCTAAAAACAAATAACATCGCGCATACCAAGACTATGCCACTGCACTTACTAGCTACATGAGTTGACTGAATATCTATTGTATATAGATATTAAGAAAATCGATCTAGGCACTGTACATGTACAACCCCGGTCCCCAACGGTACCGCAATAATTTATTATTATTACTTAAATAATGAAACTTATCTAATGAAACAGCAAAATCGGTAGGTCGTTAATTTGAGTTGGAGCTGCAGTGTACAGTACTCGCACTCGTAGCTGTTCCCCAGCAGCATGAGTGCTTGTTATTGTAATTTGTGCAAGGGTCTGTCAATGCCGGTCTGATACAATAAAATGCGTATTACAGGTAATGCGATCCAACCCAGCGCAAAACGATGTTATTTAAAGGGATACCAGAAATGTCTCTCAAGTCCAGGTTGTCCCAAAATGCGCCAGTACTTCCAAACCCTTTGAAATCCAAGCTGGAAAAATATGTGCTGGCTCAATAACTTTTGAATATTATTGTACAGCTCTTAAAAACTTCGATTATGCAGAAGATAAAATATGTGCTTGCTAAATATAAGAAAACATTCCACAAATTTTCAAAGCACTAATTATAATGTACGTGTTGAGAAAAGCGTCGATAGTTCTGCCGGTTTTACTGAACATGTCACCTACGCTTTCAACATTCTCCTGAATCCCGCCCAACCCTCTGGATAGGGCACGGTGCTGAGCCAGCCAGCGTGGACAGTTTTGAATAAATCTTTTACATCCGCACACTCGACCACAGGAGGACAGTGAGATTCTAGCATAGCCAAGAAATGCAGCACGACATCTTGGGGATCGGCAGAACAATCAAACTTCATTAATGGAATCACTGCCAAATAACACCGCTTGACTGGACTCGAAATACTGTAGCAGGCAGGTGGCGTAGGACGGTTGCCGACAAATCCGATATGGCTGAACAGGGAATGCGTATAAGCCCAGTTAACTGCTACAAAACGCCGGCAGTATGGCAGTAAAACGGGAAAATGCAAAAATTCATTCCACGACGCTGCGGCGTCTTCCAGAGTCTCTGGTATAACGCCACCAGCGATCCTGCAATTTTTCAGCAAGATTAGGCTTAACTTTAATCCCTTGCGTCGCAGTATGAAGGAGATCAGCTGCATCATGATCCGGCCTTCTAAACGATGGCTGAGGTTGTCACAAGCTAAGCCCTTTATGTTTTTCTTAATCACTCGATTTAGTAGGAATACAACGTAATAAATTTCCGTGTCCATGTAAGTTGTCGGCTCCTTGCTGATAGTGCTGAAATCAATGCGAATGTGGACAGATGCCAGAGAACACGTTAATATCTTCTTCCAAGAGGAGGCCACACTAATAAAATATTGTACTTAAACAATGTCCTAAGATCAGTAAGATGCGTGCAATCCTGCATCCCGATATTACTCTGTACATATCTCAGATATCTGTATATGCCCCATTACCAGAATTCAGGTAAAGCAAATTAACGTAAATGTGTACATCAGTACATGTAGTTTACAGTTAGTATTGTAAGTGACTGCATGCAATATGGATTAAACTGCACAAAACCCATCGTCAGTTGATTGCAGTCCCTAAGCGTTGCTTTTTTGAATGAAAAGGTTAAGACAGAGTCTGGCCAATCTAGGGCGACAAATTATTAAAAAATTTTATTTATTTATATTCTGCTTACCCTTTTAACTATAAATATTTTACAAGATTTTTAAAAGTAGTCGAACTTACGTTCTTAAGATTGTGCATTCGCGACTAACAATATTTTGAACATAAAAACTCGCTGCAGTTCGAGAAACGGGTTGGAAAGTAGAGAATCGGTTACTTGTTAGGACGGTGGTCATATTGCACGTACATACAAGTACATGGCATTACATGCAATACGTAGGAGGAAGTACAAATTGCTCGTATAATAATATTATGATATGCTTGTACACCTAAAAACATACCGTCTGGCGGAAGTCCGAGAATGCATATCCAAATAAAGCAGGGATTCTGATAAAACGTGCCAAGGAAGGGTGATAAAGGAGATTTTCTCTGCATCTACAACAAAATGTCAAGATCTTGTAGATTTATTAATTACAAGCAAGTATTCGTACACCAAATTCGTAAAAATGTACAGGAATGCGCTTTTTGTACATTCCTAAACACTTTTTTATTGCATTTTGTAGCCGGCAGTATGTGCACTATGCTGAATTACTGATACTGTACTGAAAATAAAGTTTATAACAAAATTTAATATCGGCAGCCTGATCCGCAAGCCAAAATGTCAGTATTATTGTACTGATTCGACACAAGCGTCACAGACGCACAGCCTATTTTTGTAGACATACGTACATTCATAAGAAAAGCCGTTATTCTAACATTCTAGAGATTTATTGTACTCTGTACAATAATGACTGTATACTGTGGATGAATAACTTGCTCTGAGAAATTTCTGTTACTGCATTGCACATACCTGTTACAAATGGACTGCTCCGTGCGATTTCTGCGTTTGCCGGTTTGTCGTTATACCCGAAATACCGCATTTCCAACGCAGACCGAAGTTTGTTGGCCGATGACGGAGCAAAGACGCCAGTAGCGTCTTTGATCGGGTCATCCAAAAGGAAGATATGAAAAAATATGAAAATCATCGAACCTTTCTCAAACCTAACAAAAACGCGGTCAGCGTTCGTTAGAGAAGTGTCCCATAGGTGGAACGCCACATCGATGGCTCTCCGAATTCTGTGTTCGTCAATAGCACCACTGATGACGCTGGTCTCATCCAGATTAACTACATGCTTGAAAGGCAAGCCGCTATATAACTGTGGGCGCTGAAAAAACGATGCGTCCTGCCCTTGAACTGGTAATCGTCCAACCACCTGCCACGGATGCACGATTTCATCCTGCCATCCAATATCGTCGCCATTTTCAGTAGGATTTATGAACACGTATGTCGGATTAAGAAAGTCATAGTCTCGATAAGAGCCATGAAAGGTCACAACCTTTGCCGAACGGAATACATAGGGACCGTCTTCTTCTTCCCGTTTGGCAACGTATACATCTGCGATTCCCTCGGAATCCATACCTCGGAAACGTCTGTGGTACCAAACATACCGGGTGTGTATCCACGAAGGTGGAATTTTAGCGCAGTCCAGGTCGATGAACACCTGATCACCATCGATGTCTTGTAGGTAACCCAAGTACCATAAACCTTCTGCTTCCTCGCTCAGATTAACCAACACAGTGTTTGCCACATTGGCCTGCAACGGACAGCGTTTTGGTCGTGAAAAATAATTGCAACCGGCTGACATTTCAGAAGGTTTCCTGTAAACATATGCTTACAATAATGTAATTTGTAGGTTGTATGAATTGTGTACGGTATGGGCAATTGGGCATAGAGCATTAATTTTATGGAATTCTATGCAAATAGAGAATTACATCTGCATAACAATTGTACTTATTATAACGCAACTTGATTACAGTATTATTACTATTTTTTACTGACTTGATTAAAGTATAATTAGCTTCTCGCCACATTGTTCGTCGCTGACAGATAAAAAAGTAAAAAATCGTATGTTATTCAAAAGCTTGCTTTAAGTAATTACGACCTTTTGTGGAAAACCAATAGCAATAAACAATAAGTACAGTACGTAATCAACTGCAGATCATGAAATCAACTCGCAGGCTGGCAGGAAAAAAATTCATCGTGCTACTTGGATTAAAATACATAATCACAAAAGTGTGTTTTGCCTGGGATCTCCATATTACATACTGCAGGTTTAATGGATTCTTATTAGACTACTAATCAAGTTGTTCTTGATGCGAAATTTATCCACCGGTTCTCTGTACTGCATTCATATTTTGCTTCGTGTGATATGCTTAAAAATAAAAATAGGATCCAATGACCAATCTACGAGGGTACCTAATCAAGTAATGTCGTTCGCATATAAGTTATGAAATAAAAAATATGAAATCATTTTTAAAAAATAGGGCATTCATAACTGTATCAGTAGGCTGATGGCCGAGTCAATGCCCCCTCTCGGTGGCAGTCAGCATGAGTCAGAGCAACCCTAACTCACATAAAATTTAATTACCAATTAAAAACTGGCGCACATTATCGTAACATGGGTTTTGCACTATTTTACATAAAAAATTCCTGTAGAAGTGGGACCCAACCCATTGACTTTTTGACGCGCCGCTTGTGTTTATGGATGAGGGTCGTTCTTTATAAACTCGTAAGCAAAGTGCTTCTCGTCTCCGTTCTGAAAATTTGACGTGGGACAACAGGAGGTGGTCGGAACAGTCTACTTTTGGAGGAGCCAAAACTTGAGCGCCATTGTAAAGCGTCTGGTTAAAAGCCATCCCCGATTAAATTTATTAGGTAGACAGCTAATCAAGCACAGATTATTGAGGCAACTCCGAAATCCTTTCTACTCATCTACCTGATTTTCCGCAGTGTGGCGTACCTTCGGGTACCTCTTTTGCTGACTTATGGTGGTACGCTTTCTTCAGTTTAACTCCTCAAAGAATAGCCAAGTTACTATAAAGTAGCCATCGGTATAACATCTACAACCACGAAAGATTCTGGTTTTCATACCGCGATGCATGATGGAAGCTGCAGAAGAGGACAAGGTTCTGATACTGCTGTGCAAAGCCTTGAATCGGGGAACACTCCGCAGAACGTTTTTGCTTCTTTACAGCGTAATAACGATTTTTGTAACAAAATATTTTTATGCCGTGAAACTATTATTATCTATGTATAATAATCTGCAAATATTTTGGAAACTTTCTTTGAGAAAATTCAAAAAAAAGGGGACGGAAGGTGATTTACCGGTGCAATTTGGCATAACGACGGACCAAGACCGTTGCTTCTAAATACTAAAAAATTTATGCTGATAAGCCCGATGTATAGATACTTCCGTAAATAAAATTAATAATTACCTTAGACTTGCGCAGTTTAAAAAAATTTCCAGATCTAAACGATTTTCTGCAAGGTAATTAATTAACGAACGAAAGACTAACTCGAAGAAAATTTTGATGATGCCATCACTTAATAATTTTGTAACTTTTTTGCATCAACATTTCCAATCGGGACACAGATGCAATCTATGTGTAGAGAGTGTATGAACAGTTTTTTGAAAATGTTGGATTAATTGTATGAATCTAGGAATAAATAAAAAATATACGACATGACTTGATTAAGCACCCTCGTAATCTGATAGGTCGATAGGGAAAACCGCCTAGCAAACGGCACGCAGCAGATGTAATAATTTATGTTCGACCAGACATGAAGTCCTTTTTCGGTTGTCTGCTCTTGTGCCGTAATAATAACAAGCAGGACGCGCGGCGCTTACGCGCCGCGCTGACGCGGCCCACGGTTTCAAACGGCTTAAAAGTGTAGGTACCGCACGCGTGGCCTTCGGAGACCAAAAGGCCTTTGGTGACCAAAGGCTTAATAAGGCGGGTACCGCACGCGTGGCCTTCGGTGACTTAAGACTTAAAAGGCCTTCGGTAATCAAAGGCTTAAAAACCTTCGGTGACCAAAGACTTAATAAGGCGGCACCGCACACGTGGCCTTCGGTGACCAAAGGCCTAATAAGACGGGTACCGCACGCGTGGCCTTCGGTTACCAAAGGCTTTAAATGGTGGATCCCGCACACGCACCTTTTGGTTTCAAAAGACGTAAGTCAATCACTAAGTAGGATTGACCGCGTGGCCTCCAGGTTATAAAAAGCTGGAAGGCGTCAAAGCGGGTTCTTAAGGTTTCGTTAGCTTAGTAAGTACTAAAACTAAAGGTGTAATCTGGATGATCTGAATATTTGGACTGATCATCGTACGGGTGCTAAGAATTTGAAATCTTAGTACTAATGCTAAAGGGAGGATCTGGCTGATCTGGCTATCCATGCAATCTCGTACAGGTGCTTAAGCTTTGGATGGTTCTGGATGATTCGGTAGTTCAGGCTAATCTGGTAGTTTAGACTGATTGGGCAGTTCTGGCTGATCTGGTAGTTCTGGCTGATATGGCTGTCCTGGCTGATCTGGTAGTTCTGGTCCTTCTGAATGATTCGGTAGTTAAGGCTGATCTGGCTGTTTTGGCAGATTGGTAGATTTTGCTAATTATGAAAATTTGCTACGGTGCAAAGGTTTCAAAAGCTTAGAAAGGACAATTGCAAACTATTAAAGAAATAGGTATGTATCAAAAGCTGGAAAGCTCAAAAGCCGTAAGGCGGGTTCTGGCCAATCAGGAAGATTTGGAGGCGGGAGTGTGACGCACAGACAGCTCTGCTTTAATTAAATGATAATTATGTAATATGTATTGTAGTATTGTACTATGTAGTACGTACATATATTGTTAATCGATCAGTATTTTAAGCTTATTGGTGCGAAATACCTATTAATCTGCAGTGTTTTTGTCTTCAGGCTGACAACAACATTGCATAGAAATTTTGAAGTACTGACAGCTACAGATAATGCAGTCATAGATCTGGGCACTGGGAGTTGCGATCACAGAAATAACGTGGACTTGCAGTAATTAGTAACTGTTAAATTATAGGTATATTTATATAATCTATACACATAATGAGCATTTGTAGTCTCAGGCTGAGAATATATCTTTATAATCTATGTGTACTGTACATCCGTTTTTGTGATCGCAAACATTTTCTAATTTGCACCTTCCAAAAACCTAAGTAAGAAAGCGAAATGGTTAGTTGTAAAGAAAACTAAATGATATATGTGTATTCCCATAAGACAAAAACATAAACTAAATTAATAAGGGGCTCCCTTTTACTGTACGAGTGCTCAGGATGTCTTAATGTTTCTTTTAACAGGCAATAGCCATCAAAATAACAAAAAACTACAAACGCGTGTACACTAATTCGCATTTAAAATTGAAATATTAAAAAAGTGTATTTAAACATAAACCCTTGGGCACTCACACGAATGGTCAGTACAGCTTTTGCACAATAACATAAAAAACAAACAAAGAATTCACAAAATGTTCGATTTCAGCCCGGCAGAAATGAAAAGTTGGAAGAGTGAAGCTTGAAAATAACCACAGTCCACATCTAAATCGAAACTTACTTGCTGGTTTACGACATAACATTATCGTCCTTTTCGATTAACAGTCGGCATTATTCGTGAGTAAAAAAAGTGTGCTGTGTGTCTGCTGGGCATGAAAAAGTGTGTTAGGAAAGTACAACAAATCCTTCTAATCTGAATTACCAAGAGATGTTAATTGGAATAAAAGATGCAGGAAACTGGAAACATCACAATTAAATTCTATATATCTGTATGTCGCAAATGCGGCGCAGTTTGCAGACCCAACGGTCGATTCCATATATGCATACAATTATTACCAACACTACCAGCTCGCCGAAAGCGTCTCTAGATTGAGCGTATGCACGTGTTCGGTGCGATAGCAGCTACAAAGTAAGTACAAATCAGACGGTTATCCAAATGGTTACGAATGGTGGTTACAGATCACACGCCGCCCGGGGCTGAATAACATTATAACAGCAGAAACGACGCCATATGCAACGATTGAGGCGCAAGCCCTGTGTAACTAACGCCTGCTCCTTTTAGCAACATGAAATAACTACAGGCCATATGCTCCCCTCTTCCCAGACCTCGCTGCGGCCATGCATACTCACGAGCACAGTACAACTCGTTTATGTCCACACAATGAAAATTTTATTCTTAATACTGAACAGTGCTGGGCCATGGCTGCACGCCTGCAAATACAGATCAAGTAGGTTTCCAAGGGATGCAGCCGGAAGTGCTTGTAGCTATGCGCTATGCGTTTAAACTTTGCTGCTGCTGGGAGCCAGCAGCCGCGTCTGTCCGGAGATGTCGGTTAAAGTGATGTAGCACTCGCTGTAATTCAGGGGCGAGGATTCTTGGCCAGCCACTATTTCGCGAAAGCGTCAGCAAAGCAAATCTCCGTTTCAGTGTAAGTGTTCTCGGATCGGATGTAGTAGAGAAACTGGTCATGACTAAAGACCAAAGCCAAGAAAGCCGGAAGTGCAAGCTTACCAACGCTTCGAGTGCCGAGACCACCTCACGAAACGGAAAGAGAATCCTGCGTCCATTATATAGAGTGTATCCTTAGTCCTTACAGAATGCACAATTTTTCATACACTGTATGAACAATGGTACATAAACACCGATCACAGAAGTTTGTTAAACAAATCACAGTAGTCGGCAGTACGAAATCACCTAACCACACCGAAAGTTCCGAAGGAGGATTTTCAAATTCGATAAGGTGCACTCAGAACTGAAAGTCCGCATGTTTGTATGGTATAAACAATGAAGCAGACAACCATTTTTGGTTCCACCGTCCACGGAAGAACGAGTTCAGTAGGTCAGGAAGGCAAACCGTTCGAGAGCGGAAGGGAAAATACAATCTCTGAGATAAGCGGATTGTTCTTCCGATACTGTATTAAGTACGAGTACTATTGCAGAATGTAAAGTGTTAACGGAAACGTAAATGTTTCAGCACACGTTTGCCACAGTGTGGTTTTACTGAAGCCGATTAAACTTCTCCGCTGCAAAGGGTCAAGAAAATTATGATGCAAAAGGTACGAATTGAAATTCGCGATTTCTACTGGCGATGCGTAATGATTTGACACTTGATCGATGCGGGTGTGTTGATTAATGGAACCGGCAACTGCGGATAAATCTACACACCGGAAACTCGTTCTTTGCCATCGTTGCGGAAGAAGATTAGACTCGAGAGATTTTCTCAAGTGCGGAGAGGCAGATTAAATGACCGTTGTTGTTTTGGTCAGTTTCCCCGAGTTGAAATTTCCGAAGCTGCTTTGCCGGTGCTTAAAGAGCGCGGCATTTTACGGAATCGAAATTATTTCGGATTTAAAATTTATCTTGTTCAGTGCAGTAATATCAATTTCGGTTTGCTTTCCAAAGAATATACGGTATTTAGCAGTATAATGTTGTGTTTGTTATTATTACGTTACTGTTTGGGTTAATCTTTGATAATTCGCTGTTTGGATAAAGTAATTGTTACTTATTTGAGTCTTTCTAACTACGATGGAAAAATGGATATTTATCGTCGCTAGCAGTTGGATAGTTTGCGGAACAGGTGAGCAAAGTGCAAAATAGCAAATATGTTATTTACACACATTACACATTTCTGATGGATTCTGTTTTATAGACAATTTTTAGATAGAAAATGCATAAACTGCGTGCTCCATCTCCGTCGCTTTCATATGATCGGAATATTTTCCATGTTCGAAACTGATACATACTCCAATTCCAGGCTGTATCTGTACATTGCATCCTTTGCAGGTGTCCTGCCAGTGATCCTTGCCGAATTTTCTTTTGAAATAAATCCGCGACTGTTGATCCATGTTAATTTCACCAACAAATTCCAAACGCAATGTGATAATGACACTGACAACTGCACGAGTATAGGTAAGCTCTGCCTAATTGTATTTATATACAGTAGTATGTCATACCTGTTGTACTTGACAGTTTTTATGACCGACCTGTATCTAATTCTCGGATTTATGCTTCAACCATAGCATTATGCTATGATAATAATACTTTATGTGACGGGTTGATTAATACAGTTTTATACACCGAATCCGATCTGATAGTTTATAAACATATGCGTATACACCGGCAAGTACCAAATACTAAAAATTAATTAGTTCGTGATAAAGATTTCTTAAATTTTGGCTGCTTATATCACTTATGTGAAAAGCAGCATAACACTCTGCATGTACAGAGTATATCGCGCTTTGCCATTCTTATGGTTAGGTACATTTTTTTCTCATTTCTTGTGTCCTGTTTTATTAAGCTGTAAATTATGCAACTACTAATAGTATGTTGGGATTTATTTTAAAGTGTGTTCTACTAGCTTGTTGCACATGCGGTATATGTCATTAAACCGTGAACGACCTTTTTGATACAGTGCCGGAGAAATCGCTGATACCTTCGGGTGACGGGAACACGATAGCGCCGACAATCAAAATTTGTCAAACAGAGAGATGCCACGAGCTGGGTACGTTCGTTGTGCGAATACATAAAAATAACATACAAACAATCGAAAATTTTGACCAGCCTTTTACCGGTAGCATCATCCATGAAGATGGCCATGAACTTCTCCGTTGATCCATGTGATAATTTCTACGACTATGCCTGTGGCAACTGGAGCACTTATAATCCAATTCCAGGTAATTTTCGGATGATTATTGCCGTATTATGATTTTGTTGCCGACAAATAGCTTTTCATTAAGTACATAATGCGCACGCCGTCTGCTTAAATTTTAAAAGTTCGCAAACTGTAAATTTTAATTATTATTTTCCGCAACTGCACAATTAATTTATTTTTTATGCGTTTCAGAGCTTATCAGGGTTAATTTAACTTATCATTAAGCTAATGTTACTCCGGGAATTACAAACTATGTACATGTTTATTTTTATAAATTGCAGTGGATGCCATAAATGTCGTTACACCGGTAGCCAATAGAGCTATGCATATGCATAGTTGCATAACCACATTAGTGGCGTCCATTGTATGTATGTAAATTACCGCATGTTTAGTTTTATAAAATTTATAAACTGTTTTTATAAATTATATTTAGTGCAAAAAGAGCTTGCGGAAAATTGTGAAGTTTATATCCGTCATCGAGCACGTGGTGTGAAACTTCTGGTTATCTTTCTTTGCAGATGATCAGGGAAGCTGGGATAATTTCCACGTGGTATGGGTTCACTAGAACATGAATAATTTTATCTTAGTTTTTAATTACGTTTGTTTTTTAAGGTTACGGAAAAAGTCACAAAGCAACTCAAGGGTGAGTTACTGCAACCAGCATGCTAACAGAATCCCAGTAACAGTGATGGCAGCGCAGCAATAACGCATTAGCATAAATCATAATAGATAATGCAGTTTCGGTTTTGCAGAAATCCTTGAACGCGAAGATGTAAGCGACCTTTCCACCTCTAGGCAGAAGGCGCGAACATTTTACAAAGCCTGCATGGATGTCGGTAAATAAGACGAGCAAAAGACGGCATATGCTGCAAACTTAATTTATTATACGTATTTAATTAAACAATTACAAAACGTCCTCTATACTTACAATTTTGTTAGCAGTATCTTATTCCGATCTAGCATAATGCTGTAGAAGTTTGTTTGTGTTTTCGTTACAAATTTATTCAGAATAGGTACTGTTTCAATGTAACCAGCACAACCACTGATCGATGTTGTTGAATCGTGAGGAAGTGTGAAAGTTTTGCTGTATTGCATAATTTACTGTAGATATCAATTAATTTCCTTAATCATTAGATACAAAGACTACCATAGCGAACTAGCGAAAAGAGTGTATAATGTACGTATGCAGAAGCAAATCAGTAGGGCAATGTACAAAATACGTACATTTAGTTCGTAAATACAGTAACCAGATTTTTATATCTAAATTTACGTATACTACCATTTGCGTTTAATTTTTTTTCGTTACGAGTAATGTTTCTACAGATCGCATGGACAGCCTCGGGCCTTGGCCGTTACTGCAGCTGCTGCGCAGTGTGTTGGGCGAGTGGCCGGTGTTGGCTAAACAGTGGGATGCCGGCGGATTTCACTGGTTGAATGCCATTAAGAAAACGAAGAAACTGGGACTGGGTCTGTTTCTGGAATGGGCCAGCTCGTCCGACCCGGAAAATCCCAAGAAGAATATCGTTCATTTTGTGGAAGCCAGTCTGGGGTTGAACACGCGGAAACTGTACTTTGCACCGCAATCGGAATACATTCGCGATGCGTACAAGGGATTCATTCGCAACCTCATGGTGATGCTCAACGATGAATCGGGATTTATTGCACCGGATAAAGCGGCACTTATTCAAGCGGATGCCGATGCGGTGTACGAATTCGAAGTTTTGCTTGCGGGGGTAAATACACTACATAGAAATGCAATCTAGTGGAATATTTCAGATTTTCGAACTATTTTTGAATTAGAACATCATGTCTATTTATTAAATATTGGAAAATTTTTTGTGACTTTTAAATAGTGCGCCACGGTATATGAATATTGTGTTATTACAGAAATGCTAAGAACTCACTTGGTTTCGATTTGTTTAATAGCTTTCACGGACGGAAGAAGAGCGTCGCAATTTATCCTTATCGTTAAACAAGATGACATTGGAGAAATTCCACGAGAAATGCCTGAGCAGCACGATGACCTTACAGCAGCTAATGGATTATATGGTGGAAATAATGCCCAATTCCACGCTGAAAGAGCTGGTCACACCGGAAATGGTTATCAATGTGGCCAATCCGGATTATTTTGTGAAACTGCACAGTATTCTGGCCACATATTCCCGTGAGCCACAAAAACAACGAGTATTGGCCAATTACATCGGCTGGCGATTAACGATGGAATTTTCCGCCAAGCTAACGAAAAAACTGCGCGACATTGTCGAGGCATTTGGACGAGTCCTGGACGGGTCGAAGAAGGAGCCGGAACGCTGGAAAATCTGCTCAGGAAAGGTCAACGCGGTGATGAACACGGCGGTCGGGTCACTCTACGTCAAAAATTACTTTGATGAATCAAGCAAACGTAAAGTTAGTATAACGTATTTATCATTAAAGTTTACATCAATATTTATTGTATAATATACAAAATGTAATAGTGAGTAATAATATTATACAGTACATACTTGTTATATCTATATAAGTATTTTCGAATTGTGATCAAATTGCAATTTCAAGCACCTTACAGATTCGGTTGTTAGTGAAAGATTTGCGAGCGTCGTTCGGCGCGGTGTTGAAGAAAGCTGACTGGATGGATGAATTAACACGGCAGCGGGCACTGGATAAGTTAGAAGCTATGAACGAATATATCGGATATCCTGATTACATAATGGACGACATTCCACGACTGGACAAGGAATACGAACGCGTACGCTGGCCGTATATAATAATTACACGCTTTTAACGCAGCAGTTATTTAAACTATTGAAATCACGTGTAGATCCAATGTTAAAATTTGGAAATATTAATTTTAAGTAGTGTAAACTATCACTGGTTTTTTGTTTGTTGATTAGACATAAATAAGGAAATGAATTAAATTTACATTTCTAACGGTCTATCAGCAATTATCACGCTGAGCCTGCACACGAAACGCGTTTTGATAATCTTTTCGTAAAGTAAGGGTTGTAATATATGAACGCAGCAACTCCGACGTTCACGAAGAAATTTGGCTGGAAAATGCCATTGAGAATTACCGTTTTTAAATTTCAGTCCTTTGCAGCTGGAATTCGGTCGGGATCATGCGTACAACTGCATGAACGTCAACCGCTTTAGTGTGGAAACGAATCTCAAAGACTTACTAAAAGTCAATAATCGCTCTTTGGATGAATCTCTAACGCCGGCGGATGTCAATGCGTTTTATGATCCTTCCAACAATATTATCGGTAAGATCATGGCTATGAATTGCAAATTTCAGTACTCGTACCAGGTCACTGTTCTTGACGCTAATTCCAAGAATTTTCGCTGTTGTTATACATTTCGCATATCTTTGTCACTGTTAAACGGACAAAAAATTCGGGTTATTTACATATTGCACTTTGCAAAGAATATAAGTTACGATGATTTTGTAGTGTCGCGGCAGTGTTCCAGCTGTCTTAGTCCTAGGTTGTTCATAATCAAATATTCGTAGGCAGGCTAAGGCAGCTAAATGTGGAGATGTCGCATTTTCGTTTTCCGCTAGTGTTCACCTAACGTTGTGTTTTTTTTCTATTTTTCTTGACATTCGTATTTTTGTGCATGTATTTTCAGTCACTGTTGATCACTCGTTTCGGTTTTAAGCATCTCCTGATTCGTTTTACTACTTTGTATGTCTATGTATTTACGTGAGCCGTTTGTTTCCCGGTTTGCAGCATTTGTTGCCGGTATTCTTCAACTGCCATTTTACGATGCCAATCGACCGGAATATTTGAATTACGCTGCCATTGGAGCAGTAATTGGTCATGAGATTACCCATGCTTTCGATGATCAAGGTACGTTTCCCCGTTGTCATCAAGTATTTATCAGTTAACGCCTGTTTAATTACATTTTAATTACATATTAAATTGTTCTATTCCTATATCATTATGTGCTCAGCACCATGCTTTGCTGCTAACTGCCACTGTTTTGTAGGGTCACAGTTTGATGCAGATGGGAAATTCCATGACTGGTGGACGTTGGAATCGCGAGCCCGTTATGGCATGAAAGCCAGCGGTCTCGTGCAAAAATACAGCAACTACGTATTACCCCAAGGTCAAGTTAATGGGCTTTTGACGCTGGGGGAAAACATTGCTGATTGTGGGGGCGTGAAAACAGCCTATCAGGTGACCTCGTGTTTTTACTCGTATTTTCGCGGTTTGCTGCTGCACATTTGTAATTATTATTAATTTTTCCAGCACATGAATTTGTTCTGACTGGTTTGTATTTGAACGTTTAGGCATATAAACTGTACGTTCAACGACGAGGTTTCCTGGAAGCAATTCTGCCCGGTTTCGAAAATTTTACAACAGAGCAGCTGTTTTTCTGGGAGTAGCTCAGGTATTGTGTAAATTATATACAGAATAATTTTGTTTTCGAGAAACTTAGCACGCTTCGAATCTATCGTGAGTAGCAATTATTTGCTTACTAAGTTTTGAGAAACAACCGATGTTTGCCGTCTCGGTACCAGATTTCAAGTATAAGGGCTGTGAATTTCAGTTTAGTCGAACATATGCGCGTTCAAATGAGATAGGTTATTTAAAAGTACATTAAAAGTACATTTGAGCTGGCAAAACCATTTAAAATTATATTACAAAAAAATAACTTTTATTCGACAGGATTGGTGTGGTTCCGAGAGGGACAGAATGACCATGGTATCGCTGCTGTCCTTTACGCACAGTCCGAAGATGTTCCGGATAATTGGACCGCTGTCCAGTATGCCCGAATTCGCTGATTCTTACCGGTGTCGAGTTGGATCTCGTATGAATCCCCTTATTAAAGCTGCTGTCTGGTAGTGCACATGTTTTGCAAATTAACGTATTATATTTTTATTTTTTGTAACTGATGTTCAGCTTGCTTGCATAAGCAGTATTCTAGAAATTTAAAGCAGGAACCATGGATTCTTAAAAAAGAGAATCTAAGACATCAAAGGAATAAATAAAATTAAAAGACAGGCTCCAGTGCCACACAACAAAAAGTTCACGGATAAAAGATAAAAACACCAATTTATGAGATTCGCAATTCATAGACAGCTGCATAAAGATTGACGAGATCGTGGAAATCGTAAAAAGTAAAATTTTAAAACATTAAAATCCCTTACTTAAAAACACAGCACGGACGGGAAAAATTGGTGCACAATGGATATGTCGAAGCAGTACAAGGACGGAAGGGTAAATACCGAATCCAGGGAACAATCAGGGAATGCATGTATTTTGGCCGAGGTTCACTAACGCGGCTCCAATCCGGAACCAAACATTCGGATAACTTGGCAATAAACTCTGCAAATAGAGCATCCTGTGTTTTAGTCAGCAGCTCGCATCTGCTAAACAGAGCTTTGACAATGCCATGAAAGTATTTATACAATTTTTTAGGGAAGTTGAACTGCGAGAACAGAACACACACACGACAATAATCGTTTATAGTAAAACGGAATCAATTTCACGGTTCTGACACTTAATACTTACTTAACATGAATATTGGGTTCCCTGATAATCTCGCCATCACAATTCCAGATCGTTGTCGATGAGTTACCGGTAGATTCACTGGTGCGAAACAACAGCTCGTGCGCCCGACATGCGTGGAGATTGCTGCCCAGGGACTAACAAAAACGACAAAAAAATTTCATCCCGACCACAGAGGAAATGCAAAACGGATTTCTGTAACATACTCGCTGTGGTCCAATGCCCCGCTGTGTGCTGACCAGATAATGCAGCAATCGGCACCGCCCAATAGAACGCACCACCAACAAGTCCAGACATCCGTCACCGCAATGGGAAACCGGCACCACGCCTAAAGCAAATCAAACTTTCCGTAATGAACGAATTGTGACCGTTTGTAGGCACGAATTTCGATCCAAAACTTAAATGTAAATTCTTGCCTCTCGGCGACATTTCCGAACGACAACTCATACTGGCGGCGATAACGTTTGTGAACTTTCCATCCAAAGTTGACCATTCCTCCTTATCCGTACTGCCTTCTGGACCGATGGAAATGTCTGTAAACAATACAACTGTACTCTGTAAATGATCTTATTCCAATTTGCCCTACATTCTACGTCATCGAGCGTGAAAGACTAAGCTGAAATATAACATGTTCCATTCAATTACTTATACTTCCGCTCACAGTGCTACGGTTTAATTTACAGTAAGTACCATAATTACACCGTTGTTATAATTATCTTGATCGTGGTGCTTAGTGATCGTCCGCTAGTAACTAAATAATCCCTGAACATCACTGCCACTAAAGTTATTGCTGCAACGTTGCAAACGCGAACACGAACATACAAGGTCATAATAAGAGCAAAGTACGTACACCTCAACAGTACGTCAGTAAACTCAACACTTACGACTTTTGCTGGCACCGATTTCCTTGCAATACCGGCAATCCTGATAGCATTCATCACCCTCATCGGGATAACCATCAGGATTGACTGATTCCAGAGATTTGAACGATACCGAGCCATGGTAGGCTCGATTCACCAGGAATGTCTTAGCACCGGCCAACACGTATCGAGATTTGCCGAGATACCGTCGCAACCACTGCTTCTCACTGTTCCGCAGTGTGTCGCTAAAGAAACCATATCCCAGGAATGCGCAGAAGAATTTCAGAAACTGCCCATCAGATGCACGGAACACGGTTCCCACATCCAATCTCATTTCCCTACCTAAATGAAAAATTAATCATATTAGAACAGATATAATCCCAACAGTAGATAAAAACCCGTCATCTACTGTAACGTTAACAAAACTGCGAAACACCTGTCCGGCTATTTTCTATTCTCTAACCTAATAAGATGTTAATAAGAGCCGTAACCACATCTCCCAGACCGATGCAAAACCCGATAGAATCAGTCGATCCTGCAAAATACATTGATTAAGCAAATACCAAGGTGCATAGACCAATTATGAGAATAATGCAGTGGGTGCCCCGCGCATTACCTGCGGGTATTAAACCAATTCGCACTGCCGGTGCCATCAACGAAGAACACGGCCGTAGTTCGTTCACTTGCGCCCTCAACAGTACTCCCTCCATGATTTCATTAAATATCCCATCGCCACCGACAGCAATGATTCTGCGAAACAAAATCAGTGCAATCTCCTCCCAAATTCAATAATGCAAAATATTATCCAGAAATTCAATTACCCGAATTACCACCTACCCGTCGTACGGCTGAAGATGCGGATCTTGTTGCACGATCCACTCCTTTGCGTGTCCCTGATGCGTGGTGACAATGAAGTCGTAGGATATTCCACATCCCGTTAGAATCGGCGAGATAATCTTGGTCATCACACGCACAGCACCACCATTTCCGCTGATCGGATTCACGAAAAACAACAAGCGCTTTGGCCGTTCCTCGAAATCTACAAATACAATACCTCCTCCATAATATTATTACAAAATTCACTACAAGTAAATTCGTCAAGAGTTGCAGAAAATTAGCTAGTAAATTTTAAGTAAACATGAAAAAAGCAAAACTTTCACCCCCCCCCCTACAGCGCACATCCAGGAATCATGTCAAAAAGAGGTAAAAACGAATGTGTAAAAATTAATTTGCTTAACAGAGAAGTCTACAAGGAGGGAAGGAGAAGGGGAAGGAGAATTTGCTTAACAGGGAAGGAGGTAACTTAAGGTAATACGAATCAATTCGGTTACCCTCTACAGTACTAGCTAAACACAAACTCATAACGGAATGCAAACGACATAACGAAAATCTCAGAACAACTTTGATTTTCAATGCAAATTTGTTTATCGTAAATTTTCCGCATACGCCAAAGCCAGTAATAGCGTGGAAATTGTTTGTCTTTATATAAATGACCAACCAAAACATCGCGGAATATGAAGTATTCACGTAACGGAAACAGCGGAGTAAATTCCACCTGCAATCTTATCGCAGATTCCTGACAGCCTTACGATTACCTGATTGTCACATCACCCTAGACTAGCGTATCTGATTAAATCCTTTCAAACAACATTACGTCTGCAATCCGGAGATTAAACTTGAAAACAAACTAGATTTTTCCGTTTACCTTTCAAGACATCCAGCAGCGCCTTGTACAGCTCCTCCCCCTGTTCCGGGACTTCCGGTTCCAGCAGGACCTTCTTCGTTCGCCACTTCTGGTGGGAGACATGCCGGGCCATGTGCAGCAGCAGCGAATGGCTGCGGGCTGGATCGTAAACGCCACTGCGACTGAAACATTCCAGTCTGCGCAGCGACCATCGCGCACTGGACAACTCACTGTTGTCCGTCTGCACTTCGACGCTCAGCACATCCCGCAGACTGATAACGACGGCCTGTGCCACTTCTGCAACAATTTCGTGGAGAATTGTCAAAATGTGGGAGCGCAATAAGCAAGAACAAACTGTTACACACAACAAACACAAATACGATGATTTTGAGCAAACTCGGAAACCAGTTTGATGTTGTCTCCGCACACTAACGTAGGCTGCAGCATTGCGAATCACACTGAACTTCCAACTTGCATCAAGCGTTTGCGAGTGCAAAACTGTCGTTAGCTAAACATGATAACGATTAAAGGAGAAGCCATACCCGGAAAACCAGGCAGCGCTCGCAGATGAAGCGCTTCGTTCTCCAAAGTTGCTCCATAACGCACTTTGTTGCATTTAACGATGATGTGGGATTTGCCAGGCTCAATCAACACGGACATACTTCATAACCAAGAATCCACACATATATCAAACTGCACCGTTAGCTTACTACGCAAGATCAACCATTAAAAATTTAAAATTATTCCCGACATCCAAAATATGGGGAAACCAAAAGCAAAACAAACAAAACCACCTAACGCAATTCAAACTAGCAAAACAACGTGAAGTCCGTGAACAGCTGACGAAGTGAAAAGCAGAGCGCGCCTGCGCGAAACAGCCGCGAGTGGTTACCTGTCTGTCTCACAATCGATATGCACTGCAGCCGTGCAGCGTGCAGCTACCGTATGTTACATGCACCGCGCATCCCTCCGCTTCCTTCAGTTGATCCCATTCTCCCGGCGCTCAGTACGGGACAAATCCTTTTGTCGCCACCTTTTAAACACAATGCTTCATTAAGAATCGAAGTAAGATTGCGACGGAATATTTTATATCATTTTAAAATTAAATGCAATTTTTTCCTGTGTTTTGCAAGTTCAGGGCAGAGTTCCAAAGTGTGCTCTTCCGGTCAAAGTGCAATTGTGAGTTGTGGAACCGAAAAGCCGCTGTAATATGGATAATTATTTGGAGGCGGGGAAAACATTCGTCATAGACTCATAGTCGCTTCCGCGAGCAAAGGTAAATCAGCTGGCCGACAGGCTACTGGCTACGAAAGCGTAGTTTCAACTCGACGTATTTCTGCTTACTGTTGCCAGCGTTTGCCATTGCATTTCGGTCGTATTTAAACGAACAACGTACTGTTCGTTCTTTCGTTTGTTCCTCGTTTTCAAACTTGCGATAGTTGCTGCTAAAATTTTTTTTCCCCAAGTGCGTGATTTGTCCATACTTTTGAACCACAGAATACTTTATCATGTAGGTTACCGCCAAGCATTGCCAACTGACTGCAGCCAAACGTTTTTTTGCAGATTGTTTGAATTTGCTTTTTATGTTTGCAGTTCTGCCTGGTAAAAATGGCAGCCGTGGAAATGCACAGTTTCGAAGCCGCATACAGTGCGCAGATGAACGGAGTGGACCACAAGTCCAATCAATTCGTGCAGCGCGTTTCCCATCTGCCGATGGTGGCGCTGTCCCTGTCGCGTCTCTCCGATGCCTACCAGAAGACCAAGGTGCGCAATGCGCTGCTGAAGCTGGTGCTGGAGAAGGGAGAGGAAACAGTGTGGGGATCCTACAACCTGGCGTCGCTCATTGCCAGCAAAACCGGCCTCCAGGGTCCGCGTAAGTACCCTTAATCGCTTATAACTTACCTCACAAACCACAATTAATCAGCAAAAATGTGAAATGCAGTTGTTGACTTCTACTTAATTTAATACCTCGTAATGAGTTCAAATTTTAACGTTACTTATCGTTAGTATGTTTGAATTTTATAAAGTAGTGTATCAGCGCTTGAAACTACTGCTAAATGGGTGGCTTTTGTCAGTAAACTGACAATGCATACTGAGTGTTTAACCTCACAGAAATAGCAACCACATTTCTTCTGCATTCAATTTATTTTTTAAGGTTTCTGTATATAGGTGGGTGGTGTGCGTTTCCTTGTAGTCGAATATTTTTGTGATTTTATAAATAGAATTTAAAATAAATGTTGAAAACAAATTTAAATTAAATACGAGTACGAGTACGAGCGGTGTTTGCAGATTGCAGTTTGCTCAATGGCCTAAAAAAATGGCCAAAGTGTACGAGTCTGTCTGCTTTATATAATGATACAAAATCCGTATGGATTTAAGTCTCTCTTGTGAATCCAGTTCACAGCTTGAAATTTAAGTGAAGTGAAGTGTTTCCCCAAAATACGAGTGCGTGTACTTACAAGGAATGTGCTGCAATTTAAACAAAATTATCTGATTGGGATTTTCGCAGTGAACAAAGTGGATATGTCGGCGTGTTATCTGCTGAGCAAAGTCGAAGAGAAGCTTCCGGTTATCACCTACACGCCGAACGAGGTACGTCTGCACGCCATCAGTGCTCTTCGGACTGTGCTGTTGTTGACCTTCGCTCTTGATGGATAGCATCGTAATGCGCTACAAATAGTAGTCAATTTATACCAATGCTTTGCTATGCTTATGGAAATCCAGCTGTGGGCTTTAAACATAGAAGTATGGATTTCGTGTGTTTAATTTATGTAATGACGGAAGACATCGCTGTTGCAGTTGATGGATTCCACCATGCGCATCTATGATGACAATGTTCGTCCGCAAATCGATCGTATTGCGCACATCAAGGACAACACCGTGCAGAAGTATCAGGATGCCAAGGAATTCAGCGCCGTGAAGCTGTCGGAAGCCAAACATCTGGGTGCTGCCACGGTCAAAACGGTCATTGATTATCCGGTCAATCGTGTTAATCAAAGTGTGGAATGGAGTTTGAACACGGCTGATTCTCTGGTGGATATGCTGTTGCCAGAAGGTATGCCGCCAAATAGAATGCAGGTGGTTGGCTCGTGGTAGAAGTGTGATAACCGCGTGCCAATTGGCAGTTGGCACTTTTTAAGCGAGCTGCAGTATCCCCACATTTGCGCCATAATCAACACCAGATTTATTTTGATTTGCACGTAATCTTAATATTTTCGAAAAAAATAATAGCATTTTCACTTTCTTGTAATTACACAGCCATTGCCAGTGTCTTAATTTGGAAAATATCCTATTACATTTTCGTCTGGTTTACCAACCAAATATCGGATTTTCGCCTGATTTACCAACCAACCAAATAACGGATGTCTATGCAATGATGCGCTCTAAAGTTCTTACTAAGTTAATTCTGGAATTCGATGTTCCTGTGCACGAGTTTTTTCCACACGACTTTGTATCGTGTTGATCTTTGTTCATGTGCACTGGACTCGTATAATATAACTGCAGCATGCTTTTAGTGGATGTTGGACTTTCATTGGGTGTATACTTAACAGGCGGACTGTGTTTTAGGAGACTCTGACCATGTTAATATGAACAACCACCCGGAAGTGTATGACGGCAACATGGACCATGCCCGCATCATTTCGCTGAAGCTGCGCCAGCGCGTAGTTCACCGCCTGGCTGACAATGCCCACACTGCGGCTTTACTGGACCAGGCGCTGCACATTGTCGAATCCCTCAAACACTCGACGGCCGCCAACTCGGTCAACCATGTCCTGGACAACATTCGGCGTCTGTCGGTGGCCAGCCGGACTAACGGCGTGCACCACCAGGAAGGCGTTGATGTAAGCGTGTTAGCGGTGGCGTTGGTTAAGAATCTCACTGAGCAGCTGAAGGAAGCCATGGAACTGACCAGTCAACAAGTGTCGCGTTTTCTTCCCCAGCCGGTCACTGACAGGATTTCCAGTGCCACGGAAGTGGCCCGTGATATGTACGCACAGGTGTCGCAGGTGAGTTGGCATGGCGGATCTGAAAGGAGGGCATCAGTGGCCGGCTGATTGCGAAGGAGCGACCTTGTACAGATTGTCCTCTCAACCAGCGTAAACAAGCTACCACAAAAATAAAACTGATTTCTTGGGTTATTTTATTTTGGTTTAAAATAAGGTTCGAAAACCAGAAAATAAGGTTTAGAAAAAAAATGCAAATACTCATTTGATTCTGAGTATGGCGTACCGTGACTACCGTCCAAATTAATATTAGCAGCTGTTTTTAAAAGTTTTTCGGTGTTTAAATGGAATCTTGATTTCGCGATATGCTACACTAATTGACGTAAAACATTCTGTTTCTAAACAATAGACATCAGTTTTAGTACTTGTTGGGTTCTTCTTTACTGGGTTTCTGAACTCGTTGCGCTCTGCAGTGTTAGAGTGGTCGGCATTAAAATTAATTTGGCAAAAGCGGCGTTTTGTTATCGCGATTTCGATTTGAATATGCGCAGATGTACGGTCAATACGAAGAAACTGATTATTTTGGCTGATTGCAGGCGCATCATGTGGATGACCTTTCGCACTCCCTTCTTGGCCAAGTCCAGGGTTATGTTGCTTCCGTCCAAACCACTATGAATGCTGCACTGGATGTTTTAACCGAAACATATTTGCTGAAATGGCTTATTCCAGAGTACAAAAATATCGGTTCTTTGGAGATCCACATGCAGTAACCCCGCAAAGACCTGTAGTTAAAAAAGTCCCCGGTTTTACGCGTTCTTCTTAGCATGTTATAGTGCTTACATTAGTTTACCGCTGCTTCATTATCTAAATTCGGCTTGTTGAGCCTGTGACGATCATGTTTATGTCAACAGGTGTTTTGTCACATATTGAAGTTCGTTCTTTGAGAAATATCACATTTGTTGAAATTCATTCCATGAGAAATGTGGTTCCGTTTCTTTTGGAAGCTGTTTGCTTGGTGTTTCTCGTTAGGTTTAGGTTTCTGATGCTAATTTCAATGTTCTTACTCTCGCGTGCGAATTATCTGCTTGCTGCGCTATGCCTACGGCCCTACATACCTCAAGATTCTCCATATGCAATATAAGCAAAGTTAGCAAATAGATGAAATTTGTTCATTCCCAGTAAACAAGTACTTTGGATAGTGCATGATTAATAAGGCTATGAGGCTCGTGTGTTACTGTCACCGTCAAGAAGAGATATATCAGTTTGCCCCTAATACTGCTTCGCTCTAAGAAGATAAAAATTAATTATTTGTAGCACTGCCATTACATTACACCTGACAAAATTTCAGCGAGATTTTGAGAGTGAAGGGAAATTGCAAAATGCGTAACTGCGTATAGTGTACAAGATATACGCATGATTCGCATCGCAAAGGGCGATATTATCCCTAATTGTAAGTTGATGTACAGATAGAATTTGCACGACATCTACCGCTTCGAATAAGCGTTTCTATTGGGTCACAAAATGGTGAACTATTCTGACGTCGGTAGCATTGTAACCAAGTAAAATATATCTTTCCTTCAAACCGCGAATCGCACATGTTAAAGCTGGTAACACCTTTTGGAGCGCGTGCATACTGTAACTGACATCAACATCATGCCGATAACAATTAAAACCATCAATACAACATCCATTTTCCAGCATAAAATTAAATAACAAAAACTGGGATAAGAAAATGGCCAGGCTGGTTACAAGTCTAATTTTGCAGATAGCCGGGCAATTTCATGCGCATGAACACCCAGCACATGCCAAAGGAGACCAGAACACAAATAAATCCGACCATAATCCACAGCATCCTGTTTAATTTGGGCATGAGCGGACTGTTGGTCTGGTCGAAGATAACGAAACCTAAACTGCCGAGCGTGAAGAGGAAGCTGGCGGCTAAACCTTCCATGATGTACTGTCCGTTCACTCTCCACGGCATGAACGCCACCGGACGCTGGTGGCCGTGCTCATCCGTCGTGCTGCCGATGCTCGGCGGCTCCACAATAACATCATAAATTACACCTGCAACAGACAAACCGCCATTGTTGACTGAGCTTTTCAAGTTTTAATTCATTTATTACTTAACATCAGTTATCGGGATCAGTTCCACAAACCAATCAACCTTTCGGCATAATTAACAACGTTTAACGTTGAAGTTCAAATCACAATACAAAATATCAAGCAAAGCTAAAAAATGGAAAAGAGGTACGTACTTCTATGGAAAAATTCCAAATCGGTACGATTACATGCGTTCTCTCGCGGTAATGCAACAAATAATTCTCGTGAACGAAAACGTAATGCAGTGTTAAAAATGAATCTATTTGAAATGTGCTCTACAGGTGCAAATATAAATAAAATACTGCGAGCATAAAAACTATAACACATAGTCTACGAGAATAAATACGAGTACTAAACGAACCCGAACGGCTATTACAACTCAAGCTAATAATAATATAGTTTCCTCTGATTGCAGACTACGCTATAATGTTTCATTGTTCACTTTAGAAACATCTAAAAATTGTTTTAAAAACGAGAAAATATTTTGTACACTGTGCAGCCGAAACCAAATGCGCGGTATACAGCGTGCACTTCAGTGTTCCGAGACACAGGGTATTGACTCTATTTCTTCTAGCTACGTACCTCCAGTTACTAGAAAGTAGGAAAGAAGGATCATGGCAAAAACCGTCATGGGCGCAGGCGCGTGGAGCCAGCTGGGTTTCTTGATGCGCAGGTTGGGCACCTGCAGCACGCTGAAGGGGAACGCTTCGTACACCGTGTCCAACATTGTGCTTGCTCAAGGGAATCTGTCAGGGATGAACGATACTCGTATATTATGAGCGGATACAAACCGCGGACTGATATAGAACCATGCAATAAAGAATTCACCAAATCGCAGACGGCGTAAACCATGAAACGGGATTAATATCCAGTTGTCAAATAACTCAAACTGAACACAAACTGAACGACAGAAAGGAAGAACCGGTCGGTTTCACCGTGTACACTTACCCCCGCAAACTGATATTCACAAGGGCACCAATCCTTATCCGAGCAAAAAAAATGAGAAGAACCTTGCCTGGATGAAGAAAGACTGCAGGACACAAAAAAACGGGGAAATCACGAAAAAAACAAACAGGCAAACAAAATTTGTATTTGCGTATGTAAAGTTGTAAATGTAAACTTTACTCCACGTCAGCGCAGTTACGGTGGCGTAACGAGGTATAAAGTCAGATTGCCATATGCTTTTCCTTGCACTAGCCCCTTGGGCGGTTGTGAACTTGCCAGTTAGCGTGCGTGCTCGTATGCAAAAATTTAAATGCATATTAAGTAGGACTCCTATTTTCTATAGTAGAATAAAATATAAAATACCCATAATATGTGTATAATAAAATAAAATATGTAGAAAGTTCATGGTGCTTGTTCATTTTTTTTAATAAAAGCAGATAAGCCAAGTATTGTATGTACAGTACATAGGTCGATTTGTTATTAGAGAGGTGCAGCTCTAGGATCCGGGCATGGGCCTGGACGACCGACAGTTGCATCTGACTATAGGGGAGAAATACGTGAAAACGTTTTCCGGAAATCACGAGAGTCAGTGAATACTTACTATATAAATAGAATTCTGCAGAACATAAAAACGTAAACAATAATGTTTGCAAAATATGTCTTCGCCTGGCCGGATGGTTCGAATGGAATAATTATTATGGCTGGTGTCCCTGACCTTCCCTGAAGGAATTATTGTGCATTTCCTGTTGGTGAAAGCGCCGCCGTTCGCAATCTGCTGTTCATGTGCTCATAATATTATAATTATAATCGTACACTTTTATATAAACAAAAAACACCTTTCATTCTAGGTTGCTGGGATTGGCTACTTAAGAGACTCTAGCGTACCTAATCATTCTATGTGGATCTGCATATATATTCTGCACTACATGCATAATGATACTGTACATTATCGAAAGATGTAATACGTATACAGTGAAATTGTTTTTTTAGCCAGGTTTTATGCTTCCGGGTTCGCCAGGGTGCAAATTCCTCTTCACACTTTTGTATTTCACTACGATAAATTCTTTCGTGATTTGAGTTTTGTTAACCATGAGCTCGTAGCAGATAGTTATGTAATACTTAAATACGACATAATATCTATATAATTATTACACATACGAGGGTTGTTAGTTATGTTCTGTCGTATTACTTTTATTTATTTTTGGACTCATGCAATTATTATATTATTTTCATATTACTATTACTGAACTCCTAAGGCATCGTTTTCATCTGTTGCCAGATTTGTAAATACGACACAAAAAAGTTATAAATTTTTTGAATGATGGCACCTTGGAAATTTCGTTTAATTTTCTTATTTTTTGTTATTTCATTTCTCCGCAACGAATCTTTCCGATTCGGAAATTATTTTGAACCTATGCAGGATCAAGCTTATCGAATATTTAGGTTACACGAATATCCGAACTATGGATTAAGTAAAACAATTTTTTTAATATTTAGAGGTTTTTGGTTTGGGTCCGTCGTGGTGCCAATTACACCAGTCGACCACCTCCCGCCTCCAATTTTTTGCGTTTTCTCAAAGAAAGTTATCAAGGTATTTGCAGATTACTGTAAACGCTTGATAGTTATTTCCGACAGAAAAGGCTTCTGGAAATAATTTCATTGCGGGGAGGCGCACCAACATAAACGTTTCTTCGAATGCTTTTTGGCTCTTGGTCTCCCACTCCATTGACAAAACCCTGTTCTGTTATGCTGCTTCCACCAAGTATGGCGCTAAGCAAATCAGGATCTGTCGTGAGTGTAGTCTTAGGATTGATAGCTAAATGAGAGAAGTTTGGCTTTGCTAAGGAGCATTAAATGCAAAAGCACCAGTAACCACTAGTCAGCGTAAGTTGTGCCCGACGGTACTCCGCCTTGCTAAAAATCAGATCCACGCGCAATACGGAATCTGTTACTGGGGATCTGCTCTATGCTTCCCTGTCCATCCATCGGACAAACACATTTGGGGATCGGTGTCTGCCACGCGCAACAGAATGGCTTGCTATTTTAGGTTCCTCAACAAACAGACTGTTCCGATCTCCTCTCGCCATGCCTTGTTAAAATTCCAGAATAAAAACCACAAGACAAGCGCTCAGTAGTTCACGCAGAAGAACATTTAATCACCAACATAACAAGCACTTCAGATAGTCAATGGGTTGCATCCCAGTTTTTTTAAAAAATTTTAATGTGAAACAGCGCAAGCCTACGTTCGGGTGTTAATGCGCCATTTTTAATTGCGAATTAAATTTGGTGCGGGTGAGTCGTGCTCTGACTCACGCTGACTGCCACCGAGAGCGGCCATTGACTCGGCCATTAGCCTACTATTACAGTTATGATATGCTCTACTTTTTAATAATAATTTGATATTTTTAGTTTCATAACTGATATACGCACGACAGAACATAACTAACAACCCTCGTATATACAGTATTCATGCATGTTATTCCGCAGTACAACTTACAGTATTCGGTATTTAAGTACAGTACAGGACAACTGCTAATTGCGCATGGACCGGTACGTAGATGCAATTTAAGCGATGCCGGACGACTTTGTAAAATTGTGCTAAACTAAAAGTGCATGCGGCGATGGTGCAGAACGTGCATTTCCTCAAAAAGCTGATTGCTTTTCAAGTTGCGATTACAATTTTAATTTAATTGCGTCCGTGTTAAATAGCTGCTCGTGCTACGGATTTTATTTACCTATATTTTAGAGGCGAATGTATATAAAATCCTTAGCAGAGACAATTCAGTCAACTGTTTCAGAGCTTAATGCTGTCAAGCAAAAATCGGTCAGAGGAACGTTAACAATAGAAACAGTCGACGGCAATTAGTTATAATTCAGGATTTTCTGGTTTAATCACAACGTTTTTACTGATCTGGTCAACAATACTCTTGAATACTGCATTCATCGTATTATTCGCATGGCACTTATTCGATAAAGTCCGAAAGACAGGATTATTACCAATTGGATTTTAATCACTTCCGGTACACCGAGTACATAGCATGCGCGTACGCCGCCGTGTACCCGGCACCCGGCAAATCACTTGAAGCCCACTTTACTATATAACCATCTTTAGCGAATTGTTAACGGGAATCTACCGTTTATGTTTTTGCGAGACAGTGCTCAAGATAGTTATCAAGTAAATGTTACAGCATAATCTTCGGATGATCATTGTTCAATCATAAAATACTCGAAGTTGTTATTCTTACACTACTAGTGACTAGTGCCATATGTTGCTTTCCATGGAATCATCATTACGCGACGATTGAAAAGCGTCACCGAAACGGAAATCAGCATCGAAATAATAAGCCTTATTGTCAGTTTTTTACTGAAGTTTGGTAAATGTAGTGTCTCAATTTTCTAGTGGCCCGCGTTGTTTAATCTTCAACTGCAAGCGGTCTGGATATTGTGAGTTTACGGTTTGTCGGATTATACACGTTGAATACACCAGGCAGTTATTTTAACTTCATAGTTCTGGTTTGATTCACCATTCGCTGATTCGAGTACTTAATACCATTGAAAATGCTCCGCCTAGCTGTTTTTGTATTGTGTTCATTATTTGGATATTCGTTATGTGCTCATTCCTGTGAACCAAACAGCGCATTATGTATGGAAGCGAAAGGTCAGTTCGCTGTGCCCAATGAGTGCCGGAAATTCGCAAACTGCTGGGATTCGTGTGCTACACTATCGTCTTGCCCAGGAACTTTGGTAATTTATTGTTTAATATACAGTAAAAGTAGGCAGTAAAAATTTCAGCTCTTAAAATCAGTGAATTGTAAGTACCGACGTAAATGACAACGAATCTTACCAGTAAATTATACTTACCACTTGTTCACTTCACTTCGCTGCTCACTTTCAAGAACGTTCTGAAATCCTGTGCAGCACGATTAGTGCTTCTTGTTAGATGAAAACTGGGGCTGTTTAAATTAACCACATGTTTGGACAGTTCCATAATTGATTGTGCAAATACTTATGGTTAGGTTAATATGTGACAAGATTACGTGTCTAATTTGATTTTAAATAAACAAATTGCAAAAACTGACTTACAGAGATATATGTAATTCAGAAAATGCGAGCAGACACTGAACAAACAGTATGCACTAGTCTGGTGCACCACTGTTCAGGACTTCAGATGTTAATCGTAATGTTAATTCCTGTGCACTTGGACTTTCAGGTGTTCAGTGATGCTTTAGGAAAATGTGACTTCTCCTGGAACCTGGCAGCCGACCATCCGTGCTTTAAACCAATGGGCAACATCGGCGGCGGCATAATTGGTGACATTCCAAAAATATCGCCTATTCCACCCCTTAATCCCTTGTTCCCGACGTTCTCCCCACTGGGAAACATGCGTCAGCAGATGAATTCCGACGGTAGCATGTCCCAGAGCTTTAGCAGTTTATTTGGTTTCGACCATCAACAGCAAGCGTAAATCGAAAGGCCATCGTTGTAATAACCCAGAATGGAGTTGCATTATTCATCTTTTAATTTCACATCTTGGCTCGCACTAACAGCGCTTTAAATAAACATTACAGGATCTAAAGCAGAAAACGGATTTCTAAAAAGTACTTACTCTATGTGCTTACGTTCAGTCCCAGAATGCGAACACTGACAATTACAGTAAACTGACAAAATCAAATTTTGCGCTGCACACAAAATAATGCGGCAGTTATTTGACACATGCGCGATAAAGAAATAAAAGCCTCACAAGCTCACATCGTCCGGCTTGGTACTATAACTAGGTATGCTGGTTCATAAAATGGAATAATAGATACAATTCCAGACAGACTACACTTCGTAACATCGGTCAAGTTTTAATTACTGCGACGTTTTCGGTTTCGTTGCTCGTCTTTTTGTGCCAAAAGCACCAGAATGTGCTTGAAAAGACTGACGGCATCAATGAAGAGATCCAACTGCAAAAGCCAAAATGTAAAATAACGGAAACTTTCAACTCAAATGACACCGTAAACATTTACCGGCAAAAGATAAAACATATAAAAATTAATAAAAATAACTTACCGCATGTTTAATGTAATCCGTGTCTCCCATTCGGCGTTTCATGACGATCATCTAAAATAATAAAACTAATGATTTCGCAGATGTACATTAATAGCAGAATTAAGACAAATCTAACAGAAAATATTAAATATTAGATTTTGCGGAAATATTATTACAACCACCGAAAACATTTTTTAAATTTTATGCACGAAGAAGTACCGACAAAGGCGCATTTAAAGTAAACGTTAAATAAGGAATCAGTATTATGTCGCACAGTGTAATCAACGAAAAAAAGCGAATGTAACAAAAACGCTTTCAGTGCGCCTTGGACGTATTATTTTAACAAAATCAACAGTCAACTTACAGTCCCGTTGGCCAGGAAGACTATTTACTCAAAAGCCGGATGTATATGCATACCTGCGTGTCGAAAAGGATGAATCCACACATGAGTGCCAATCCAAGGTACAATGTCACCTACAGAACAACAGCCATCATTATACCGCCGCAGCTTCAATTTCCCTGGGATAATGCTTGAGCAAACTCACATCCATTGCCATTCGCCATCCAGTCAACATCCCGATCAAACGAATGATCATCAGGGAGCTTAGACCTGACATGAGAATTCCTGCAACGACAACGAAAGATATTGTTCCGTTCCCAGAACAAGTAATGCACTGGACAAAAATCTTGTATGAACCGCAGTGGCATATAACATTAATGTGCCCTACCAGGCCAAATACAAAGTGTAATTCACAACCGAAAGCAAATTTTTCTGCTGGATGAATGAAACAACTTTTTCGTATCTACCCGGGTAGTGCATTATCTAGTGCACTGGCACATATCAGTACTTACTCTTACACATATTTACAATAATGAAAATGATTTATTTTAAACGCTGGAAAATGTTTTCATTCATTCAACAACGAAAACATTAGCAAAGGATAACGAATACATCTCACACACCAAATTCAAAATCAAATCTAGTGTGCTATCTTTAATTACAAGGTGTTATCCCATGCCGATAATACAACGGAAAGCGCTTACGCCAGCTACCTCACAAGTTCACAACTGAATAATAAAGTCATTAAACTATTACCAATGCATTTCCAGACTTTTCTGTAATGTAAATAATCACGCATTTTTACCTCCGAGGTATAAGAAGCTTCGGGCATTGCCGGATAAAAGCGATGCCAACGTGAAGCACACAAAAATGGTCGCTGTCATCAATAAGGCCGTAAATATGATCTGTGGATTGATCTGGATAACCGTCTGAATCAAGGGTGTCATGTTGATTCCTGTAAAATCAATGGCATCATTAACCATAAGACTGTCCGTAAGTGTACAAAAGCAATGCTGCCTTTTAATAAGTAACTGTGCTCTGTGCACCACCTATTTAAAATAACCAAAAAAGTTCCATAATTAAAGACCACTGCGCAAAAGGAAGTGCAACATTTTTACGAGCATCTAAATGGTACAATTCGATTCGACAGAATGACAATAATGCGGACCACTTCGTGTGTGTTGGTTAAAGAATTCTGTGTCGCTTTTCTGGCCAGCTATGGAAAACCGAACACGCATCCCGAACTTTTACTTACCCATCATAGCTGCGATTCCCATGAAGAGACCCATTCGTTTATCTTGGTTCTGCATAGTTGGCTCCATCGTCACCAGAGCGATGGTCATGCCGAAAATGGCCAGGATGAACAGGAAGTTTCCGGCCAGAAACGCTGGAATGATGCCCTGGAGTGTGCAATACACACCAGCTGTGCACACCAAACAGGCCATTGATAAAGCGCCATAAACACGCGTTAAATGGGCTTTCACTGGCTTCTCTAACCTACAAAAGATCAAAAGTATTATCAATTATGTATTGAGTTTTTCAGTGGCCGTTCTCCTTAAACTTTAAATTCAAAAAAAATTCCGAAAACAACAAAACCTGCATTTTTAAAAACAGATTACTAACTCATGGGAATTTAGCTTGTATTTTTAGTCGAAGATTCCTTGTAATGCCTTTGTAAACCAACCGATAGGCTACCGGGAACTACCGCTACGCAAATTCGCAATAATAATTTTTCTTTAGTCATGTCATTCCACAAAATCAATGCCGTTTTCAAGGTCGATTCTACAGCTTATGGTGACAATTATCGGGCCAGCTTTTCCCCCGGATTTTCACAGAAGGGTAGATAACTTTTAACAGTTAGTTTGCTAACCAGTAAGCTTATTAATAGTGCTAAAACAAAAGCAGAAAGGGATTTAATAAATTTATTGTCACTTACGCAGAGAAGTCCAACAGCCCTTCCATACTGAAACGCGATCGCTCAGGCGATGTAGGGTTCCTCATAAAATCCATTTCGATTGAAAATCCGTTAACGTTTCAGAAATTTGGTGTCGAAGAATCAAATTAATTCACATAAAATTGATAAAAAGATATTAAATAATTTTCGAAGTAAACTGATCAACACTTTTTCAGTAGGCCCACTAGTGCAGAACGTCGGATGTAGATTCCAATGTGGAACATTCTGTATGGTTGGTTGGATTGTTGTCTGTTTGGTCAAAAAGCGTTCTCATGACGGTAGGACCGTACGAGTACGTACGAGAACGTATGACTTTGCAGGAACGGAATGACATCACAAGAGGCGTTGCTTAGAGTCTGACACGTGATGCACGTATTTTATTTGTTTTTATTTTAATTTTTTGTTTTAACCGTAGATCTACCGCGGTGCTCTACGTAAGTACAGTGCTATGCACTGTAAATTTGTGTACATATTATAGAATTTGATAATATTGCTATTTGCAAATTTTGAATAGTCTGCTGTAAATTTCAGGTTATTAATTATGTAATTTATAACTGTTGCCCGTTATCGCGAAACAAAATAAACCAAACATGTATGCATACGATGGCCCTATCACATATCGCAGCAACATTCACGCAAGCCGGCGCAGCAGCGGCACAAGCCGAACGGAAGAAAATCGGGAAGTACCAGAACATCACACAGGACTATCTGTTCCTTGTGGTGGGCGTTGAGATATTGGGGCCACTCGGATCAGGAACATCCCAGCTAATCAGTGAAGTTGGCAAGATGATTCGTCAGGAAATAGGCAAGATACTTGCAACGGAATATCTGCGCCAGAGGTTCAGCATCGAAATCCAACGTGGAAACGCGGCATCCATCTTGGGAACGGCACCAGCCTCGGCTAATTTAGATCAAATTTTTGTCTGTAATTCGGCCGCCGGGCGCCCGTTTCCGCTGCTTGTTAAATTTTTAATCTAATGTTTTTTTGTTTCTGTTAGATTGTCTTTTGTATTCGCTAATCAATAAACAATCACTAATCACAAACATGGAATAGTACATAGCATTAAGGGAAGTGACCCGATACATGGTGTCAAATTTGTGTATACTATATTTATATATTTACTATACGATTAGATATATTATGTATGTACTGTATACACGAGTGGTTTTGGCCTTATAGGCATGATGACTATCACTTTCGCGCGTTCCCAAACACTTTTTGCTATGTTTTATGACATTCTGTACCCAGAATCATGTTTTGTACCCTATACTTACAACTGAGGACATAAATTATATATGGTGAGTCTTCAACGCCTGCATATATGCTGAAAATTCTAGTTTCTCTTACGAGTTAGAACAATGGAGCAAGACTTCGGTTCATGGTTTGCCGGTTTGGAGTGTGTGGACCCTGCAGCCCTGCTCGGTTGTTCTTGGTGACAGCACCTCGGCGTCGCGGCTGGCTCATTATGCCGGGCTGGGCGATTGCCAATACAGCGTTTCCACGGAAGCGCTTAAATGGTTGATTCGTCCCATACTCTTTTTATACTGTATTTTCCAACTTCCTGGTCAGAAAGGTCAACTTAATTTCGTCACACGCTGCCATTCTGCTTGGAGGTGGGCGTCGCTGCAGTATGTTTCCGGGTTGAATTCGTGATTTTGGATGCTGGTTGAGTAAGCCGAGACGAGGAATTGCGGAAGTGGTTATTGTTAATTGCGCTACATACTTCTTAGTTCTTTTGTTTATGTTCAGACTTTCAGTGAGAGTATAATTGTTGATTTTCATAATTTAAGCGAAGTTTAAGAACCAATACAGACGATTCACAAGAGATCAGTCATTGTTAGTTTTCCTAATCCAGAACATAAAACTACACTCGTGCATGCTGTAATGGGATACCGCAACAAATTGACCCGTGAAGATCCAGCTGCACTGCATAAAGTTGAATTACAGTTTTTCTGCGCTAACAGTTTGAGTTTTCCTCTTCAGATTCCATCTCGGAAACGTCGCGATTACGGATTAATGTTGTCATAATTGTTTTCCTTCATTCTCTCATCCTCTTCGTATCCGAGTAAAGTGCTGATAAAATCTCCTGATCATGAGTTGTAGAGCGTACAACCCATATTTATATTGTTCAGTTTTTTTTAGCTTAATAAAACCTCTGAACATCATGATCAGGTACAATACATTCACGAAGTACTCAGTATTGTCAGTTAACTCACACTCACAACGTTTACAACCTTGATCTTTCAACGTGATCATCTGTATGGTTACGTTCGAAGCAGCAGCAGCGATAAAACGTAGATATAACAAAAACCACTTCCTCGATGCTTTCTTGAGTCGGAAGCGTTTCCATTACAGAAATGACATTTTCTCGTTGAATTTGAATTGACAGTTGCTGCCGACTATATTCTTTCGCCCGCTTCTGGCCGCGGGTGATGACTGATCTTTTCCACTAGCTTCTTGGTCCCATCTCCCCAAGGTCCGTAGATCTCGAAGGCTGCGGCAACTACTCAGTAGGTGGTATCTTAGTGCGATGCTCATTTGGAAGGATCGGAGTTGTTTTCCGGCAGATTACCAAGGCATATATACTCGTATATATAATAATATGCATGCTGCCGATAGCGCATGGATCCAGATTCCGACACCGCTTTCAAAATCTGGAGTCTGGAATCGACATTGCTTTCAGAGGGGCGATTTCCTCCTGCGTTGTGCCCAGTGCGGTTAATCTCGAGAATGCTGAGAGTGGCGCGGGAGTGTCCCATGGCCAGCTTTCGGAACGCGAAGAAGAGCGACCGAAGGAGTATATTCAGTATTGGCCATTGTCTCCATGTTCGTGTGGCTACCTCTACATCTGAGATCAGTGGCCGTACCGAGTAAGCCGATGCCCAGTCAAACCGCCCAGGTGAACGAGAAGGGATGCTTTTGTAGCCAGCTGGGATGACCCATGGTTACATTAATATTAGCGATAGTTTCAACGGCGTCGCTGCAATACATAATTATGCGTATCATTGTAACGTGTACGTACTCTGTATGTACTTCTTAGACTTCAGCGACGTCTTTTATAGGCGATCCGCGATGACGTGTTTCTTGCGATTGTTTAATGCCGATGTTTTTATGGAAAGTGTAATTAACTGCGTTGATATGCAGTGAAATATATGCCGCACATCTGGTGCGGCATCAGTAATGTTATGTAATAACAATATGATGGTGCGTATAGAAGTATTTTTGTTTTCCGGCATTCCGTTTCATGCATATTAGTATGTGGATGTTGCGTTAACCCTGACGATCCTTAACACTTGACATAATTCCCGAAAGACCCCCACACTCGGTGAAGTGCCCAGCACTTTCAAACAATAATTTATTGGTTTTCTGGAGATGATCGATAAATCTCCGTTCTCGCCATCTGCAGACAAACCATGTTTAAGCCTTTTCGGTGCAGTTGCTGATGCTGAGCAATGAGAAGAAAAACGTGTGCGTATCACTACTGGCTACGCACTGTAAAGTGAATGATTACTGAATTATATTGTTGACAGCCAGGATTTCAAACTTACGATTGTCCGCAACTTGTTTCCACTTATAAACCCATACGCTGGTCCCTTTTTAACAACAATTCTGACGTGGGCGACATAATCAAACATCCATGTTGCTGTAGCATTTCTTATGCGGAATTTGCGCTGAATTTATAGCTTCAATCCGAAATATATTTTTTCTTTGTAGAGCTTGCGCAGTTACGGAGTCGGCAATAGCGCGTATTCCTAGCGAATGATCAGATTATTGGAGTTTAACAATGAAGGTGAGATGATCAGCTGTTTCAGCGTGCCTGCATTAAAATTTGTAGGTAAGTAGCGCATGCAGTGTAAGTAATTGTGTTTACCTACTGTATTGTACGAGTATCGTAAACAAATCGCTATTAGTAATTATTACTGCTGTTTTTCTGCAAGGAGTTCAGGAAACTGAATTTTCTGTAGATTTCGGGTTGCAAAACTGTAATTTCTTTTTTCAAACACCGCGCATTTAATACTGACGATACACGTCGCATGTCCATCTGTTCAATAATTCGTATGTGTTACCAATATTGTTTGTAAACTTACAGCCAGATGAGCCGAATGAGCGAATTACAACACTATACATATTGCAAATGTCACCCGAAACTGGAAGCGGCAAAAACATGGTACGACAAGTTCATTAATAACAGTTTAATGGATTAAATTTCAGTGATGTAAAGTGTTAAATTCCAAACCTATTTTTGGCTGCAATTCAGCTGTGCAATGGCGAACCTTGATGGTGCGCAAAAAAATAATTTGTACCTACGTGTTGTTCTGGCTGATTAATATTGAAGTGGCTTTGACCTTTCCCAGGCATTGTACAGTAAACTATTCTCAAACAGTCTGATTTTATATCTGACAGTTTTAAGCAGCTTCGTATATTCTTGTACCGTGCATTGTTACTTGCTTATATAGTATACTTGTATTTTACGCTGTTTTTTAACTTAAAGATTTTTTGCTACTTTAAATTGTTCTGTGTGACGTGCATCAACAATTCAACATTATCTGTAGGCAGCGTTTTATGAATTTCACGCCAATGCAATTTATTGTGTCTTAGCGTTCATATATTTACTGATATCCATTATCCAGTCACTGATTATTCCTGTTAACTTTGTGTTTATGACTGTAAAGTAATTATTCTTGGGAAATTTGTCTTGTAGAAATGACGCAATCTGGCGGTACAGTATTAATTGCACAAGATGGTAGCCGTGTTGTCCGAGTGGGATTGGTGGGTGTACGAGGCGTTTCCGGTGGGGCGACCGTGTTAACGTTCCCTTAAAGGATGTGGCCGGCCTGCTGCTGGCTGTTGAGCAGTTTCCGCCAAGTGCATCCTCAGACGCCTTAAGTGTCTTCTCGGGGGAAGAAACTGCTGTTCGTTCAGATTATCAATCGATCTCGATAAACAAATCATGCCATTCAGTGTCCAGAGAGTTCTGCTGTTCTATTATGGTAAGAAATGCAGCCGGGAGGGAATTTATTTGGTAAAAACTCACTGCTCATTCAGTAGACCATGTGTGCGCTCATGTATAGACTATTCAAGAGTAGTTATGACTACTTATCAGATAAAAATCGATTTTTGTTCCGGATATAAACCCGAATATCACCAACACGAATCACTGTCGGCAAAGCAAAATATTACCATCTGGATGGTTTTCATGAATAATCGATCCACACTCCCCAGCTACTGCTGTTTAAACTTTTAAAACAGTTAAACTTTTGGTTTTGAATAGATTTCGAAAACAAATTAAAAAAATTAGAATATATATACATACGAATACGTATAATCGAATACGGATACGTATTTAAAGAAACACTTTGATAACTTTTTTAGTACTATTGGCTATCGCAGAAAGAAACATTTTCGTCCAATCAGCAGCCAGTGGTAGCAAAACGCTAACCGTGGTGGAGAACATCGTGCAGTACTCGGAAGCGGCCATGGACGCCAAAGCCAAGTCCAATCCGGCGCGTAATGCGCCGCCGGCCGTAGTTGCCGGCGGCGACTCCAGCCGTTTCGTCACCGCAGGGATTCCCCGGAAGACGGCCTCGAAATTTGCTATTAGTATATCTCGTGCCAGGGAAAAAATTGCCCAGACATTCAAGTTCATTGTCCGACCGAAATCCAGCGTGGCGCGACCGGCTGTGGCACAGCTGATTGCGCCGGTTTACAAGATTGACGGAGGTACATTAATCAATAACGTGATATTTGGGTGCGTATCTGTTTGCATAATTAGTCTAAGGAAATTAAAACGTGGCGTTTAGATGTAGATATTCAATTCAATCTGTGTAGACACACAGAATACAGCAATGGCACACTAAAATAAAATCACTGTTGACTGAGTGCTGCAATGATTATTTATAAATTATACATATGTTAAATATACGTAAATATGTACCCGTAATTACATTCTCGCAGGTTCACGGAATAATCATATCGATCAGCTGGTGAATAGCATAATGATGCATACGAATCGCAGTGTTTTGTACGACGCGGAATTGAAGTCTATGATCGTTACACAAGCGGAAATGCGGACAATGACGGCGGAGAATGGCCAGAGTAACATTCTGATTCACTCCAAATTGATTGATGTTTGTTGGTTGTATCGGTGGAATTTCGAGTTCCCGCTAGCGCGATTACCCGGCGTAATCATCGCTTTTCTGGCTGATGACACCATTTCGGGCAGCAATTTCCAGGACAAGGCTGAGTACGTATCGAGCATAAATTCTGACATGGTAGTAGTATCACCATGAGTCTGACTATAAGCGCGGTATAATTTGTTGTTTTGCTCTATCAGTTTGAATACGTTCAACTGTCTTGTAAGTTGTTTTTGCAAATTGTGGTGTTTCACGTATGTTTCGCTCGCTTTTTTTAAAGCAGTAAAAACTCTTCGCTTTCTGTACTTGCAGCTTCTTGGCTGGATTTATGCAGCATGCACTGGATGTGTACAATAAGATGCGCCAGAGTCCGGAGAGACTGTTTACCGTTTTCCAAATTCCATCGGGTACAATTCTTAAACACTGTGAAGCGGTCGCAGCCGAGGAACCGTTCACGATTGCCGTACACAATCTGCTGGGAATCTATTCGGCGCACACTATCCACAGGGAATTTCTTGCCGGTACTTACAGTTAGTTAGAAGAAAACGACAGCAAATTTAGCACAATGACATACGAATTATGAGGATCTAAGTTATGCGGGGGAAAATAGCTTTACTGCGTCTGACGTATCTATACACATTTGCAAACTTCATCTGTGCAAAAAAAAACACTGATTCTTGAGCCTAGATATGCATGTGATTAACGTTGTTAGTACGGCACCAGTAGGCTACGCTATAAAGGTTCATTAATCATTAATACAATTGTATGTTCCAACATATGGCTCAACAAAGGGACACATACTGTATTATTGCTTTCAGATTTGGTGGAAGCCAGCACAGTTTGCACTGACGAAATCGCCAAAGAACCTGTGTTCCATGAAGTTAGCCCATGCTTCTTTTATAAAATTAATGTCAGCCAGCTTCTCGATTTGAGAAAACCTGATAGTATATTCCGCAACGACGATATCTGCCGGTAAGATGCCAATGCAACGCAACATGGGCGAAATGAATTAGCAAATTAGCGCCTTCCGTATCTGCAACAAATTATACAGGCAATTCTAAATTAAAGAAGAATGAAGGTGCCGGTATAAAGTTGTTTTACGAAACTTTATTTCATACTGTACGGAAAATTAGCCAATAAGCGATTTTTGTACAGCTTGTTACTTATTACGGTTTACATTTCTTGGATGTAAACCGTAATAAAAAATTATTAGTAATGATTTTATAACTCTTCTAAGAGGACTTACTTTACGCATACCTCATGGGCTGCGTTATAAAAATCATGAAACAAATGTTCAGAGGTAATATTGATCTTTTAGTGAAGTTTCCTAATTACATATTTGTTAGGTATGTTACGATTTCGCATGAACTTGACCTTTCTTACAGGTACTACTTCAGTCCTCCTATGTTATCCTGCATTTCGCGAGCTTGGTCGTCGAACTGCACAGTCGACATGCTGTTGACAATCAACATGTTCATTAGGAATTTCTTTCTGTGTGCGGAATCGCTTCCTAGGGACACGGTATTGTTGATTGCACTGTTATCATCAGAAACACTTTGTTTCGTTAGAACAAACTTCTGTGACGATAAGGCTGCTAATTTGTCTAGGCAATCTTACTCCAGGATGATGAATATTTACGAGATTTCGAAAAGTTGTACGGTTCAGCTTCGCCGATCTGTCAAATAGGTGAGCGGTTTGCTTACTTGCGAACAAAAAACAAATGCATAAATTTTTAAGTAATTCTAGCCGATACGTTAAGGTATCTGCTAGAATTCTGTATTTTTCTGATAGTTCTTGTAAGAAAAACACATTTAAAAGTGTTCGATCTATTGTACACTGACTGTTAGACTATTAGCGATGGAGAAAATCATCAGATGTATGCCAAATACGCTGGACGGGAGCTTATGTACATTTACCTAGTACATTTACTTAATTAAGAGATTTTGCCTGCGCCTGTGCCGGCAAGTCCCGAGGCGAACATTAATTTATGGAAGTATTGCAAATATTAATTTATGGAAATATTGCGAAAAAACTCTTACCGGTGTTCTGTTTTTTAGGAGTGTTTGGATTTATTCCAAAAACCGTACTGTGCGTTTCAACTATATTTTTGCGCCTGAAACTCACGCTGTGGTAATGCACACGGTTTTGCAACTGACTGCTTTTTTAGCATTTCCTTAAATTATTTGCAGAATCGAAACAGTATTTCAAATTGTTTTTGACAATTACGAATTAGCTCATGATCAGAGAGCTTGTTCTTTTTTTAACTTTCGTTACATGTTACGTGCCTTACAAACGTGTAAATACTGTAGCTGCAGTTTAGCGGTGTCTTTCTATGGATTTGGTCTCTGTTGTGATGCACAAAGAACAAAGGTGTAGTCCATCTTCGTATGACCAGTTTTTATTATACTGAGTTAAACAGTGATAGATAGTTATACCTTATAACTTGTAAGTACATTTATTTTATTCGCACCCTTATCTATCTTGGTAATCTTGTTCGCATGGTATTTGTACAAATATACTAATTAAGGAAAGTCGAATTTAATAAATTGTTACGTAGTTTGCCTTGAAATGACAAAACAGGAACACATGTGCGACCAGTTGATGCAAAATAACAAAACGCCATTTAACAATCAAGTTAATACGGCGCTGCGTTAGCGCAGTTGTCTAAAGTCATTATTCGAAGACAGCCGACGCCAGTTCTGCCGGAAGTGTCCCGCGCTAGCACCTGTACCGGCTGTATTGTCTGGCGCGCGCGCAGCGGAACAGCAGCATAGATTGTTCCTGTACTATCAATCCTGAAATTTGTGTTTGGAGGCGGAATTGAGTACGTAACTTTAGCGGTCTCGTCTTCCATCCAGATAGTCCCAATTGTAGCGCCTGCTCCACAATTTCCTATGCAGTACAATAATTTACAATATTGTTGTGGTGAAACTTTAAACTTCCCACAATGACATGGTTATATTGTATGAGTACTACTTTATTAGTACTGCAGTGTAGCTGTGGTCATCCAATGTTTCTAATTACTCATGAAATCATAAAAATACGGACCATCAATTACCTTCCGTTTTCACGGTGCAGTATAAAAATATAAATCCGATTTTATTTTCTAGTTAATTTCTAATGCTTACTGGTCATCAGAAGAAACTCCCATTGACCAAATTTCAAAGTGGAAGGTGATGCCGGCGTGGCGACACACTGCGCGGCTGTCGTGGTCATTTGCGTCGTCGATGTTGTGGTGGTGGTTGTGGTAGTTGTCGTTGTGGAAATCCGTGGACAGTCATTACTAACAGTAACATACGCTGACGCGGTTCTCTCTGTTCCCTTCATGGCCGTCACCGTAAAGGTCACGCCTAATGCAGGAAACGCTCCCGTTAAGTACAACTGACCATTAGGATACAGCTTTATATATGATGGAATATCCTGTCCGGTGTACGTCGTTGTATACACCGAACGAGCGTACGGCGCCACCGAACCAATATACGTCCCGTTGGTACAAGTGGTAACACTGAAGCTATACGAAGTCTGCCGGAAAGGTGACATGGTCGTGGTGGTTGTCGCTGCACTGCAGGGCGCGATGTTGACTGTAACGAAAGTGGTGGTGGTGCTGCCCGCATCCAGATCTTGAGCTTGAACGACGAATATAAAGGAACGACCGGATGAAAGAGGTTGTGCGATGAACAACTGACCGTTGGCCGGGTTAATGGCGAAATTGGGATCGTTGCTGGGAATATTAAAGCGCACGGCGTTGGGGAAGTATGTGAGAGCCAACTGGTCGATGAATGTTCCGGCAGTTGTTGGGTTGCTTATGCAGAATGAGTAGGATGGGTTTTGGAAAGAAAAATCCGTCGGTAGGGCCGCCTGGCGGGAGTACCTTTCCTAGTAGTACAATTCAGTATAAATTTGAACTCGAAATTACACCCATGTATTCGGCATTTTTGTGCCACATCCATTTCTAGGTCACAAAAAACTTGGAACAAGAATGTGGCGATAGCTGATGTCGGTTTTGATAAATTATTTTGATGGAGCATTAGTTCAAGAAAGTACATTACTTAGATGTGGAACCACATTACCCACATGCATAAAAACGATGCAGAGATATATACTCGTAGATACATGTGCTCGCCTGCATTATTCTATGTGCCAGTTCAATCCGATTAGTTTAGCGCTGGCATTTGCAACAAATGCATGACGGCTTACTTACCGTGCTTTGGATACCTAGGATTGATGTAAATATGAGAATCAAACTATAAAGGTGGATTCGGCACATAATACCGGTTGGATCCATAATAGGCATATCCCGCTGAATACAAATTGTAAAGAACAGGAGATGACAAGAGAACAGGAGATGACTTATGGTGATTGCTTGTGATAACTAAAATTGCCAATTTTGACTTAAATCTGCTCAGCTTTGTACGGAAATAACGATGCGGGAAGTGTCATTTCTGTAAAGTTGATGCTGAAATGAGCAATGAAGTCGAAAAGTTATTCGCAAGTAGTGTTTTGACTGTTTGCTGGATTACCGGTAGCAGACTTAGAATTCAGGTTTAGCCGGAAGTTCGCAGCATTCTCTAAGGATCGCACTACCACTGCCCTGTTCATCTTTGTTGTGCTGCAGCGCACCTGTTCTTTACAATTTGTATTCAGCGGGATATGCCTTTACAAGAACCAACTGAGTCAGCAATTCTCTATAACAGTTACTCATGAAAAATAATGTTCGGTATATATGCAGGCTTAACGCTTCCAAAGAATGTGGTCGGTCTACAGTGGCCTGCTCGTAAGGTACAATATATCACATAATAAAACATGCAGAAGTCAAGACTATTTAATGTACTTAAAGTCTTCTAAATTCTCGTAAAAAAATTAGTTACGAATGTTTATAAAAGTATACCATAAAAAACTATCTGCTTATTAGTTATTACTACTTCGATTATCTATGTAAAGTGTATGCATCACCGAAAATTTCTCAAACAACTGCATGACTGGTACAAAAGATACAAACCAAACAACTTTGTATAGACTATAGAGTGAACAATCAGATGGTAAGATTTCTATTTGAAGACTACATATTTGCAACAGTAGGTCCCAGTGCTGACCGACGGACCTCCAAAAACATTGTCATACTTATTTCCGCGCGATTAACTTTTCATTTCCTACCATACACTGGAAGTCTGGAACCGATATACTACTCGTGGTACTGCAATGATACACTCTAACAGATACATGCTTTGTATGCAAAAATATTTCAATCGATCGATGTTTTTATTAGCCAATAATGTCTGGAGACGACTGGGATCCGTAGCAGTTTGCCGGTATAATAATAGTAACCGGCACCGCAGATGTTTGTCCGTCACTTGTGGCCATCACGTGCAGGGTCTGTGTTGTCCCGGACAACGGTGGTGTGTTGGAAACCAAGATTTGCCCGGCGGGGTTGATAGTAAAGTACGGACTTCCGCCCAACGCATAGGTCACCGCTGACCCCGTGCTCGTTGTGACCGTGAGTTGTCCAACGATTGATCCGCTGTCGCAGTTCGTGGCCGTGAATTCAAAGGCAGGGTAGGTCATCTGGGGTGTAGCGGGAGTAGTCAGAACCGTGTTGACTGGTCCACATGGCGATGTGTTGACGGTAATATAAGCGGTCGCAGCGCTGCCGGTGTTGAGGTCCTGGGCTTGTACGGTGAAGGCATACGATTGGCCGGATGGTAAGTTTTGGGCAATCACTAGGTTTCCCTTGTCGGGATCGACGACGAAATTGGGATCATGGCTGGGAATGGAGAAGTGGATGGCGTAAGAAGAATATGTCATGCGCAGTTGGTCGAGATATGTGCCGGCTGTTGCCGGACTCGGCACGCAGAATGTTCGAGAAGGATCTTGGAAAGATAGCTGATTGGTTTGCCGACGTGACCTTTCGGTTTTCGTCTAATAATATGCACAATCGCAATTTAAATTTACTGAAAGAGCAGTATGATGAAAAAGTTAAAAAAGCACGCAGTCAATCGATGCATATACCGTATTTCATATCTATTGCTAATTTAATATTATCAAGTGTATCTCTCAAAATGCATTGCTGGGTGTGTGGTTTAATGGACACAACGCACCGTTTGGATGCACAGCAAAATAGTGCATACAAGGAATATCAGCCAAAGTGGACTGTGCCACATAATGATGTCCGCTTTCTAAAAAAATTCGCACATTCAAGTTCCTGCGCGGGCGCATTAGCGGTAACAATAAATGTTTTAATTACATCGGTATGTTGAAGATAACTGACCTGGTTAATTAGCTGTTTTCTCTTTATCCTACCGCAAAGTTTTGGTATACGATTATTCTGGGTCAATTCCTCGATAAATGCAGAATTCTAACATATACATGTATTACACCCTCCGTGCTGATTAGTTATCGTACTCGTAGTTCTGCGTAGGTGTTGGCTTTTTATGTAGGGTTCGCGTACTCTGTCATGCTTAGTTTGCGCTCTTATTTTCGCCTCCTGTTGTTTGAAATCAGAGGAGGAACAAAAATGGGCAGGCATAATTTTACAAGATCTATCTGCAATAAAAATCCTTTATGTGAACTTCCTGACGCGGCATCTCCCAGCTTACGTTTTGCCAGATAAACGCGAATGGTAAAGGCAAAGCTTGTTACAAATCAGGTACAAAGAACAACTATATTCGTACAACTTTCACGCAGTTGTGCACGGTTTTCCTTAATTGTTAAATATCGTATACCATGCAATATCAGTAGTACCTCCGTGTTCTGATGAACTTGACTTTAACCCGGGCACTACGTAATTTTGCTCCTGTTTGCAAATATTACTCTCTCATTATTTTGGCACACACATTCAAAATTAAGTAAATGAAAAATGAATAAATTTGAAAAATTTGTCTGGTCAGCAGAATAAAAACAATTGCTCATATCGGCCTGCAGTCTGTATATTGTGCTGATAAGGCGTAGATTTGACCGTTTGGCTCATGTTTGATTACTTGTTCATCGCTTTTCCCTCCATACTGACAATGAGTACTGAGTAATAACTATTAAAGCTGTGAAATTCTTTTTCGTACATGCAATGCCAGTCCAGAGGAACTGAACATGTGTCTGAGTGCAAAACCCCAGCAAAATTCAAGTAGTGCAAGTGCAATGTACAATTAATGCCAAAAACACATTTTTGATGATACTTTTTTAAAGAAGGAAAATTAATGTGAAAGGTTTTCGCGATAATTATTTGTGGCTGTACACTGTATAGCCTGTACTAGCCCTACATATATATATATAGTGACTCGGAGAGCTTGGATGGACAGTTTTGGAAAGCTGATAACTACAGTATAAAAGTTTTTATTTGCAGTGAGACAAAAATAGATGCAGCGTTGCAGAATGGGACGCAAAACCGCTGTACGCTTTTTAAAAAATACGTACAGTATTCTCTGCACTCTGTACATTAACTGGCAAACTGGCCATTAGCCAATATCCGGTCCCGATTGCGATCCATTGCAAAGCACCGGTATAGTTATCATAACCGGCACCATCGATGATTTCCCGTTACTGGTATTTGTAGCGTAAACTTCCACGGTCTGGGTCGTTCCGGAAATTGGGGGAATCCCGGACACCGAAATAACACCGGAGGAATTAATCGTAAAGTACGGGCTGCCACCCAGCGAATAGGTCACCGCGCCGGAAGTAGACGTGGCCGTCACTCTCCCGATAATCGATCCGCTAACACAGTTTGTCGCCGTAAAGGCATAGGCGTTTTGTGAAAAGGTCGGGCTGATCCCGGTTGACACGCCCGTACATCCGGCAGTGTACAGGGTCACCGGCACCGACCGACTGCCGGCGCTGTTGGCGGCGATGACGTTGACCACGGTGGGACTGTTGGGCGGGGCGTTGGTCAGCGTAATCTGGCCGCTAAAAGGGTTAATGTTGAAGTATGGGGAAGCTAGGGAATAGTTGGTGGCACGAGCCGCGGTGACGACGCCCACGTAACTGTTGATAGGGCACCCGTTGCCCACGGATATACTGTAGCCGGTCGGCTGGTCGAAGGCGGGAATGGAGATGGCGCTGTTGGGGCACGATGTTTGCACGGCTACGTTGGTGTAGGGATTGCCCCGCTGGGCGTTGCTAGCACGCACGATGACGTTGTAAAGGCTGCACGGTTGCAGATAGTTGGTAGTTATCTAAGAAATGCAAATAATTATACAAGATGAACATGTATCGCAATAACGTGGCAAAAAGATATTTTAGTATTTCTATGTAACCGCAAACTATAAATTGCAGATCGCTAAAACCGACCGATGATTGCAGAATGACGGCAGTATGTTAGCTGGCGTATTAATTTTATGATTACCGTGCCGTCACGCAGATGCCTCACGAATGTTGGTTGACATATGAACTATGACCATAAAATAATCTGCATGCCAAACAAACCCCTGATTGTGAAGCCACCAAACTTTCAAAAATAAATCTTTGCGCATTACTTGATTTTAAATTGCTAAATGGTCATATTTCCAATTGATACTCGTATATCTATAATATTATATGAATCAAAAACGTGTCGTGCAACTTTTCGCCACACATCCGTATTATTGTTCGTATAATAAGTTCTCGTACAACTGGGAAGTTGGGAACATACCAGTGTTCCGTTAAGATAGTTGATGGCAAAATTGTTGGTTGCATAAACAATGGTCCATACTGTGGCAGACGGATAATTAACAGACACCACACCAACAGCTGTGTTGAGCTTAACATCGCTCGCTACGGAAAATGTATAGCTAGGGCTTGAAAAAGCCAGTGCTTGTGATACAGCAACCGGAAGGGCGTAAGACAATAAAAGGACACCAAAGGTCACGCTTACGGTTGAGTGTGTGAACATGCTGATCATGACCATCTTGCCGGTATACCCTAAAGTCTGTCCCCTTTGCAATTTGCGTTACTGCAGATTGACAATGAGTTGTTTTACGGTTTACCACGTGTCCTATTTATACAACTATTTTCTGTTCGGGAATTTTAAGAAATTTGTTGCATTTTGTCGAGATAGCAGTTTGTGGCAACATGTGCTATATCGTGCAAATTTTCCCACAACAGTTACTAATACGTAGAATAATAAGCCAGAAGTTGCGGTGAACGCTTAAATCACTCACGTTTCTCCACTTCATTTTTCTGTTGAGGTTAAGCGCACTTCTACAGTTTTGCTAACTACCAGCAAAAGCAACGCTCCATAGTTTTATGACGTATTTGTGCGTGGAACAGACCATGATGTAAAATGTACCGTACTGTAATAGTATCGTTCGTATTTACGATAAAACGTGATCTGCGAATAAAGTTCAATAAACATCTGTATGTTGTACGTACGTACATCCAATTCCACAGATCCTGATTTTATTATCCTCTTCCTGGCCAACGTGCCAATTTCTTATGCAACTTTACAGTATGTTAATTTTCCGGACGCCTGAGGTGTGCATACATTCTTCATAAACAAGCTATTTTCTCAAAAATTCGAATCCAACTATATAGTGTAGACTATAGTCAGCATAGTGAGTGGGCCTACGCTTAATTAAGCTTATATGGCTGCTACCGCTTATTTTGATGCACAAATTGTCGCGCATCAACACGCTACAATTATGACCTTATTTCTTCCAATTTCCGCAGTTCCAACCAAATAGCAAAATTGGAAGAGAGTTTTCCCAAAGTATGTAGTGGAAAAAGTTTACGGTCTTGCGTTCGTTGCGTTCCTGCGGTCAGGCCGTGCAATATAAGTGGACTTTACGACGGACAGTTCATCAGTTCCATTACAATAGAACTGTAAAACGTTTCATGTGCTGAAACCGATGCGGCCAACTTTATTGATTTAATTGTAAGTGTACATCAGGGACATATTATTGAAAATATGTATGCAGAGAGTATGTAAATATGTAATTCGATACAGTCACGCTACTTTGATACTTGAATAAACGTTGTGGTATAATTAAACATGGTGACTGAGGCAGAGTGGAAGCAGAAAATGTTCGAAGAAGCCCATGCAATGATGCAAGTAGAAGCCACAAAAGCTAAATCAACCATGCACATGTGTTCTTTCAACAACACCCGTACACGCGAAGAAAAAACCATTTCACAACAAACGAGGAATTACACTCCGTTGCGGAGCGAGAGAGGAAGGGAGGAAACCTTGAACTTTAAGGTTGCAAGCACCGTTGGACACGCTGTATATGTTGCCATTGCGCATATGGTCATTTCCCCGTAGCTATATATGATAAACCATCCCGTGTCGGTGTGCGCCGCACTCAAGGGCTAATTCAATGTCAATTCAATCTTGTCCACTGCGCGTAGTACGTTATGTATAAGTACATGTGTGTTATGCATCACTGGCTCGTTGTATCTGTTTGTTTCCTTTTGTATAACACCCCACGTCAGCGCGATGGGAGCGGGAAGCGGGATAATAGTCAGCTGAACATCTGGGCGCATGTGTTGGTTTGTTTATTTGATGCGGCGAAAAGGCAGCAGATTTGTTTTTTGTTCTGCCAGTGGGCTGCTGCTCGATATGCAGGAGGAGAAGCCGGTTTGTGCAGGCCAACACTGCATCCGGTCCCGGATGCGTTTTTGAGCTTTGCAATGGAAAGGATCGGTGTGAATCGTGTGATCTATGTCTTTTACGGCGAATTAACTCTATTCTGGTTGTTGTGATGTAGTCATACAGGAAATACTGGACCTGGAGATTACGGCTTGGCATTGATTGTATTTTATTAAGATTTGATCTGTTTTATCACGCATTTGCCTTGGCGGGAAGCATGCATAGAAGTATGGATATGTGGTGCGTCAATATATATTAATTCACTACGGTACAAGTACAGCAATTCTTAATTTTTGTGGGCAGGGAAATTTACTTGTACTGTAATCTTACGCACTAACAAGCTGCACTTTCTGGTTCAAAAAGGCCGCAAGGAATTGCCTTGCAAATTATTAGAACTCGTTGAACAGGATTGTAAACTAAGTGCATAGATTTGGATACCACCATTATTGTTTGCATAGAATACGGATTTATATAAATTTAAAAATCTGTCTTAATTATTTCGTTCGATTCTTTTGTGCCATTTATACAACGTAACCACCTGAGCACGAGTCGTGCTACTTTAGATCATGAAAATACGAATAATATCGTTGTAATCTTATTGATTTCTTTTAATTACATAATGATGTTTTAAAGCAGACTTTACGATTAAAAACACATATGTATACCGTAATTTCACCTACGCTATTGTGGATTTCAGTGTTAAGCGTACTTCTAGTATGCAAATCAAAAATCCTTGTTCGATGTAAATACCGGAAATGCTATGTCTGTGCATGCAGCCGTGACGGATAACCATCATGATTGGTTACGCGAACGCTTTGGTGTTCACGGACACATTAGTTCCGGTGGCATCAAGTCAACGATAAAATTCGCTTCCAAATGGATGCGACAGAAAATAAGATTTCCAGAAAATTCCTACGGTAATTATCACGCTTCGGATCGAAAAACAAAAAGACTGCTTGCAAATGGAAATTTTTTTCGAGCTCTCCTACAAGTAGGCACAATCGAGCACCAATATTTGAATTTATTTTTAGGGTCAGTTTTAAAACATACGACATAACACTAGAAAGAGATATCAGTTAAAGCTTATTTTTAATGTCTGAACGCCAATTAATAATCTGGTTGCAATAAGCACTTTAGCGATCATTTGGTGTGGCTTGAATTGCTTGGGTTAAAACTTAAAACCATTGACAGGAATACAGTAGAATAGACAGTTCCAATACAAGTGTGGAATAAGTACATCTTTATTATGATAGAAAAATTGTGTGAATTTTGTATGCCGCCAAATAAAATACATACAAGTTTATTAAACTTGCATGTAATATGTAAGAGATACCACTGTAGCTGCATACAAAACCATATGTCCGTTTTACCGTTCCGCGGGTGTTTTTATGGTGGAACGGTAGGGTAGACACAAAATGCCACGAATAATTTATAATATTAATTTAGTCAGAGGCCACAGAAAATTAGTGTTCGTGGTTAATAACTGAACACTACCAATTACCAAACAATCACACTATTCGCACTTACTACTTACTTTAATCCAGGATAATGCAGAATGGCGGCAATAGCCAGCAAACGCGTTTGCGCGACGGCTGTTGCCGGAAATCCACTATTCTAATAAGACGCCGGTTTAATACTGCTAAATCAGGAAGACTGTCAGTGTCACTTGCTTTTATAACCTCGCAAATGTAACAAGTTTTTCATGTATAATATCTAGTCATCTTACATAGTCATACTGTACTAAGTGTACCACTAATTGCAAATGTACTAATTAATTCTAAATTTAATTTATAATTTGAAAACTATATTTTATTGATAAAAGCCATATCTGTAACGTTAACACTAGTTACATTGGTGCACTACTTGATAAATAACATTTTAAAAAATCGAAATACATTTTCGAAAATAAGCTGCCCCCACAAATCGCTATCAAGCCTTAAGTCGTGACGCCAATCCAAAAATACGCTGTTTGTTTAACTTTTTGTATGAACGCATACGGGAAGTTTTATTGCGTTGGTTTTGATTTCCAGTACGCTGTACAGATAAGTGCCTGTTTATGTGTATAAGTTTTTGCTTTGTTTCTACCTTGTAATCGCAATCCAGTTGTCGCAATCTGAGTAACTTAAGCTGAAAGCAAGAGTTTTTCAATGCGAACGGATATTAGAGCACTTTCGAGACAACGACTTTGATGGCAGTGTTTTTTTACGATCATCCCCTGCGGGCTTTTGCTGGCAAGAGACACCATCGATTGCCAATAAAGTCGTCCATCGCGACAATAGCATTCACACTGCCTGCCGCTCATATCAGCTGTATGACCATGTAGTCGAATAAAAAGCCCCTCGGGATTTCGGTGGATTTCAATTCTGCTCGTCACCTGATCGCTGAATTGTCTCATAAAAATCAAATTTATCTTACTACAGCACTACCTCCGACCGTGACAACGATCCGCCGTCGTACCTTGCACATATGATCATCGTTTTTGTTTAACAGGAAATCGGCCGCAGCCAGCCAGCGATTTATGCTGACGTGGATGTGCTTGATGGTGGATTAGCACGTGTGCGGCGTGTGTGATAGCGGCGGATTAGTGTGAACGAGTGCGCGCGGGAGAGGCACGACACGGGCTGCTGTTGCTGCTGGATGAGGGGGATTTGTCGTTGTCGTCCAAGCGGGTGTCTGTCAGCGGATGTGGGTTTATTCTGGGATTATGCTTGACAGGCCAAGGTTGCGGTCGATGTCCATGTGAGCAGCAATCAGCGAAGCAACAGGTTTGTTTGATTTGTGTTGCCGTTTTTCAGCTTTGCTTTTATAGAAGTATTGCTGATGCAGAGACTTGCAAAGTACGGAACTTACCTTTTGAGTCTGTACATCTACTGTTGAGTCTGAACGCTCACATCACACCAGTGTTGTTGTAGACTGTTATTAGTCAGCAGTCAGTTGAGCAGTTGAAGAATTGTTTTGTCGGTTTCGATTGTTTACGCATTTTTCACTGTTTGGCGATTAATGTCTTCGGAAAATTTTTGTAAGGGTTTGTCATGCAGATTATTTACAGCTTGCGTGGAATGATTATTTAACACTGGGATTTTGTTCAAGCGCATAAGTTTTGTAGTAATGACTAATAATTTATTGTAGTTTTTAAGTCCTTGTTAATTACTCTCCTTTTGTTTTCAGAATGAAAATAAAAAAGGTTGCCTGATGAGTTGGTTTATTTTTAGCCGAGGTATTTTTGTGAGGACGCCGCATTCTGCTTTAAAACTGAATCCTCAAGTCAAATAATTTGCTTGCTGTAATTCTTCTGCGATTTGGTTTCGTGCCGTAAAATTGATGTGCTGTAATGCTTACAGACACATTGTCGAAATTCTACTGTTGTACTTTTTAAAATTGTTTTATACAGTAATTTATTTTTACCGGTTACAGTAATTGGCTTTTCTGTAATTTGATTTTTTTTAAGAGTTTTCGTTTAATTTTCCCGGCATTGGATTTGGCTTACTAATAACTGTCCAATGTAGCGATCACTCTTCCATAGTGCTTGGTTTGACTCTTTGGGCTGGTCGTTATTGATGATTGCGTTTGTTGCTGAATCTGTTGTTGTGTACCGGAATGAGCATGCAGCTATTTCCTTGAAAACGCTCCAGATTCACGTTTTTATCGGTCGAAAAGTTACCATTATCGCTATATTCTACTATCGGCATTGTAATTTTTCCCTCGTAAATTCACGGATGTGCCGATATATAGTTTCACTAAACGAAATATTATATACCCGGTTAGCAAAACTCCACCGGTGCATTATTAGCGATGAACATTTCTCCGGGAGAGAACTTTATTTAAGTTGTTTTAGTCTTCTATGACTTGCATATTGAGTCCATCGTTTTGGCAATATTGTATAAAACTTGTCTTTGAATGCCCTTTTATGTGGTTTTGCTTTCTGTATAGCATCTGGTGAAGGAATAATATTTGTAGACTGTATGACTGCGGATTTGACTGCTTGAGACGCGTTTTTCCGATGCGTCAGGATTACCGTGCGGTTTCTGGTTTCCGCGTGTTGGAGTATTGGTACGTAAGTGCTTGTTGTGGTAATTGTTCGGCGTAAAAAGTGTGTCTTCTATGTTTGGATCGCGTGCGCAGACAATTGTCAAGTCTCGTGAATTATTTAGCACATTTGCCGTATCATGACACACTGAAGGGAAAGTATCCGGCGTTATTTATATGATTAATGATCGGGAGCATGTTTCCTTAACTGGCTGCACTTTTTGTGCGAGCGCACTTGGTGGAATGTGTCGGCTTTTGAGTGCCTGCAAATATTCGGTAGATCGCCGATCAATATGACCGTTTCAAAAATGTCGGATACTGTAATATTGACTGGAAAATTGTAACATCATAATTAGTCGACTTTGAAGCATTTAAATCTACTTCTAAAGCAGTTAAGCAACAACATTTGCACCGAAGTAAATTTTGCTTGGATTAATAATTTCGAATAGGTGTATGTTAACGCAGTGGCTGGCAGTCAGTTTTCTCTGTACTGGATCCCGGCTCGTTTAGAAAATCACATCAGATGGTTCAACATGTACAGTATACTTTGTTTGTGCAGCTTCGAATTTTATATTTCTAGTTGATTATTCTGAAATTTTTAAAGCGGTGCTTTTAGATTCATGTCAGCACTTATTTTTGTAGACGTTACTATAGTCAGTTTTAATATTGTAAACAGATTCGGTACTGAATTTTTTGCGATGACTGGAAGGAAAATAGTGGCACCGTTGTTTCCGGGACCAAACTGTATACGAGCAGTTATGCACATTAGTGCAGTTATTTATTATTTCGCTCATCTGTCGCGCATTGCGCTTTTCATGCACGAGACACAGTGGCATTTGATGATTATGTAATCCACGGGTCTGATCGTCATTAAGCACCGTTCCGACTGTCTGTTTGCATATTGGCAGTGAGGAAAATTTTATTACGGTTAAAAGTGCTTTGGCAAGCTAGAAATTTTATCGTTTATATCCACTTGACCGCCGCGATAGGAAATTTTATCTCTTCCACACCGCGATATTCCGTATCGGTACAAGGAGCTTGCACACTGTATACGGCGGCGCTCGCTACAGCGGTGTCTAGTCGTTTCCGTTGACGATCGTACTCACGCTTCATACTATTGTATCGCATTACTTATCGAAATCAACAGCAGCCACTTTCCAAGAGTTTTTACCAAGGCCATATACCACATTGCACGTTGGGTTAAAGGTGGTAGAAATGGGTTTCGACTCATCGACGGAAGCTTTATGGCTTATTAGACTAGCAGGATTAGGATTAGGTCTCGTCTGAATTTTGTCTCACTTTTTATGGCCCACCGGAAGTTGGAAGGTTATGGCCTTTATTTTGTCATAAGTGAAGAAAGGCGGTTTTCAAGTGGTTTTGTTTAGCAGACACTCTCGCATGCGGTTCAGTCTACTCTAGGTAAGCTTTCTATGGTTTTTAAGCTGTTCATTATTATTTTTGAATTTGTTGCTTGAGTGCATCATTTGTAAAGTTGTGTAATATGTATTGCTGAAATAATGTTACTAACCGTAGGCTCACATTATTTACAATTTTATACTGCAGGTTGTATTCTTTCTTTAATAGTTTGTGTTCTACTCACGTGCATTGCCTTTTCGCTTAATTTAAATTGTTAACCCGGCAACGGCTCGGGTTTAAATTGGGTTCGAACGGGTGTGCTCATTGTGCTGCTGGAGTCAGTGGCTTTGTGACGTCTTATGCCTCTATTTATTTTTGCACATTTCTTCCTTATCATTTAATCTGCGACTGTGGTCAAAAACGTTTCCAAAGAAAACTGTTTCTAAATAGGGATACTTGCCTCATCAGCTTTTAACCGGATGGCAGAAACGTTGCAAACGCTGGCTTTGGTTACAACTAACTTATTTATAACTTGGAATGGAAGAATAACAGGCGATATTGTTATAGCAATAAGTTGAAGATCTTTTCATAACCGGTATCCAGTTTTACAAGTACTTTATATACAGCTTTAATCTTTAAGAGTCAGTAGCAATTTAGCAGTGGCGAAATGTTCTAAGTAGTGCATACAGTGCAGTAATTGTGAAAACTGATCGTTAAGGCAAAACCGGTCGTTAGAAAGTGTATCGAAAAAAGATAAATTTGCTGGGCTTATTTTTAAATAAGCTGGGGCTGTCAAATGCATTCCCAATTTGCATCCCATTGGAAGGAGTGCTTAGCAGTCTTTTGTTTATTATGGAATCCGACACCCACTTGTAACGTGCTATGAATACTATCAACATTTCACTGAGGTGTCCCTCTTGAATTGTAGATGGACCTGATCAAGTGTCGCGTTTTTCTGATTGTGTTGATTGTGTTTACGCATATGGAGATGCGTCGTACATCTTTTTGTGTGAGAAATTTAAATTTTATTGATGAACGTGCAGTGCTTCGCTTGTGGATGTACGGTGTGCTTATTTTCTACATTGCTCGGTTTGCGTTTGGAATATCTAATTATTAAGTGTTTTGATTTTTAGATCGCTATACAAGAATTTTCCCTGTGCCGCCATTTAATTTATTATGCCTGTTTTAGGTGTTTCCTCCTTTAGGCCTTAATTTGGTGAAACAACCGGCACAATGTACAACCATTCCATTTTGCTAACCAAAATGACGCGGAAGAAGGAGACGCAGCAGACCGTCGAGGGTCTACAGAGAAACCTGAAACTAAAAGATGAATACATTGAAAAATTGGAGCATGATATCCGGGAGAAGAATGAGCAGATCACACGATTGACCAGTCTTGTGGACAAGTACCAAAGCGTGTTCACAACCAATCAGAGCCTCCTTTCCGGGCCGAAACGTCGCCGAAATCCCGGCATTAGTGCTGAGCCAGTGCGCGCTGACCGGGCACTCGAATTCAAAAAGGAGTCCGTCAGGAAATATGATAAAGGAAAAAAGTAAGGAATTTTTCTAGCTGGTCATTTCTCTCCTTTTCAAAATTCTCGAGTACTCTGTACATGTACGACAGATTTGGAGTTGAAATAGTACTGCTGTAAGTTTCAAAATATCCAAAGCATATGCGGATACAGACTTGAAAATTACTCTGGCGTTCGAAGAAACTGCATGGACGTCAGTATACGATTTATCTGGTGATCGTTCACATTCAGTAGTTGCTTAAGGGAAGTGGCTCGGTACATGGTACCAAAATCGTGTAGATGCACGAAATATTTCACTTGCGACTTTCAAACCCTTTTTTCTCTTGTTTTATGACATTTTGTAGCCAAATGATTTGTATACAGGAGAAAACCGTTCGTGTAACATCAGTTCGGGAGTTATGGCTCTTAGAAAATTCCAAAAAGTTTAAATGCATTCAGGTGTACCAAAAGTCTCATTATGGACCGATCTCCTTCAAATTTTGCACGTAAATGAACATAACCACGAAGAACGTTTTTACACCGATCCACTGTTCTAGCATGTTTTTCAAATTTTAAAATGAATTTCAAAAAATTTAAAATTCATTTTAAAATTTTAAAAAAATCATAGAACTCTGGATCGGTGTAAAAATGATCTTCGTGGTTATGTGCATTTACGTGCAAAATTTGAAGGAGATCGATCCATAATGAGACTTTTGGTACATCTGAATGCATTTAAACTTTTTGGAATTTTCTAATAGCCATAACTCCCGAACCGGATGTTGCGCGCACAAACGGTTTTCTCGCCTGTGTATACAAATCATCTGGCTACAAAATGCCATAAAACAAAAGAAAAAAGGGTTTGGGAGTGCGCAAAAGTGAAAGATTTCGTGCATGTACACGATTTTGGTACCATGTACCGGGCCACTTCCCTTAAGGGCGTTAGCGTTGAAGGTGTTGTTAAAATCGCGATCTCAAATCTTACCGTAATCTTAAGCTTTTGCGAAATCGAAAATCGTAGTGAAGAAGATTCTCTTGCACTTCTCGCTGGATTCTCTCTCTGACATCATGCTCGATCTGAACCACTTTTACAAGATTCGAAATTTTTAACGACGTTTACAAAATAATTTGATCAACAGGTGGTCAAAACTTTAATATTGCCATACTATTTTCAGTTGGCATAATACAGGTATCTAATTTGGTTTGGTTAGTTACAGTAGTTTCTCTTTTTTTGTTATTTAAGGTTGCTTCTACGTACAGGCGTTTTGGAAGTACTGCGCTTTTGTGCCGAATCAGTTAAAATTGCCATGAATTTCGATAGGTGTATCACTTTTATGGCAAATTTCGTTATTTTTATTGTCGCTGTTGGCATTCACGAACAGTAAAGCACCATTTAATAGTTGGGTTAAAATAAAATTGCGGGACAGCTTTTCTGTGGCGTGTATCGTATAATTGTACTTAATAACTAATGGTCTTTCTTGCTTTATACTTACCTTGTTAGTCATACTTAGTTAGACTGCACGTTATCTTCGGCTTCGTATGCGACTTAGTTTTAAATAATTATTAAAGCTCTTGTTATGTTATTAAAAATTTTGTAAATTTACCGAATTTGGTGCTATACTTTCTAACATTTCTAACAAATGTGGTACAGAACTGCCAGATCGAAAGGCAGTTTGTACTTCCGTACAGTAATAAGTTTGCTGTATGGTAGATATATGCTGTATACATAATCGTGTAAGAAATATAATCCAAACAATTTCACATTGGTCGTTTGTCAGGTCGACTACAAAATCTAATATTCGACCAATTTGCAGGAAGACAATGCACAATGCACGGTTGCGTATATATATTTTTTAGGACTTAAGAGTCCACAATAACCCCAATGGCTGTAAGATATTGATTTGTCATTACTACGTAGCAAGGCGTGTTGAGTCACGCTTGTGGGCGTTATGTTTGAGAGTCGGCGTTTTAAGTTAATTATTGCGTATCCTTGTCATAACGTTTGGAGTGTAATTTGAAAACTGACGGCGAAATATGTCATCTGTTAAAGGCATTCCTCATAATTTGACCGCTTATCATCGTTCTGCCTTCGTCCACTGATGCGATGCTTTTCTGCATCCTGTGTACGGATACATGTCGCCTCGTCTTGTTGACGGACGAGAGACGGTGTTTAAAAATTGTCTGTAATCCGATCCGGCTTATTTGTTAGTTGTTTATTTAATTTAAGGAATTCAGCATCCTTTTGAAGCTTGGTAATTTGATAAGCAGAAAGAATGTTGCAGTTTCTGTACAGTGTTAAAGTTTCAAAACTTTTCGCCCTCGCTACAGAAAATTCGCAAGGCACGGAAAATTCACAACTATACGGCTGGGTAACTTGGGTTAGTGTTGAAATGGGCTCTCCTTGTGCGCTACTTCGGGTACCGTTAAAAAAACTTTCACAAAGGCAGAATGTTTAATAATTTTCCTGCGCATTTATTCTTTCGCGCGGCTATGATATTATGTACAGTAAATATTGTTCGTGCCTTAATATTCATAAACTGTACTTTCGACACTTTTATGTCAAGCTCAGAATACTAATGAAAACGTAGTAGGCCGATCCAGAAGCAGAGATTCAGAAAATCTGTGGGTTTAATTTCGCGAAAATTTGATCGCGTAAATTTCTGATCCTTCCTGTAACGAATGTTTTTCGTTTCTCCATATCTTAACTCGTAAAAATCCATTGATGATGTAATTTTATTTTGTATTAGCGACCGGTGGTGGTCCCTTGGTGTTTGATGATTATCTTCCCTGCCGGTTCAACATCAGAGTTTCCAGTGGTTGGCAAGCCGAAACCGCACCCGTCCACAGCTTGCACCATGCATCGCAAACCGCTATAAATCTGTCTGTAGTCAATCGAGTTGTGACTGAACCGTGTTATAGACGTCAGCCGGAAACTTGTCAGTTTTCTGCCAATTTTTATTTTCAAAATAGCACCCGCACAGTTAATAACTGTAGACGTGAGTGGGAGCTTTTTTCCTCTAACGTGCACAATTAGTTCGGGCAGATAAGAATTTTCCGATGGGGTCATTGCGTGAGTTCCAGTGGGCGCTGCTGCATAAGATTCAGGAACTAGAGTACAAGGATATTGAGATTAATGAATTGCGGAAGATTTTGTCACAAAAGGAGGAACTGCTGGAATATCAGAAGCGGGAAATTGCCAAGCTGAGAGAAATGCTGAAAATGGCTGCTGCCATGATTACGTTGCCGGTATCACCGGTTGTATCTGGTGCGGTTGTTGTGAAAAAACCCGCAGCCAAAAAGCGAGTGGCTATTTCGGCTGAACCTATTGATGCGCAAGCAGTTGCCACGTTGACCTTAAACCTCAAACGTCCCGTTACTTCCCGCAAATTTTCACAGTATGTACGCCTTATAACTTTGAATTTTTCATAAACATCGTTTTTAGTTATTTAATTTATTAGTTTCTGCGCGTTGTTCTGCGACCGCAAAGTGGTAGTTATTTTATTATTGAGCCGTTTCGAATTCTGAACCATATTCTCTTATATTTTCAGTCTGTTTGACCTGCAAATCTGTTTGACCTGCAAATCTGTTTGAGCTGCATGTACATGCATTTTGAAGTTGATTACAGTAATTTTACTAACATTGCATGTAGATTCTGTATACATAATCCATATATTTCAGCAAGTTATGGGATTAGAATATTTTCTAATCTTGCTGTTGTGTTACTTTTTATGGATTATGTATCTGCATAAAACTACTTAAGTGCTGCATGCGAAGTGGTTGATTTGTTTTTTCAAAAACCAGATCAGTAGTTTTGTATTCCTGACCGGCACTTAGAAATCCTTAAATTGTTTCACTTTCAAGTTCGATAGCTCGCAAAAAGAGCACGAGTATTTTGGATGTTTCAGTAGAAGGTGAGTGATGTTTGTACAGCAGTAACGAAGTGGAATGCTAATGGTATTGAATGCACTGGGCGTTTGTTTTTAATTTGAAGTTCTGACGCAGTGATGTGTTGTTTTAGTAACATGATACCGAATTTTCCTCTATCTATGTGCCTTACGTTAATACCAAGCGTGCTGCCGGTATATGCCAAGCCGACTGTCTTTAAAATAAGTAAAGTAGAAGAAAAGAAAAGAGGGTTTGAATTGACAATTTCCATTTTAATCTCGCTGAGTAAAGTGATACGATCGAATCAAAATCTCTTTGCCTATGGAAATCGGTTGGTAATCTGCTTGCCTAATTCGTGATATTAAGTGGTTTTATTGCTGATTCCTGCTTCTAGAACGGCACAGTGGTAGGAAGGGTCCATAATGCATATGGTGCAAGCAAGACTGCAGAAACGACTTTGATGACAGCTGGAGAATGAAAAAACTTCAGATTACAATGTTTAAATGTGATTTTCAGTGTATGTTATCTAACATTCGAGACGGTTCTGAAGTTGTTTTAATTAAATAATGTAAACCGATAACCAGATTTTTCAAAAAATATGTGTGATATCTTATGATTAATTTGCTGAATCTTCGTATTGCAGTAAGATTATTTATACAAGTATGCTTGCAACCGTGCACGTGTATAAACCATTGCTAACAAAGACCGTAATTTTTTACGCTGCTTTTACAAAGTAGTACATGTATACCTAGACAAAATGAGGAACTCTTCTGAAGGAACAGTAAGCTAAGCGTTATAAAATGCGCTGTGCAGCACAGAATTTCTGCTTAAGCAGACAAATCGGAGAATTTTGCTTTTGTACCATAAAAAAGGGTAAATTTTGCCGAAGGGTCGTGCAGTAATGCTAATAACCATAATCAGTTTCGAACCTTTCTGAATTGTTCCGCATAATCGCGATCACCATACGTTCTTTGGCCTTCCAACCAGATTTAAGACGTTGCGATAGCCTTCGTTTTGTGAATAAGCAAGTTAGTTAATTGGATTTGATACTGCATAGTAAGAGAGCGGAAAAGACTGCAAAAAAGATGTTATGCAAGTGATTTTTCCGGGTTGTAAGCTAAACGCTAGCCAAACTTGTTCTGCTGGAGTAGCATACTGAAGAGTGCTTTTGGTCAATGCAGATCAAAAGCCACCATCAAGCAAGCCATATTGGAGAATGATTTTATGAAGAACTACGATCATCAAGAGATCTCGGAAATTGTGGATTGTATGTATTATGTGGAGTATGCTGCCGACGAAATTATCATACAGGAAGGAGAGGATGGCAAGCTTATGTATGTTCTGGAAGGTGAGTGCCGAATGCTGCATTATATACAGTATCAGTTTAAATTATGTATTTCTGCATTTAATCATGCAGGGCAAATTACCCAGTTCATATACGTATTACCTACATATTCTACTGACTATTTTGTGCGGTTCAGTATTTTATCATTGGCGATCGTTGCTTAACTTTTAACTACTAGTACCCGCACAATTTGTAGCTGTTTCACAGATACATAATAATTTCCATTATTGTTTTACCAGTAGTAATACATAATATTCATCTCAATTCAATGACAAGGTACAAACGCCACCCAGCAGGGCTAAATGAGCAAACTGATAAAAACGACAATCAGTTTGCAATAAATTTTGTGGAAGGTTAAACGATACACGAAATGCGGAAACAGTTACATTGTACTTTCGTTCGCGATTGTATGCATAAATAAGCGTTTTGACACACGTGAAGCACACGCGCCGCATAAAAGAATAAGTAGTGAAAGGTACGCTGTACACATGAAACGGTTTCCAGGCATAAGAATGTTGAAAAAGTGCGAAACAGGACCGCAAAAAAATGCACTACCATATTTGATCATAATCCTTTCCGCCCTTAGCAATGTTATTCGCGTTTTTCGCTTAAACTGTCCTTCTAGAACAGCGGTTGCAGAAGTTCGGTTAATTGTTTAATTTGTTTTCTTTGAGCGAGTTTCTTGGTAGTGCCGCTGGCATTAGCCAGCAACAGCTTATACGCTGTGGCATTCTCGAGCCGCTGCAATTAAAAGGTAGGCAGCATAAAAGTTTCGAGTTTTCAATTTTTTACGTTTGAATCACAGAAAAAACGTCATGCGCTATGTAAACAAGCAGCATCCACCAGGAACTGACATTTTCCCATGATTTACGCCATAATAATGCCGAATATTTACCGGAGCGCGTCTGTTCCCTATAATTCAGTAGAATGTTTACCGTTACCACTGTTGGTTATCTGTCGCGGCGTCGATTTAATCCATCGCGGCGTCGATTTGCAGACGGTGAGGTTGAAGTCACCAAGGATGGGAAGAAACTGTGCAATATGGGACCGGGGAAGGTTTTCGGTGAGCTGGCCATATTGTACAACTGCAAGCGGACAGCCACTATTCGAGGTGAGGAAGACAACACTTTGTGCATTATGCTGTTGGTTTTGCGATTTCATTATTATGGGAAATGTTTATCACCGAAACTCTTCTTCCTCGCAGCTGTTGTGCCTTGCAAAGTATGGGCCATCGACCGACAGTCCTTCCAGATGATTATGATGCGGCAGGGATTGATGAAGCAACAGGAATACGTTGCCTTCTTGAAAAGGTTAGTTTGGTTTACGATAATCATGAACTTGTTGCTGTTTGAAATTCGTACATGAACGCTGTCAAATCTGATTGCGCCAAATTGGTTTCCATTTCAGAGTTTTTTTATATAGGTATATTCATTAGGCGCAAATGCAAATTTGATTAAAGGAATTAACAAGGTTGCAATTATTGCAGTGTTCCTTCAATGAAAGGCTTACCGGACGATACGTTGGCACGTATTGCAGATGTCATCGAAGAGGTGAATTGGTTTAGTGCAAACCAGTTGTCTATTGCATGAAACTGACAGGGAATAACGCGGTGTCTTTTGTTTTCCATTACAGTACCATTATAACTGCGGGGAGTACATTATCCGACAAGGTGCTCGCGGTGACACTTTTTTTATTATCAGCCGGGGCAGGGTATGGCGCTTGCATCGCTTAAATTGTAAAGTGTGGTTAAGTCTGAAATGTTATATTTACACCGCAATGAATATCAGGTGAAAGTCACGAGGAAGGCCACGGAGAACGAAGAGGAGAAGTTCATCCGGAGCCTGGAGCGGGGAGACTTCTTCGGCGAAAGAGCTCTTCGAGGGTCAGTTGCCGGTGTTAGATTTCTTAGTATTTACGCAAATCTATGTATTCATGTTTATCTTAAAACTACTTTTATGACTGCTTTCACAGGGAGGAAATTCGAACGGCCAACATTGTGGTCGAGTCGAAGGATGGCGTCACCTGCCTCGTTATGGACCGAGAGTATGCTGGATTGCAGCTAATTCCTGCTACAACTTATATATTATATTATTGTATCGTTTTACAGCAACTTCAACCAGATGCTCTGTAGTCTAGAAGAATTCAATCGGCAGTATGAAGACGAAGTGGAAACGGAGCGATTTCGGTAAATATGGATTTTAAGTTGGCTTACTGTGTAGTAATTAACATATTTTGTTCAAAATTCGAACATTCTTGTTTCTGTTGATAAGGTTGGTTATTGAATTTGTGTTGCAGTGTGCGTGGTGAATATGCTCATCTCAAATTATCTGACCTGCGCGTTATTGCCACATTGGGCATTGGCGGCTTTGGTCGTGTGGAATTAGTGCAGCTAATTGAGAATCCCGAGAAAAGCTTTGCGCTGAAAGCCATGAAGAAAGCGCACATCGTTGAAACCCGGCAACAGGAACATATTATGTCGGAGAAAAAAATTCTTGAAGAATGCAACTGCATGTTCATTGTCAAGTAAGCATAAAGTCATCGAGTGTTCTTCCGGTTCCTAAAGAAATGAATTTGTATTTTGCAGACTGTACAGGACGTTTAAAGACAGAAAGTACTTGTACATGCTGCTTGACCTTCTTCAAGGCGGTGAAGTGTGGACCATACTGCGTGACAGGTGCGTAACACTTAAAATGTTTTTGCACCAAAATCCGCTGGAAATTCCGTAGGGTTCATCTTACGGAATAATTGACATACTTTTTTAAAAATAATTGGTTGTTTACCAAATTTTACAAAAATGTTTATCCTTTGCTTCAGATTTCTTTGCATCGCATGTTTTGCACCTTCGGATTCTTGTTAATCGTGTTGCGTAATTTTCATATCCGTTTGGCAGGGGCTGCTTTGACGAGCCAATTGCCAGGTTCTACACGGGGTGCATTGTGGAAGCCCTGTCATACCTGCACTCACGCGGCATTATCTATCGTGATCTGAAGCCAGAAAACATGCTGCTGGACGCCCGCGGCTATGTGAAACTCGTTGATTTCGGCTTTGCCAAAAGGCTGGGAGTGGGCAAGAAGACATGGACATTCTGCGGTACACCGGAATATGTGGCACCGGAAATTATTCTCAATAAGGGACATGATTTGTCCGCTGATTACTGGTCCCTGGGTATACTGATGTATGAGCTGCTCACCGGAAGGTAAATGCGAAATGTGGGACACCTAGTCTGCAGTATTCTGTTCATGCACCTAGTCTGCAATATTCTGTGCTGCTGGGTGTATGTTTATAGCTTTATGCAGAGTTGAAGATGCCGGTTTTTCCGTTTTATTCGGTATTCATGTATAGTTGAATTTTTTTAAAACAAAAATACGCAGTAAGAAGTAAGAACAAAGTGCCGGTTGTAACGGTTTTGGGTGTGACATGCATCCCAGTCAGTTTCTTTGTCTTTTTAGTCCTCCGTTTACCGCTGTGGATCCGATGAGGACGTACAATATCATCCTGCGTGGTATCGATGCCATTGAATTCCACCGAAAAATTACCCGCGTTGCTGCTAATTTAATTAAGAAGTTTTGCCGTGATAATCCGTCAGAGCGACTGGGATGCGGCAAGGGTGGTATGAACGATATTCGCAAGCATCAGTGGTTTACCGGTTTCAACTGGGAAGGACTGCAGAAGGGTTCACTGGAAGCGCCCATCATTCCCAAGGTATTTAAAGCACACTGATGGGAAAATGGTTGATTTCGATAGTTTTGCGAAACAGTTTTATTTATAAATCAGCGACATATGGGAATTTAAGTTTTTGTCTGATTGGTAGATTGGGTCAGTTACGGATCATTCAAATTTCGATGCATATCCTGCTGATGACGAAGTGCCGCCGGATGATGTGACGGGCTGGGATAAAGATTTTTAAAAAATTTCGACGTTTCTCTGTTGAATTTTATCAGTGACGAAACTAGTTGCATGACCTGTGAATGGTTGACATTCTGATGGCTCAATTGTGACGATTGTCTATATTTTTGGAGAGGTTTATTGACAGATATAGCCGAATGCGTCCCGTTTTGACATGGACGTGCGGGAGTAATTTATTGGTGGAGCCGCGGTTGATCGGTTTGATTTTGTGGATTGATCGGGCTGCACGGATCTTGCCTTATCCCTATGTTTTCCTTGACATTGTTGTGCTTTTATAATGACAGTGAAGTTTGCAGATATTTGGCAGTTTTGCTCAAAGTTGGTCGAAATAGTAAATGCGCCGTTTGCGGAGTGTTTATGTACGAAAGTCTAAAAAGCACGGTATGGATTACATAATTACCTAATAATTACGATATAATTTACCACGAATACTTACGATTACGTATTTGTACACTGCGTATCGGTTTTAAGGTCATCAGCGAATTTCTCGAATGTGGTTTCTCCCGACACAGCTGACCTGTAGCTGCAGTTAAGTACTATAGTAAAAAAATACTTATATGGCTGGAAATCGGAAATGAGCCCTGCAGTTGCACTGTGAGTACTGCTTATTGTGACGTATGTATTGTCCACGGGCTGTACAATACTCGTACAAACAAAATTTGCGGTTTTTAGTCATACAAAAGGGTAAATACTGGTCGAATGAGTCAGCTGCCCACCCGACTCCACCGGGTCCGATGGTGAGTCAGGGCTAGGAGCCAGAGAAAATACAACAAGTGCTAATTAATAGTACTACTCGAAACGCACTTTAAATGCGTTCTGCAAGATACAGAGCCGGGAGTTCTGTAAAACTGAATCTACCAATGGTACAGCGCTGAATCTTATAGAGCGTTACAGAGCAACGAGACCTCGGACTCTAAAAGCGCCCAGTTACCGTTGACCAATTTGGTCAACGATTTATTTACTATTCACAACAATTTTGTGGCCGTTTCCTTTCTGTTTTTCTGGCGATTTTAAGTTTTATTAAGCTGAAGAAATCAGACGACTGGTGAAAAAGCGAAACGCAATTGCACCTAAAGTATTTACGTCGAGGTGGTTTTACCATTCCTCGCGCTGACGACTATGGCGAAGTCGCCTGTTGCCATCGATATAAATTCAAACATGCACAGCCGGAGGCAGCATAAAAACAGTGAACAAAGCAGAACTGGAATGTTGATTCGATAGAAGCAATTAAATTCCCGTTACTTACACCCTCAAATCTTGAAAAATAGGACTTTAGACGAATTAAAAATAGGACTTTAGACGTACAGCGGACTGTGCATCCACATCAAAAAATAAATTTGACATAGCAAGAAATGCGAGTTCTGTATCGTAACGGAGCCAGGAGAGTTCCTTTTAGATACAGAACACTTTAACTCAGTCGTCCAATCAGCGGTAAGGGGGTGGTATCAAAAGTTACAGAACTTCCGGCTCTGTATCTTACAGAACACAATTTAAAGTGCGTTTCGAGTAGTACTAATGTAATTTGCGACCGCACTATACGTACGTGTGGGGTCAATTTTTGGTTTTGCTGTACGCATTAAAACCTTATAATTATCTATAGTACATGCCATTTAACGCGGGATTACCGAATTTACCGTACATCGGTGGTGTACTTATACAGATAAGAATCTGTGCTACCCACGGTGCACGGGTTTACACCGTGCCTAGATTTCTTCGGGTCCAGTCAGTACAGTAGATTTGCCAGCTGCTCGCTGCATCCGCCATCTTCGCACTTTCGCAGACCGCGATAGATTCTGGCATTATTCGCAGTTTTTTCAGCCGCTGATCACCCTCCTTTTCATTGCGCCGATCTTCATTGCTTGTCGCCACGTTACAGTAACCTTTCGAGAATTCTCTTTTTCCTCCGTTATTTCTCCACTCGACCTTTAATCATGCCTAGCCTGAAGGATATCGATTCCAAGGACAGCATGAAGCGTCTGCTGAGCAAGGCTGGTGATGAGCTCGTCATTGCTGAATTCTACGCCACCTGGTGTGGAAGCTGCACGAAGGTGGCTCCCGCCTATGAACAGTTGGCCGAGAAGTACGCGGACAGCGCCCAGTTCGTCAAGGTGGACGTGGACAAGGCCGATGATATCCATCCCGAGTACAAAGTTACTGCCACTGTGAGTAGCGTTCATCGCAAGTTTTGCCAGAAATCCCCTTTTCTGCAACAATAGCATGGCGACCCTCGATCTGTAAATTTTGTACCTTGCTCATGAAATGGTGTCGAAAACATAACAGCATATGTTATAAAAATATTCTACAACAAAATCTCGGTAGTGCAATGCTTATCGGTAATTTTACAGCATTATTTGTTTTGATAAATTCATATTCTTACAAATACCATAATGTGCGTTCTAATGCAAATATGTAGTGAATTGTAAGGGCGGTACGGTATACTTCCGCATTCCCAGTCGCAGGTTGTTGACCTTTCGTTAACTGTTTGTCGTAGCCCACGTTCGTGTTCATCAAAGATGGGAAGGCCATCGACCAGTTCCAGGGATCCAACGCGGGAATGCTGGAAGCGGCCATCCAGAAGCACGTCTAGCGAATAACCTTTATCCTTGATTGCCGACGTCGATTTTTTGTACAGTTTCTTCAAAATTGTGTGTTTTTGTCCCGGTTTGAAGGTTTTATTGTGTATATTTCTGGCAGCCACTTTTTGCCTGTGACCTGCGTTTGTCGTTTTTGCAGCTGTGATTCGAATTTCCGTATTTATGGAGACTTCAATAATAAAGTGAATTACGGATTCGGTGTTTGTTTGGTCACCTTTCATCTACAAAGCTTTACGAAGTAGTGGCAGCATTTTTAGCCCAGTTTCACACTGTACTCTTAATGTAGTTATGTACCGTATGTGTGTGCGGCGTGCGCTATGAAAGCGCTGTTAATATTGGCAAAATGCCACAGAACTGACAGAAGCACGTTTCGAACTTTCTTCGAATTCCAAAAAAAACGCGAATCGTGAGTACTTAAATGAAAGACGTACCATCTAGAGAGCAGACATTAATATTTAATGCTCGTACAGAAGTACTACGAGTATATGAAAGCATGAACGAAATTGTCTGGCACAGCCTCGATCTTTACAGTTGCACGGGTAAAAACAAGCGATGATGATTTCGCAAATTTCCGAATTGTTCTCTTCCCGCCAATAGGTAAATGCGTTTAATGTGTTGCCAACCCGAAACACCCGAACGTTTTACGAGTAAAACAACTTCTTTTCTCGGTATTCTGTGCAGACCATGATGATAATAAAATATAACAATAACAATGATGTAACACAAAACCATGTTAACATCAGAATAATTTACAATAAATAAAACGTCGACACACAACAGTTACCATTAACTGCATCGGGATCCGTCATTTCTTAGACTTAAAAATAATTCCATCGAATGCCGCAAAATTGTATAAAAACGGGCTCAAAACTGGTCCGCCAGCGGACAAACTGGCTTCGGCAAAATAGGAAGATACCACCTGGGAAGGTATGACACGGTTGCCGGAAGACAGCACGACGCTCAAATCACGGTTGATGCGAACAAAGTCCACGGTGCTGGAATAATACAACGGCGCGGCGTGGGAGATTAATACTGGACGAATACGGGCAAAAACGATGTGGTCAGCGTCGCGCTGATACACATTCCAAGCAGTGCCCCCGTCATCCGCCACCGGAGCTTGAAATCCATCCGAGATTACAGAATTCCTGTAGTTAATAACCAAATTAATTTTATCAGTGATTAACAAAGCAGTGGGCTTTAAAAAAACTACATTATTTTAACAATCGAAAAGCGAAACAAAAAATTTCAGTGCCAAATATCAGCAGTATCGTTTCGAAACAATCGAAAGCACACTTTGTTAGAACTGCAATTAAACACAATTAAAAAACTAACACCGGTTCTAACAAGTTACCATATGTCGCTAGGAACGATTTCTTCGATCGCTTCCGTTCCGGCAACATCGTCATCCTTATTGACATCCGCCATTTCCTCAACCTGAACCACCGGAGTTTCTTCGACAGTGGCTGTTTGAATAACAACCGGCTCATCAACGGGATGCTCCGGATTCTGTTGGTGATCGTGGATTTCTTCGATCTTCTCGGCTTCCTCGATCACCGCGTGGGAAATGATCGGCACCGACGGCGTCGGAGCCGGCGGTGCAGTGTGACTGTCCTTGCCCATGGAAGGATGTTTCAGTTTGCCCAGGAATTTCTTGGGGTAGCTCCCCGGGCGGAGGCGCGTACGGCAGACGTGCGGATGTTGGTCGATGTCAGCGTCGTCAAAGTGCCGCGAACACACACGGTGGTGGTTGGCAAATTCCGTCAAATCCAAACGGGAGCACGCGCTGAACCATTTATTATACAAATCCCGCTGTTCTTCCGGGGCTTCCGGTGCCGGTTTCTGGGGGCATTTGAAGAAATGCAGGTTCTCTGCTTTCCGATCGCCAGCGTATTTATTGCAGCCCAGAACGGCGCAGATGCTGCCTTGTTTACTGGCCGCCCGCCGCCGGGAGTCACGCGATAAACCGGATTCTGTTATGGTTGTAAGTGCACTGAAATTATGCAGCTGTAAGTATCACACAAAGAATTCTAAACCGACCGATACATTAATTGTACTTTAAAAGCGGTACATCAAAATATAATAGAAATTCAATACCTCAGACAACAGACTGCAAAAAACAACCAAAAATCAAAAAAGTGTGTGTGTTTCGTTTGACAGCCATAAACGCCAACCGCAGCATATTAACGTAATTTCAAAGAAGTACAGTACAATGTACTTATCTTACTATCTGTACTCTGTAGTGTATACATATGAATTCATCGGCGCTGAAGCCAAATTTTATCACATGAAAATCAAAATTTTGACAAAGTAAGACTTAAGAGAGTTATTTAAAACTTACTCAGAATTTGAATTAATCAGATTCAGCGATGGTCGCGCAGATCGCAGTAAGGTCCCACTTTCACTGAAATCCTCTGGCGTAAAGTGATCCGAACAAATTGCCGACTGCTTTTGAAAGTGATGTATTCCACATAATCGACGAAATTCGTCGCGGGCAACGAGATCGCGTGGGATTGGAAAGAATTTTACATCTTTGTCGAAGGAGTAATGCTTGCATGAAGGGACCACGCAGGGCTTTCCTCGGAATACACCATGCCGTGAGATTTTTGTCATTGCTGCATGTCTTGCGACATAATTTCAGCACCACTCAACTGACTCAAAACATTTAATTTATTTCACAATTTCAAGAAGATAAAGAGTTTGATAATATTTAGGAACTCTTTTTGAATTAATTTAAATTTAAAGCTTTCAAGTTCAATTCAAGAGTTTGTTTGGATCCGTAAATGATATTTTGAATGTGTCCGAACCTTACGAGTGCACAATAATACTGTGCAGAAGTGGCGTCTTACTTGATTTTATTCGTGATTTTACAGCCATTGCACCATCTGTGGACCCTCCAGTTGTTAAGTGACAACGTAACAGAAGCACGCGTGCGGTGGCCCATGCCACAGGCTGTTTTAACGTAAATCTTTGAAAATTGATAACTTTGTTCATTCCTGCATTAAATTTTTATGTATAATCTTGAAAAATGCAGAATAATACACAGGATTAGGCAAAATAAATTCTTTTTTGTTTTTCTTTCAGGGTTATGCACTGTTAGCCTGTACGGCTAGCATAGCCGCCTATGGAGGATTTGTCATAGGCGGCTATGTTAACCGCGGGGGCTCCTAGTGCATTATCCTGAAGAAGAAACAGAGAATCATTTATTTTGTCTAATGCTGTGTATTATTCTGCATTTTCCAAGATTATACATAAAAATTTAATGCAGGAATGAACAAAGTTATCAATTATTGTATTATTGTGCACTCGTAAGACGCCACTTCTGCACAGTATTATTGTGCACTCACCTTACTCGCATCTGTCCGACTCTGTCTCTGATGAGCAAAATACGCGTCCCCCTCGTACTGCAGTCTCCTATAATTGGTGCTGGATGAGCGAAACTGGATCAGCGAAAACTTTTTCGCATTGCAGTTGCATTTCTCGATAAAAGTAAAATTTGTTTGCTAGTTTGCTACCAGTTCCTTTGTGATTCATCCGGATTCAATAAGAAAAGTCGGAAACAAATTCTCACGATAGAAATTCATTTTTTCAAATTATTAGCAGTTATTCAGCCCAAGTTTATCTGGCCCCGTCCATCCTGTGCTCTGGAATTAGTGTACTCGTACAGAAGTACAACTTAATAGTCAAGTGACTCAAGTAATAAGCTGCGCGACGTGAAACTGAACTCCGAAGGTACCACAGCCCGTTGGGATATGTGTTAATATTATTATTGTGTTATAAATGTTATGATGATACTGTATTCCTGTGAATGTAAGTTGGTCGCTGTAAATTACTTGTACTGTTCAGCACATCGTTTCTAGCTTGTATCATGCCACTAAATTACAGGACTTTGACTGGCTGGGCTGATTTTCCAGAGAAGTAGCACCGAAGCGGTGAACTATATCGGAAGAATTTCTCTTTCTGCATATTTTGGCAACTGTTCAGGAGAAACTGCCAGACTGATGAGGAACTGGATGATTATTTGTGAAGGAAGGAGATGTTAACTTGTCTTTAAACGAAGTAGGTAACTAATTTATCGAATGTGAAACTGGTTTTGACTATGATTTTGAACGTTTCGTTTAAATCCTGGTAAATTTAACAGCTCCCATTGTATGCACTTCGATATTTTTGTGCGATAAATAAATTATTAAATTGATAAATTGAAATATTTAATTATTAATTTACCATTCCGTTGGTGCGAGAACATAATATGAATTAACTCAAAGTAGTGGCTTTTTACAGCAGATATTATCTGCTGTAAAAAGTCACCGAGTTAAGTAATTAACAAGCAGTGATGCTGAGTTTGATACCAGTGCAGGAATTATACAGGATTTTTTTGCTCATATTTTTTAACATATTACCACTTGTTCGCATACTTACGAAATAGTGAATAAATCATATCGTACTTATTGTTAGTGGTAATTAACAGATGTATATATTTGGACAAAACAAGAGTTTGATGCCATTTGGAGGGGGCTATTGCAAAATGACTACGTAATTAAGAGGATTGCGATGCCGTACAACTTGCTTAATTAAATAGTATATAATTAATGTTGTCTCAACTCCAGAGCAGATTCCGTGATATTATCATCATATTTTTCGTTCTTTATGTTTGGTTATACTTTCTTTATAATAAAATTAAACTGTAACCACATCAGCTTTTTCTTGATCCTGTTAGTCCAGCAGTAATCCCGTTACGCGTTGTTTGTTCCCAAAATCTTCCATCGGTCAGTGACAGCGGCCACTGCCGGCAGTAATATTCCCGCCACTAGCACTGTGGAATAATTGCGGCCTGGGTATCGCTGCTGGCAGTGTTGGAAATTTGCCGGCCAATCCAAGTAAATTGACGTAAACTTATTCTGAGTTTGTTTGATTAAATCGGATTAGGCACTTTTCTCTGGTGGTATACGAGTATTCCAAGTGGATACTGTGCCCACGTGGGTTTATTGGGGAGTTGTGTTTGCTGTTGGACTGGAAAGTTGATGTTAATAGCTGACAGCGGCCTGCTCGTCCGGATGGTAGCGGATACTGTACTTGCGCGGTAGGGAACGGCATATGAAACAGCTTCAGCCCCTTCGCCTGTTTTTGTCATGCAAAGTTTTTCTTTAATCCATCTTTATTGACGGTTGACTTTGAGTGATTACCTCCCGGTGCCCGCCCACAAAGTAGCAAAAACATTCATTGAAAGCACGGAAAATTTGCCCTTGTGATCCTTTCGTGGTCCGAAAGCTTCTTGGTCCTTTTTTATCATCGGTGGTGCTCTTTGGTCAGTTATTTGTAGTTTGCTTTTTGCCGTTTTTTAAGAGCAGTAATTTTTAATGGTTATCGTAAAAGACTGAGCAGTCCAGAATGTGTCTATATATGTACACGTTGTTGAGCATCAGGATTAGTCTTCCATGGTTGAACTACGTACAACATTTTTTTTATGTAAGCTTGTATGCTTAATTAATGATGCCCATTGTTTCTTCGTGTGTTGCCCTTAATAAAAACGGCTTTACGGTGCATTATTGATTGTTTATGGAGAAAGTTCATCGTAAATTAATTTGGACAATAGCGTGGTCGGATGTCAGAGTGATGGATGAGAATAGCCAGTCGGCGGCGCTCGCGATGACTCCCGTTGGGATTCTTTGACACGCTGCCTACGTGGCTGTGTGGGTAGAAGTTGTCAAAAAGGAAACCTATCGCACTCTCGCACCAAAAGGGAGCGTGATTGAATTTTGAATTTCGCCCAAGCGAATTTTTATCGAATTAAGCCGTGGTATGGAAAATAATGCCCAGCTGATTGCCGCCTTCGGCTTTAGTTGCTGTGGTTATGCCATATACGCTGGTGAAATAGGATAACAACAGCTGAAATTATTCTTTTATTCGCCACATATTTTATATTTTACTCAAATAATTTTTCGTTGTAAATATTTATGCATATTCCTTGCGACTATTTAACAACAGTGTAACGCGATTTGGTAACGGACATTTCCAGAAATCGTGGCCCTAAGCCCCCAGTAACCTTTCTTATACAGCCGTTGGGACAATCCGGCAAATCAGTTTTCTATCAGGTTACGAGTAGGGATTTTTGTTTAAGAGCAGTTGTGTTCGAACAATTGTAAGTGACAAAGTTTTACGGCATGGCGTCAGTCACTTCCGGCTTCGCAGTTTTTAATGCAACGGTTGTTACTTACAATAAGAAATAATAAATTGACGATAAACAACAGTCCTATTCTAAAAAAGTAGCGGTGGTCGCTTACGATTAATCATTTTGCACTGTATTAGTGAATGTATATATTGGAAGAGTTGTGAAATTTCGTAAGATCATTAATGATTCATTCTGGTGGTCATCAGCGGCTGCTATCCGCTCGGAAATGTTGTGAGTTGGCGGGATTATATGGGTCAAAACGTTACTCAACATGTGGGTGGCCGATAAGGTTCGATAGGATTCCGTGCTGTTCAGTGCGGCGTGAAATACGAGTTAAACGCGCCTGTCTAACGATAAAGTCCTTAGCAAGACTTTGACTATTTGTTCAGTGTACGGGCACAAGATTATTTCTAGCGCTGCGCAATTCATCGATAAATATTCAAATATCGTCGTCTGCTGAGAAACGATACTTGTGTTTGTGAAGTTACATCTGTCCTTGTGCACTGTAAACCCTGAAAGAGCAAGCGACTGTATATTGATTTAATTCTCGTTTCTTTGTTTGTTAACTTCTGCAGAAGTTTCTTGGATTTTTCGGGTCGAACAATCGATCTGCTTGCGTCCTTTTTTGAATTGCAGTTTTTGAGTATTTTTTTTATTTGTGCCGGTAAGTGGCCAAACAGCGCTTTTGGGCACGTTTCTGGTTCGTACTTACCATAATCTAATGATTTTTAACAATCAGAATGTGATCGTATTTCTGCTTAAATACTATAATTGACCGGAATTATTCGGCATAATTTTGCGAGGTGTGGGTGGATTGCTCTACTTGATGAAGCAAGAAATAGACAGTAGAGTGGTGTTTACACGACATCCTTATCGGGCTGCTGTAGAGTGCGTATCCATTCCAATCATCTCGTAAACCGCTGAATTTCCGGATGGTACAGTAGGAGATAAATGATGATATAGCACGTAAATATTCCACTGGATATTGCCATTGGAGTGGAGAGTTGGCCATAAATATTAGATTGGGGTTAAATGAACATACGGGAAAAGAGGCGCGCCAGCTGGAGATCGCACTGAGCAAGTTGATTTATTTACCAATGTTTTGGAGTAGATGTAGTAATTCCGACTGGAGCACCGGATGAGCTGAATTACATCTTGCATCTCCATTCGTTTCAGGAACAACGCACTTTAACCCGGCGTTATGCTGTATCGATGCCTTGAGTTGTAAATAAAAAGCTTTTCTGAAATCGAACCCGAGGAGTTTTGTTTATTGTTCCCTTTGACAGTTGGACGATCCTCGTTGGTTAATCGATTTGTCGTCTAAGAGCGCAGCTTGGTGTCAACAGTGAGTTTTTTATAAGATGAATTTTTCAAGGATAAGCCCTTTTAATTTCCACTGGATATAGTGTGATTTTTGCGGTGGAGTATAAACGAATATCGATTGCAAGAATATTTCACACAGTGTGTTGCGCGCGTAACGAATGTAGCCGGCAGTTTATTAACGTTGCTGTATTTTCGCAGAATATTACTTTGATCATTTCCGTTTTTTCCGTTTTCAAAATTACCTCGTCCGTTACCTTAGATTTAGATAGACTGGGGTTCTAATGCAGACTGTTTTCATGACGAAGGGAGAATGCTGTAGTTCGGATTTCTGGTGAATGATGAGAAAGTTCAACAGTCCATTGTGTAGGAAATTTTATGGGCCTTTTTTTAATTGAATGTGCCATTCCTCATCAGGTGCATGAATGGCGGAAGGTGTTTTATGGGGTGTTATAAAGCCTGTTATGGAATGGGTTTGATGCGGTAATGGATGTGTTCGGTTCTTTAAGCATGCATATCAGGTCTAAATTCTGATTGGATTCACTGCTGCGGATTTCCGTTCTTTCCATATCCGCTCAGTCAAGCTCGTCACGACGGGCAATTTCAATCGGGACAGTCACCATGTACCGAATGTCACTGTTTATTTAACGCTGGCCTTTACATACGCCTATCTCATTTTGATTATTCTATGATTTGATCTGGTGGTCGTTTAAACGAAGATGGATTGACATTTTTTCGCTGATGGATTACGGTTTGCGCGTGTATCGATTTAAATGCCTACTGTAGATTTTTTGGAAAAGCTATAACCATTCGTTTTATATTTAACGTTTTATTCACGACTTTCTTAATGTCCTTCGTTGTGCGCGTTATCATTTTTCATTCTGGACTACGAGTACCGATTTGTTTGACTGGCTTCGAATCTTTAATGGTAATTGCTAAAAATTAATATCACACATGATTTTCTCTGTACCATTATTTTTAAGCCTTTAACCTATCTTAGTGAGTCATTTCTCGTTGGTTCAAAACGCGAGTATCAAAAGAATGTTCCTTATGAATCTGCTGCTGAATTCTTAGAATGCGAAATATTTTTACAGGAATTTTTTAAAGTATCCGTAGTATACGTATTGTTAAACCGCAGCATGGAGTTGCTTTAAGAGTAACGTGGTAGAAGTCGTACTCTTGATATTGTGCCGCAATGTAAACGAATGTTTAAGTGCATTTTTAAAGTCTTAGCGTAATCCATGGGTTTTAGTGCTGACGTATTAAGTGGTTGTTCATCCATCAAGCTTAGCGAAAAGTATGAGATTTTTAGCGGTAATCGATATACGCCAATTTTTTCCTACCATCTTCCTGCTGCACTTTAGGAAATTGCTTTTATGCCATACGGATTTTCCTCTAAATTAAGCATTCTCTTCCCCACAGGATGGAATGACTGACCATGACAAGTCTGTGTTAAACACACCCTGTCCGATTAATGTCGGCTGACATGTCGCCGAACGATTCCCTTTTCGCGACATTGTATCTGCACGGTGATGATTCCATGGGAAAAAATGACAGGAAACGGCTACAAATCCGGGAAAATGAAGCCAGCCGTCAGAATGGACCAATCGTGGTTAATGCGCTATCTGCGCGCCGCAGCCCTGTCACGGAGCATCGTGTTGACCTTTATCGTTGGACTGCTGTCACTCTTGCTGCTGGGATGGTGGGTGGCGGTCAAACCCGACGAAATCGCTATGAAAACTACACCAAACGGCCGTGCTGACGATATCGGCGGGCCGGATCCAGTGATTGAACTGCCCCGGCCCGTCAGTGTCACTACGACGTTGCCACGGTTAAAATACGAACCCAAAGTGTTGGTGTTTGCGGAAACGCAGTATTCGCCGCTGGGAAGGGATATTGTGACGGTGTTGGAAGCGGTGCGGAAGAAATTCCGGGTGGAGCTGGGTGGGAAGAATGTGCCGGTGTTGACGTCGGAGGATCGGGGAAAGTTCAGTCTGATTGTTTTTGAAAATGTGGATAAGTATTTTAAAATGGATAAATGGAACCGCGACTTGCTGGATCGGTATTGCCGTGAATATCACGTGGGAATTATCGGATTTCCACCGTTGTTGGAGCACACGCTGATCGGCGCCACGGTGCCCAATATGCAGATGCTCATGCACACCAATGTCCAGCTGCAGGATTATACTGTCAATGTAGCGAGTCCTGTACTGCATCTCACTAAAGGGGGACAAAGTTTAGAAGGCGTTTTACCAGGTTTGCATTTAAGTAAAGCTAAACTCTGTTTGTTGGCAACATTGCTACCAATTACTCTTTTTCGCTGCTCAGCCTCAACGGACATAGTATGATTTATAACTTTATTGCAGATTTGCAATTGTAAAACGCGCTGTTGTGTGTATGACAGGTTCGGTATTATATTGTTTTATTAGTTTAGCATAAATTTGCATTGCGAGGCGTCGAAGTATATAGCCTGATAAATAATTTTTTTCTTGTCTTTTTTTGTTAACAATTTTTTAACATACTTGACATTCATTAGTTACATTGAATTAATTTTTTAACAATAGTTACTATAATAGAAATTTGGTCACAGGAGATGATTGGACGGTTTTCGTTCCAAAGCACGAAACGTATGAGATCGTCGCGTGGGCTCTTCTTTCGTCGCCATTGAATTCGACGCCGAGCGCTAACAGCACGCAGTTGCCGACAGTGGTATTAGATACCGGTAAACTCGACGGAGTGCGCCGCGTGTTCTTCGGGCAGTCGTTGAAGTTTTGGTTGCATAAGATGTTGTTTCTGGATGCGATGGGTTATCTGATCAATGGCGGACACCAGCTGATGCCCTTGACGCGCTACATCCTCATTGATGTGGATGACATTTTCGTGGGACGGAAAGGGACCCGTATGAACATCAGCGATGTTCAGGTAAAAAACTAGGATGTCAAACCGCCGACGCTCGAGACGGTGGACTTCAATTATAAATCCAGCTGTTTGGATTTTAAATGCGATCGTTTAAGTTGTCCACATAACAGTAGATACATAATAATTGTTAGTTGATAGCAAATGTTAAATTTAACCTTGTGCAGGCCATGATTTCGACGATGATGCGATGGAGAAAAACCGTAGCGGGTTTTCGGTTTAATTTAGGATTCTCGGGAAAATACTTTCATGCTGGATTTGAGGAAGAAAATAAGGGGGACGATTTACTGCTAGGTAATGAATTTAACATCAAAATCAAATCTCATCTCTGTTCGCGTGTTTCAGCGAAACAGATGGCATTGACTGTTAGGACTAACATAAATCGTTATTGTCACCGTTGTTATCGTTGTTGTATCGTTGTTTATTGTAATTACAGCTAATGCGTCCAAGTTCTGGTGGTTCTGTCATATGTGGGGACATTCGCAGCCACATCTTTTTAATGCCAGCACCGATGTAATCATTCGGGAAATGCAGCTGAATTATCAGTTTGCGAAGGTAAGAAACCCACATCCTGGAGAAATACGATGATTATGATATTGCAAATCAAATTGAAAAACCTTCGATTAGTACTAACTTTACTGTTACGGTACTAACTTTACTGTTACGGTACTAACTTTACATGGCTAATCTTTTGTGGAATATGGCTTGCAGATATCTAGTTTTCCACATTATAATTTATATACTGGTTCCACTAACAACTGCTGTTTAGATTTTTTTCGCTTTAACTTTGAAGTGCTTACCGTTTTTTGTGTCGGTGTCTATCTATTATCCATTAAAATTACTGTTCGATTCGTGACGTCAGTAGAACGTTTTGGATGTAGGAAAATGGCATTCCAACGAATTCGGGCTACGTTATCTCGCCGCACCATTCTGGCGTGTATCCGGTACATGAGCCACTGTACGATGCCTGGCGGCGCATCTGGAATGCACAAGTGACCAGCACGGAAGAGTATCCCCATTTCAAGCCGATGCACATCCATCGGGGATTTATTTATCGCGACATCCGCGTCCTACCGCGACAGACATGCGGTCTGTACACGCACACCATCTTTCTGGAAAGCTATCCGGGTGGAAAAGAGCGATTAGAACGGAATATCTTGGGTGGCGATCTCTTTATGACCTTCCTTTATAATCCCATCAACATCTATATGACCCACTTGTCTAATTATGCAAATGATCGTTTGGCGCTCTACACCTTCGAAAATCTCTTTCAGTTTATAGGTAATTTGTTTAATCGTTAAGCAGGCTTAATATCAGAAAATACTTATTAGCCGTATCGCTGGTTTCTTGATATTCCGACCAAAAATTTTAGTTACTTGTATTTCCAAAGTCTGGAAGTTTTGTTTCTTTGGTTAAAATTAATTTAAGTCGTTGTTTTTCAAGTCCATTTTTCGATTTGGTTGCTTCTGTTTGTAGCTTTGTTAACACGTTCCCTGAATTTGCATGCTGGTTTCTTTCTATTTGACACGAAACTTTTTAGATTTTGTTTAGTACGATTTTTATTAAAAAGTTACGACATCTTTTGGTTTGGTTTGTTTTTCGGTTCATTTTTTGTGACAGTTGCAGGATCAATGGGCTTAATTTGTTGTTTCGGTTAAGATTGCTTAGAAACTCATTTGCCATTTTCGGTACAATGAGAGGGAAATCAATCTGATGTAAACCATGTCAATTAAGAGATTAAGCATGTTGTTGGCTTTGGCTTAATTTCCGGGCATCACTGTAGGCAAATGGACTAATTTGGAGCTGCGATCCGCACCGCCCCTGGAGATGGCCAAATTGTATTTCCACATGTTTCCGGGTGATGTGGATCCGGTGTGGCACAATCCCTGCGATGACAAACGCCACATGCAGATCTGGGCCAGCAGCAAGTCCTGTGAGCGACTGCCCAAATTCCTCGTGGTCGGTCCACAGAAAACTGGCACCACGGCGCTTTACAGCTTCTTGTCCATGCATCCGGCCATTAGGAGTAATTATCACAATCCTGAGACCTTTGAGGAAGTGCAGTTTTTCAGCGGCAAGAATTACCATAAAGGATTGGACTGGTATGTCGTTATATGGTGTAAAATAATAGTTGTGGTGCTAAAGTTATGATACACTTATTGCCCTTAGGGTTAAAATTAGCTACTCGTTCATTGTAAAATTTACATTTGCATACATTGCATGGATGCAGTAATCTTGACCAGTCATTTCTGCACTGATTGAATATTTTTGAAAGACTTGCGATGGTAGTTTTCGTTCCTTAAAGCGTATTTATGGGTACAGTTGTGAACTGTGATGGTGGTTTCAGCATTTGCTTCGTCGATCGGGAAAACTGTTGTGTTTTGTGCAGGTATATGAACTTCTTTCCCTTGCCGGATAATTCTTCTGCTCAGTATTTGTTCGAGAAAAGTGCCACGTATTTTGACGGTGAATTAGTGCCAGTGCGTGCCTTTTCCCTGATTCCTCGTGCCAGTATTATTGTGATTGTCATCGATCCCGTACGACGAGCCTATTCGTGGTATCAGGTGGGAAAATGTCAAAAATATAGTACTGAATGAAATTTTTTGTACTGGGTTCTGTTGTCTGAAATGTTCATGATTAATCCTAATTGACTGGCAGATTTTTTATACTTGTATGTTTCTACCTTATTTTCGGTCTAGTACCTGATGTTTAATCGTATGTCGAATTGCATTCATTCCAAATGCTTTTTATTTCGAAATCTACTCAAAGTATGAATTCATTTTACTGTCGCTAGCAAGCATTGTCTTTTGGTATAGCACATGCGAGCGCATGGCGATCGCACAGCCCGGCAACACAGTTTCTTGGATGTGATATCGGCGTCTCGGGATTCTCCGTTGCCATTGCGGAATCTGCGTAACCGCTGCTTGAAGCCGGGCGAGTATGCGGTGCATATTGAGAAATGGCTGGATCATTATCCCGCGAATCAGGTAAGGCTAGCGAGAAAAGAGAAGCAGAACGACTAGAAAATGTCGAAGGGAAACCTTTATTTTGATCTGTCCGATTTAGTAGATGCCACGGTTTGGTCGGAGATGCAATTCTTTGCTTTGTTTTTAGTTGCTCATTTTGGATGGTGATGAACTGCGACGCAGTCCCGTGTCGGTGATGCACAAAGTGCAGCGCTTCCTCAAAATTAAGCCTTTCATAGATTATACGGATCTTCTAAGGTTAGTGTTCAACTTTGTTACAACAGTCTTGTGCTGTGTAATATCAAGTTATAAGTGTGTCGTCAATATCTGTAGATACGACGCGAAAAAAGGGTTTTATTGCCAAGTGGTGAATGGAGAGAGTAATCGCTGTTTGGGCCGCAGCAAGGGGCGTCGATACCCGCCCATGGACGCGGAAGCGGAGAAGTTCCTGCAGCATTATTATCAGCCCTACAATGTTGCCTTACATAAAGTGCTGACGAGGCTCAACCAACCGGTTCCTCTTCCTAGATGGTTGCAAGCTGATCTGCACTGATCAGTCGAGTTTTTAATTTTTTATCGTTGATGTTCCTAAGTCGCTTTGCTTGTTGAATTTTAAAAATGGAAAATGGTTTCGATCTAGATGTCCCTGGATGTCTGCAGACGAAAAAGAAAACTTACATTCCAACACGACGCATAGAGATAGAAAATGTACATAGAAAATTGTGTACCCACATCTGCAGATATCTGATGCCATTCACACAAAATCTTTTACGTTAGTAGAGAAAAATAGTCTCTTCAAAAATTGTGCAAGGATGCACTTTTATGTATCTGTATTAGGTAGGTTGCCTTATACTCTTTCAACTCGTATACAATATTTTCTGTTTGGTACTGCAGCGACCTGGCGCAAAAGCCATGAACTAATTTTGTGTGAATTATTTGCAGGTACAAAAACTAACCTTATGAGACGAATAAGAGTGTTTCAGAAAATGTAATTTTGAGAAACTGTCAAATAAAAATGCTTTATAAAATAGTGTATGAATTATTTGAGCAGTATATGCATTCATATTTCATAATAATAAATATTTATTAGAAGCTTGGTTAGCATTCCAAGAACTGTCAGATGTGTTGCATGATTTACGTACTTACAGAGTACATCTTCCGATATTCGGCGGAAGACGATCACGCGCCGCAAGGCTCCTTTATTTGCGAATGAATTATGGAAAGCAAACAGGTTTTGTGGCAAGACAAGGTCAATCCGATACCTCCACTAAAACTGTCCGTGTTTGTACAGTTCGGCACCGCACTGGATTTTTACGATTATGAGCAAGTTTTTTGGAAGGCATTACATTTCACGGATAATAGTTTAGTATAGTTTTGCCATTGTCGAAGAACTTGTGGTTGACGTGTACACGATGGACATCGATGACAAAACAGTACTGGCGGAAGTTGATACATTGAACTTGGATATTCCGTTCGCATTATTCGTTAAATTTTTTTTAGGGTGGAATTGTCAAAAACATCTACAAATTTTTCTCCGCTACCTAATTCCAGTAGTCTGTTTCATCTTGTTTATTATTGATTTTTGTGATTGGGTGTACAATGGTCACGAAAGCACTTACGAAGTCGGCAAGGTGCTGAGTTATCAACAAAGTCCCATAATTTCTTTGTTAAGTTATATGACCAGCCAGATTTCGTATATGACCGCATCGGCTGTGCTTTTTGGATTTATTGCCAAAAGCAGTCACATCCGGTCCGCCCTGTATCAGATGACAAATGCCGGTTATTGTGGCACTGCCCGCCATGGAGTCAACAGCAACAACATCATGGTCAGTGCGCGCATTAAATGGTTGTACTTTGGCTACTTCTCACTGGCTGTGGCAGCGACCATTCACGTGGCGACCTCTCTGGTGTTTTTTTACGACGCGCTGGTGGCCACCCGTGACCAGTTCTGGAAACCGGAACCGTACTTCGTCTGGCATATTCCATCCGGTCTGAATGACCTTTTCCAGCGCATTCCGCTGTTGTTTGCGCGACTGCTGCCGTTTGTTTTCTATGTGCTTTATTATTATCTGGCGACACTGCTGACCAATAGAATTGTCAGTCTCAATGTCAAATTGAACTTGTCCATACTGGGAGTGAAACTGGATTCGGTTTGCTTTGAGAGCAGTTTGTTGTTGCTGCAAGCGGAAGATGAAGAATTGGCCACGATTGTTGGTTCGCTGAGCAGCGGCTTTTCTTTGGTATTAGCGGGAGGGATTTTTGGTAGTTTCCTGCAGATCTGCTCTTCGACGGCACTGTGTTTCGTGTCGAATATGTTTTCCACGCCATGGAGTTATATCCGGCAAGCAATTTTTATTGCCGCTACATTGATTGTGTTGCTGATGTTCTTGCTGTCTGGAGCTCGGTTACACGAAGCGGTAATACAACATGACCTTTGTTCCTAATTAAAAACAATTCCCATTTTTACGAGGAAAAGAAGTATTTAGTCACACAGAAAGGTCAACGGATCTTATTTCTTACGTTCGCTTGTTTTCATGCGACATTAATACTATTGTAATAGCATGACCTTTATAATTACAGGGAAAAGAAGCGAAACGCTTATGGACAGACCTGATTATTTCGCACCAGGACTATCGAAAAAAGGTATATTGCTTTTGTAATTTATGGATAATTATAAGCTCACAGTTTCTTTTCGTGCCGTCATTATGTACAATGTATTTGCTTCGTAAGTAGCTGTTAAGTAGACTATCTTTATAAGCAGAATAAAGTCTGTGCAGGTACTTTAACTACTTTTATCGACGTACTCTGATGTGCTTTTACTTTTTGAAAATCGAAAATTTTTTCTTTTTGTTTCTTCTAGATCTTGCCCAACGTAGACGATGCTAGACTGATGTTCTCCCTCTACAGAATTAGTCAACGAAGTGAATGTTTAACCTTGGCCGATTTCGTACACCTGACGAGAAGCATTGCAGCAACAGTAAGCCAATCTTTCTATTTAAGCAGATGCTTTATAGGCTTGTGTCGTTCAAATCAAACACGGTATTTTTCGGACGCTTAGAACTGACGAGTGACGGCAGAACTATCGCGATCGTCAGTTCTGACCTTTGATGCGACATCGTATTAAAATAAATCTTTAAAATCAGAAATTTGCGCCTTTTTGTTTTTGTTGTTTTACTGAGTGTGTACTCGTTTATATAAATTAGTAAGGCTAGAGTAGTTCACTGCACAGAAACAAGTTTGGATGTTACAACGTATGTGTCCATTCTTGCAGTTTGTCTTCGCATTTATCGGATATCTATGCTTTTTGGTGGAAAGGTCAGAACATTTCCAGACGGATGAAAAATTAACGGATGCTCTGCGGAACAATCTGACACTGGTTCATAACGTCAACGTGACTCATAGTTGACGATAAATTACATACTTATAAACTGACTGATTTAGCTGAAACTCGATCAAGCATGACAGTACAGTATATTGCTTCTGAAATTTATTAACTTGTCATGTTAGCATTAATACTGTGTCTGACGGCACGGTACGTATTAAACTACCAGTATAATTGCAAACCTGTAAATTATAAGTTAAAACTGAAAATGAACAATAAATTTAAGAAAGGGCATTAATTTGGATAATAGCACTTTGAACAAGACTGAGAGGATGTTTTTTTAACAAAACATAAATCGCCTTGCGCTGTAACAGAATAAGCAAACAATCTAGAGATGCATATATATGACGATAACATCATGGTTTTGCCACACACATGTACCGTATGCACATACAACGCGTTCAAAAAAAATATTCTGCTGCTGCTAATTACAGAAGTAATAGAATACGTAGTCGATAGGATTTGATGGCCGGTCACATCAGCTTCCGGATGCGGTTGTGTTGTGGAGACTGGCCAGTTTAGTAGCCATTCGGTACTGTTCGGATCTTTCGATGAGAAAACATAAGTACCCAAGAAAAGTGAAAACAAGCTGCAATTAGAGTACTTCATGTTCATATCGTTATTATCAAATTGTACTATTGTCAGCAATATTTGTTAAAGAATGCTCATATTACCGTAGCGCCTGCTTTTCTCGTCAAATGCACGAATCCGCCCAGCGTTAAGTAATCCACGCGATGTGTTGCTTTGTACAGAAATGTAACAAACTGTGCGTTGTTCCTCCATGAAGCATTCTGCGAAAACCGTACATAAAATTCTTGACCGCATGCTTAGACAGATGCATGTTTAAACCGTCAGGACGAAAACTTACCTGACCAGCACAAGAATCACTGTGCGTGATAATGATTTGCCGCCACAATTTCACCGTCTGTTGCGCCTAAAAGAAAATTACTGAGTTGATAATAATTATTAACGCTCTGAATTTCATAACTACAGGAACGTTAATTTGATTTTAAACCATACAGTGCGGAAAATGCATAATAATTATACTTTGCCCAAGCGCGCATTTATAAATGATTATAATGTACATAGTGGAACGTACTGATTCGTGCAGGGTTATGCCGGTTATTAAGAAGACAAGCAGAATGATACTGGACGCCGTAATGGGCAGCACCAGCCGGACATACGCCAAAGAGCTATTCAACATTTCCGGTACAAATGCTCTAGCCGATAAGGAACAAACGCTGAGGAAGTGGCCCGCCAGTGCGGATGCCAGTGCAATGGAGAATCCGCCGCTCATATTTTCAATCACTTTTGCAAGTTTTTCATCCACCCAAGACAATTTCGGAAAAATTTCATCAAATGTTATGGCTCGCGTTTTGACTTTGTAAACTGATTCGTATAAGACCTGGTTAAACGTTTCTATATAGCTGACCAAAAAGGTCACCGTTACAAAATAGGTTATATAAAAGCCGTAAGGGAATATTCGCGCCAAGAGGACAACCGTGCGCTCAAAAATATCCGATGGTCCATACGGCCAACTCCACAGAAAAAACGATCTGGGCGTATCAAACCGGCCGGCATTGGTGGCATCGCTGACCACCATGACAATGTGCACAGCAGTGTATAACCCACTGCTAAGTGCTAACGAAATACTTCCGTATGACAGCCAGTGTTTCTGGATTTTTTTGGTGGATCTTATGTAAGATTTTTTGCTGGTAAAGAAGCCGGAAATTGTAGCGATTTGTTGGAGGATCAAATCAAAGTCCATGACCTTGATAACAAATCCGAAAGAAATCATAGCGGCGGTGAAATAAGTGATTTCGCTGTCCATGTATATCAGCAGGGCGATAATTTCACTCTCCTGCACTCGCCGATCTTTGTCTCCGTGTACGGCGGCCACCGTGACCCCGTTAATCATCCAGTTACCCACGTCCATGACAAAAAAGAAAAAAAAGAAAAATGGAATAAATAGTCGAATCACTATTGGCAAAGCAACGCATATTCGTACTAACTGCGCCGTGAGTTGGTATACAGAAAGGAAATTATAGGTAGATATTACTTCGACATTCTTTGCCTCGTTTTTCCCCATACTGCACTTTCTTCTTAGAAAATCTTAGATATTCCGGTAAGTTGTCACGTGATAACAGGCAATGAGCAGCAAGCAAAAAATCTTGACGAAGACCATTAAGAAAAGTAAAGGGCATTGGAGTGGCAACGTAACGTGTTTTGTTTGGAGCAAAGCCGAATTCTGCTTAAAAGAACATTTTGATACTGCATTATTAAACATCCGCGTATTAAATCGATATAATTAAGGTGCACTAAGTAAACTGTTTTTAAATGCGGGAAAGCTTCTCGTAAACTCATTATTATTCTGTTTTCTATGTGTTGCGCACAGTGTACTATAAAGGATAACGTGCATTTAAATGACTTGTACGAGTACTTGTAATATGTATGCGGCAACAAATCGAATCGCGACGTTCCCCGTCCCTGCTGCAGAAACACACACGGTTTACGACCACGGTAAATTACTTTGGTCACCTTAATGAACAACACCAGTCGGACATCTGTCAAGGAACTGCCCACATTTTACGTTGTCGAAACATAAACGTCACGCAATGTTGCCACAACATTTACAAAGGCATGCCTACCGCAATTTGTTGTGAACAGTATATATTGTCAACATCGTTACGTTTTTTAAAAAATTATCCAGCACACCGTTTGAAATAACCGTATTTTAAAATTAGTATTTTGAAGCGGCTCACAAGTCAGCTGTGGGAGCTAGGCTCAGCTAGCATAACTTCGTTTTCGATAGTACTACGACGTTTGCGACAAAGTAGATCCTTTGCTGTAGATGTCTTTGCAGATCCTTGTGGATGCGTTAAGCTGTTTGATGTTGTACCGGAAATGACGTAAAAGTTACTTACTGTACTGTTATCCAGATGCAGCTAATGCAAGAGGTCATAAATAATTCATCAGAAATACTGTGCGTAAATAAATCAAAATGCATCTTGCATAAATATTCTGTTTAATCAACGTGGAGTTGACATCCAAAGAAGTAAGTTACATTAGATGGAACAACTATCTCCTACGTACCTATTTTAATCGATCGACTGCATTATTCTACAGATCAAGTAAATTTCAAAATCTGTGTTATTGCAGTTGTCACATGCGGTACCGGTCCCATTTCACCGCGCAATACGAGTGCGCGATCATATACAGCGACAATGGAAAACTTAATTAACATCCCGTTTTTCCCCTTAATTAAATTCTTCCTGGGCTGCAAAACCCAAAGTGCCTGGTGTTGTGTATTACGCCATTTGATTCCAGTGATTTTTCTAATCATATTCATCATTGACTTTGGCGACTGGATCATTAACGGCGAAACCAACAGCATCCAAGGCGAACCGCACCGTATTCGCCAAAGCCACATTATCGCCATTCTCTCGTACATGAACAGTCAATTCAGCTTCCTCCTCACCTGCACTATCCTTTTCGGTTTCGTTCTAAAAGCCCAGCACCTGATAATGGCAATCGAACGAATGATATCCGCCCATCTATTGTGGTTTGGACTAAAGGTCAACAAAAGGTCACCGGTGATATTCCTGGGATACATGGGAATCTGCACCTCCGCACTGGCATATGTGACGGTCTTTGTTGGACAGTTGTGTATGAACGTTGGTACCACCCAGCAGCGAGAAATGTGGAAACCGGTCAAGTATTTCGTATGGCGACCGCCGAATTTGGTGTGGGATGCCGGTTTTCATTTGGTGTGGTTGGTGGCGCGTCTTCTGCCGTTTCTCGTCTACATTCTGTATTTTCATCTGGTTATGCTGGTCATCCAGAGTGTGGTGAAATTTAATAGCCGACTGCAAAGCACCATTATTGCCGTACAGCAGGAAATAATGCATTTTGAAGAAGGCTTTAGAATATTGAGAAAAGAGGACACCGAAATTTACACCATTGTTCAACATCTTAGTGATGGGTTTTCCTTTGTGCTGGGAGCGGGAATATTTGGGCATTTTCTCATTATCTGCTCCATGACTGCACAAGCCTTCTTGTCGGACGATTTTGCCAATGTCTGGGAGTATGCACGGGAAGTGCTGCAAATTTTGCCATCAGCTGTTATTTTACTGATGTTCTTTCTCACCGGCACCAAATTGCATGAAAGTGTAAGGACATAAACCCGCATAACTAAACTGCTCTGTCTGATTGTCAACTTAACTATACTATATAAGAATGTGTTGGTACAGTGTTACACGAGCATTCATTTTGCAGTGTTCGGAAACCATAGCTTTGATTCGCGATTTGATCCTGGCGCATCAAGACTGCCGACGAAAGGTAACCAAAATGTGTGCATATGTACATATATACCGAAAATTAAAATTGAAAACGCTACGCCAGCTTTTTATATTCCTTTTAAATTCGTTTACAGTAATATAAATATGCGGTACATAGTATTCAGATTTCAGCCTTTATTTATACATCCAAATTTACGTTTTATCCAATAATCTGTAATGTTGTTAATATTGCATCATAAAACACTTTCATATCAGATCCCGTTGTGGACGGATGATGCGAAACTTATCACCTTTCTATACAAAATCAGCCAAAGATCGGGATCGCTTATGTTGGCGGGTTTCGCCCATTTAACACGAGGCACAGCCGCTACGGTAATGAAAACATTACCTTTGGATAAGATTCAAATAATTCTGTACTTGTCAGTGAATTCCAATCATTGACCGTACTGACGGTACTGTATTAATTTTGTAGTTTCTTTTTGCCTTCATTGGCTACCTATGTTTCTTGATCGAACGATCGGAGCACTACAAGACTGATGAAAAGCTGACCGGAGCTCTGAAAGGGAACACAACACTCGGACACTTGGAGAGCAGTAGCGAGTGATAGCGTTCTTCATATTTTGGTACATAATAATTATTTAGTGATATTCCGCGCCGTTAATTTAAAAACAGAACAGCAATAAGTGCAGCAATGCTGCAAAAGTCTATAGTTCTATAAACATGTATACTTCTACAAAGAGTACACTGCATCAACATTCAAGCGCTGATTCTTTTAACGGTAAAACTCAAAGATTGTTGCTGTGTGTCATCAATGCACAAGTTTTTATTAACTGCAGACAAGCATCCAACGGCAATACATAAAGTGGGTATTTAGAGTATACATAATCTGCCACGACAAAGCAGTTCATCTTACGCTTAAAACTAACAAATCCTAAGAATTCTAAGAATTCTAACAAATTCTTTTTAAACAATAACAAATATTCAAAAGAGGAAAGAACGCAGAAATCTAGAGTAAACTGTGCCCGAACAATGCAGAGATCAGAAAGAAAAAATACATTCATATCATGTTTCAAGTACCACAGTCTGTAAGAGGCAAAAGCCATTAAAATTACAGAAAGTGCTAGTTAAAATTTAAGCATTAATAATATATTTAAAAAAGTCCCATATAAATGTCGATAGCACAGGCTTAGCTAATTAACTAATTAACAGCTGCATCCACTGATTCTTAGTTTTCTCCCGCACAATCAGCTGCTCTGTTCAAGGCTGTAGAACGTTATCTGACCGCTGTATTCGCTGGCCGCTACCATACGCTGATCCAGCGTGTATGCCACACACTCGACGCGCTGCGACAAACCTCGGGCAGAGACTTGACCTTTCTTGGCATTCCGTTTCTCCTACTCACCAGCAGAACAAAACACAATATTCGACATTCAGTGTTTAATGAAATTATGCAACCACTGCATTGCGGACATAAACGCAGCTTATAAACTATGAAATATGTAGGTACATTCGCGCCGAACATATTCCGGTCGTGCACGGGTTACCTCTATTCCTCTTGTGGGAGCGCATATTTCGGGCCACTCGAGAAACATGACCGGGTTGCCGAGCTTGGTTCCCTTGGAATTGAACGGATCCCGAATACAGTCAAACTTTCCAAACCAGTCTGGCTGATCCGACGGAATACCGACGGCTAACGGATGACTGTGCTCCTTCCATTCCACCCTGCTCGACTGCTGGCCAACAACAAGCGACCAGATAGCGACTCTTTCCTTTAATCGACACACGAAGAAGAAATTATCAGATTTCTCAATATTTATCCACCGCACACTGTTCAATTCCGTCTCGCACTGCGTGGTGAAATCCGGAGCGGGTATGATAACAGGATTAGCCGCCACGGCGTGCGGATTCGCAGCTGCCGCTTGCAAAGCAGGGTGCTTCCCACCGAACAGGCTCCATACCTTTATTCGATCATCTCGCGATCCTAAATATAACACGCAGAGAAAATATAAAAACACTGCCATCACCATGCTCATTTATTTGGATTCGTAATTCTCACTCCCACAGCCACTAGTTCTTAAAATCAGCGATTAGGAAGTAAATTCTTATTTATCTGACTTGTTTCCTTGTTCCACATTACGATGATGCTGTCGGCATTGCAATAGTAACGTCAACTCACTTCATCCCTGTGAACTAATATATCAGCAATGTATAAATATACTAAATAAATAAAAAACAGAGATATAATAATTACAGTGAAATATCTATATAATAAGAAAATACAGATTCGTCAAGCACCACTGCGTTCAGCATGAGTTTGCTTCCTAGAGCTTAGTGAATCATCAGATCAACGATTGGTATCATGCATACGATCAACGATGCAAATCAGGAGTAATTGCAGTAAAAACGGATGCAACAGAGGTTTTAATCCGGTTTGATTTCCATGAATATTCAGCAGCAGCATTGACAATAATAATAAAAAGTATTACTTTGTATCTCACCCGACACGAAAAATCGCCCGGACGGATGCATATCCAGCGTGATAATTTCCTTCACATGACCGCCTTGGCCCTTGAACAGCGCCAAACACACCAGCAAACGCACATTCCACAAGCGGACGGTGAAGTCATCCGATCCGGAGAGGAGAAACGGCGCCTGTTCCTCGCAGTAGGCCAGCGCCGTCACGGCACCCGTGTGCGCCGCCAGATAGCCCATCCGCACAGGTCTGACCGTGTAGTCGATGATGCGGATATATCCATGCCGTCCGCCAACGGCCAGCGCCGACCACGTGCGCTGTGTCAGGGGATCCTTCAGCCACTGCACGGTGTGTAGATCTTCCATGCGGATGCTGTCGTTCTCCTTGTTACTGTGCGGGCCACACGCGACTTCGGTTACAAAGAACTCGTGCTGCTTGGTCGTGGCAGTCGCCGTCAGTCTGATCACTACAATCTGGTTGCCGGACACCGCAGCGAGCACATGGGAGTAGGTGCCTAACAGCTGCTTCGGTGGGTGTGGATTGAACTGCAAGGCGGAGAAGTAGAGAGGAGTGTTTGGTTGGCTGTCCTCTTCGGATGAGGTTTCGTCGGGGAGGCAATTCCAGCTGATGCTCAAAGGATTTCCCGTAGGCTTCACTACGAGAGCCATTATTTTGGCCAGAAAAAATGAAATCGCGGCATAAAAAGATGCGTTATCACGCGGATAAGCAGATTAGCGCGTTTCTTTGATTCCGTAGCAGGCGTGGCCCGCGTAGCTACAAAAAAAACTCCTGCGACGGAGCAGAGTTAGCTTCGCCCGTTCGCCGCTATCCAGTATGCACTGGCCGTAGCTGGTGCCGTGTAGTTTGCTGTTCCTGTGGTCACAGGGAACGCAGATACAGGTGATGATATCAAATATCTATATCTATACAAATATCAAATATCTATACAGTAGAAAGTACGTACAGAAACAGTACTACGTACTTCAAATTATTTAATATGTCGTACATCTATACATCAATAGTAATAACTAATAAGTACTTACTTAATAATACAGTTTAGAGTTTAAACCTTCTATTCATTTCAAATTCTCATAGAAATTTTTGTATATCTATATATAATGTACGGTACTAGTCAAAGTACGAGTGCTCAAGCTGTATGATAAATAAGGAATATCCGTACTAAATTGATTCCGATTTTTTATGCTTATAAATTATCTATACAACGTCATATTATACTAACAAAAAGTATTAAAAACTGCGATATCTGAGGACGTTTCCTCCCGATCAATGCGCCCATCTCGTATCGTTCTGGAGTATCTTTTGGTGCATATCTATATAAAATTATAAGTGCGGTGCATCGAAGGCAAAGCTTAAGGAAGATGGCCCGGTACATTGCGTCAAAAATCAGATACATACTAGTAGTGTACACTAAACATTCGCTTTCGCGCTCACCGCTATTATTTCGGTTATTCTCGGTAGATACCAACAGCATAACCTAACTACACGCACCAAAGAGTGTGTTCATTGACAAATGTAACTGCATTACAAATTTACAATACTGAAAAATGGAACTAAATAGAAACAACAAACAAAAATACCAAAAATAACAATAACACTGTGAAGGCCACCAAAAATGTACACTTCTAAATGCATTTCTTAAAACAGTTTCTTTTTGGACAAAAACCGTTCAGCTTTCGCTTGATAATTCACCTGCAAAAGCACGCTTCGAAATATATATAACATGCAGTTATCGAAGGATCATCCTCACCTTTTGTTCCTCAGACAGGTCTTCGTAACATTTTTTCAGGAAAACACTGATCTCTTTTTCCGTCGCGTAGGGATGCTCTTCTTGTATCGCGTCCTCGTTGTCATACCTTACATATTCTAGAATCTTCGCTTCCAGGGCTTTGTCAGCTCGAGTCTTCTTTTTGGCCTGCAACAGATTCTTGCCGTTTAATGAAGCTTTCCAAAGATGCAAGGACAACTCCCAAAACAAACCAATTGCGGAAAATCATTAAACTAGACGGTTTACAGTCACTAAGGGCAGGTGGAAAACACTTCAAATGTCAAAGGTTGTTCGTATAACATATTTGGCAATTTGATTCCCAATCGGTACAACCTCGAACCTTTTAAAATCAGATGAAAGAATTATTGCTCTTATAAATCACGAGTACTGTACAAGGAGTAAAATACAATGCCCTTATATATTCGGATTTGTTCGCTCTGCACTTATAACATAATATCCTCTATCACCATGTGATTCCGATAATATACGAATGCGTCCATAAACCATGCAAAAAGGAAAAAGCATTTACTATTCTATCAACCCACAATTTTGCCAGTTAATCAACGTCTCACAATAAGTCACAGCCCACTCTATTCGTAATACATGATTGTCTTACCGAATTAGTGACGTCGTTGCTATCATCGTCGGAGTTAAAAAGGCGCACCATGGGCCGAGGTTTACTGTTCGACTGCTTCCCGAGTGGCATCGCTTGCTCCAGTATACGTCGTTCTTCTTCTTTCCGCTCTTCGGGAATTTTTTCAAGATACCTTTCACACTGCTCAATATACTCCTTTCGCATCTGGATTGCAATAAGGAAAAAACGAATAAAACAACTAAGATCCACACGAATTCGTTGCGCATGCCTGTCATTTGGCACTCACCTCCTCCAACTGATTCTGATACTGAATTTTTTCATCACTATCTAGGTTCTTCCAGGCGTCAGACGCCGCTTTCATCCATTCCCTGCTGTTGATGCCCGAACCCCGTTCACTGAATTCTTTACAAAACAGATGGTAAGTATTCTTGTATTTCAGTTCTGGACGTCCCAGAACGTGTTTATATATTTGTCGTTCGTCGAGGGTTACGCGGTTTCGTATGGGTTTAATGAGAACTTCCGGATGCTGTCTCTTGAAGAGTTCCAGTTCTTTCTGGAAAAATGCACAGTGAATTAGTACCACTCAAATACCAATAGCCAATGTGCACCGCGATCGCTTCAAGCCTTCGTACATCGTAGCGCTGTTGATCTTCGAGTGCCATCGTAATGAATTTCGCCTTTCTCGTGTCTTTCAATGCATTCCACTTTTCTTTGAATGCTTCTTTCCTTTCCTTGGACAATTCCTATAAAACGACAACACAAACCTTATGAGAACGTCATAAGTATTTAAAACAACCTAAAAGTTTCCGTTTGTGCCAGAATGACGCATTCGGCATAATTACTACAGCAAACAAGCCACACCATCCAGCACAATATCAACCATCGTACAATATGTGTCGCCATTCGGCAACAATGGGTACGGGCTAATAATGTCTGTAAGGGCAAAAGCTGGATACTTGATTTCGTTCAACAGCCAATGAGCAGATAATAAATTTGCAAAAGGTGACGAAACGTTCGACAAGTTGTTCAAATTAAAGATATTCGTAAAAATCGCGAGTACATGAAACAGCAGCAGTGAAGTTGCACAGCATGCACTTCTGTTTATATTGTATTCGCATTTACCGTATGTGCGCTACAATTATAACAAAATGTACGAAGCTTGCATGGGATTCCGCATATGAAGGCATCCATAAATTATCCAGACAGCAGCCGGTATTCTATTCTACGAACTATTCTTACGAGTACAGTACATTAATAAATCATGTATCATCATTCATCATATAGATACATGCACAATTTCCTTTGAAATCTACTTGTAGTTGTACCGTTTCGCCTTCTGCCATTTTCTTCCGACAATAATAGTCGAAGGCAAACAGCGGCTTCCTCGGTTGTGGAGCTCTGAGCTCTCTCTTTTCCGCGGCCTTCGTTTTCCTCCTTTTTTTGCCGGTACCGTTGGGAAGGAGCGCGACCGCGTATTCGGGATGCTGCACAAAAAACTCGCTTCTCAAGGCGGTATACTGCTCTTTCTGTCTCGCGTAGTCATCGTCCCATTCTTTCTATAAAAAAACGCCATTGCTTCCACATGTCACCAATAAGTTTTCCGAATGGATACCAAAATCGCTAAGAAAACACAAGTTAATAAAAATTAAAACTGGAAATGCAAGTGTGATATCCGAAATGTAACACGTCAATGTTAATAAAAACCCCACACAAAAATTGCAGTGACGCATAAGAACCAAACTCAAAAATCTCCATAGCAAAAGCCACTGTTAGCCTGTAATATGCAGCAATGCAAACACAAATCGTCTAAGCTCACTCTGCTTTCCGGTGCCAGTTTGTCATAGCGTTGTTTGATTTTATGAGTAAGTTGGGCGATGCCCAGATCCGGATATTTTTTCCTCATCTTCCGCATGATGGCATTTTTATAATTCATAAATGCATTCATCGGGTGCTTCGGGAATTCAGGATGATCTTGCTAACACAGAAGAAAAATAGCGAGCTGAATGCGTTATGTAGCATATGTATCACATTATTAGTTACCACAATATTACAGTAATACAGATTATCGCTTATATTATACAAATATTCGAATTTCAGTTAACATGTTGCAATCTAGTGAATCTACTTACTGGCCGGAGAATACTGCTATGTGGATCATTAACCCACGCTCTCGCATCTGTTACCAGTTCAGATAGAGTTCGATGTTTGCGAATCTGCAAAGATATTCCAAATGCAACGAATAAGCCACCAGAAGCGCACAAAAGCGAAAACTGCTTGAACAGCAAGCGCGAAGTTACATGGTCGTTCTGAAGAATCTTCTCAAACTGGCTCCGGCAATCTTCAGCAGTGCGGTTGCGGACTGTTAAGGTGCTCCAGTCTAATTTGTTCAGCCGTTTTTGGTAAGAGACAGAGTCTTTCTTGGGCAGAGCTTGCACCACGTTGGCCATGAGCTCCTCAACATGCGACACTGGCCAATCCAGCACCGATCGCTCCGTTGGCTCATCCACTTCCATCTTGAACGACATATTTCAACCAGAATCAACACAACCCCGAGAACTTGGATATTAAAAACATCGATAAGCCGAATCCAGATTATTACTGCTCAAAGTTAAGGAATATAGAAACTTTTATCTCTTTGCACTTCCAAGTCTTGCACTGACTTGTATACTGACGTAAGCGCATCGGCTTCTCTCAGGCGTTTTGCAGCAGCCCAGAGGCGGTAGCAACGAACCCTGCGGGGTAAATTTTGAAACATAATAATCGTAAACATAATAATTTTGAAACATAATAATTGTGGTACTACTCGTAGTATCAATAATTTGGTCCATTTTTTGTTATTTTATGCGGACAGACCGAGGCAGATGGCTTGCAAATACATTCTAAGCTTATACTTATCATTTATCAACGATGCAAAATAATCAGGTGCCCATATTATAAATACATATTTGCCAAGACAACTGCTGCTCACAGCCGATTAACGCAAACCCGGTATAAAGTGCTATTGCAAATTGCAATTGCGTCTACCGCCAGCCTTTCCCATGCCAACGCAAAACTGTGCTTTTTGAATGCATTGCACCCACAACCATCTTGCTTCGCATTTTTGTCCAGTCAGAGGCAAACACGAACAACCGAGTGGCGAAGAATGCCCAATTAAAATAGTAAACGCGTACTACGACACAACTTGTGAGATTCTTTTAAACCAGCAAAAACGAATTTCAAACACTAAAATACAATTGTAAACCAAAATCACAATTTTCTCACAAGCTGTCAAAGGCGTAAATGCAGCAAAACTTTCACATGCACTTAAATAAGAAAAAGGGTAAATTATCTTCTTCGCGTTCCACCGAATCCCGAGGCTTCCCGTGATCCACTAGAGCCGGTAGAGCTCGTGCCGCCTCCGAATCCTGAACTGTACGACGTCGAACTGCTGCCATAATCGTAGCTGGGATTGTACGGCGGAGCACGATTGTATCCCCCACCAAACCAGCTTCCGCCCGTATTCCGGCGTCCAAACAAATAACCCAACCCCGCACCCGCTCCCATTCCACTCCAAAAGCCCGGACCACCACCTCCACGAGCCCCGGCGGTTCCGGTATTGCGATTGGCATTACAGCTCTCGCCCGGAAAGGCTGACGAATCGCCGGGATAAGGCGGTGGAGCGCCGTAGGGACGGGAAGAAGACCCGAAACTGGAGCCCCCTCCGGAGGAGGGATTGTGGCCGGGGCCTTGCGGATGATCCGAGTTGGTGGTGGAGAACTGCCGCTGAGCCACACAGGTTCGGTAGATTTTGTAGATAAACCATATCACGCCGATGAGGAAGAGAGTGCTGATGTACCAAGGTGTTCTCAGACCATCTGTTGTTTTACTGCAATAATTCACGAGATGATTAGACAATTCCGCTTAGACAATCTGATGCAGCCAGCTTGTAAAAGTACTAACAACGGAACAGATCTTATTATCGTACGCCGAAAACAGCATTGACTATAAATTTAATAATTATTTAGATGCGCGTGTAATTACCCATTCGGTGGTGATAAACCAAGTTATTTCTTTACCACGGTCATCCTACTAGAGCACTCATTTTACGATTAACGCAGTTGCATTACTGCGCACAGTTAGCGATCGTACAAACTGCCGCGAAACGCGAACAACACAACGTACAAAATAATATAGGCATTTTATAACTTCTATTTTAGAAACTACAGCGCTGGCACTCTGTCGAACAATTCTCCCTTACGTTGTCGGAGACTTGGCATATGAATACGAAGACTGATGAGATCCCTGTGTTTTGCGATGCTGCACCCCTTCTTTCGTCAGATCCAGCGTATACTCCATCTAGAAACCAAACTACTATGTATGTTCGTATGATAGAAAACTCATTTCCACCGGGCACCCGATATTCTCTTGGTGGCCTAATCTGAACAGTCACATGCCAAAAATATCACTGTTTCCAGCCTGCTACTCTAATTAACATTTCTTCACAACAGAGTAAAAAATACGTTACAGATCTACGTAAATGCACGAGCAGGCCCTATATGGTACGTACCCCACAACTGCCTTTCAAAACGTATGGATCTTCGGGATGTTCATATCCTTCGCAAACGACTTCGATTTGTCCAAATCGGAAGTCATTATCCATATCTAAAACGAGCGAGAACTGTAAGAACACAGTAAACACAGCTCTGCATTGCAAGACAATCAGCCACAATGGAAAATTCCTTCGTCGTTCGAATGAAAATACTACGAGTATATATAGACAGTAGGCACCTGTTTTGCATTCCCACTGCACATCCATTCCATCGGAACCCCGGTTGTAGCACTGCACAGTCTGCGGAACAAACGCACTACATCCCGCCGTACCACCGACACAGGCCAACTGCGGAACAGCACGGGTTCGTCGTGCGGCCGTCATTTTTCCCTGGTGCAGCGTCAGAGTCTGCACGTCGCTCAACAGGACCCGGTCGTTAGCCTGGCGCCCTGCGATCAAAAGCATGACAGTCACATATCGATATCAGTGATCAGTGAGGCTGCTGGATTCCGAAGAAAAATGAAAAACGGTAAGGGTTGAAGAGAGCTAGAACTAGCGTAGGCTTACGCTTACCCCATTGCTGAGCGTTCCCCAAAGAAAGGGATGAGAACACCATCAGGAACATAAAGATGCTGACCAACAGTCCAGCCATCTTGTGACTGTACTGCTGGAGCCTGGGACTGTGAACTTCACACTCTGTTTACAGTTAACACAAATTATTTCGAGAAAACCCTTGATGTACAGATCATGGATCAAGATTCAGCACATAAAACAAGAGTGACAAAAATGAAACAGAAGAGGAAGACAGATGATAAAATCTCACTAATAATTATAAGTAACATCAAATGATTCTAGAAGGCTAGAAAAGATCAAGAAAACGAAAACAACGCTGTGGATTTTCGCTCTTTTGGGATTGGAGCACGTGTTTGTTTAGAGGAGGGCAAAAGTTATTCATAGGCCTTGTCCCGAATTCAAAGCGAATCTCGCTATGGTACGGTTGCTCAACCGCACGAGGTGGCTGTATGCAGTGGCCACGCCTACAGATACGGTACGCGAAGCCACCTCGCGAGGTGGAGTTGCTGTATCGCAACGAGATTCGCTTTGAATTCGAGACGAGGCCATAGACTCGAGTCACTCGACTTCAGTCCGCTAGTGTGTTAGTGCAGTGTCACTTTTTCTCATCGATCATCGACGGAAATGCTTCCCAAGCTTGACTCTCGTTTGATCACCTCTGTGTTAATAAATCTTCCTCATTAGTCTTTGTTAAAATATAGTAGTGCACAAGTCTATAATTTCCGTCAGAAAATTGAACCTGGAGTCTGGAGGATTATGTAAATGAGTAATTTAAATGAGTAATTTTAAAGGAGTCGGCGACTATCTGTATGCCTGCATCGGAGTGCATCTTTCTTTAAATAAATAAAATTCTTTTCTTACAGTTGCTGAAACAGTTGTTAGAACTGCTCAAAAGTACATAATAAAGCAACATTAAATTTTATCGTGCTGTCTGAAAATTGTCAGTTGATAAACTCCATCGAAAGTATGTGGATGAATTCACGAGATAACAATATTTTAAAGTTGGACGATAGTACAGGGTAAGCATGAGATGAATCCACGAAATTACGCTTTTTGAATTGTTGCGTGTCATGAATATTACAAATTTCAAACTTTTGAAGAACAGTAATACTGGCACAAAAATATACCGATCTGTCTGTACACGGATGAAGTCGGACTTTGCACTTCTTTTCCAAACATTCATGTTGGTTATTCTCAAATTTTCATGTACGTATTTAAACAAATTATGTTTTTCTCAACGTGGCAGATTCTTTTACACCGAAACAGCAAATTCGGCTTCTTGCGCCCGATTGCATATGTACTCGTAAGTCGTAATGTACGTAAAGGTTATAAATCAAACTGACCAGTTATAAAGTGTCATATTACGCTCACCGTCAGTAAACAACAGCCGGCGAAATCAAGCAACAATGCGCATATAGTAATGCCGATAGAAGAAATACTTCTTTACGTATGCCAACATGACGTTTATGTAACATTCTATCTGTACAAAGAATACAGTGTATTTAATGCGAATTCTATAAGCCCTTTTGTGGGAGTTGTAATCCTTTCCATCGCTGCTTAATGCTTTAGACGTTAACCGAAACAGCACACTTCGCATGTACCACTTTGATTTCCGGTCTGCTCAGAAAGTACTGTAAAATTAAACAATGTGCCAATATTTTTCATCTGGTTTATTCTACCTCTCTCTGTTAGCATATTCGCAATGCATATCCGCCATTTTAACCGGTCAGCAAGCGGTGGCCCAGCGTCCCAATTTTCGGTACATAAATCGCCAGTTTCAAGGATCCAGCGCCCCGACGTATGACACATTCGACAATAATTACGATCCAGACCAGGATTTCGATTACGGAACCGGCAATCAGCAGGAGGGATATGATTCCACTTATTCACTGCATCCCGAAGCCAATGCACAGTCGAACTATGATTCAACGGATGATAGTGCAGAAAGGTCACCGGTGGGTGGCACCGGCGGCAGACAGGATCCGGTGCGACCATTTGATCCAGCACGCACACCGACAAATAGCCAGCTAGATGTCAATGATCCTGGAGTGTTGTACTGGACATCTAGAGACTCTCCGGCATCTGTCAGTAAGTGACAGATTCGCGATCACATACTTTAACTTTACTGGTATAACAGATTACTCATAAGACATTAATATTATATCCATAATTTAAGCCTATTGCAATAACTACAATAGTTAGCTGTTAGCGCGTCACTCATACAGTACTACTCTATCCACACATCTGAAGTAACTTCCTGTCTTCTAACTGAAAATACTGTGACACAATCTAAACACAAACTTGTCGTTCATACTCGTGTAAAGGAAAGAAATTTTCTTTGCAGGTATAATTCCTTGTGTATTTTTAAATTAACTGCCTCCTTAATTTACTGAATTATTTTTACTGTATATATTTTTACTAAAAGATGTCATCGGAAATGACATTGGTTTTATTACTTAAGCAGAAACTTTGCTATTGCCGCTGGAATTTCTTGTAGGAAGTACAACGTTTTCGAATATTATCAAACACCATTTATTGGAATTCCGGTCCGCTTCGAATTTCCTTTTCAAAACAGCACCCTAGTTTTCCTTATAGGTGGCCAGATATATTCAAGCGGCAACCGTAACCCCGCTCCCCCTCGCTATCCAGGCGGCCCCGGCATGAGCGACGTCCAGCAACCGAACCGCCGCCCGCTTCTTCCTTGGCCTCAGCCCAGACCCAGTCAAAACACTTCCCGGCCGCAACCACCTAACCGACCGGTCCGGCCGCCCATGAACACCAACACCGGATATCCCATGGAGCGTCCCGATATCCTCCAGGACACCGGACGTCCTTCCTACAACCAACCCAATCGCCCACGACCGTCGTTCACTAGCAACTCCAACCGCCCATCGTACCAGAACACCGGCAATCAGATTCCTATCTGCCGCACTGAGCCCGGCTCCAATTCACAGCCGGTTCGACCTCCCATGTCCGGCAGACCAGGCCGCCGTCCCGGAACAGGAGATATTCTAGCGGATCCCGGGCGAGGGAATGTGTTCATTCAGGGCTTAGGACAAGGAGGACAAGACGAGACTGATGGATATTATCAGGGACCGGAGGGCTATAATAATCCTTACACAAACATTGAAAGCCAACAGCGACCGTCGTGGCCAGTGGATTATGGCCGGGATGGTGAGCAAACTGAGACGCAAACGATTGCCGGTATTAAAGCGGCAGCGGGATGGCTTTTGTTTCGCATCATTCCTGATGCGGTTCGTCGGCTGGGGCACTAAACAATCGATGCAAAAACTAGTAATTAACAACCAAAAGTGCTGGCTGAACCGCTGCTCTTTGAGATTGTTAGAATTACGTTGTTAAGGAGTCAATAAAAATACCCCATTTAACGAGGTAATTGAATCATGAGAACATAAAATATGGCATTTCATGGTCGATGATTCAATCTGTTAAATTTGCAGAAGCAACGGAGATAATATGATAAATGCTGGTGATAAACCAGGTCGACAAAACTGTTTTCCGATTGTTTAAGACCGCGAACGCTATCGACTGCACGCAACCATAACATTATTCCCCGAAACTCAATCACTTTTATTAATGTACTTAGCCGCCGCCAAAAAGGGCCAACCCGCCAAAACTTTGAACAAAGTTAAGAAATCTGTCCATTTCCCAGTCAGCTCCCGAAATCCGCATGTATCTGTACAATTCTAACAGAACCGCACCAGATCAAATGCTTCCGCAACAAAAAAGGAAACAGTGTCACAGAACAAAAATGTAAACCTTATACAACTAACCATCCGAAAACAATACCAGGTTAGAAAGTTCCGCATCACATGTGTCACGTGATTCGTTTTTCGAAATCTCCCCGGCCATAGTAAAGCCCCAGCCGATCTACAAAATCTACAGTTACAGTCAGTGTGTAGCACGGATTGGATGCTTATAATATGTAACCAAACGATCTGCAAACCGCAAACAAAAGCAAGTAAGTTTACAAGTCCTAAATATACGAGTATATTTCTGGAGGACACCAAAAAAGGAGAAACCACTTACCTCTCCAGATGCTGCCGCGCTGCGAGGTTTGATCGGAATCGGTCGCATCGCCACTGCCATTCAGAATGCTGACCGAAAACTGATGGTCAATAACTGTAGGAATGGTATTCTTTGCCGGGGGCGACGCGGTTAAATCAAGTAAGTCCGCTTCCGGCACGGAAATAACTTCTTTTGCGGTAGGCTCAACGACGGTATAATCTATTCCGAAAATCGCAGTTAAATGGTTAAGTTTTCCGACATGCTTTCAGCTTTAAAAAGTGACCACTCACCCTCGTTTTGTAAAGTGGATTCAGAGCGGTCGTCAGAGGGGCTTCCAACGGCATTCAGCTCTTCAGCAAATCCAACTGCAACACATTTTTATTACGGGAAATAAATACAGAAGAAGATCCGTAAGTAGAAGCCTCACTTCTGGACAATAAATTCATGTTGCAGCTAGCCAAGCTCATGCATGAATTTGATGCAGAACTTCCGAACAATGTTCTCCGCCGCAATTTGATGCCTCCCATGCAAACAGGGGGTGCCACGGTTTCTTCATCTAGCTGCTCAGACGTGGTGCAAGGCGGCACGGTACTAGCGGGACGGACAGGAGGCGCTGTGGTCTTCTCGCCATTCACCACGGAAGTCTGGGCCGGAGGAATTTCAGGAGACTGCGGAAGCTTTGCAGTTGAGCCGGTATTGATATCTCTGACACCGGAATCCGTAGAGGATGATTCCCGTGGAAAGACTTTGCTGACCGGAATGGCATAACCATCCTCAGATCCCGAACTGTTGTTATGAAACTCGTCTAAATAATCGCCGTTCTCGTCCAGGTCGTCCTGCACTACATCCGACGAGAGGCCGACTCGCCGTGTATCTACGATTTCCAACAGGAGCAATCGTAGGAAGTATTCACGTGCATATTTCATATGACAAAACAACTGATTATGAAGTTGCACGTCGCAATAATTGCACCCGCAAGGAAACTAAAATGCGCCTACATATTAACACAAATCAGAAAAGTGCTCGGCAGAAGATGGTGCTTCAGTGTTATCGTAAGCCTGAACTAACGAAGTACTACTACATAAGGTATCACAGGAAACACCAACTTACTTCCAGCACGTGACTTTCGAGCGCTGGGGCGCCGCTGGACGTTAGCTAACAGAAATTGCTCATTCGACATGCCAGACCGCTTTTCAAATTCGCGCTGCTCAGGGTTGGCACTGGCGGACCGGGGACGAGAAGGCATGTCCCAAGGGCAGGATGGATCAGCGCCGGTATCCCTACTTGGCTCCCGCTGATAAGTCGGCTGAACCGCATCGCGATCGTAAATCGGTGGAGGCGGTCTGTGATAGGGAAATGCAACTGGACTCCAACGATTATTCGATTAGAACTTTTTTAATATACCATAAGTAATTTTTCTACTGTCTCGCTCAATATTATACCATTTACTGATTAATTAAAAATAAATTTAAGTTCGAATCTTATCCTCTCTTCAAGTTCCTTTTTTTTACGGAATTATTACTCTTACTCTGCCGGAAACGGCAACCTCAGCGGTGGAGGGTACAAAACAGGAAATAACAAAGGTCGATAACAGGGTACAAAAATGTACCTCAGCGGGCGATCTGGGATGGTGCAGGAGTACCCAGTTGATGTCGGCACAGTAATTCGCTTCTCATATTTTGGATAGGGATTCCGGGTTGGATAGGCGCGCACAGGGGGCGGATAGTAGTTTGTCTGTACTCGTGGTACGTAAGGACGGACGAAAGGTTTTGGACGGTACGACGGTTGACTGCTGCGGTATGTGGATGCGGAACGACCCAAAGTGGGTGCTGATATCAAGCGATCGTAAGAGGAAGTCGGGTGGCTTGTGGTCGCCGATCCCCGGCCGTGACTTTCACATTTCTTGCCGACCACACCAGCCGATATTTTATGTCCGTCACGACGCAGACGCGCATGGACGAAACGAGACAGGATCCCCTTCTCCAGGTTGAACGGGTCCGGTTTCCGATGTTTCTGAGTCGTGCGGATTAATCGCATATTACTGGCGATCAGTTCCGGAGGTGAAGGGCCAGGATATAGCATTACTCCAACCTGGGTGCTACAGTTAAAACACAATTAAATGCTGAAGTCACCACAACAAACTTTGGCATCCCCAGTTAAATTTTAATTCATTAGAAATTAAATCTGGAACACACTCACTGACTCACTACAGTACTACGCACACTCGCACAGCATCGTACTTGCTCTACGTATGTCGAATTCGAATGTATGGAGGTTAAATAAGGTAGTTTTCACAGTTTTGCTTGATTTTACGCATAAAAACAATATGTGGCCTGTGGAAAATCAAAAATCAATGAATTCTTACAAATGGGAGTTAATGGGAATCATGGGAATTAATAAGTAAACCAATTCAGTATTCCTCCATACTGTGCACTGTCTACAAATCTCTCATGTCCAGTCAGAAAAAATCGAAGCGATAACTAAAAAAATTCGCAACTACATATCTAAGTAAATGTGATAGACATTTAAGCAAAAAAATTATCCCCCAAAGATAAGGTCATCTGTTCGCGACCGTTTTTAGTGCAGTTAAGCGCAGACTCGGCAGAGGACAGAAATACGTGCTTTGTCAATCATTATTAAATTCTATGAAAACATGCTATCATGCACATCTAAAACTGACTGGGGCGGCCCAGTCAGTCAGTTTTAGATGTGGGGGTATAATCGAAGGCAAAAACCACAACAAAATGAAAAATCTGAGTCATTAATTCACACTGATTGTGAAAATACAGCTTTCATAACAGTATGATGCTTATCGATTGAGAATCAATCTGGACACTGCGAACTAAAAACACGTACTTTCTGCAAACGATGTCCGAGGGATGGGCATCCACGAATTCCATGAGATTGCGGAAGCCAGCTTTCTCCAGTGCTTCATCCAGCATCAGCGGATCGTGATCGTTGAAAAACTGCTGTTCCGCCTCCAGGGTCGTGAAGGAGTTGTGCAACAGCACTCCACACACCAGTGCGTTGTACACCTTCTTCCGATACCGTTCCTTCTCACCGCTAGCTGGGTCCGAAATAGCCGGAGCCATTTTCCCCGTTTCCTATGCACAAAATCTTTTTAACAATTAGAAAGTTTACTCCGAGTCTAGGACTTACAGAAACACAGAACACAAAAACCAAAATAATCCATTTTAACGTAAGACACACAGTTCCGAGCCACAACAGGCCACAGGGCACGAAAAAATCTCCCTGTACGGAATAACTAAAATGAGTGCAATCGTACAGGAATTAGGACACCAGCCATGTATTAAACTGCTAAGGGTGATTCGAATGGCCGCAGTAAGCTTGGCTGCATGCATAACCAAAAACTATGCTAACTAAAATGCACAGTTTTCCTGCTGGATGGAAATTTTCAGTAGCTTCTACTCAATTTACTGCATTCTAAGATACATTATGGTAAACTGATTAACGTTAACAATCAGACAATACTTACAGCGAGAACAACCAAAACTGCAGGACCGATGAAATTACTTGACAACAGTCCCTGAAAGTTGGACAAACCACAAACCAAAGTGAATAAAAGTTTACTGCAAAGGAGATTACTGTTGCTCGTGAAAGATACAAGTCCTCTCAATGTTAGCGACTGTAACGGCTCGAAAAGTTGAAAACAACGAAACCAAAAACTCAAAAGAAAAGTGAAAAATCATCAATGGAATATGAACTCCATAGAAACGAATGATCATTCGGCAGTTTCAAAGTAAACGTACGTAAATTCTGGAAACGGAAACTATGACCGATTGCCGATTGGCTCTTTGATTGGCATTCGGCGCCTTTTGGTAAGTACTGTACTGTAGCCGCCCGCACAAGTTGCTCCATTGGCAGATCCGGCCGCTGCCTTCTCCCTGCACACACTGCGCTGAACAGCGAGCAATGTGAGGCCAAATATCCGTATACCTCACTCTGTGGGGCAACTTGTGCGGGCGGCTACAGTACTTACTCTACGTGCGCAGTGGGCGGGGTTTCGGCTAAGCACTGCCTGCACGTAAGTACAACTACAGTTCCGGTTAAGCTTTATTAAAAATCACTATGGCCGCCCCTTTTTCCCTAGTTTAATTTCATTTCATAGGCTATATATAGCCACCCCTTTATAGGTTTTTTATAGGAACCATTAATTTTACAAGCACACCCTGCTGTTGCTTTTCATAGACACCCAATTTAAGTTTTAATTCTACGGATCTACCAAACCTTTGTTCTGCGATGATAATGATTTCTGTGATGCGTTCGTTGTGCACTTGTAAGTTGTAACATTAAGGTATTAAAGTACATACGTACTATAATTATAGTGATATTCGTGACCTTTCCAGCAGGGGAGACCATGATGTCAACAAAAACGCTTCGGGTCTTTATTTTTTAACACGTGGCGGCTTAGCATACATATCTTCACCAGCTGCTAAGATGATAAAAAAATTATCAAAGGTGCACCAGACTGCAAAAATGGACTTGTGGGTGCCCATAATCTGGTGGTTTTTTTCAGTGTTTAAATTTTGATTGTACTCACGGAGTCACGATCAAATTGATCAATGTAGTGTGCTCGGGCTTCCACCTTATAATTTAAGTATATTATTTAGGTGGCTGTTAGTCCTGTTACAGTATTACCTATTGGCTATTAAAGATTTGTAAGAGTACTGTACTGTTATGCTTTAATAGTTTTACGGTTAGCATTTATCGGAAACGTACCGTAATTATCGAATTATAAGCCCAGGGTTACAAATACATATTTCAAATGACCCACGGGGTGGGCTCTAATTGTGGGCATGGGCTTGTATTTAGGGGGGGCTTCAATTTTTCAGACCAGCTTTTTGGCATTTTTTAACATGGGCTTTACGGTATTTAATTAAGCCCATGGGCCTCTATTTCGGGGGGGGGGGCTTATAACTTTTAAACCACCTTAGGGGTGAGCTCTAATTACGGTGGGGGGCGTGTATTTGGGGGGGGGGGCTTCAAATTCGATAATTACGGTACGAGGAGGAGCTACCTTGGCCCGATCAAAGGCGCAAACATGACCATAATCCGATCACTGTGCCCGCGTGTGTGCACAACGCCAAACCACCCAGGTTGGCAGCGACGTTAACCACTTGCCCGCCCGCGCGTGAAACATGGCTGTTCACCCAGCCACGGCAGCAAAGTTATTAATAAATTTAGCTCTCTAAAATTTCTTCTTTTAATAAATGGGTTTTTCGTTTAATAATAATATAATAATAAATGGCTTAATAACAAAATGGATTTTTCGTTTTTTAAATATGGCGGCCATAGCGATTGTGTCAAAGTTCTTGCCGATGTGGGTGGTTGGCCGTTTTGCGTATGCCGGCACAGTGGTTCATTTACTGCCAACCTGGGCGGTTGGGTGTTGTACACACATGCGTGCACAGTGATCGGATTATGGTCGTGTTCGCGCCTTTGATCGGGCCAAGGTAGCTCCTCCTCGTATTATTAAAATTTAACATACAAACGCGCTGCATTAAAAAATTAAAACTATTTATATGTACAGTACTTAAAACATATAACACTGTTATATGTTATAATAACAGCACAAATCTTTAATAAAGTGCCCGAAAATTTTTTCCTTTAATCGCCTGATTCAAGATTAAACTGTCAGTCTGTCAGGTCAACTGCCAGCACATCAGACGTCCTTGCCTTTTTTCCTTGTGTCCCTTTTCGAATGCTTGCCGAGACTCGACATTACGAACTTACTCCGAAATATTTGTGGAAAACTCAGATACAAATCCATACTTGACGAAGACCTGAAACGAACCGTTACGAATTACAAAGAAAAAAACTGAATCGAATTTTGTTCGTTCAAGCCGCAGTTTCGTTTGGTGAACATCTAACTTTCCATTTTCTAAAAGCATTACGCGCACCACTATATGGCTATAAAATTTATTGTTATTTATGAAAAAGCACTACTGATTTACAGATATTTACATACTTCACACTTGTCACTTGTTCGTTACCTATACTTCTACAGACAGAGTCAAGTACCGACTGGACGCAGGACAACACAGCTTAATGAGCCTAAATCAAACAAATAACATGCGTAATTGTACAGACAAAAATTCAACAAGATCTGGAAGCCTGAAGCCATCGCAACGCAAGAAAGGCGAAATCGCGACGTCAAAAACTGTGCAAACTTAATTGTAAATCACTTCGGAGTCTCACACGACCGATATGTCCGTACTAAACATATAAACCGAATAAATGAATTAGAGCAAAAACAATAGACAGGAACGCAAAAGACCGACCTCGCAGCCGAATCAACATAAAAAAGCAGGAGATTCTTCGGCAATTACGATAGAACGCGAACTTCAGGCACACCGATCCTTCGTTCATTTTTCGACGCCAATCCACTGCGCGAAAGTCAGATTCTCATCCGGATAGTCCCGACTCATCTCCTCCTGCCACTGCCGCTCACAACGAGCCAATTCAACGGGCTGCAGAGCGAAGATTCCTTTCTTCTGTTGGGACGACAACTTTCGCACCAACCTACGGTGGTGGCGGCAATTTCTATGTAGTACTGCGACAGCAAAAGGTAAACGGTAAGAAACGCTGGAGTATACCTTATCTGAAGCAAGTTCCAGTAGTGCGCATAGAGTAACTGCAGCGGAAAATTCTGTCCATTCACCGAGGGACAAAACGCATCCCATTCCACAATGTCCTCGTCAAACGATTTTCCCCATCCAGTGTACCGGATTTTGTAAGCCGGGATGTCCTTGTCGTAATCTGGGCAATGATGAGGGTCGACACTGCGCAGCACCTAGCAAGTACAGCAACAATATGCAAAACGATGCAAACAAAACAAACCGGGTCGCTGGCGTTGTATTCGAAATTTCGAATTCAAAATACACAAAACATGGGTCGCTTCGCAGACACGACACTTTAGCACCCAATAAATACGCGATTAACCCGTGGTCTGTCGAAGCAAAAATACTGAACGAAAGTCATTCGCTGATTTCGCTCAAAAGCCATACACCACCTGTAAAACTGCTACCAAGTACCAACGCAACTAAAACTCGGAACGACAATTTAGCAGCCAGCAGCAGCAAAGATCATTATTTTGTAAATACAATGTAAAGAATGTGGAAGTGCGAGATCATATCAAAACTTATCGACAACCACGAAATACAATGAGCGTAAAATGGTAAACCAATAATTCAACGACCATTTTAATAACTGCATGGTTAACGCACCGAGCAAGACCCACATCTTTTGCGTAAAGCACTCACCACGGCGTCGTAGTAGAAAGGCCGATAATAAACCACAATGGCATCATCTGAAACCAAGACAAAAACGTAAAGCCGAGCAAGAAAACCCACAAAAACAAGTTTCAACCATGGTAAAGCGCAGCTCAACAGTCAACATTTTGCATTGCACAACAACCGAACTGCTGCCGAGAACCCGGGCGTTTCCCATATCTTCGAGAAAATTTTATAGTTCCATGAATGGGCACACTAGCGACCATAATCTGAGCACGCCACAAGTCACAACGCAAATGAGCCTTTACAAAAACGACCTAACGGCAACACATTTGCGAGTTCCCTTAAAATACTCAAGACGAGCTGCTGATATTCTATTCGAAAATCGTTTGCGTGAGAGAGCTCGTACACCTTCTGAGGCGTTGCAACGCGTACCCGGTTTGTATTTGGGCACGAAGTGGTAGTCGGGGCTGGCGTAGACCTTCTCCGTGGCTTTCTGATTGGCCGACCAGGTGAGATTGAAGCGCTCCTCCGCCGTGCGCTTCATCCAGCGTCGCAGCTTCTCGCCGCGCAGGTCTCCCTTGGCGCCGTTCACCGTCTGCTCCACTTCGACAATCTCGGGAACGGGATCCGCCTCCATGCGGTCCAACTTGCGCTTCGATCGGGATGAGGATGGGGTAGCCATATAGGAGTCAACAACGAACGGACACTAGCGGAAAAACGTTCCTAAACATTTAATTTCGTTATTTTAAGACAAATTTAAGTATGCAAATGTCAATCGTAAGCTAGCAGCGATGCGGGCATGCAGATGGTGTAATCACTGTAAGCATGCAATGATCCACTATCCAGTATGGAACTCACCGAAACCACTTAATGTGTCGAGCGCTTTTAGCGGCGGCTGATGAGGCTAACGGTGCAACGGAACTTAAGCAAGAATCCTGTATTCGAACGGCAGAAGGTTAAGAACATCGTGATGCCCCCCTACTGCAAAATATCCAGTCCGAAACTCCGAGTCACCTGAAAAGGAAGCCAACCATTCTCAGACTAGATGTACACAGTCACATAAGAAATTTAATTCTGAAAGGATAAAGGTCTGCAAAACACGTTAAAGGTGATTTGACTAGCAGATGATTGCTAACGATCGGAACTCACAGCTCACTCGACTTTGGGTCTCAAAAGTTAAAGACACCATCGTGAGGATTTCGACTTACTTCTTTCCAACCGAGCGAAGGTCTTAATATGTGCCAGATGAACGTAGCCGTAGCAAACAATTTTTAAACAACCAGTACACCAAATTAATTTCCGGCTGATTAACGAAAATAATTATTAGTTTACTACTTTATCTATACGCAAAAAGAAAACTGCCAAAATTTAACAATAAGATTTTAAGTAAAACCTGAAAAAAGAATTTGGCTTTAACTCCATTAGGCGCACTTTGTTGGCCCAGGATGTTGCAAGAGCACAGCTGCGCATTAGCACTGCACGCCGCGCGTGCAGTATTCGTATGTCTCGTTTGAAAAAATTCTTGAAAAAGAAAACCCAAACATAAGCGAACATTAATTTTGATCCACTTATTAATTGTTGCATGTTTGTTGAATATTTTTCCGGATACAAAGATCGTTAGCGAAACATCTGCAATTTATACCTTTCAAGAATGGCGGCATGGATACGTGAAATCTTACTTTACAAATGGTATGATACTCCGGATGGCGAGGATTGTATAAAGAAAATGATTTATTTAGGAAGGATGTCTGGAATAGCAGGTACTCGACTTGAATTTAGCATTTATTATCCTCGATTCCTTGTGCTCCGGTTTTATCGAGAATGGCAATTCTGCAGGAATGGCATTCTCCTATTTCGAAGTTGGCGCAAATCGCCATTTAATTCCCGTTCAGACCCCTACTGGATACGCGATTCGTTTTGTCAGCAGTACAGCCCCATTTGGTAAGTACGAAAACTTGTGCTGCGCACAGTCACAGTTCGCTGTTAGTACCCTAAATTTTGTATTGGTGTACATGGTTTTAGCTATAGCGCCGAATGTTATTCTTTTTCACAGTTTTTTAATTTGAAGTATTGTCACTTTTATAGTTTTATTTGTGGATTCTGTTTTTGTAAAAATTAACGATACGTAGAATTAAATTTTAAATTTCTAAATAATTTTATTAACAAAGAAGAAACTTTGCTCAGAAGTTATGGGTGCATAAGAACAAGGTGGTAAAATCTGATTGCTTTGGAAAGCAGTTGACAATTTGCAGTAATTTGTAATATTATTAAAAAGTAGAATGACTTAATTTTTTGATTACCGCAGTATTTTAGCAGTTTTTGTTTGCACAGTTGGTAATGCGTGAATTATGCTTCAGTATGCTTATCATTTATGATTGCCATATGCATATGCATCTGCAAAATGTCTACAAACGAATCGATAAGAACATTAAGCAGAACCATCCGAAGCAAAACTTAAAACTTCAAGTAAGCAAGTAAGCAAAACTTGAAACTTCAAGTTTGGAGCTACAGTACAAGTGATTTCCTGCATTTGGGGGAATTTATAACTTGCTGTAGGATATATTGTTACATTGAACGATTTGTAATCGCACTTGCCGTAAGTGCGCTGTTACTACGCGTCTACACTCTACAGCATAATTTAACACTGTACAATCAACCAGAACAATTTTTATATGCATTCTTTTACAGTGGCTGCTGGTGTAGCATTCGGAGGGGTAACTTGCCTCATGTGCTCAGCGCGCAAGAAAGATGATTTTTGGAATTACTTTTGGGGAGGCATGGCAGCCGGTGGTGTCGTGGGAGTACGCTGTAAGTTTTTCTGGTCCACAAATGACCATTTAGTTAACTGTGAAAGGCTTTTGACAGGGATGCCTTGCTTCCGATTTTAACTGCGTATTTGTTCGTGAAATGTGGTTGCAAAATGGTGTTGAAGTTAGTTGTCATTGCTTGATTTTGTTGGTCATTTACTTTAGTCAAATCCGGTACTCTCGGAACCGTTGCCGGAATTCTTTTTGGATTTATGGCTGCGTTTAAAAAGCAAAGCAAGAAGGAAAAAGGTCTCTTCGTGTTCTTTGAACCGAGTGATGAAACTGTGGGTCAGGGTCAGTGGCAGAAATGGCGTTTCTCCTTGTCCTGGCAAAGCTTCGATAAGAGTTTGTCCAAGTACTACGAACCACGGGGGCATACGTACTACTTCCCGTCTACCGTCGGTCCTTTCCCACCGGCTAACTGAGTTTTGCGCTGAATGATGTCTTCGATAGTGTGCAAATGCATTGTTGTCATTTCACGAATTTTAAAATAGACTGTTTCGCTTGACACTGAATAATCCACAAATTCAAAGTGTTTCCTCGCGTGTGTTTTAATTTACTTTATTCGTATGAACAACGGGTGGAATTTGTGAATATATTGTACTTAAAATCCGACCGTTGCGAATCAGAACTTTGCATTTATTGTACTCCTGACCGGCGGCAATGTTGTGATAATACGCTTTAATCACAAAGTTCATAAAATCACGGCAGATTAAACGATTCGCTCTCATGGACATAAAAACGGACATCGTCTGATAAAACTCTAAAAAAGGAAATCACCGAGACATCAAGCACTTCGTAAACAATTCTTCCGAAGTATCGCTAACCATTGGAAAACTACAAAACGTGTAAAACCACCAGACAACCGAAAACCAGCCAAACCGAAAACCAGCCAACATGGCCTACGAATTAAAAACTATCCGCAGTTCGCTAATGGACGCCCATAAAAAATCCACCGACCACAATGACCCTTCCTGCAAAATACAGTCATTTAGTTGAAAAAAGGAATTCATGAAATCTTGAACTGCGAACCTCAAGTATGAAGTAATTCAGTGGCATTGTGCACCAATTCATTGGCCAGTTCCTTCGCATTTTTGGCATTATTGAATGCAGTTTCTATAAAGAAACGGATCTCGTTATTAAATCAATTTCGGGATTAAAAGGACAACAAAAGACACAAAGCAGTGCAGAATTGGCTTGCTGACGGAGGATGAGGGAACTTACCAGCCTGATGCTGGGACTGCACAAAAGCCAGACGGTCCAAGGGAAGTACTGCACAAATTTTTTTCAAACGGTGAGTACGTAATTACTATACTTTTCAAGAATCTGCAGGATCTCACCGGTTGTAGCCATGCCGGGATCGATCGGGTGATGGAAAACATGCGAAGGTGTGTCGACCGGATGAAGTACTGCAGCGGTGAATCCAACGGCCGGTTCTAGAATTGACGAAAAAACAATAGGTATAGCTCCAAAACATACTTATAGTGCTACTACCAGCCTCTTTGACGGAAACGACATCAACGTTTTCTCAGTTAATTTGATTCGCTTATTTTAAAAACCAGACATCAACAATATGCGGCAATCTTAATTTATTATAATATTCAGTTAACGTACCAGTGACAGCGGTCGTAGTGTTCGGATCCACCAGCGCCATCAGTTTAACATTACTCTCTGATCCATCGGCATTTCGATATAACACATCAAATTCCACCGCTGTTGTGTTCGGACTAGTTGTGTTTTGACTAATGTCGAGGGCAGTCCCGTTTGAAAGGTGACCATCGGGCGCATGGAAATGCCGATCGTCGGTTACGTTCACATGTTGCTCATCCGACGGAAGGATGTCAAATGCGGCAGCCGGAGCCTGGTCTGCAAGTGCACATATTCTGAACAAAGGCGATTAATTCCTAGAAACGCACATCTTTCAACTGACACATACTGGGAAAAGTGAAATTAAAAGTAATAGTAACGATTTCCTCAGTTCCCGTTTTTTTATACGACAAATCCGTTATATTTGTCGCCTGCGGATTATACAGCCGGATAAGTACGATCAATAACTTCTGCAGCGTTGTCAGATGTTCCCATTTGGCAATTGAGGGCACTATCACGAAGGATATTTATCTAATTACTGTTAAGAGTAATCAACAAATGCTTTCTCTTTACGGTAAAACTTCGGTTTGATTTAGAAGCGTTCCGCAGCGACAGCTGTACGATAAACAGCCGTTATATAATCAGCTGCATCTAAACTTTTTAATTCGCTTCCGTTCCTTGATGAAAGAAGCGTTGACATGAAATACAGTGAAAATGTTGTCGCTAACATTGTTAGAAATTATCAGCAAATTAAACAAATTATTACTTACAACAACAACAACACCTTCCGAAATATATTGGTTTTCTATTTTGTTATTCAACAACTCGTAGCGGTATGCTGGCAGCCTGTACCAGAACTTACCTGAAATCACATCCGAGATGTTTGTCACAAGCGTATCGGTGCCGTTTGGGAAGAACAACGGATCCGAAAGTGAACTATCAGGATCACCTACGTAAATGCACAATTTACATGAGCGCTGTATATATTGTGCCGATATACTGATGTAAAACACAAAACTGAACAATGCATTAATTTTTTATTGTTGCAAAAACGCCACACTTTTACCTGATGTATTGGCAATGATCAATGACCTTCGGTCACCCGTATCAGCCACGTCGAAACTGATTCGGTTATCCTGATCTAAACACATAACGCATGTGAAAAAAGAATCTTCATTTTCAAAACCCAAATTTTTAGTTAACCTGGACGATGAGTCCCTGCAACGGCCACACTTTGACGACTTCCTGAAGCTGCACCATTCACATTCACTGTAAGGACAACGAATGCAATGAACGACTTTTACAAGCTGTCAGTCAACACACAAAACGGGAACAATACTGACGCTTGATGACAACGATCGCAGTGACCGCCGCTCCCACGGCCAGTATAGCCAAAATCACCACAAAGGCAATCTGAAAAGAACATAATGCGATTGAAACCTGTGACATTTAAACTACAGGTTACTAAATTTTGTAAGAAAAACTCAGCATACGTAAACTAAAGATTCTGCAGGCTCTTGTAAACGTCTCGCGAAAATTTAACTACTCACAGAAAAACAACAAAAATGCAAAACAATTCGGCTACAAATTTTACACTAAAATGAGACAGTCGTGCTCTGAACGTTTCCAGTTAAAACGTTATTTTTGTTATAATAACAAGCAATCGAAATCGGAAAAAACCCTGCGTGACCTTACCGTCCAGCACCAGCAGGTGCAGCATCCCTTCGCATCCCGATCGATGTAGCGCTCCCGTTCGATAATTCGCTTGCGGTGCAGGCTGGGTGTACTGTCCAGCATCACTTTGGACGGCTCGCAGCGGGCGTAGACACTGTCCTCCAGCATCTGCGCAGTTCCCGGATTGGTCGGCACCAGCACGTACACCGGATTCGTGGCGCTTTTCCCCGGCAGCGGCTGGTCGTATCCGCGGTTCTCATGATACGCCGGTCCATGTCGAGCATGTTCCCAGTGGTCGCGCGGCGGAACATGGGCGTACTCCGGCTCACGGAATCCATTGGTGTGCTCCGGGCGGTTATACACGGCGCGCGGCATTTCCGGGTTCACGTGCACCTCACGTCGATCAACAGACTCCACACGACGCGCTGGATCGTTCTGCAATAAGTTCGTTCGAAATTATTTCGAGAGGCAAGAAAACATAGAGGCGAGAAAAAATTCACAATTAGTAGTTTACAAGGTTTATATCAACCAGCAAAGTGTAAAGGCAACAACAGAGCACCTCCAGTCGATTTGGCAGCACTCCATGCTCCCTTGACAGCTGTTTACAGGGCAGTACGTAACAGCGGTAATACGGAAAAAATAATCGAAATTTATGGCAAAATCGTCAGTGTTTAACCATATTCTGCGCTAACTGCAAACGCGATGAGCCGTTTAAAAACATTGCTCGTCACGAACTTTGAAAAAACCCTTCAAATATCGGTTGGAGCCTGCACGATGGTGCTATTGCAGGAAGACTGACTTACCGAATTCGGCAGAAAAACCGTTTGTGGCTGAAATTCTAACAGTTTATAAGCCTCCTGTCCAGTTTTGGTAGCCATAAATAATAAATTTAATGTGAACCAGGTGCGGGAAAGCCGGGAAAATGATAAAATGTAGCGCAGAAGGTCACCGGTCTTAAAAACGAAAAACTGAAGAATTCGAGAAATGACTGCTTCGCCAGTCTGGGGAAAAATTCTGCAGGCCGTAGTCTGGAAACTCAGACATATAGGCCCCAATGCGGTGCACAAAATAGCCGCCCCATTCCCGTACGTACAGTGCAGTTCGAATCCAATTGAACAATCCTGACCGCTGACGTACATACGCACTGTATGGTGCAGTGCACGGTCCGTGCACCGGCTCTCGAGTACGTACGGCACAGTGCAGAACTTCCTCTCGGCACTTTCAAATGACCAATCCGAAGAACGAAGATAGAGAAGATCAGGTGAGCGATAGTATTAAAAATTTTAAAAGCAGTATTTCTATTGTGCTAGTACTCACTTTTTATACAGTAATGAAATAATTTTATTATCGTGTTGTTATGTTATATTAGTTATCGACTTATCGTGTTGTTATGATTTTTTTATGTTGCGTTCGATTATAACGCATTATTCTGAGAGTTATACGACTGGAGAATTCCTGTTCTTCCCTCCTCTGTCCTGCTCTTAGCAAGCATGACGTTGGCTGTTCTCGTCTTGTGTTGTGCCTTGTTTTCCTTTTCCGGTAAGGCTCAGTGAAAACGGTCGAACTGCCTTTCGCTTCCAGCTGCATGCTGCGCACTTATGGTACTCGTACATTTGTTTAGAATCCAGCAGCTCTCCACCATCCAATCCCTTTCCCAACGGCATCGACCTGAGCCAGGATCAGCAGGAGTTCACTTTCAAGAGCAGCACCTTCAAGCTGTCCATTCCCGGCGGACCCAGCTTCATCCTGCCGCCTGGCTATCAACTTCCGCCCGATGTCATGGCGCAACTGCAGGCGCAAGCAGCTCAAAGCAGCAGTGCGGCGCCGCCAGCGCAGGCGCTGCAACCGACGCCGTCCGCTCTGCTTCCGCCACCCGTTACCAAACCGCAGCAGAAACCTCCGATCCCCACACCGATTCCACATGCAGCGCCTGCTCCGAAACCCAAACATCCGGCCGCTACGGAGTATTACGGGGAAAGCGGAGGATATGCCGGATACGGTGTGCGTCGCTACGGCGCGGGAAACAGCAACGGACGGAATGCGCCGCCGGCCCTGGCCAGCAATGACTACTGATTCCGACGGAATTGTTTATTAAGTTACTAGTACAGTACTTTTCTCTTTCCTTTGTGAAATTTCTAAGGTGAGCTATATCCGGTGATGCATGTCGGAATAAGTCTTGCTAAAAGACTAAGATGGTCTGAATTTCTAATCCAATGCATTAACGCAAGTAAAGAATTTTTTGCCAAATACTATGTTGACAAATAAATGGAAATACTGTGCGCAGTAAAAATTTACTGGTTCCAAGTAAATCGCAATAGATATAGTTCTTTGGGTAGAGCTAAAAATTGATCGTAATTTATTTTAAATAATAATAACACATTTACTGTATTGTAAGGAAGAAATAAATGAAAATGCTACTGAAAATGTAAAATAATAATGTAAAGGGAAAAACTTGGGCGGTGCTAATTTAAATAATTTTCTCTACGAGTATTGCACTTGTGGTTGTTTTGTTTTCTACCTGACAAAGCAAAAGAACTACCCTAGACGTCTGTATGGCAGACTGGTAAAGCTACTCGTACCATATCAATGCTACACCATCTGTGCAGAAATAGAGCACATGCAATATTGCACTCGTACTCCTAAAACGGTAATTATTGTGTCCTTTATTATTTTGTGGGATCAGGATGCCTGCAACTTGGGCTTTCATCATTACATGTACGCCGATTATTCCCTGTCCAGACAACCCAGGTGAATTCTCATTGTTGGTTGTAGCTATTGTTGCAATCATTGCAGTGTATGGTTAACAAAATACACATTGGTGTATCTTTGTAGGTGACTGGGTCAAGCATAATGGAACAAGCGAAAGATCACCTTTCTGTTCGATGCAATTTCTAATAACACACCGTATTCGCTTTCTGTAGATTTCACTTTCAGTTTTAGTCGCAGCACTGTGTCTTGCAAGATTCTACGTCTCCGATTTATGATATCTGTATCCGGGTTTGCTTTCAGTTTCGGTGCAAATACATTATCCATATTTTCGCTGGACGTAAAAATTCTCTACATGAGCGAAAGCATGAGCTTCCCGGGGCAGACATGTTCCATTCTGATTATTTTAATTTTGTTTTTCGACAACGTTTTAAGGATAGCAGATGCACATGTGGATTTGACAACGGGATACACAGCCTACGCTTCGCATCCTCACCATCAGCGTGACAAACGACAATTATCACAACTCCCGACTCGTAAGCAGACAGTAGTAAGCGCTTGTAACTGGGTGACCTTTAAAACAATAAGCAATACAATTCTGAATACAGTACTTTAAAATTGTGGTACCTGTAAGTGTACTAGCTTCTCAGTCCTTCAGCCGGGATGTTTTACGCACAACACTCCTATAAAAACTGCAAAGTTATATTTGTATATAGTCGTAATATGACCGTATTGTATTAGGGTATTAGGGTACCTTTGCATTCACGTTCAGGTTCAGTTTTAAACAATGGTTGACCTTTTCTCTCATCTTCGTAATAGCAACTTTTCAACCATATGACTCGATGTACCGACCACAAGCGAAAGGCCGTACTAATGATTTGGAAACCGAAATGATGCAGAAGCTGGATGCTCTGATGCAGAGTAAAATTCTCGAAAAATTCAATTCCGAACTGGAAGCAAAGATGAAAGAAGTAAGACCCACAGGGCATCAGTACGAAGTTGTTGTAGTTTCGTTTTTATAAGACATTGACCTATTGTAATGTGTGTAACACGCAGTTGCAGCGTTTTTAAATAAAATAAATATAAATAATGTAAATATAAATACAAATAGATTCAAATATAAATACTTAAAATTTAATATAGATTCAAAGATATAGATTTAATATAGATTATACATATATATATATATATATATATATATATATATATATATACATATATATATATATATACATATATATATATATATATATATATATATATATATTTAATATAGATTTAATTTAATTTAATCTGTATATATATATATATTTAATACAGATTCAAATATAAATACTTAAAATTTTCTTCATAATATTATGAGTTTTGCAAATTCATCGTTGGTAGTTTTTGCATACATATTTACTAGTCCTAATTATTATTCTAAAAGGCCTATGCATGATTCGTGTCTGGAATCTTAAAGTGTGCAATGGATGTTATAGTTCAATAGTGGGAACGCGAATCAGAATCAACAGAACACTCCTGACTCCACTTCCGCAGCTGGCCCCTCTATGACTTTTTTCGTGGGCAACAACAGAAGTCTAGCGGGGCAGCCTGTAGGTGCGTACGTCAAATCAAGCGCAGTATTTCTGTTTGCTCCTTTCGAAATTCGCATCGCAGTTTGCTTAGCCATACAAGCATGATTTGTATACCATGTTCTTAGTGGATCCAGTAAATCAACCGCTCAAAACAACGTTTCAAGCAACTCCAGCGTCGGCTCCCATGGATGACCTTAACGCAGTATCCTCTTCCCCCCTTCCCGCTGCAGTCGGCAACGTGACTCGTGGTCGTGCACAAATTGATGATACTTTCCACGCACTGCCGAAATCGGTTTCTCCCCGTTCGATTTGGAATGAATACCGGCTGCCGGAACAGAATGGGGCGAACCGAAATGGATACTGGAACAGAATGGGCCGAGCAGAACCGTCACCCACTCCGATGGCTGGAAATGCGTGGCTGCCAAATAACATGCGCAACGCTCGACGTTATTCTGCTTTTGATAAAGGCCGCTACATTGCGGCAAAGTATGGATTCTACTTCCCAGAAAATTTGGCTGCCACCGGAAAGTCCTCAGGGTCAGCGGAACCGAGATCTATCCAATTATCCAACAAAAGTTCCGGTTAGTCAAGATACTTTTATTCATTGTACACAGGTATCATACATTAGTTTTTATGTGATAAGCTTAAGGGGATCACTAGCAGTAGAAAGCGGGTTTGGGAAAACGGGAATGGTTTGGAAACGATGGCCAGATATGTGTTTTCACAGCTTTGACTGAACGCAGAGAGGATTTAGCTACACAATGGTGTGGCGCGATCCTCTCTGGCCTGTGTCTAGACCGAGCTATTCATCAAACAAAGAAAAAATTTTGAAACCAAAAGTCGAATGAGGAAGTTTCTTTGTTTACGATGAAACGTACACTGTTGTGTGTGTTTTCTTCTGGAAAGCTTATATACCGAATCATGTGAAAGAAAATTTGAAAACTTTCTCGCTTTCTACTGCTAGTGATCCCCTTAAACATTCCAATCCGATGCTAAGCTAACGCTATTAATTAATACACCCCAAAATCTTACGAAAAAATTAGCTTATATACAGGTTCACGTACGTGTGCCTGATGTTTGTTGTATTTATAATTATTATATCTACATATGGAATATATAGATATTGTAAAGGTTATGACTTTTGTGGTAGATCCAGCTGGATTGGAAACTGTTCAAGGTCATTCCTCATCGGATTCCATTCGCGCAGGTCGCTCAAAGACACGATTCACATACATTTGAGTCTCAGGATAATAAACGTAAATGAACTACAAGTACGGTAGGTGTCGTGGTCACTTCGTACGATTATATGAGTTTGTGAATACATACTGATTATAATTATGAGACTTTTTCATCATCCTTTGCAGTGCTTGGAAATGCAGGCGTAACCGGACAAAATTTCCTCCGCCTTTGAATCCGGGACAGGTTTAAAATTTTTCTAGTATTACTATGCCACTTTTGTACAAAAACCATGCTAAGCATATGATTTTTTATGAGATTCATGGTGCATATGAAATTTGTGGATTCGTGGTGGTCCTTTGCTTGGTTGTACTTATTCGTATGAATGTGCATTTCCGATTAGGTGCGCTAAGTATTCGTATTCAGTCTACTATTTTCTTGATATAAGTACACAAAAAACCTGGGTAGCTGATGATTTTATTTCATTCCGTCATACAGGGTGTGCATATGACTGCAATAAAATGCATTCAGCTTTTTAAGTTGACGCAAATTTGTTTGGTTGTGCTGACTCACATGTAAGATTTTGAAGTTTCATTAAGTGGAATTACTACAAGTCAGAAAACAACAATTCATAACAATGTCTCTTCGTCCTTCTTGCTTGGTAATTGGCATCTTAACTGCATTAACGGCGTGGTCCCAATTTGGTATGGCCATCCGGTTTCGGCGCCAACTGGAGCTTCCTATGCCACGGGAACGATCGTTAGGTAATTATAAGCATGCAGTCCACAAAACCATTAATATTACCGTGTTTAGTTTTATAGTTTTTCTTATGTATTTGGTTGCAGATTTGATTTAGGCTGTTGTTAATTTTATTTACCATTACTTCGTGAACAATATAAGCGTAAACTTCTAATCCAGTTCATCTTTTGCCACCGTTACTTATTAGTGTGCTATAGGATTCGGAGCAGTGACAATTCCTGCCGGTAGCTTCTCGAATCCGAATTTACAACCAGCCGGCTCTGGGTTCCTTCCCACCATGATCAACCCTTTTCCTGGCGTCGGCTTTCAACCGGCAATTAACCAGCTAGATCCCAGCGTTTACTCAAACACGGTTGGATATCCTTTGCAAACCGGATATCCTTTCAACAGCAACAACCTGCAGCAGGGATATCCGATCGTAGCCCGCGCCGGCCACCTGCCGACGACATCCGCTGCCGCCAACTACGCAGTGCCGGCCGACAGTGCGCTGGTCAAGGCAGCCTACCAGAAACTGGTGTCCGACCGAATGAACCAGCCGCCAGTCACCTATCTCACCAGTCCGGTAAGAAATACTTCATTTCCCCGAAAATTTTAGACATATCCTATAATAATTGCAATAACAGAATGATTCAACAGGATGAGCAAAAATCAGGGCAACAGGTTTTACACTCACAATTAGATGATAATTTTAGGTTGAATTATAGTCTTGCTATGAAAGTTCGGCTTAATTAATAGTGGATCAGGGAATGCTGTTCCAGATTTACTGAACAGTAAAATACTGTCGATTATGTAGGTATTAGTGCTTAGAAACATAAAACGGCTCATTTGGCATTAATGTTTACGTATGCATGAAGTTGAAATTTTGAGTACGTACATTCCTAAACAACAGTAGACAATTTTTTGTCTCTGCTTGATAGAGTGATCATTCCGCAAATGCCGGGACCTTCGGAACGCCTAATCGCACCCCAGTTAGCGTACAGAAGGACATTCCCGCCCAAAGTCCCTTAGATCTACCGGCAACAATGATTAATTCCTTTCCAATGGACAACGAAAGTGCAGCATCCAGTCCTGCAAATATCGGTGTAGTTTCCGTTGACCTGCCGGGAGCGACAAACATGACCACTCCATTTCCGGACACAAATACACCGACCGCTGCTGTCCATCCTCAGCATTTATTGGCTGCTAAGCGACCGAAAGCTAAGAAGCATATCAACAGAAATGGTGACACAACTTTGCACAGTAATAACAGCTAAGATAAAGATTTTTTATTTAAAACTGAATGAGACAATTTTTTTAACTGGCTGCTCTACAGTAAAAAGGCGGAAAGCTGAGTACAAAATCTGCTACATTATAAAGTTGCATAAATATTCACTTCAGATTGCATTATTTTCTGTGTTGACGTAAACCGTGTAGGACTGCTAAATCCTACATTACTGTACCTGTTTCCTACGCTTGTAGTGTAACAAGCAAACAGTAAACATCGCACAACCACCGGTGATGTTCTTTCATTGCTTTGCTGAATACTTGTAGCTGCAACTTTTGCATCTAATTGTTCGTACATAGGAAATACAGAATATGCATCTGTTGGCGCCAGTGACATAGAATTAAGGATTAGCGTTCATCAGGTGTACGTATCACGATTACTAAAATTATGCAACTGCTGCTCACGATCGACTGTTGGCTGCAATTAAGGAATTATATTCTCGTAGATGTGCTTGAACGGACGGTTTACAATGCAGCGTGCATACAAGCGCATATGCAGCTGTGCATTTTTAAGGCATATTCATTTTTAATGGCTCTTTGATTGTAAAGCGCATAATTCATGGGAAGTTCACTCATTTAGGCATACGGCTCTTATGCCCCGATGAGTGCACTTGTAGCCTGATAATCATGGGATCCCGCGTCCCGTATGGGAAATGGACAAATTTAATTACGCGAAGCAGATAGTTTATTCATCTGCTATACGATTTCACTGAAATGTGACTGTACACTGCGTTGCGAACGGCGGCAGCGTAAATATTGGCCGATCCCTACATCCAGTCAAGCGGAAAAGAATAGCGTAAGGAATCTCCTACAAATTGCCCGGCCATTCACTGCTTTTGACTGCCATCTAATATGCAAAGTCAATAAAAGAGATTTTTTATCGCTTGCAACTTCATTGCTTTGTCATTCGGTTGCGGTTCAACTTTATTTCATTGGTACAGATTTAGCTATGCAAATTTATAGTCACATAACTATTTCTTTAACACACTAATTTCAGCATTTCAGTTGTACAATTATGCAGATGTTAGAACAACTTAATACGCATCCTGTTCGTTTTTCTAACAAAACTAGCAGATTATTTTATTTACTTGAGATTATGTGGAAAACGGCATGAGATTTTTTCCGAAGCAGTTTATTCATAACATGTATTTGTAATACTGCGCATTGATTAGCGCGGGCTTCTTGAACGTTACACTCGCACTTAATTAAGCATTGAAAAGAAACATTTTTCAACGGCTGTAACAACACAACCAAAGCACACAGAGTAAGATGACGTTTTGTTCCGGTGTGGATTGCCGTTCCTTTGTGCTGCGGCGTATTTGCCAGTTTGTAATATAAGTTTGGAAGATTTATCGTGGCGAAGATTGGTATTATGTGTTGGGCATAGTGTATCGATTTTTAATCGTCTTCCGACAAAATTTCCCCTTAAGTCAGCATGGCAGTTTTTCCTGTGATGATAGCGTATCGTTAGTCGGGGAGTAGCTTTGATCAACGAGATCAAAAGAGCGATCGTAAAGAAATCGATGGAAGGATGCTTTGCGCTAAAATGCAGATGTCCTTTACTAATACTGCGTGCATAAGTGCGCTATGGAATTTTTCGCGATTTTTTTTTGCTGTGCGCTTTGTAGCATTTTAACAATACACTTTGTCTTTTACAAAAATTCTTAAACAAATTTATGCACACGAGGAGAACTTTCAAATTAACTGTGCGTTTCTGGTTTGTTTGGTTGGATATATACCTGATGCGTACGAGTAGTGTTTTAGCCCTCTAAAAACAGTACTCTATTTACAGTACAATACAACAATGCTGTGATAATAATGATAGAAATGCTTTTATACGGTTTTTGATCTATATATAACTACAGTCTGAATATATCTAGCTGACAATAAGCTCCGAGATCAATGTATTGTAGGCAAATTACTATTCAGTGCAAATGTACATCAGCAAACCGTTTAGCATCGGTGCGATTTTTTGCTGATGTAGGATGCGGTAATACTTAAGAAAATGAAAACGTACCCAGTGCCGATGGTAATCCAACAGGCGGGATCGAGACGTATCACTGAGCATGAGACCGGAACACTAAAAGGACATCGGACTAGTTTCCCTTTAGATTCCCTTAACGTTTGTCATACAAATACGCCGGTTCCACTAGCAATTCACAAACGTTAACCGCCGAACGGTTTGCATCGGCTTGCTCGAACCGAACCATTCACAGCCAGCAAACCATTAGGACTTCCGGTTAATAAAGCCAGAGTTATTATGCGACTTCAGTAAATATGGTGTAAAATTTAAAAATCGAGAAGTTACATAATAAATTTCATGAATATTTGTAGTCAGTAGTCTAACTACAGGAATTTGTTGGACCGACATACAGTAGATAAGCTCACGAATAAAGTGTTATCATAGAAATGGTGAATCCGGGCGGTTCGGGAGCTGCGCGTACGTAGCCGCTTCCAAGCCGCAGCCGTCCGCATTGTGACGGCATATAATGGGCCAACGTTTTTATCTTGACTTTTTGTGGGAAACTTCGCACATCCCGATGATGCGGCAGCGTGGCAAGGAAAGCCGGTCCAACGAGATAAAACATGCAGATATGGCAATGGTTGTTCCGCATCGTTGATGGCTCCAAAGGGGCCTAATAACGACATAGAACCGCGTCGCATCTCCGCTCCAGTTTAGCTAATATTCCTTTCCACATCTTTTCTGCATTGAGGTTCAGGAAATCCCTCCATAAAAAAATGACAATTTTTCTACAGTTCCCATTTGTTGTCAGATTTCTTATTATGATACAGAGCTATATGGTTTATGTGAAAATGCTGTTCATTTCCGGTGACCTTTAGTGTGGTATCGCTTACCGTCTGGCTTTATCAAAGACAAAGCATGGATATATGGATATCTTTATTCTATCGCAGGACAAAGCTAAAAATGTGGCAAACGCTGGGGATTTTGCTATTTCTTCCTGTGGTCCTACGAGCACTACCACCGCAGATTCAAATAGGTAAACGTTAGACGAAATTAACCGTTTTTTTGTGAGCGAGATTTCAGTGGAACGTTGTTTCAGGATTTGGTTGATATGTATAACACAGTGCACAAAATTGTTTTAAACCCTGCCCTTTACGTTTTTTTCATATTTCTGCTTGATCCATTAGCAGTTTGATGCTAGCGGAACGCTGTCGGTATATTTTCTCTCAATACAAACGGGTTGTATTTAAAAACAGTTTCGTAGATAAATCAAAAAAAGCTGACTGATGCACGGTGCATTTAATAGGGGTTGCCTTTCTGTCAGTCTATACGATACCGTTAATGTGGAAACAGATATGGATTTTCTTTCAGCATTATTTAACAAAATCTGCAGATTCAAACGAAATTATTGTATTTGAAGCCCACGCGCGATAGCTTGGTGCACGTTGCATAAAAAATTTATCCCTATCCAAGTCGTAGACCCATTTCTGTCACAAATTGATCTTGACGTTTGAATGTGATTAACAAGGCTTTGGGTCGAGCGGACAGTTAGAGAAGTATCAATGTCATTTTCACGCAGTCGTGCCTTTTTGGCTTAACAACTTATGCGTGCGGTTACAGAAACAAGTAAACATCTTTTACTTTAACATATAGTTAAGGTGGATTTCCAAGGTTCAAATGGTATATTGAAAAAACTGAAAAATTAAAACAAACTATGCTGCTTGTTCAGCATATGCAGTAATGCAGTCATACATAATTAATTGCGGTAGCTTGTGTTCGTTTATGTCGACTTTATTTGAAGCCTAGTATTAGATTGTACCGGAAAACTGGTTGCGTGCTATCCATGAAATGGTCGACAAATTCCAGAAGCTGTCAATAGCGGAAATATACCATAATTTTTGATGAGCAACAGCCAGTAGCAAAATAATACTTGCAGCGAATACGATTATTTACTTTGCTCTTATTAAAATACTGGAAATAACACCGGGTAATAAGGACATGTTTCTGGAGTGTTGAGCACGTTGTTTGATTTTTGTCACTATTTTGCGCATGAGAAACGCTGTTTTTTTAGCCATTGTAGGCCTTATTTGTGGGATTCGATTGCGCTGCTCGGCAAGAATTAGTACGAATGGCGCATCTATTCCCATGAGGATCAGCATCCCATCACAACTGTAGATCACTTAATTAACAAGAGCGATACAAGATTATGTCAGGATTAGGTATTCTGTACTAGCAATATAAACCATGCATAAAAATCACGGTGTTAGTGCTACTGTGCGCGTTATCAGACCATCTTCTCTAATATTATATGCGTTAAAACTCTGTACGACATAATTATATTGTGCTCGTATGTATGTACTTGGAAGAATTGCTTATAGTCACAGATCAAAGTGCACTTTACCAAACTTTATCTTTTGGAACTTTACAAAATTTAAAAAAAACTACCGGTTTGTCAATTATTTGACATTTCTATAGCAAAAGGTTGGAGTGGGGTGCCGACAAATGTATCGATATAGGAATACATCTGTAGTTGACATAAGTAATTTCATTATATACACTACCGAGCGGTGACTGGCTTTACCTACACTCGGTTCCATTACCGTTTGTCCGAAATGAGTAGGGAGCAACATAAACTTTTTGGGTCGTTCCCAATGCGTATACCATCTGTGATTGGAATAAGTGCTGTTTGCATATCCTTCAAGAGATCTCTATAAATATATGTACCAACACTTCAGTTCGCCTGTATTGATTAGGCACACAAGCAATATGCGCGTACACACTGATAACCTTTTGCTTCCATAAATGTTTTCTCAAATAATGCCAACAAAAAGCCATCTGTACATCAACTCTGTAAACTACGATCATTTTAAAGTGTCGAAAAATTTTCTTTCTCGAATAATAATTATGCAGCAATGTTATATGATGCGTGGTCTGTTCGAACAAACTGCTTGCAAAGCTCATCCGCACTGCGTGACTAAAATATAAAATCATTCATAAAGCTATTTTATACTATTAATTATTTATTAACCTGTAGTACGCTTTTAATCAGTTTGGCTTTTGTAAATTTTTTTTTCAACAGAAGTCATGACCAGCGTAAGATAAAACCAAATTATTTAAGTATACAATTTGCGAAGACGCTACTGTGAATTATTAATGATACCTGCTTATCAACTCCGCATCCCGGATCATTGCAAACTGGCACGTGCATTCACCCAGTTTCGTGTAAGTTTCTGTAGGTCCACCCAGTCCCGAGCAGCTCTGTTGCACAGTCAACCGGAAATTAGTTGTGATCGTACAAATCACCCAGCGATTAGTTACTAATTACCTAAACGCCAGTTTCCTAGTGTGCTGCTAGAAGCAAGTGGATCCCGATGATCAAAGGGTTTCGGCTAGCGTAGATGTTGCGCAACGCCCCAAATGATTAGTCTCGTTACCGGTTGAACGCAGTGACCCTTATATAACGACGAAATAAACAATCATTAAGCCAAAGGTCACCGATAATTACAATACAATATTCTATTACTTGGGAGAGTGCTGCACCAGCTAAACATTCCCTAAGAGATTATCACAGTTTACCAAAACTTAATTGCATACAATTTATTTTGGTCTAGTGGAAACGAAAGTATATAATTAATAAAACAACCGTCACCGGTAAAGTAAATTTGTTGCTGTTTTATTGTTAGAACAAGAAACATTTTTCATGGTGTAGGAATAATTTTTAAAAGCACTTGTTAGTTGGCAATTGCAGTACTGTCATTGGACACTTATAAATTCTCGTGATTTTTGCATTAAATCGTTACATAAAAATTATAATTAAGCTGTGCTTTAAGCAAAAAAATTAAAATAATGACGCCATTAAAATGCTTGAACACAAGCAACCAGTCAAACTATGCCATTTACAGCATTGTGTCCTGTTGAGTATAGGTGGAATTTTCGAGGACGACAGTCGTGGCCGGGCAATCGAAGCCGCCTTCCGTTTTGCCGTAGATCGCATTAATAGTCAAGGCAAAGTTCTCCCGCAGACACTGTTATCATATCACATCCATTTTGTACCACGGGACAACAGCTTCCTAGCATCGAAAAAAGGTTTGTATATTTTACATTAGATTCTGTCAAACGGAAACTGTATATCGCTGCGTCGCCGGTCAGTCTGACAACAAAAGCGATAATTTTTCCAAATAAACGACCCTTCATTGTTATTAGTACGGTGTGTGCGTGTGTTATTTAGTGTGTAACCTAGTTCGGACGGGGATTGCGGCGTTGTTCGGTCCGCAGGATCATATGTTAAGTGCCCATGTTCAGTCCATTTGTGCTACACTCGAGATCCCGCATGTTGCCGCACGCTGGGAACTGGAGCCGCCATTTCGGCAAGCCACGATCAATTTGTATCCTTCGTACTCGGTGCTCAATCAAGCCTTCGCCGATATCATTGATCACTGGAAATGGAAAAGCATGGTGATTTTATATGAGGACCAATTTGGTTAGCACTTCCCTTTCTTCACATACCGTATATACCGCCACAGTTTCTACTTGCGCTCATAAACTTGTATAGAATTGTAAGATGGATATTTCAGCTTTGCTTTTAATAAAGAACAGTTTAACCGTATTAATCAAAAATATTTTAAATGGACATATTTCACGTAATTTGACATCATATTATAGTAGTACTAGTTGTTGCCGTTCGATATATTTGACACCTGTACATAAAATATTCAAATACTTACATGACTTTACGAGTTTGTATAACTGTGGTGTATACTCACCCGCCACGGTTAACATGCATTATACGTATCATTTTTCTTCAGTACCTAATAACCGAATTTTTTTGCGTAGTTCTAAGGTATTCTTTTTGTTGTCTGCACAGTTATACGTACGATAATTAACCGAAACGATGTTTTAGGTTTAGTAAAACTGCAAAGCCTTTTGAAGCTGCAGTCAGATAGCAAGAACGAAGTATACATCCAGCAAGTGCACAATGGGGATTACCGAGGAGCACTGCTGTCGATTAAGGAAATGAACATCTTCAACATTGTGGTCGACATTGCTGACGAGCAGCTGCATCATGTGCTACGAGCGGTGCGCATAAACATGAACCCGAATAATTACCGCACTATCATATTCCTTAAAAAATAATTGGACACACCCACTTGCGTATAATTTCAGATGCTACAACTTCAGATGAACGACTTCCGCTACCATTATTTCTTTACTACTTTTGTAAGTAACCAACAAAACTGTACATATTTGTATGCAACATCATGCAAAAGTTTGACTGATCGCGATATTGTTTGCACCTTTTTTAATAAACAATAAACACTTACAAAATTACAGAGAGTTTAAGACTACTGTATATTTGTGCCCATGACAATATATTTTTCAACAGAATTTGGAATTGCTCAATTTGGAGGACTTCCGACATAACTACGTAAATATAACCGGCTTCCGGCTGATAAAGCGCGACGAAACTCCCTATAAAGAGATTGCTCAAAGCTTACACAAGCTGCATGAGTCATCCGTGGCGATTGGCATTGATTCGTATTATCCCTTCAATGAATCGTTATCTCTCACGGTACTGGAAGCCCGTTTCCGGTGTAATTCCTAAAAGCAACTTTTTTCGGGAATAGGGATATACGGTGTGTGCGTCATTTGCAGGCCGATGCGGCACTGATGTACGATGCCGTTTTGGTGTTTGCCGAATCTTTGGCTTCGCTGAGTGAATCCGTAGATATTACTTTCACCAATTTAAGCTGCGATGACCCCAAAGATGTTCCTTGGGTCGACGGAGAAATAGTCCAGAATTACCTGAATTCGGTGCGTGCAACATTATACCAGCGTTGAGCTGGAGACGAAATTTAGTCGCATATACGTTAATGCATTCATAGTCCCAGTTGTGCATATAAAAATAATAATAATAATAAAAGTAATGAATTTCTTTTTTATTCCCAAAGAACCGAAAGAAATTCATATATCAAAAATATTTGCAATGTCCTAATAATATTTGTTAACGAAACAAAACAAATGCTAACATATGAGTATATTTATTTGCCGTCGTAAACTTGGCTCACTGTGAGCGCCAACACGTACCTGTCTTAATTTCGCTAGAAAACAATTTATTGTAATGTCGTTTATCACGATTCACAGCATTAATTTGTCTACTGATGATTCAAATATCTGCGGTTACACTTGCGTCATTGAGCAGGCCAGCGTGGGAGGGTTAACTGGCCAAATACGCTTCAGCAAAGGTCAACGTGATGATTTCGAGTTGGACATTATTCGGCTAGCCATGGAGAGGTCACCGGAAGCGTTTTTACATATCGGCACATGGAATCCCACAAACAAAACCAAATTGTCCGATGTTTGGTTTGCTTCGTACGACCCCACAAAAAATCGCAGCAAATCGGTCAATCTTATTGTTGCAACTAAAGTGGTACGTCAGGTTAAATGATCTGTTGTACGAGTATGTTTGCCAAAATTTAATGACCATGAAAAATTCACAGGAAAAACCGTACGTAATGCAAAAGAATGACACAGAAACTCTGATTGGTAATGATCGTTACGAGGGATTCTGCATCGAGCTCATGCAAAAAATCGCCGAAAAAGCCGGGTTTAATTATACTTTGGTGCTGGTGCATGATAATCAGTATGGCGTAGCAGCGGAAGTCCCAGGATCTAACGGAAAAAGGGAATGGACGGGATTAATTGGTGAACTCGTCAATAAAGTAAGTTATAGTGCACTAATTACAGTAATTTTAATTGTAACATAACAGTTTGTAATGTTTCAACTATGTAATGACTACAGCTGGAAGAATTGCTTGTTATGTATAGCTGGATGAATTTCTTTTATGCTTATTCACTGTTTCTATTATCTCTGTTTATCTGCTGTTCTTTTTTAAAAATGATAAATTTGGTACCTGATTAAGCACTACGTTTTTGAGATTATGCTGTAGTAAGGTGAATGTACTTGTATTACGTACAAGTATAAGTACTCACTGCTGATTTGTAGAAAGCTGACTTAGCAATGGCAGCATTAAGCATCACTTACGAGCGCGAAAAAGCCATCGACTTCACGAAACCATTCATGAATCTGGGAATCAGCATCATTTTCAGAATTCCAAAAAGTGAGCATGTACAGATAGTGAATATAGTTAAGTTTTTTTAAAAATGCTTGCGTTTACATTTCTTCCCATATGTGTACAAGTACGGTTGCCAAATTGTTTATATTTTGTTAATATAGCGCCGCCCAGTTTATTTTCCTTTATGAAGCCCTTATCAACAGAAATCTGGATGTATGTTTTATGTGCATACGCCGTGGTGTCCCTGGAACTCTTCGTTATCGCCCGCTTCAGTCCGTACGAATGGTACAATCCCCATCCGTGCAATGTACACCATGACATCGTGGAGAACCAGTTCACTCTGAGCAACACCTTGTGGTTTTGCATCGGCACATTAATGCAACAAGGGTCCGATGTTTATCCACGAGCATTTTCCACGAGAATTGTTGGAGGTAATTAAGTCACCTACAATACATCCGTAGTGGGCTTATAACATGTTCGCATTTAAAGTATCGCAGGTTTATCATTTATATAAGATGAAGGAAATAAGTAATAATTAACACAGCGTGTAAATGTTGCGACAGGCCACGGGCCTACTGCGATTACTTGAAACCAGAAAGAAGACAGATTCATTATCGATGATAGCGCTAATCGAGCAAAAATAATGCTGTTTGCTTTCTGTTACAGGCATCTGGTGGTTTTTTACGCTGATAATAATATCGTCCTATACCGCTAATTTGGCTGCCTTTTTGACCGTCGAACGAATGGTGTCGCCCATTGACGGAGCGGATGACCTTGCAAAAAACAAAGATGGGATCAAATACGGCGTCGTTACCGGTGGCTCAACATACAGCTTTTTCAAGGTATGCGCGTAGGTTTAGCTAAATTAAATGTTGCTTTACTTGTATTGCAGATTTCCAAAATTTAATTCATTGTACAATGTAGAGCCCTGCACGAGCAGCAAAAGTGCTGCTCAACTCGCTCGTTTCTGCTTTTTTAAACTTCCTGCTCGCTCAGCTCGCTCGCGCCCAAACCACCGCTCGCTCAACTCGCTCGTTTTCCAATTTTTATTTGCTTCTGCTCGCTCAACTCGCTCGTAATTTTATTTTGGTAAATCGGCTCGCTCGTAAGATCGGCAAAAATTTACGTATCAATTTTTTTGCACGAATTAATTATACCAAACTTTTCACCAACACAAAAACTCAGTACATAACTAACATAAGTGTAATTGGATGTTCAGAGACAATCACTTATATCTCCATACTGGTAGTCCGTATCATTAGCTTTTCATTTTTTTGCTAATCCATTTCTCTAATTTTCAACTGGATGTAGTTTTCTTAATTTGGCCTGAAATAAATACGTATAATAGAATGCTCAAAAATTAAAATGCACCTTTCTTAGGAATCATTCAACTGATTCATAAACCCGTCAAATAATGTTTTTGTTGGCTACGAGTACAAAATATCAAAATTTAGTCGTGCGTCCCAACCGGTCTAGGAAAGTTAGTAAATAAATCAATTCGCGCGAAGCGCGAAGGTGACGGTGGTTTAAGATCGTTTTCAGGTCGGTCAATGTAATTTTGTACTAGAAACTTCTCCAGTTCGCACAATGTCAGCCTGTAGGCTCGCGATCGCTCGCACCCGACCATCCCGCTCGCTCGGCTCGCTCGCAATTTTTTTCTATTGCTCAGCTCGTTCGCAAATTCGCAAAACGACGCCTGCTCGCTCGAAGTGCTCGCGAGCGCCGAGCGCTCGTGAGCCGAGCCGAGCAGCTCGGCTCGTGCAGGGCTCTAGTACTACAATGCCAGTACAAGGGAAAAAAATCTTAGGTTACTTACAATTAGTTCTGCGTGACAAAATTAATGTGGTATGCAGTAAGCTTATTTCAACAAAAAAAGTGCATTAGACCATATTTGAGAACAATATTAATGGTAATGCATTTATGGGCAGGATGCAAAAATTCCCGTGTACCAAACCATGTTCAAGTGGATGCAAGAAAACCCACACGTCTCCACTGTTCAAGACTACGAAGAGGGTCTGGCACGCGTCCTTCAAGGCAACTATGCATTTTTAATGGAATCGACGATGATCGAATACGCTACAGCGCGCGACTGCAACCTGACACAAATTGGCGGCCTCCTAGACTCCAAAGGCTATGGAATCGGCACACCTAAAGGTCAGGGGGGTACCTTATTACCGTGTGCAGTTGATCAGTAAAATCAATGGCCGTAGACTAGGGTAGGCATGTTCAGTTTAACAGTATAGTATTAGTATGCCAATTGTGGATGGGTTACTAGAGTCCATTTGGAGGGATAAGTTATCGTTGATTATACTTGAGCTGCAAGAAAATGGAATAATTTCCGAGCTGAAAGAAAGGTGGTGGAATGATAAAACGGTGGACTGCAAGAAAAATGACCGGAAAAAGGAAAGCCTGGCCAACGCGTTGAGTATGTCAATTGCAATACTGCTTTCTAGGGTTGGTTTCTGTACTGATTCAGTAAAAGTGGCAAGAATATGTACTCGTACGTTTTAATTATTCAAATATGTCACTTGAAATTAAATTTTTTTGGAATTTGAATTAACAATAAATTTAAGTTTTTAATTTTGTGGGTTTTAATTTGCGTTCTGCACTTCCCAGGTATCAAAAATGTACGTACTCGACGTACGTACGTAAAATGTACGTATAGAGCTGTACAAGTACAATGGACTTCAAAATTTTGTTACACTCACAAAACGTGCGCAACCAGCTACTTATCTGTACTCAATCAGCCAAATTCCGGGCTGGCCATCGGCCTGTTGAGTTCAAACACTTGCAGCTTGCGCATTTCCCAACCAAAACCATCAGCCAATATCTCAATCAAAAGAGAAAAAAATTACAAGAATTTTGATACCAAGCAGGTTGTTCATTATGAGTTCTAAGAGAAAATCGAGGCATCTGAAGTTTCTCGTAAACATAGCATAGGATTTTTCATCCACGGTTTGGTTCCAGTTTTCAAGCAGCACGTCTACGACAAACTAAAATGGCTCGATTTTCTCTTAGATCTCATGAAGGAGAATCTGTTTGGTATCACAATTCTTGTAATTTCTGTCTCATTCTTTTGATATATCGGTTGACGTTTTTCGTTGGAAGATATGCAAGATGCAAGTGTTTGACGTCAGCAGGAGTCACGCGTTTCCTGGTTACTGGTCATTTTATTGGTCTTGGCTATTAAAATATCGGTCCCGGACCGAATGTAACAAAATTTTGAAGTCCATTGTACTCGATCGAGATCAAGTGCAACCAAAAAAAGATAACCTGTGCTGCAAATTAGTATCCGTGTATTGCGGTGTAATTATTACTACTCTAATAATTAGAGATTTCAAAATGCAGCTTCTAAAATTTCATAGACGGTAATTACAATACCAATGACGTTATAATTTTTTAGATGTCGACAATTTTGGAGGCGCTTTTGTGGTGTTAGCCATCGGTTTAGTTGGCGGTGTTATGGTTTCCGTATTTGAGTTCATGTGGAACTCTCGCAAAAACGCCCACATCGACAAGGTAATAAAAAACTAGGACGACATTACATTTGTCGTAGTTGATAACAAGCTTTTACCTAAATACCTAAATATTTCCAGCAATCATTATGTTCGGAAATGGTGGAAGAACTACGGTTTGCTGTACGGTGTCGTGGCTCGCGGCAGAAGCCGACACTGCGCCGGCAATGCTCACAGTGCATTCCCAACCACACCACCTACGTGCCAAACAATCTGGAATTTCTGGGACCGGAAGCGCATAACGGCGGCCTCGGCATGTCCGAATACCGCAAACACAAGCGCCCCTATTTCGACGCCCATTCCGTGGATCATGTGTGATCACTGTTTCATCTTTTCTGTGCATAAAATATTATTAATAATAGTTTAGAATAATATCATATGTGCTGCGAATGCTATCAGGCTGAGACAAATCGGAGTGTAACGGAAGTTTGCTTTTGTAATGCGGATGGTGCCCTCCCAATCATACCATATAACGTTTACCAAACAAAGATTCCGTGCTCCATCTTTTCCGAATACTGTATATTGTATTGTTTCCTATTAATGCCGTGAACTGTGATAGAAGTAAGACTCCATTTTAATGGATGGGAAAATGTATACCGACAGGCGCTTAACCAGACAAATAAATTTTCTTGTGATGGAACGTAAGTAGAATCATGAACAGAACAACCTGAAAGGTTGGACTTTTGTAGAAAGAACAAAATCCCCGTATAAACGCTTAATAAGGTCAACAAAATAAATCCCTTTATCTGTACGAATATTATGTCCAAACTGAAGTCAAAAGATTAAAAAAGTGTACATACCAATAGTAAAAAATAAAAAGGAATCAAATTGTATCAAATGTATCAATATCCTCGTCATGGCTGTGTAGCATACTCCCGCATACGCCAGCGAAGAAAATCGCGGTCATCAAATGAGTGCACACATACAAACAGGTGAAGTTCAAGTAAACACACGTCCACAAGATAGAAATCGATGGATGCGTTCTCCATTTCGGCCGAATTGACCGACCTCGATGACAAATACCCACTACAATGAAATTGATTGTTTAGCTGGTTAACGTACCCGATACGGGAATATACGGTGGATAAACTGGGAATAGGCGATTATTTTTCCAAGGAGTGAAGGTTGTTTAAACACTCCTAATAACGACCGGTTTGATTAAGAACAGGCAGAATATTGGCAAAGTCTCAGGTTGTTTGGACAATCCAGGAAACTGTGTCATCGGCCACTATGCAAGAAAACTGTAATAAGAGCACAGCTTCAAGTTTACGTACAGGCGGGAATTCTGCTGACATGGATAGACATGCATAATTCATCTGCAACGGTGCAGTATTCCATGTAAAATACTACCTAGATTTATGTTAGCCGAGAGTAAGAATTTCTTCTGCTCGCAGAGCAAAACACATCGGAATGATCATACGCTCTAAATAATTATCTTGTGGAGAAAGATTAAAGACACACACGGGAGCTGTAATATAAGCGCATTGTGACCTTTGTGCAATGTGGTGATATTCTGATTAATTATATACGTGCCATTGAGAATTTCATGTCACTAAAACTCAGTGTTATCATTCTTTGTTTTTTTGCTTTCGCTTGTTCAGCAGCACTGCAAGACGAAATTTGATGAACAACATGTCATGATCAGCTTGAAAATATGCGTGAGGCCGTGAGTTATTAAGAGAGTTCATACAGATAAGTGGCAAAAATCGCATGAAAATGCGAAGTTTCCAAAAGCACTACGAAAATCCTAATAACGAACAAACTGTCTTTAACTATGACAAAACAACACTAAACTAGTAGTTACCCCAACAGCCAAAATCCACGGCAGTATAAAATTTAATTTTTTAACTGGTGGATAATTGGTACAATATTGCATCCTCATCCTTTCCAGGCTTAAGCAATTTATACTTGATTTCTGTCTGGTTTTTCGAAGCAGGAAAAATGTCAAGAATTTGTCTCCCGATGTCCTCCACAAGCTCTTGGTTGTGTGAGGGACCACACGCGAAAAGAATCGCGTACTGGGAATAGCCTTTTGCCTCTTTCAGGCCACGTGGACTGACCAACACCTTGCAGACACCTCGCGCTATGAGCTGTCCACTGGTGGCCAAATTCTTCGCTTTCAGCCATTTCTGGTCGATTTCGTCTTCACCGAAGAAGAACATCCAACTCCCGTGATCTACAGCCGTAGTGCTTGAGATCCAGGTTTGCGCCAGGATGCCGGTAGGAAGTGTCGACTGATGTATTTTCCCAAGCGTTGAATCAGGTTTTCCTTGACTCTCTATTGGCTTTATTTGATCCATGGCTGTCGATGGCGTTTCAATCTAGACATTGAAGAAACATGATATCGTTTGAGTTTCTATCTACAAATTATATCAACAACAATTAAACAAAAACAGGCTACATGCCAGAAACAGGAGTTTATGCTAACAAGATTACGCATTAATACATATAAAAGTACACATGTATGTATATACCGATCGAGCCGGGTTGTACTGCAGATATGTACAGTAAATGTGAATAGATTTTCTCAGCATTTAGCGTTTAAAAATTTAAACTGTAATTACATAGGTAATTATTGGAGCTGACCTGACATCGCATAAACACTACAAAGAAGATACTAAGTGTGAGAAGTATTCATAATAATCGAAGGAAAACCATGCTACCACCAAAAGTAAGTTGCTGCAATCTAATTTTAAAGCAGCTAGTAGTGTCTGCTATTACCTGTTAGTAATATGAATCGAAATAAATAATAAAAGTTGCTGTATTCTGTCAAAACTACTTTACGAAAATATTTTTTTGCACAGTGTATTCGGAGTAAAGCTATCATGTAAGCAAAATCAAACTTCAAAAGCCATAATACCTTATTTTGCCTGGTCTAACTGCAATGAATCCAAATCCGCAAATCTGAGCAGCTTCTCGAGAAAAAATCATGGAAAGGTCTGGATTACAGCAATTAAAGATCTCCGCACAACTTGGGGGAATGAAAAGGAGTGTTAGTGGTTAATTTCGACTTCTTATCTTTGCCCAAATTCGTGCAAAATGGCTACCATGATTGAGGGTCAACACATTTGCCGGCCCAAATACCGGGTTAGTGCTAGTGTTTGATCAGAAGAGGATGCGCATAAAACCGCATTCGCGAATTATGTGCTTCCTGGTTGTCTTGTTACAGACAGAAACAAGATCTGAAGGAATAACGATCAGAGAAAGGAGCCGATTAGGAATGAAAACAAAAATAATTATACGAAGGAATTTATGGGCGTATTGCCGGTCTGCTGTGGTTTATGGCAATGTGCAATATAGCTCTCTACAGTGGTCAAGTGGTTAAGTGGTTAAATTATTAAATTTCAAACTCATCATCCTTTCTTAGCTAAGTTAATTGCGACTATAAAATGAACAGTTCAGTTTGACTGGGTACATCGTTCTGTAATCAATAAATAAATGCCAAAATACACTTTTGTAGCTTTATCAAAGATAAGTGCGGCTAATTAGAACCGAGTGGCGTCTTCAATGCGGGAGATGGAGACGGACACTACTTGATTTCTGCGCCTCAGATTTACTAATATCATCCAGCTGCCAAGATTCTGCCAGCTGACCGGTAATGTGTTTTTCTCTTTCTTATAATTAAAAGCCAATTACCATGGCGCGGTATAAATAGTCCACTTTGTTCATTGCTTTTGATTCATTGCTTCAAAATTGTCGAGGATGTCACTTCTAGGCTAGAAGTTCTAGCACAAGCATGGCATTATATATGGCACTTAGTTTGCCATGGCACAAGGGTATCGCTATCAGTTTATTGTTCTTCTGACTATGGGAGAATATTTTGCAGAAATGCTCATGTATACCAAATGCTAACATAATAATGCGGTAAAAAAGATGAATTATACATATTTCACATGCATAAATGAGAGTACTTATGAAGTTTATTGCAAAAATTAGGACAAACTACGGTTTACTTAAAATAACCTTTTACGAATGATTGTCAAACGTATGTCAATCAGACAAATTCATTTTTAACACTTTGCAGATAAAAACCAATAACCTGGATATACTGTAGTATAATATGATACTGCACAGATAGCGTTCTTTAAAGGTATACTGAATGTTTCGTTTTAAAAATAAAACTGAGCGCTGTTAGTTTGAAATACGTGACTTATATTTTATGCTTTGCAGCCGGTGCAGCATCTTGCGTCTGTATTTTGTAGTTACTGGTTTTATTTCCAAGTACCATGAAAAAAGCTAAATTTTAAAAAAATTGGTTTGGATCCATGCAGTTCTTGCTGGCCCTCTTCGCGCTTGTGCGAAGTGATCATTCCGATCTCGCGAAAACTCCAGCCGATACCTTTCCTCGTATTTCCCTGAACCTGCAAAAATAACACCACTACCAGAGGATACAATTTCATCGGGAAATCAATATTACTCACAACCGGTAAATTTCCGTCCAGGCGATCGATTGCGCTATTTGGCTGAACTGAATCGCCATCCTAGGTATATATTGTACATGTACGGTACAACGTACCAATCTAAAATAACGCACATAGAATATACTTCGTACAGGTAATCCCCGCTACCGTTGAACTAATAACACCGAGCAATCCCTCATCCACATAATCCCAACTCCAGCTGTACCGTTTTGCTCAGCCGCAGCACTTTACAATTTCTTCTCCACCGGATATGTACGGTGCGCTTTCCGGTCCCGATTCGCATTCTCCAACCGCGTTCCTTGTGTGTGTAGTAAGCAATTGCAGGGAGAAAGTAGGTAACCGGTTTAAAGTTAATTCCCCTCTTTGTACCATCATCAATACATCGCGGCATTGATAATTGTTCCCGATCTGGAGCAGTACACACCGCTCCGTGACGCGACTAGCGATATACATGTTGACCGACCGGCAACATCATCCCCACCACCGCAAACCGCCGCCATTAAAAATGGTCCACTTCCCCGAGACATCGCGGAGTAATGCACCGACCATCCTCCAGTTCACCAGCAATATGCCGTCACTGCGGGGTCACCATCATGCGGGAATTAAACCCGAGGAGCATTTGCCGGCCATTAAGGCCCATCATGCCGGCCTGTTTACGGAGCACGCGGGGAATTATGATTTGAGGAAGTTGTATGATGAGTGGCGGGCGAGTTTGGCGGTGGGCTATAAAGTGCCCAGATTGTGCCGGCTGGAACAGGCCAAGTTGCCGGTACTGCAGGAGCACGTCAAACGCCGTCTCTCCCAGCATAGTGCCTCATCGCCTCCCACTTTCCGCGCACGCAACGATCAAAAGTCCACCAGGTAACACTGCCGGTTAATTAAACGGCCGTAAATGTACTGGAAGTTTAGAGAAATTTATTATCACATTATTGTTAGATGCATTATAGCCAGCATAAAAGCCAGTTTCTATGTTGCCCCATTAATGGTAGGCATCTTAACTGCTTGGCCGGTTATTTAATCTACCGGTAAATTATAAAACTGCCGCAGGTCCGCAAGCCATTTCTTTTATTCAAGGCATACATCAAGGAATAGATTATAGAAGGATAGCTACTCAGTAGAGTACTTAATAAAAATAAATGGAGGCAATACTGTTTTGCCGCCATTGTCACAAACGCTGCCATTATAGCCACGCTTTAACGGATTTCTTGCAATCAACTTGACACCGGCTACAACAATTAAGTTGCCATTTTTATATTGTTTTACTGCAATATAAAAACGGCTTAAACACGTAACGGCTTAAACACTGGCAAGTTTAGAAAAATTAGTTATGCGGAATTCACGACATCCCATGAATTTTTGTATATCCAGTTTCGCCGTTACGTTGTCCCAAGAAACAGCTACAGATGGCGCAACACATCTACATTCTACCGATTTCTTAATTACAGATGTAGCAGTCGTAGATCGGATACGGTGAGATCTGTTCTCGTGAGTCGGGGACGGTCATGAAGCCCATAATAATATAATTTACTCAAGAAACAGCAGCTTCGAAAAATCGTATTTAGAATAATTGCGCAATGAAGAGCATCCCTGTTGTGAACACAGTTCAACTCATTTAAGAGCTACTCGTAGCTTATATTTTCCAGCTGTCAGGAAAGCCTGCTGTACCCGCAAATTTTTCGAATGAACTATGACTGCTAGCTGCTATGTTGCCATTAACAATTGTATGACGCCGATAAAAGTATTAGTGAAGATTTTGGTGTTTTTTTTTCTAAAACTTGGCCGAAATAATAAGAATAAGGATAAGGATCGCATGGCGAAACAGTTACAACAAGTGATTCGAGGAAATGATCACAAACACAAACCGATCCATAAACCAAATGCTAACACATCGCCTTATTAACTTTTAACGCCGCGGGTTATTATACCCGCGCGCATATGCGCCCACATCGCCAGGATGACAAGCAACGCAATGCTTCTTCCACAATGCTTTTGTTCGTCCAACCTGGAATCTATTTCCAAACAATTCTTTCAGGCTAAACCAAACATGCGGATTTTTCACATGTTACGCCCAATTTAGCCCAGTGAATTAGTTATACCACCTTTTCATTTGATCCCGTTCACCGGTGCCGATTAATTGTCAGCTTATGCCCGTCGGAAATACCTAGGCGCATTCGCTTAATAATGACAAGGAAATCTCATGGAATTACGGCCGAGTTTATCCCGATTAAATTTCCCACCACAGTGTGTTCGTTGTTCGATGTGCTACATTTTTTTTTCAACCTCCGTAATAGAAACCTGTCAAAATGGATGTATTTTACATTATTAACTGTCTTATACTGTAACATGTAATGCGGGAAACAATCAATACCGGTGTACACCTGTAATTTTTGGGTTCAACAGACGATTGCTAAACGAGCCGGTATTTTAGTGGATGCGTGTCTAAAACCTAACGCACAAAATACTGAGATCGGATATGAGTCGGGCTTTTGTATCCTCCAAGGATTATGTTACCCGATCTTTAATTTAAAACTATACAAAACTCTACAAGTATTCAGCGATGATGTAATAGCAACGGAAATGACTGGTATTTGGAAGCGGGAATTAAGCAGCTTGGGCGGCGGAACCAGATTGATTGGGTTACGTGAGATAAAATCAACCAAATCAGCCGAAAACAGCTACGTTCATTATGTAAGGTGTTACAGAGCGAAAAAATTAACCAGAATGGATTGGGAAGATAGGGTTAAGAACGGCTGACTTGGTTAGACTTTATTGTGTTATGTAATGGATGAGTGTAGATTGTCATTGGAAAATCAGGAATTGATTGCCCATCCAGATTGCGCAAATGTCAACAAATTATACATTCAGATAAGCGGCACCGCTTAAAGTAGAGTACATCACACCTCTACAGTTTTTCTCTCCTTTCATAAAATGCATACTACAAATTTCTTAAAGGAAAAATGGCATTACATTAAAATATTTTGACTTAATGTATACCTGTGTTTAAAAATATAACAAACGGTTTTTTGTCTGGCAATGTGACACGGACAGCGTTTTTTCATTCATCCCGTAAGACACATATTTCCACAATAACGAAGTGTCAGCATATGATCATACTAATCATTCAAAATAAACCACTCTTTTTTACTCCGCAGCATTCAAAACGATAGAAAACATTTACGAATTTGCGAAAAAAATAGTGAAAGGTCGGTACCGTTTATGCTAGAAATGTTGAATACCTAATAGCATTTTAACGTTTCAGCGTTAAATAGGTTGTTGAACTGCAGCGCTGCAACACTCATTCTCCTTTACAGGTTGAATATTCGCAATGACTCGGACAAGACTGGTGCCGGAAGTCGATACGAATGCCTGGCGAAAATTGGCCAAGGCTCCTATGGAAACGTGTACAAATGTCGCGACCGCGAAACCGGTCGAGTTGTGGCCATAAAGAAGTTTATTGAAAGCGAGGACAATCCCAGCATAAAAAAGATTGCTTTCAGAGAAATAAAAATTTTAAAAGTAAGTGTGGAGTTTTTTCCGTTTGCATATAAAGATTTCGTACATACATTTTGCGTTTTTTTTGTAAACGTAATCTGCAGGGAGTGATTTGCATACAGTGCACATGTAGTGCAAAATAATGGGTTTACACAATATCCGACAACCCTAGAGCTGTAGACGAAGATGGCGAAACACATAGCACGAGATATTGTTTCAGTGACGTCAATGCAGTCCATCTTTTTGTCCCCTTGTAATCGTGCACAAAGCGCACCTGCGCATCGTGTGCAACCGAAAAAACCCGGCGGCAAACACTTGGCAGTATTGATTTCCAATTTTTTCGTGCCTTGAGTGTAGAAACGGGAAGAATACGGTCTGTGATAATACTTTCACTAACGATGCATAGTCAGCAGCTTTAATTCAGCCGGAAAAGAGCAATTGTGCGCAATAGACTCATTGCGAGTGTTTAACCTGGACTCTTTCCTTGACAGCAACTTCATCATCCCAATATCGTGACGTTGATAGAAGTTTTCCGACGGAAACAGAAGCTGCACTTGGTATTCGAATACTGCACTCGCACTTTGTTGGACGAGATACAGCTTAACAAATCCGGGTACGCTTTAACAATCACTTCCTGTCGGAAATCGAAAGGTCATGTAGGTAAAAATAAACTACGCATACGAGCTGGTTATAATATCATAAATAATTCTGTATCGGTAAATAAAACTCTTAAAGCTTTAGAAGATTCACAAGATATAGTCTGTTTATTTTGGTTCACTGTTTCGTACGCAGGGGTAACATGTACGTCACAGTATACGAAAGCATAGACATAGCTGCGCTAAAGTTTTTGAAATGAGATTGTTTCACGGAAGTGCACAATTAAAATTCCTAGCCAAAATATTAAGGAGATCTACTCTGTACAATGTACATGAGGCTTAAATAAAAGCAACATAAAATCAACATAAGGCTTATGCATGCAGTCTAGATAATATTTGGTATACAGTCTGTTTATTTTGGTGCCACTGTTTGCTACGCAGTGGCAGCATGGACGTCAACAAGTTATAATCAAATGTTCTTTTAATTAACAGTATTCCGGAAATGGACGCCCGAAAGATCATCTCGCAAGTCATCCAAGCCTTACGTGTCGTGCACCGTAATCGTTTTATCCACCGTGATATTAAGCCGGAAAACATTCTGCTGACGAGCCGACGCGTCGTTAAACTCTGTGATTTTGGATTCGCTCGACCAATGAACAAGACAGGTACGTCACGATGTACTGGATTTTGAAAATTATGCTACAATGGCTAATGCTTTCAGTTTCTGTTATTTTTCGATAAGCTCATTATGGAATTCAGACAAGTTGCCGGGTTCAGCCTGAACCGATGTCTGTATTACAATGTAGAAATATTGCATAGATATAAATCAGTATTTCTAGGAACGTGAAGACAAGAAAAGAGTGGATGATATATTTGCATAAAGAGCCGAAGGTTAAAACGTATCTTTTGGGAGTTAAACATGATTCCGTTTTCGTCATTTAGTAGAAATATGTATTTTCTCTAGAGACTGAACATCAGGAAGATTTAACGCCGAAATGTTTAACAACTAATTTTAATCATGTTCAAAGCCACGGGTTAATGTAAGGCAGGACGTACTGCAAGTGCTTGTACTTGCAATTACTACGGTCTACGGTAATTATATATTGCTACTGCTTCTATTAACGGTAGTTCTATATGCAGAACTTTCTGTTGCATATACGGTACTAGAGTGCACACTCTGTATGTTTGCGAGACAGTATTGTTGCAACATTGCTTAAATTACATTTCAGCCCCGGAAATCGACCAGTACACGGACTATGTCGCCACCCGTTGGTACCGTGCACCGGAACTGCTGATGCCCATGCCAGCCTATGGTCCCGGTGTTGACGTATGGGCAACCGGCTGCGTGTTTGCCGAATGCATTTCCCGGCAGCCATTGTTACCCGGCACAACGGATATTGATCAATTATACCTAATTCGTAAAATGTTTGGAGACACATCCAATCTCCCGTCGATACACTCGCAGCAGCTGACGCCCGTATCCGACGCGACCAACCTCGTCGACGTCGGCGCGGATCTGTCGCTAAGAAAGGTATGGAAAAAACTGGTCTATGCCCGGAACTGTACATCATATATCCGCATACTAAGTAATATGTATTATTCAAATGATTTTCCCGTCCAGTAAACCGCAGTTCTGATATATGACAGGTGCCTCTACATAAGAAAGTGCCTTTCATCAGTCGAGAAGGATGCGAGATGTTAGGTTTAATGATGCAGATCAATCCACTTAAAAGGGCCGCGGCTAACGAGCTTCTGCAGAAACCCTATTTTGGCATCTTTTCCGGTGGTAATGGATTAGGCAACACTAATAAGCCACCTCCTAGGATATTCCGGCCAAAGGTAACTGACTACTGACTAGGGACACAAACAGTGTTTATTATTAAAAATAAGCGTGCACACGCAGACAACACATTTAGGAGATTTTCACCAGGTAAACAGTGCAGTAAACTAGGTAAACATACTTACTTTCACGTACAACACTGAAAAATTCAGATGATTTCACGTACAACACTGAAAAGTTCAGATGATTTCATAGTTATTTGATGAGTTTCACACCGCAGTACGAAAGTAATGAAATATCTACAGCAAAGACTTTATATTGGCTTGCAATCATACTTAATTTTATTAGCACAAGGAGTCACATTTCAGATTTTGTTACAAAAACAGAACTACCACAACAAAATTTCTCTTAAATTATCCGTTCCATCCATGGTTCCGAAAACGCAGTTGCTCAATCGAACGGACCGAACGGACCTAGATTTGCTAAAATCTGAACAACGCCAGTTATAACCTTTATCAGTACACGAAAAGAAGGTTTATCAGTACACATACCATTATAATTATCCACTACAGCAGCTATATCTATATTTTCCTTTGACTTATCACCGGTTCATTTATATTTAAGTGCTACATCTAACAATAAGTTAATATCTTTGTTCTGTGGATAGTCTGGTAAATACAATCATGGTAATACAATCATGTAATGAGGCTACTGACGTTATTTTTTTAAACAAAGTCTACGGGGTTTCAAAATAATTAACGTGGACAGACCACGTGACACACGCCGATAATTGTATAATATTGCTGCGTGTACGACAACAGGACTACGCACGCCAGCAGCCGCAGTGCGGTCACGAATACGATAATCTGTAATTAAATTGTCATCTAATTACAGGTAGAACAAATCCACCCGGGCCCTCTGGAAGACCAGGATCACGTCATGCATTTCTCTAAGGTGATCCGCAAGGCTCCCTCGCATGAATCCCTCTGTAATTCTGAGAGTCCACAGTTATCTTTGATTACCTTGCCGTCCGTACCGGAAAACCTTAATCTGGAGAACATAAATGCCGAAACCATCTCCTTAACATCCGAATTAGTGGTTCCGGTATTATTGGATGCTCGGCACGATGATCCGCCTGTAGAGAATGTCAACACTGCGACTTTGACAAAAGATGCTGCAGTAATCAAGACGGCAGCACAGCCACTGAAACCGCTGACTAACAAGAAGGTTAGGGAACATCCACCGCCACTGCGTCGTACCCGGTCTCGTCCAAATTTCTTACCACAGATTGACGGTAATAAGGGACAAGTGATAGGTACATAACCTGCAATCGAAACCATCTGGTCGTCATATCAGCACTCTTCTGTCAGAGTCTGTCTTATGTAATGATATTTTTCTTGAATTCTTTCCGGTTTTTCGTCATCTGCCCAAACCTGGGCACTGTATATTTTGATGTATGTTTCTCTTTGCTGTTGAATTGTTTCGTATCGCACTTCCGATTTTGTAATCCTTTTTATACTGTTGATATTCTATTGTTCTGTCGGTAATCGCGGCACAACGTAACAAACGCACGTTAATGCAAAGAATAAATAAAGGTCACATCTGCAAAATGATGTCATTGTTCTACAGTTTTCTTTCAGCTTTTCTTTCTTCAGGGGCTTTCTTTTACGTATCACATACAAAAAAATATCTTTCTGTACAAGGATACTATAAGTAATACAAAAAGATCCCAGAGTATGGCGTTAGTATCGTTAAATCTAATGATAAATTTAATAACATTCTAACAACTAAAAAAGTGTAATTGATGCAGTTAATGCAAACATACTTACTCAAAAACATGCAAATGCTAACTCCTCAGTATCTTCTTCTTTAAGTATTCATAGGTTACTTTGGGGCTTTAGCGACAACGCTTAAAGAATTAAATGCGCTGATGACCACCACAGTTTCGCATCATGGGATCGTAGTATTATGCATCCAATAGCCAACAAATAAATCAACAATTTAAGGTCAACAAAAATACAATATTGCACAGTTTTTACACAAATCACATTTAATCGTGGCAAACTGCAAAAATTTAATCGGAAACAACTTCTGATTTGTTTTTTGTTGAACAATCTGCATCCTCGCTAGTCTCGTCCAGCTGAAACCCCGCATTTACCGCACCGTCTTCCCTGATCGAATCTCCAAGGGGTGCAGTATCTGGTTGGACATGCAGTACAGACTCATAAAGAGGAGCAGACGCTATCGTATTATTCTCTCCCGTTTCTTCGTCACCACCGCTGTCGAACCCAGAAAGAATTACAATGCTCTCATTCTGCATGGCTTCCGCGTACGTCGGTGGCGCGCCATACAGAGGGGGCGGATCTTCCGTCACAGCCATTCCCCCATTGGTCCAACCGGTCTGACTGTGCTCACTGATCGCCGGCGCTGTCATCGCCGTACGACTCTGCTCCAATCGGACACGGTATGTCACGATGGCAAATATCACGACGACGATGAACAGCACGCCTGCAGTCACGCCCAAAACAATGGAGACACTGGAATCGGTGTTAGATGGATTGGAAGGCGGTCGTGGTGGCCATATAGAGGGTGGTGTCGTGCGAGTGGGTTTCACTGTTTCTCTGGTCGGGACAGGCGGTGATGTGGGCGACAAGGGGCAGCATGGATCCGGACGGAGTGTGACGTTTTGACACCGGAAATCGTACGGGCCGCTGGGATCCGGTTCACTACTGTTTGCGTGCCAGAGCTTCGGACAACTGATGATGGTGCGGTCTTGCAGGGATTCACCGTGAAGAAATGCGCCAAGCATGGGGCAGTGGCAGGTATAGCCTGAACAATCATAAAGGAATATTAATTTTGTAGCATTCTGGATAAATGACAATTAGTATTAACTGTTAAGTAATATTGTATCTTTTGAGATGTTCCGAGAATTTCAAAAGAATTGTTTTGAATTGCTAAATAATTCCACGGATGTTTTATGGTACCGGGGAGTTTGTTCTTGGAGGCCAAGGAATAGTCAATCACAAAAGCATTTCTCGTTGTATTTAGTCCATGGTCACAGAAAAATGACGGCGTGGTGTGATGCAGCGATATTTCAAAAGGCAGTTCCGTTACAACTATTTGACCGAATGAATCTGTCCAGTCTTCGAGGAGAATGGAAGTTGTTTTCGCTGTGAAATACTTGGTTTTCGGAACCTGTTTCTTGCGTGAACCGGAAGTCACGGTAAGTGTGTCATTGCCCGCCAAGTTCAGTTCTCTGCAAAATATACAACAAAACATGGAACTTACATACTTAACTAAATAACAAGAAATCCGTATGCACTATGCACTTTTACACCTAACTTACAGTACACTATCCAGATTCACTGGGTGGGTATTGGACATGGGGAAAGTACGTGACGGTATTACTGCCTTATAATCATGCGGCTAGTTTCGGCCTGTAAAACTGCCCAGTCGTTTAGCTTTACGATTATTTTGCAGGTAATTTTTATGTATGTGTTCGGAGTGTGTACAAAAACATGAAATCAGTTTACACATTTAACTGTGCAAGAAATTACCAAAGTTTTTTCTAACAAACCTGAGAAATATAAACTAGGCAACAGTATTCATGCCATTCATTCGAGTTCTACTAATACTCACCGAATATTTAGGTAGACTTCCAGCCCGAGCAGTGAACTCGATAGCAAGCAGTTTGGGGAAAGATCCACGCTGATTTTCAGCAATGTTGGAGGTCTATCGCATTCTTGTGTCGATAACCTCAGTTTGCCGATATGGCCTCCTTTTGACTGCGGACAGAGATCCAGTTTGCCGGTTTCGTTAACCTTTATAATTTCATCGAGGTCGTGTGCCGCGGATAGTGATTCATAATCTGTAACGGTAACATTAAAGAATATAACAGCGCCCGCATTAATCGCAATATTTGGTAGTAGCTTTTATTGCTCAGCAATTTATCAATTTTTAAAACTGCAGTGCATTATGGGCCCATGGCTATAAGGCCCATGGCTATAAGCGCAGACAAAAATTACAAGTTTGTGAGCGATTTTCAAATTACTGTATATGAGTTTAACGAGATTGTGGTCCGGAAGATTCTGGATGAAGCTCAATAACGACGCTACAGATGACGTAGTATAGTGTACATTATACTATCTGACATCGCATTTTGGTCTTTGATAGGAGAGCAATAAGCAATTATTAGTTTTGCAACCTGTTGGTACAAAGTCGTTGGACTCCTCAAGCTCGTCGACGAATTCAAATACTGTATTAATATCACCTCCGGAGCCATCATCCCATATTTGTGATTGAAGTGATTTGGTCAAAACAACATTATTCCCTGGTAATATTCCAAATGTACAAAAGTAAATCCAGAAAAATGAAACCATTTCTGCATGAAAAACTGCATCAAATGCGAAAACGTTAACTACAGAATCAGAACTTAATGAAAGAAATACACAACACATAGCGCTTCGGAAAAGTTCGGCAAATTGTAAATCGATAACATATTTTACTTGTTTATCGCCGATAAGTATCGTAAACACTTGCAACGCAATTTACGCACTAGCAGATGTGTACTGTACGCAACCGCTGGCGGAACAACTGGATAAAGAGTGTACGGCAGTTGATCTCATTGTCGACACGGAATGCATATGTGCATTCGATTGGCAATATCTTATCGTTCTTGTTTGTCTACCTTGCAAATCTCACTTGTTGCTGTGTACAGGTGAACACTGTGGTGGAACTGTATGAAAGGAGCAAATGTTGCGAATAAGCAGAAAGCGGAAGTGCCAAGGGTTAATGGTTTGATTTCCATTTAACGAATCATTTTCCATACAAATACAACGCTGCCAGAGTAAATGCACTCTTGTGCACCTTGTGCACTACATCTTGTCGATACGAAGATGTTTGTACAGTAAATGTCCCATCGGGAAATCAGAATTAACAATTGCAGACTTGCAGTGTCCTCTAATAACACCTTAAATGCTAGTCAAACCCTGATTATGTGTAGCAGTTTACTATAGTAGGCAAAATAAAATAAATGTACGGCGATTCTGCTTCTTTTTCGGCGAACACTTTCGTCCGGTAATTAATGATATGGATAATGTGCACGGTTACACTAGCATTGTCTTGCGGAAACTGTTCGGAATCCTGCCATATTCGGATATAGCGTGTTATGTGAACGCATATTCCTTACGATTAGTGTTGTCTGAGATTAATGCTGGCGAAACCGGCTAGTACTATTAAACTACGTAAAAAAACTCGCATACGGCTGTTGTACCAAGTGTTACCGGCAAAACCATGACCGTAAAGTTAAAACACTGGATCCACAACAATAACGACATCCTTGGGAATTTTTGTTGACAATGCATTCTTTCTCTCTTTCTGCAGCTTTTCACGAGCGATATCAATGGCTGTCCGGTATTCCGCCCACGCCCACAGATACGGCATCCCCAGCCACCTGGTCAAGCGGATTCGCGTCTCTGTATCCAGTTTCGCCTCGAATTCCAGATCCACGCTCATATCAAAGTTTGCTGGTGGCGTAGTGGTACGCCTTTCGTCTTTTAAAGCTTGTATCATGGTTGTATAGTCGTAATTCGCACACTCCGAATGTGCTGAAGGAATATCTGTAGATTTGTCGCGTACATACCGGCAAAACCACGACTTCAAGACTGTCGTTTCTACTGTCCGGCAGGCACGTTGACAATAATTACACGCCAAAACTTGCGACAATTCCACAAGAACGATAAGAGGCAAAAACTGCAGGCAAGACATCAGAATAGTCGATCCCGGTAACAACAAAAAGTAAGCAAACACCATCCAGAAAAGTACACCAAGCATCTGGAATAAAGGATTGTAGTGCTCACGAATCAGATCCCTTCCTACACACTGGTAAAACGTCACCGTCGATGCAGCTGATTTAGTTGCGCACGCGAGAGATTCTGTTAATTCGTTTTGGAATGTTTTTTGCAGGAGATAACCCTCTACCGCAGTTATCAGCAAATTGCTCGTCGCAATCAGGAAAAGAAATCCGTGAGGCATAATTATGCCCGGCAGCTTCACACCCAGGCGCAAAAACCATCTGGCTGCTCCAGTCTTAAAACAACAAAATTAATGTAATTCACCAGGGTGGTGAAATTAACGATAAAAGAAACCATAATAATGGAACCGTATAGTTGGTTCAAAGAAAGATGTTCATACCGTGCGAAGTAAACTTAATGGTTGAATATTAAATTCCTGGCTTGGTAACAAGATGTACCACATCAGCAAGCATCTTACAAGGGCTAAAATAACATAAACAGATCTGAGGCAAGTGAATACAGCGAAACAGTTGCGCTCTTTCCAAAGAACAGACGGTTTTCTCTTGATATTCTGACAAATTTTGAATAAATATATCTACTTTCCTTTGGTTTGCTTGCTACGGCGGGTTTCATCGTACCGTCCAAGCGTCTGTCCACACTCAACAGCAATTGGTTAAAATATTCTTCACGCTTTCGGAAGACGATCAAAGGAAACAAAATATACTTGAATAGATGCAGATCAGAAGTTCGATTTGATGTACTATTAGCTCTGCAGAAGGGATGGTACAAACAATCCCGTTAAAAGGCAACAGACATTTTTCATGAATCGAATTTATCCAATCGATACATGGGAATGAGGGACGAAGCGGAAAATGGACCGCATGGAAACTTCAAGCATGCTTTATGCAGTAACGCCACATGGTAGCATGCGGCCACAGTCCTTGCATTGTACATAGCGGCGCTTCATACTAGTTAGATACTTCTATTGTTATGGTTGTGCGTGTTTCTGCGTTGCTTGCTTCCGCCGCTTTTGCTTTTGGTTCTGTAGAAGTATTAAATTTGTCGAGACTTTTATTATACCCCTAATCGTTCATCGCACTGATATCCAGTTTACCAGTTTCTCCATTACATTCGGATAGATTCTATACTAAGAAAGAATTACCATAATGTAGAAGAGAAATAGAAAAAATCATTGATCACAGAATATTTTCATACAATGGTATGAGAAATCTCCGCTTAACCAATAATGATATTATTGGCCATTGGGTCGTTTAATCGGGTACTTATTCTTAGTATGCCTCTGTGACCTTTGCGGAACCTTTCGCACAGAGACGAAGCGCAAGAAGACTCATCATACGTAAGCTTATCTAAACGGCCATGACGGTGCCCACTGTCATGGCCGCGCTTAAGTGAAGCCAGGTCTCGAAAATTCTGTTACAGGTTAAAAGTGCTTACTTTAGTGAACTGTAACGTCCGTCATTCAGATGAAATTACAGATGCAAATTACAAGGCTTTCATAACATGAATTTTGATAACCGTAGTTTTGTAGTCAGTTCTTATGCAACCAAAAGTTTATGGATATTGTAGCAGTAGTCTATCTGGCTGCTGTTCTAGTGGGTTGGCGTGTTGGCCGTACCACGATGTCTGTTGGGATGAGAGGTGGCACGGTAGGCAACGATGCTGACCGAGGACGCTCTTACTGATGTAACACAATTACTGAGCGTATCAACGTAAGGTCACGGCATGTTTAATGACAAGAACAATGCAAGACGCTGATGCAATGATGCAAGCTGTAGCAAGCCGAGTACAAGACTGAATTCTAGAAATTCATGAAAAGGAGAACTAGCCGGTAAAATGAGAAGAATTCATAACGTGATGAAATGATGGATCATAACTGGGTGGTTTTGTGGGTTGTACAACTTCTACCGCTACAATATGTACGTATCGGAGTGTCTCGAACTAATGCGAAACCATAATTCATTAGCCGGATAAATTTACGCTCGTATAGTATATTGTCCAATCAGACAAAATAAGTTATCGGTTTGAAAAAGCTTTCAATCCTTATATCATTTCAGTATCAATGGCGACGGTACCACATCATGCACAAAACCACAAGCGGCCCAACCACAAAGACCAAAATTGCCCCAATTAGTATCCCAATGATCGAGGCCGTCCCCAATTTCCAGCTGGGAGTTGTCGGAGTATGTGCAGGCTGAAGCTGTATGTCACCTAAATGAAATTGAAAACACAACTGGTCAGTAATCTTTTTGTTATGGTACGCACTACGAGGCAGTCGGCATATTAGATTAAGCGTTTTTCCATAATGGTGGCAAAAAAAATAAAGAAATATATGTTAATTCGAAATTAAAAGCACGTCATCGTACTTACCGCATATTACTGAATTGCGATCCGAACCGCATGATCCGTACCAATATTCGTCTTTTGTAAATGTGTCGGCGGCATTAGGAAAAACTGAGCAGTTCCTGGGGCACATCAAGGCTCCAAATCTCGTATCCAGACAATACGCTTTTTTTGGCAGTGTCCCGCGTAGTGTACGGCAATATGTCAGACTGCTGGTTTCAGCTTCCGCTGAAAAAGAAACATAAATGAGTAAATTAAGGTTACCAAAGTGTGTGGTACGGATTCTCGGGCAAACTGGAAATGGTTGGGGCATTTCATTATATAGAGTAGCTGCTTATTAGAAATTATGCGGCTGTTACTTGGAATATATCAGCTCACACATAAAAGCACTCGAGTAGGATAAATTACGAGCATTTGCTCATTTCGGTAACTCTGCTCGATATTAACAGTATTAAAGGCTTACACGAAATCAAGGCAAAATCGATGACCACCGATTCGTTAACGGAATCAAACACTTGTTTATGCAGTTCCAATTTAATCTCCAGTTCATCCAAGTTCGGATACAAATGAGTTGCAAATCTGGCATCCGACCGTGGGAAAAACGTGTGGTTTTTATGAACAAATTCCGGAACTGCCGACAAGTTTAGCGGTATTATAGTGCCCTCATTGTTATTAGCCAGTTCTGCGACGAAAACGGGGTGAGTCTTATTGACCGAGAGTTCCATAAATAATGCCCTGCAATAGCAATGGCAAGAAACTGATTTAATAAAACAATTTTGTCAGCATAAACTGGATGACAACGCAGCTCAGTAACTGTAATAAGGTCACAATTCAACAACAAAAAAATACATAAAATATCGTAACTTGAAATAAATGAAAGATAAGTAAATTTCCGCTCCTCTTCCTACAACCTGCTCGGGCAGGGTAGTGATGTTAAAGCACGTAAAATACCTAAGTACATACGTAATCCGTATCCCTTGAATACATCATTATCATGTTTATTTCAGGCAAAAAAATCATAACGCTTTATCCGCAAAATGCGTGAAAATTTAGGGGAGTTAAGCGCATTGTAATATCCGAATTTTAATTCTATTTTTCTTTCATTGTGGGGGAATACCTGAAATTCAAATAGTATCCAAATTGTACATTTTTGTACAATGAGACGGTTTCGTTGTCGTAGCATTCTGTGTCGGTTCGCTCGGCAAGTTTGAGCACAACGGTGATTGTGGCGTTGTTCTGGTTAACACTAAGGACTGTGTTCTCTCTTGTGGTAAATATTGTTCCCGCTCGGGAGGCAAGGTTTTTTGGACAGATCGAAATGGTAAGTTTACGATCAGTGCTTTGTGCGTCGCTCAGGTAAACTGCAAGAACATTCAATTTACAGTACACTTAGTCAAAGCGAATCATAGATTTTAGTTACTTACTGTAAGCTGTGAGTAACTACTATTTATGTGTAACTACTATTTTGACTATTTTCCATGTTTACCAAAGTCGACGCTTTTCTATAAAATTGTACTGGTGAGCTTATTGAACGGATAGAATAATAAGCACATTTGCAATTATTACGGATCCTTACATGTGTTCCAGTCTTGTGCCAAGGCAAAACCAAAAATTGATATTGATATCGTACTGAAGAAAAACATATAGTCCGATTTCATTTTTGACGTGCAAGTAAATATCAAAGATTAATATGCGGAATAGCATGCAAAAAACTAATTACTGCAGTTTTTGCACAGGTTTTTTAGATGACAGCAGATGCTTACAAGTTTCCACCTCTGAAACAGACGCACATTGAGAGTGCCCTTTATCGGAAACTGTAGCATGCCTGTTTATAGTTATCGTAAGAACCTCCTGCCATTTGCACAATCTCTTTCGCTACCGTATGTGGCACGCAGCACCGTTTTCAAGCAGAATCTCTCATAAAATATCAGTTGCTTTTATGGCAGGTGTTTATTGTCAGCTAAATGCAATACGATAACTGATAAGATAGCACTATAGTGTTACAAAATGAAATCGCGTACCAAGACTGCACAACAGCTTGTTATCGTTTTATAAATTTAAATACCATGCGTCCGTGTACTGTAATAACGACACATACCGATATCCATCTATGTTCCATACAACGCGTTTTAAGTCTTTCAAATGCGAATGGCTTTCTTTTAATCGTTCCATGCGGAAGCTACGCTTGAAATAATTGTGCGCCAGTTCACGCATTTTAATTACAGTGGTGGCTGAAAGCTCAAAACATTAATTTATTGTAACTTCATTGCACGAGCGCGTTACCGCTTTACACCATTGTGAATTTATGTATTCTTTTCCCTGATCACAAGTAATACTGTAGGTAGTAAGATGCGCACTTAAACTGACTACGCTGATGACTGAATGTGTATTTCCGAGAACGTCAATCCAATATCCATACAACTTAGATGACTGACCGTGGGACAACGATAAATTATTGTTCCAGAACGTAAAGCAGAAATCGTTTTCTAGACAGACATACTAGAGATTGCCGAATTGTGGAGAGGCAGGGTTCACTACAAGTGCATTAGTTTCAGTGCTCTAAAGTCTGAACGTGTGAGAAACCAGGGTAAAACGGCTAGCGCGCGTTTAATTAACCAGTCCATTATTTTAGGCATTTATATTATAGTGCTGTACTTGAGAGTTGCGACTCATCAGAGTGCCCTCTTACGGTGGATATGGCTCATTTTGGAGTTATCTACAAGCAGCGACGAAGAAAACCCGCAACTCAAAACTCTGACCTGTTGTTGATTCATCTGCAATCGTAATGCGTGATTTCAAACACAAAAGCCGGTTGCCTGATAAGATAAACTGAAGTATCTGTACACTTACGATGTCAAACGTTTTGTTGTGCGATTTGATCATAGGAACGTAATCAAAAATTACTGAATCAAAGACGATCGACAAGTCGCTAAGCTTATAAGAACCATAGAAGCCTCGCTGGGTGGCCGACGGTCAGTTAGTAATATTAAAGTTGTTTGTGAACCCAGCTGACGACTACAGTTCGTTGAATTCGTTTCTCTGAGCGCCGCGCGCAAATTACAACGGCAATGAAACACCTCTCTTTCGGCAGAATGTTTCGATATTTCTGCATACTTATTTTGCAATGGCATATTTACGGCGCACAGGATGCTAATTCTACCAGTCCTGTGGCCAACAACACTTCAACCGCTTTGCTGTCCAATACATCGACAGCTGCCATTTCTATTCCAACAACTGCCATACCACCGGTGCCCATTCCACTTCTTATTAGTAAGTACGCCTGTTCGATAACCAAATTGATATGCCAAGTTTTAGCAAAATATTTGTACCAAATGTGATGATTTTCGGTTAGAAGAAAGTAGTATTACAAAGTTGGCATTAGCACAAACGTTTTTGCTTAGCACGGACTTCAGTCAACAAATTTCCATTTTCCTAACTGTTTTTTCAGAGAGAGAACTACCATTCATTCGATTCGTAGTTCTTATGGCCACAACTGGGATTTGTTAATTTAAATGTATTGCATGTATTTATGAACCCTACAGTGCAATTACGAGATGCTAACAAAAGTCACAGCAAAGCTGCAAAGCAAAGCTGAAAAACAACATTGTGCACTAATCATTCCCAATCAGCCAACTTAAAAGCTAACAACGCGTCCTCATTGTCCCTCATATCATTAAATGTTCCGAGAACAGACACTACATTTCCGCGTTGTTGTCTCAGTACTGGTATTTTAAATTTTACGTATAACTGTTTAGGTCTTCCAAATGTTACCAATGGATTCCTGAGTATTCCTTGTGGAAAAGCAGTTGGTACTATCGCCGAGGGCCGAGCAGGGCGTATCCGTTTCACGCGTCGCGATTTGTTAGACAATCCTACCTTCTACGTCAGGCATCTGGCATGGGCCTCATCAGAGTGCTCTGTAGCGCAGCTGAAACCTCAAATTAATTTAGAGGCAGCTGTAAATTATGTGGAGGTTTTGCTTATTACGGCCAGGTTTGTCTCATGATACCATACTCATTCGTGTTTCACAGCAGTATGTTAATTTCATAATACACCTTATTGTCCGCATTAAATTTTAGAACCGTTAATGCGACAACACCCAGTGACGAGACCATTACAATGATAAACAGTTGCCCTACCTGTCCCGCATTTAATGGTTCCACTGCGTCGTTTTATCCAGCGGGAGAACCGGTACCATTGACCCGCGATCCCATATCCTGGACGTCGTCCAATGGCGACGACGAAGAAGACATAACTTTCATTCAAAGAGTCGTACGATTTCAATACACTTCGAACACCAACATGACCGACGAAGCTTTAGACGAAGTGGTTTTCCAGCTGGATTATGTTGCAGCTATCCGTAAGTTTTCATGCGGTGACCTTTATCTCAAACGTTTCCGTACGCTGTTGTATTACAAAATTCTTAAGAGCTCGGAGCTGCACCCTTTATTTGACAAAATATGATTCTTTTAGGATCTTGGATGAGTACTGACGATGTAATGATGCTTTACGCCATCTACGAATCGCGAGATGCGGCTTACGGTTACTGCGACACGACAAAGCAGTTCCTTCATTATAAATATTGCACTGCCATTCCACTGCGTCCACCTAGTGACACGACAGTCACGTGTCCGTCTACGCCTCTTTCAATGAATATGTCGTCCCCGACGCTAAATGCCACCAATAAGCGATGCTTAAGAGCAGGCGAAGCATTGTTGCAAATGGGGATTAACCCCAGCAGGCAGCCTCCTGCGACGACGCCACGGATAACCACCCCAAAGTCACTGCCACCCGTAACCATTTATAATGGCGGGAACGGCGTGACCCCTGACACCTACTGGAACACAACGAGAATTTTGGCGGTAGTGATGGCCGTCATTGGGATAATTTGTGCGACCTGTACGCTGATTGGTCTGACTATACGGTGCGTGGAGAAGCGCAATGCACGGAAGGCGGTCCTGCGCAATGCGGCCATTGCCGAGCAAGAAGAGATCAACGGTACTCCGTATATTCCCGCTCAACCGCGATTGTTCGGAGCCATGCCATCGTCGGACAGTGTGCCGATGACGGCAGACACCAGCTATCAAAACTCGCCGTGTTTAGATGGACGGAAGAACTCCGATCAGTATTCACGATTTACGTAGTGAAAATGGATTGAATGTTTTGTTTGAGCTAACGTACCTGCAAATGATTTACAAGTTGGATTAATCATTATTGCTTCGTTTGGATGGATATCGAATTTTAATCTAATACGTGATAGTATAATAGATATTAATACAATTTTTAAAAAAATTCATTGAAAATTATAGTGGGTGGCTAACTTTTTATGTATAGAGTGAATCACGGGACAAACATGATTAAAGCCACGAGTCACCTATAACCTTGAAGCCACGAGTCACCTTGAACTGTACACAATGTTATCAAATATTTTAGATGATAAAATATTTGTCAGTTGTCGGAACAATACATAGCCGATATCCGTGAGAACTGTGAGATTATTTCAAAATGGATTAATTACTAAATCGTTCAACTGGCCCCGAATGATACTGCTCGTACGTACGTAAATTTCTTGATAAATTTTACAAATGGGTCATACCCCGGAACAAGCGACGTATGCTCCGAACATACCATATTCCGATTAATCGTACCGCATGTTTTCCTCATTATTTGTGTTACATCTACACCATCGATAACGGGACCTTTACCAACGGCCCCCGAGTGCGCCAACGGAATAATTGGGAATTGGGTTCACCATGCATACCGTCACCCAAATTTATTCCTTCTGCGTTATTCTTACTGCAACAACCCCTATATACGCTACAACCACTACCGCGCCAGCTGTGCTGTTACAGACATCTGTTCCTTTAAACGGAAGCACAAACGGGAACACTGAAAATGCAACCAATACAGGCAATACTTGGGAACTTGCATCCACAATGGCTATTGCCAACACGACGCCAAACGTATCAGTAGCCAGTACTGCTTCAACAGCAAGAGCGACATCAACACCAAACAGCATTTCACTGCCCTACGATGTTTTGAAAAGTACGATATTTGAGTCGGTATTTGGTTCTTTATTGCAAAAATCAATCATCAAGTGAGTTTTCTTGAAACTGATATAGGTAACTGAACAGCAAAATTACATTTTATTTAAATGAGCTGTCCGCGCTCTAAAAATTAATGTAATACTTCATATATAATAAGTATTAATGATTAAAAATTAAACGGTATGAACATTACCTGTCACAAATCCGATTGGTTTATTACGAACTGTCAAACCACAAACTTGAAGTTACACAACTTTTGGGACACTGCACGTTACTGATACTGATTTCCAATTTCTACGTTTTCCAGTTCTTCCAAACCCAGACTCAAACGTGACAACTTTACCATGTTGGCATAAATCGGCATCACGATCTGGACGTATTACTTTGAAAAGAAAGGATTTCTTGCGGAGTTCTTCCAATAGATTGTTATTTCGAGTTCCGTCCTGCCAGGGCGAAAGCTATTTCGCTGGCGCAACAGATGTTTCTGACTTCTCCGAAGACCTGTACATCGACATCAGGCGAGCATTGACATATACTATTACCATTAATTTTATAATCACAAAGTACTTCGTAATATTGATTTTACGAGTAGTTTCAACGTGCCGTATTCCATTTTTAGATTGGGTGAACTGGATCCGTTGTTGGTTGCTTATCGTCAGGAATACATAGACGTGCTGTACAAACGAAAAATAAATTTCTCCTATGATTCGGAATTTGATTTGCCTGTTAATTACATGATTCAATCATCTAATCGACACGATCACGTTGTGTTAACGGGTGGGAAAACGGGCATCTGGTCGACTGGACCGCAGTTTGAAGTTTCGCTTTACCGGTTTCCGTTGTACTTTTTCAATGCCTCCAATAACTTCACTCTACTGGATGTCTTTCATAACACATCGGTATCTGGAATGAATATCACAAAGAATACTACATTTGCAGACCTGAACGATCCATGTTTAATGGAAAAGGAGCTGATGACCATCGACTATACTGTCGTACTAAGTATGTGTAACGCTGTGACCTTTTGACTAGTTAGTGCACCTGCATTAAATATTTACGGCTAATATTCATTTTGTACAACCATTGCGAGTACATTCACCATATTAGGATACTCGTACGGAATGACCTGATCCCGGATTTACTATAACTATTTAATAGGGCCCCGTGGACCGAGAAATATCTTCAATGCTGCACAATACTTCCTACGAAATCGCGTAAATGACATGCATTACTGTGCCTCCTATAAGGGGTTTGTTCCGAAGCAAATGTGTTCCAACATAATGGGAAATTCTCTCAACATAACGGCCTGTCCGCGGGATATTTCCGTTTCCGCACCCAGCCTCCCGCCAAATATACAGTCCGAAACTGCTTCTTGTTTGGATCTCATAGACACAATTGCTCAGATAAGCCCTGTGGTAGTTTCACGAACGACATCGTCACCCTGGATTATGACAACCTGGAGATATAACAATAACGACGATTACTACGACTACCGTATGATCGGGGTCGGTGTGGCACTAGCGCTGACCTTTCTGAGTTTAAGCTGTGCCGTACTGAAATACTGCTGTAAGCATTATGCTGCACGTCGTCATATGGAAGCGGCGGTGAACCATGCCCATACTCGCGACTTCAGTCGGCGCAATTCCGATGAGGGACCACGCGTGTACGGTGTCGCCACCAGCGGGGTGCATACGACACGCGGATTGGATGCGCCGCCGTCGTACGAGGAAGTGATTCGTTCTGGGTTTTCGTCACCCATTACCAGCAGTAAAGGATCGTCGAATGATTTGTGCCAACACGAAGAAACTTCAGCGCAGCCTACTATACTAGTTGTGGGTGTCCCTTCTCGAACGGTTATGATTGATAATTGTGATGGGCATTCGTAAAGTACATATGTCGTTATTTCACTAAATGCAGGAATTCACGGCACTGTATACAATGTGGATACGTCAGATGAAGTATTTATGTATAATCGAGCTGTCAAAGTGACAAACAGTTATTAAATACAGATGTATTGGATTTCGTACATGCCAATGCATGTAGCAGTAGGAGAACTTCCAGGAAAGATAGCACATCGTTCACTTACCGGAAGTACCCTGACCCAGCAAAGCGGAAATTGTGGCAACTAGCTAAATTGTTATTGCGAATCATGTTTATGTTGTTCCCGATGCGATGATAAAATTTATTTGCCGTTAGGTTCCATGATTTTTTGATTGCCATGATTTTTTTGTTGATTGAGGGACGTTCGTAATCAAGAAAGACTGCAGGTGCATACTGTGCATTGCACAAGAGCCTGTTGGTTAATAAATATTGGGGCGATATAAATACTAGGCCTTTATCATTGCCATTTTTGGACAGTAAATTTGTATAAGCCGTTTTTATAATAACCTCAACCTACCGTATGAGTGTAGCGAAATTAATATGCCAGTCACCGCTTCAGTTGACCGAAACTTGACCGTGTCGAAACTTGTCGATTACGGAGAAGAGCCAGAAGATCCAACCTATATTTCATTTGGCCCGCACGAGACGGTTTTGTCCACTTTTGGTTTTACTTTAACACGGTCTTTGAGAAAGAATAATAATTCCTGCCAATGGACTGTCGGAATTTTTAAAACAACCCTTGCCGGCTGCATATTACTGGGGTCTTTCTTTTCATGCATTTTATGGGGTATACTGACTTTTGTTCGACTGTTTACTGATCGAGATGCAAACAGCGTTAAACTGAGCTTGCTCGCTGAGGCGCTTGTGGATATTCCTTATGAACTATACAATATTCGTGCGTTTCTCGTTCTCATCATATTTTTTTGCCGTCAGAAATCGCTGAAAATCATTTATCGGTTCTCGGTTCAGATCATCACTGATACTTTTACGCATACAAATGCGCAAGAAAAAGTTTTAAACAGTGTGAAGAGGATCGCCTCTTGCTTGACCATATTAACCTTTGCGTTAACATGTGTCTGGGAATGGCTTGACTGGACATCGTACTTTTTCCAAAACCCAGAAAAAGCGGATGCGAGCTATACTAAAGCATTATATCCGTTAGCGATCCCGTTTACAACTCTGCAAAATATTTTAACGTGGACATTTTTCACTTCTTTACCGTTCTGCTTGTCGCAGATGGTTTTTGTGACCCTCATCACATTTGCCATAATTTTGCGGTATTGCACTGAGGAACTCAACAAAAACATTTTGTTAACAGTAGAGCGATACCAAAGGAATGGAAAGCAGCTTCATGATACTGCCGCTTGTAAAACTTTGGCGAATTCCGTTAGTAATTTACGCCGATCATATTTGAATCTCACCAGATTTTGTGCAGAAGTAAACAGTGTTTACAACTGCATACTTTTTGTCATTTTTGTACTGGATACAGCAGCAGCCTGTGGATGTATTGCGGGTATTACGACCAGTACTGATAGGTTTTCGGTGGTTACCTTGCCGAATTTTGGAGGTGTAGCAATTTTTAGCTTTTATGCTTTGGGACTCACATTTCCAATGGTGCAGCTTTATGAAAGGGTACATAAACGTTACGTGTATATATTATTCCTGTCGTTAAAAGCAATGTATAAATAAGTTAACACGGAACTTCGTATAAAGGATTGTACCTCTAGCTAGTAAAACTGTGTCAGCGCAACTGCATGAGCGGTTCGAGCGCATATATGCGGCAAGCGACGATGATTTTACTGTACTTACCGTTTTTTCTTTTATATGTAATTTTTAGAGTTTGGAAACGTCTGTAGCTTTACACCAAATGGCGCATTCGATACAACCATTTATGCTTTTACAAGAGGTTGGTCATATCTATACACTGTGCAGCTCGTACGCTGAGATGCAATTAAATTTTACATGCGTTTACCTGTACGTCTGCATGTAGCGCATAGCTGAAAAAGTTAATTTAGTGCTGCAACTACTTTAAAATATTGAGGCAGTTGATGTTAGCAATACATAATAATTTCTCAGCCACGTTTTAATTCTAGCAACCTTTGCATTACCTTTGTAACGGGTTTATAAGCTACGTCCTGCAATGTTTCAGGGTTGTTACTTGAAAACAACAATGGATATCTTTTGCGCAGCAGCGCAAGTGCACAGCATGGTATTTACAGGAGCGGAAATATTTTCCATACGTCGGAATCTGTTAGCCGGGGTACAAAAATAATCGACACTTTTGTGGCAGAATGCTTTGTGATCTCATACAATAACGATGCAGACTACGTTATGTAATTCGTGCTTGATATGAGTATATGATCATGGTAGAATGCAAAATGTAATGTTATGGCCTGCGGCTGGATTTTTTTGCAGACTTGCACGTTCATCGTGTCAGCCGCTATTGTAGCGCACGAAGTTCTAATCCCCCAGCTGGAAGCACAGTGTGTACAATCGGCTGGGATGAATGCATCTGCCGACGCTGCTAATGGATCTGTTTCCAAAATGCTGCTCATTACGTAGCATATTATTTGACTGCTCAACATCGCTTGTTTGAATCGCAACTGTGTTTTGCGCGACATTAGGATATTATTATTATTATTACTGCAGCCAAAGGTTGTGCCTGTACGGTACTAATGGTACCTACCTACAGCACAGTTTTCCGGATGATTTTAAAGTGTATAAATCAGCGGCAGGCTGCATAATATGACTGCTGAATACAAAAACATGTCGTTAAAGACCAGCGGGAATAAAATGTTTTGCAGTGTAGTTATATTGCCGAAGCGAAATCATCATCTTTCTGCATTACATAAATATGCATGTACGCAAGGTTTAGAGAATAAAACAGCTTCGGATAAGCAGCCATTAATACGAACATCTACAACTGAAAATTTTGTCAATATCCATTGTACCTTTACAATAACTGTAGATAAATGCACTGCGCTCACGCAAAATAAAACAACTAGCAACAGATGCTCGAACATACACATATATTTGGTGCTGCTGCCAAATAAACATGCAATCAACAATAAAGTATCATATACCGCAACGAGCATGCTCTTAATAAAATTGATTAAATGTTCTTAATAAAATTTATTAAATGAACAACGACCACATCAAACTAACAATAATATTGCTTGTACATTTTCTAGGGCTGCTTATTTACCGTATTGCTTAAATACTAATGCTTTTTTCTGTTGTTTCATGCTTGTTATAGCATGCAAAATGTAAATTCAAAAAAATTTGGAGCGATATTAACACAGCTTAATTCAGATAAGGTATATGATGAGTGCGATATAAATATTTTAATTAAAGCATAAATCGCATGTAAATATATACAAACACTTCGCCATAAACTTTCTAACGACAACTTATGCACACAATATTGCGTAATTATGATGCGCGGTTCAACTGCAAAGCAGGGGGAAATATGTATGTGATGTATGTCCTAGTCTTGCACAAGTTTTGATCGACTTTCCGCTTTGATACACACTGGAATCGCCCACTAGCACTTCCCTTCCACTCTGTCCCGGGACGTACTTAGGCGCTGACTGCCAGCTTAACCGTCCTATATTCCACTCGACGGCCAGATGCGGGATATCGAGCCGGCGCATGGTGTTGTCGACCAACTGATTCCGGATCGCTGCAAAACTGGAAGAATGCCATGTATGAATGTAAAGGCGGATCCTGGCCCTGGCACATAGTGTTATAAATACATTTTATATCAGTTAGCTTTAGCGCATAATGTAACGGCTAAGTTACTGACAGCCGGCATGCGACGCAGCAGCAACAATGTATACACTTCAGTCTAAATGTATGTACAATTGCGCTCCATGGACTGGATATGCATATGACAGTATGCATGGTGGATGTGCGAATGTGTTGTATGTACAATATATGTATGCCGCTGCTGCAACTCTTCGATCTCCTTTCAATTCAATCCGGTCGTCTCGCATGGCGGCTTTGTCAGTGTGCTCAAGCTACATTTTAAATTGACTCATTTTTCATTCGTCTTCATCTAATTAGGCAGGATCCTTGTGTATATGCGCCGGTCTGTGTAGGGTGATGTTGCATCGTACTCACACAGTACATCGTCGAGATTCCAATTGCACACTATTTTGCCATACCCAGCCCAAATAATCAAATAGCCCCACATATACAGTCTATACACAGACACGCATTCAGGAAATGCCAGTCAAGCGATCGGAGATTTTTTGATCCTACGCCTTAAATACAACCGTTTTATCGAACTACTGCATATCGCTCAATCCGCCCGGGCGCCGTCTTTTGTACTGGTTCCGGGGAAGAAATCGCGGGATTTAAATACAGCATTATTCCCGAATTATTTAACGCGCGTCGGTACGTCAAGTCATCCGTATATACTGCCGCCGCAATCGCGGGTCGAGAGTTTTCGGGAAAGTCAGAATTGATGAGATATGTTGTGTATCTGCGGTTGAGACATTTTTAATGTTTACGGCAAGAGATTGACATTCGCCAACATGACATTCAACACCGTGCAGCGTCGGCATTACATCACTGCTCCACTTGGCATGCTCAACATTATATTGTGCATAATTGTATTTGATTAAGGCAACGCGGCGTTGTCCATCACGTTTTCGTGTACCGGCTACATCCAGCATTTTCCCGTAATTATATATAATTATCTCACAGGAAGGTGAGGGTTGTTGTGCTGGGAAAATTATCATTCCAGAGTCAACATTTGTGCATCTATACCCATGCAACCCAGTCGATGGTTCAAGAAAAGTTCGGAGGTGAGTGTTGACGCGGAGCTGGGAGCACTTTTTGCGCGTGTGACGTTCGATCTGCATGTTGGATACACACATCCTGAAAACACATCCACACCGGTACCATGATGTGAAAATGTGCTGGCGTTTGAAAATTTGTGTGCTGTTTGGCACAGCTATAAAAAAATGCTGGCATAAAATGCTATGATCTATTAAGAAAGTGCCGGGGTTTTGATTGCGGGTTCTATTCTTATTACAAAATGCCGGCGAATGCAGACTAAAACTATTGGATTAAAACTTTTGCATTGCTAGTATCGAAATTCGACTTGAGAACTGAGAGCGCATTTTTTGGGTATCTCGGAATTATCATTAATTTTTACCATTTAAATATTGAGGTATATAAAGCATCTCTCTGTTACTTACTAGCATACAAGTACGTTTTAAAATCCTTTTCATTTTGTCTGAATATACATACATATTTGTTACTGTATTATGTACACCAAACACTTCGACAGAATTTAATTGTATGCGGTCCATTTCAGTTTTAACCCTACTGTAGTTTGGTTTTACAGCGTAGTTCCATAGACAACTGTATACATATACACTACAGTAGTGTTGCAAATGCACAATTATTATCTGTACAATAATAGAAAAAGCACTGAAAACAGCTAATATCGATTCGTTTGCCCTGGATCACGCTTTTCTTTCTTTCACCTCGCAGTCCATCTCCTGTGCAGGATATCCAGAGCGGAATTTTTCATTACATTTCTTATAATCCTGGCGCTCAATTCCTGCCGTATCACTATGACGGTGCGACTGAATACCATCTAATTAGCTTTCTATGGTGATGAAAAACTCTACCGATCTTTAGTCGGCATACGTTACGTATACGTCATATCGGTAATTTCGACCCATGGATAACGAGATGCGTAATTGTCGAAACTATTGTGCACCGGTTTCACTATCCCGAATCGGCTTTTTTTTCATTTTCTTATGGATATGGATAACACGATACGTTGTTTTCTCGACGAAGCCTCGTTTACGACGCAATAATCGTAATGGTCTGTTCAAGTTTGGGAATTTTATGAGCAAGCATCGACTGCATATGTATACGGAATATATTGTTGTACAGCTATCTTGCTGCATAGACAGATTTACGAGAGTCTGACATTGATTTTATTGACGCAGTATAGACTGTCGAGCATTAAAATACTTGCGTTATATAATATGCCAGTTATCCCAATATGCATACAATAATAAGAAATATATTACGAACGCACATGCCCCGCGTAATGTGATGATAGATTTAAGAAATTTGGACTGCACGAGAAATTGAAATTTACTGTACACTTTATGTGCAGATGCAGCTGTTTGACCTTATAATGTACGTAGTGTCATCCTCTCCGACGACTTTAACTTAACATTTTTGCAATTTTCCCATTTGCTTTTTGTGCATCTTTGGTGTAATACAATAAACCCCATTTTTTCATTTAATTTATTCTCATGTTTTGCATAAATTTGTTTATATTGCGGATAATCAAGTGGGCTGGATGTTTGTGCTTCGCTTTGATATCGATCTCACGGTTAGGTTTAATTATAAATTTCAAACAGTTTATGATAACATTAATTCTGCTTTAATAATTACTGCTTAAACACTTATTTATTACTACTTAAACGCTTAAGAGTCACACAAATCCGTATTTCTGTGGTGGCTCGTGGCTTACTGCAGTTGTGTGTGAATTTGTGATAAATTCATGCCCAAAAGAAAGATGTTTTCAGGTTTTGGATTAGGCTCAATTTCACGGAACTATTTACAATACACAATAATTATTATGTTAAACGAGTAGCTCTCGAACGACTCACTGTGAATGTTTGTAATGTATTTAATTGTACAGAATGACTGACAGATGTATAATCACGGTACTATCATGACATAATGGTACTGCAACGCGCGATACGTACGAAGACAATAAAGATTATAATGCTTACGGATAAGCCGGTAAAGTAGACAATGGTCTCATGAAAATTGTACAGAATCTGATAAACACAATTTTTTTACAGAATCTTATAGTTACTTCTTGTATACACTGATAAAGAACAGCACCTACATGATGCATTGGGCTAGATTATTTAATTTGCAAAGTGTAATGTCAAAACAATCATTGAAAAAATTAAGAAGATAGTTAACATAGTTTTAACGGATCAAAACGTTCTTTTCATTTTACCATTTTTTCCACTCCTTCAATTGGTGCACATCGGCAAATCCACAATTCAAATCCTATTGTGCAGTAAGTGAATCACATGCATTCATACTGTACTTTTCGGATCTGCGTATGCGAGCGAAAGACCTTCGTGTAATGCGCGACGCAAACGAAAGCCCTGTAATGAAGCCCTGTTTAAAATAATCCGATCTGGAATGTTCCACATCCAATCCAATTATGAAACTTTACGCGATTTTAATGATTCTAATCTTGTTCGTGTGACAGATGGGGTGGTAGAATTCAGCAGCGGATTCGACAACTGCCTATTAAACCGGAAAAACCTTTTCCTGCGCGAGATTACACTTGCCAACAAAGCGGTCCCTATCAAAAAGCACAGGAATAAAATTGTTTTCTATGCAGCTCTAACGCTCCAACCTTAATAAATCATATCTTTATTTTATAGCGCTGTCTAGCGATAATGAAGGGAAACGCTGCCGCAGTTTTAGGCACTTTGCCGGGCAGAAATAAATTTGTGGAAGGGAATGATTTTGGTTGTTTTTGGAACTTGTAACCGTAGTGTGTAATCATCGTTGCTGAACACGAAGGAAACCAATAAATAAATTACTTATTATTTATTTTATACATATTATCTCCCTAAGTCAAGAGAAAAATAATTTTTAACTGTGTCACGAATGAAAACATTTAGGGCAAATTCAGCGTCGACGAAAAAACTTTAATATCGTCCTGCAAAATGAAGATGAACTATTATGTTATACTTCGACACTTGTGGAAATACACAGAACTGCAGATTTAGACAAACAGCGACAAAACTCGGATGTGTGCAATCCTTTTATCAAACGATAGTTCTATAAGTTCTATTGAACCAAGAGAGCAGCCCGGCTTTCCAGATCGCAAATGGCAAACAGTAAACAATAAAATGATTATAGAAATTACTATTTAACTTTTAATCGTTATTATTATTTCACTTAGTTTTTTTGAAACTGACACTGCTCGTTTGAAAGTATCAATAGAAATCTCCAGTCAGTTATAAAACGCAAATGGTAATTTTTAATGTATAGATATACAGTCTGTAAAGTGCAGCATTGGTATTGAAATTCAGTGTGGCAGTGCTACTGCTGCGTGTATGTTAGCGACAGTCAAATACCACCGAGAACTTGAAGGATTGTTGTGTTTTATGAATTTGTAATTTGAGAGAAATTGTTTTTTGAAATTGTTTATGAGATTGTCTTAATTTTATATAAATTAGAAATAATTCTCCGGTGCTGCATTGCTCGAGTACTACGGTTTTATTGTGCTAGCATTGCAAATTTCGGAATACAGATTCGTACTTTGACGGTGCGAGCTGGTACAGTAGTCTACTAGTCTACACTCTACAGTGTTGCATCCGCTATGTCCGTGTCCGATATTTGTATACAAAGTGATTCACCACCACGAAACCAGTCCACCGACTGCAGTCGACATCCATGAGACGCGAAAAAGTGTTCATAGCAGTTGCTAAATGCACAGTTGAACATCTTCTGTAATAGCTATCTATTTCTTTATCGATTTATGTCGCTCACAAAGAATCTTCCTGTCAGTATAAATTGAAAAATATCTAGCGATTTGGCGCTGCATGTTCTTTCACGGAATGTTTGTGGCAAAGTGGACTAGATCAGGATCCGTCTAATGGTCGTCAACAGACCGTTCCCTGTACGCGACTTTAGCATGCTCCATGCAGGCAGCAACATGCTAATGCAGTGCAGTTTATCAGTTTATGCTGCTCCTTTATGCTGTTATTCACCCCTAGATGATGGAATGGGGATGTATTTTTTCCTAGAACGACATTTTCTGTCGTTTCACTAGGAGAAAATAAAGATTTTCTTTTCTCTGTAGGACAAAAGCCAAGTGCCGTCGGGCGCCTCACCGCTGAGCACGCGTGATCCCAACACAGCGGAGAACCAACGCTCTCCGACGACCAACACGCTGCAGATGGCTCCCGCGCTGTCCAACAGCAGCAACAATACCAACACCAACAATGCATCCGGTACAATCAATATTCCCGTGACGCATACGTCCACGGCGGGTCTGTCCAAGTCGCCCAATAATGGCCCACCGCCGCCACTGCAGCCCAAACCCAACAGCAAAGGGACTGCTGCTGCTGCCACAGGGCCGCACAACAATGAGAAGGAGAATGGGTTTAAAGTGATAATTAACCACACGAACGTAACGAATCCCTCCGAGCGACATTTGGAGATGCTGCCCAAGTTGAAGGGTAAGTCGGCGTAATTTTGTTCGGCCACTGCAACCTTGGCATTTAATCGGAAAACAGTTCAAAACGGAAAAGCTGTTCGAGTGTTAGTTTTTGTGTCTGTTGAAAAAATGTGAAACTTTTCTGTGTTTCTCACTATATACATTTCGCACTTAGCTTTAGTTTTTTATCATGGAAAGATGAAAAAAAAAATTAAAAATTAGTTGAAAAAATAAAAAAGCGTTATTATAGTTACTATGGAAAATTATTATCGAAAAATAAGTGATGAAATTTTTTATTAAGTAAACAGTAAACGCCTTTGCTTTTCGCAATTTCTGTTGCAAGTATTTTGACCGCTGCAAGTCTGCCATATCTGACATTCATAGTTTCTCGGCACTGCAATTTTCAAAATGTATTTCCGGTTGTTTATTTCGTAAGTGTTATTGTTGGATACGGGTTTTTCCTAACCTTGATATTGTTTTGCGCGTGCCGTATTGGCGTGGATATGCGAGCGATTCTGACAACTTGCGAATTTTCTGCTAATGCAAAATGACTTCCGGTCCGCATGTTTTGACTCACGAATGATTGGCGTACATTTCCCATTACGCAACCACGGCGTTCCGGTAGTGCTTTCATTTATTTTTAAATAGTATGTAAGGGGTGGGGAGAAATTATTTTTGTCGTGAAAGTATGTTTGGAAACAGTTGTCGTTGTGGGATCCGATCCGTGGTAATCCGATCGTGTGATCGCGGTTTTTTCGGCTTTTTGGAACAGCGCAACGTCGATACAGGAGCGATGCAGCCGGCGAATAGCGTGATTTCTTTGAGAAAAACGACGTTTCCTTATCTTCCTGAATGGTTCACTGACTCCGTAAAGGTTATTTCGTGCGGTAGCTATCAGTGTATTTTTCTAGGTCGACGCTTGATGTGCTTGATTGCGGTGTGCACGTCAGCAGTATTAAGTGGACGTCTGAGCCGGTGAAGTTTTTTTTTGCTGACGTTTGTTTTGGCTGTAGGACAGTAGTCGGATGGTGTAATAGCTGTAATGCGAGACGAGCTTGTAAAAATGTCGAAAATTGTCGTTTTTATTGTTTTGACGCCGCTTTTGTTTGAAATGGTTGCGTAATCCAATACGCTGTCTGTTTTTTCTGTCGCTCTGGCTTGTTACTAAAAATAGAACACTAATCTAAAATGCCGCTATAATCGCGAGTTTTTTCGAATAATAGGCTAATTGCTTCCATTAGGTTAATGTTAATCTAGGATAAGTGGTTTCGTGACGGCTGTTTTCCAGATCGGTTTATCCTCTCAAGAAAAACTTTTAAAGAATTTTTCATGGTTCTGATCTAGAATTCAGACTGGTGTACAACATTTCATTGTAGGAAAGGTGTTCTAAATCGCCCACTGCTCGGCATTTCATGGGTTGCTTTGCTCGTTTTTATTTGCTGCTGGTGTGCCTTTCTATTTGATTTACCATACGAACTATTTGAACATGAAACGCTTACGTTGCGGAGGATATAAATCATTCCAGGCATTCTCAAATATAGTGTCGTGATAGACTAAGCGACCTTGATTGGTTTGCAACTTTTCTATATTTTGTCCCTTTTGGCGGTGGGCTTTATGTTCGGGAGTTAATGGCTGATCTTTTGCATTTGATCGCGATTGTTTGTCCTTGCTGGCAGGCGAGACAGTAAGCAGATAAAACTCCGCATACTGGGCTTAATCCCGGAAACCTCAGAAGGCCGGGGAATAGACTGTGCCATTGAATAAATGTATTAAATTGTGGGCCTTTGGATGACAAACGTTGTTTATCTCAAAGTTACCAAACGAAATGGATCGATGAGCATCCAATATAAAACGGTCAGAGTACAAAGAAATACCGCAGTGGGACGCTTTTCGCCGTGGCGGAATGAGTTTTGTCAGCAGCCGGTACTGAATCAATTAGTGGAATTAAGGCTGAGTTGTGTGCTGAGGTAAAGGTTACATCGCCCATGGTCCCATTCAGGAATGGGCCTGATGGGATACTTGTTCGGCATGGAGGAAATTGCACAAATGTTCTACTTTACATAGATGGTAGGATGGCGCGCTGTGTAATCTGAATATCGTCACGAACCTGACATTCTGCACAATAAGTATGTAGAGAAACGCTTTCAAGTGGGCACGTGTTGGCGTTAACAACCTTGAACGGTGAGAAAATACCTGATACAATAATGTAGCTCACACCTTTATATGGTACTACATAATTCGAAAATATTTTTGTGTGACGCCAGATTAATGGCAGCGATGATTAATGGAAGAATAATTTGGTTTTGTATGCAGTCGTTTTTTCCCAGTACTGTCCCGGTTACGCTTAAGGGCATTGTTATTGATACGAATATTTAGTGGTGAATCTGGTTAATGATTTATTTGATATGCTGGTTCTTCTGGAGTTCTTTCTTGTGATCCAGATTTGAAAAAAATCTTCGTAAACAAAATGCACAGAGACGGTTAAATCTCTATTATTATTATTATTATCTTCCTGGAGCAGACAACCCATTCATGGGACTAACAATGACATCGCAGGTGTTAAAATGACATTGCTTTGTCTGGTCAGACGGTCGCTATCTGGTCGCTATATATTTCAATAAAATTTAATCATCTTCGTGCACGTGGAAAAAATCAAATTAATAATATATGAATTGTTATAATTTAGAACAACAATTAATATCCTAATAATTTACCTGCAAGAAAGTAAGGCTACAATGAAATTTTACGGTGAGAAGACGAAATGTATGGTTTTGTTTATTATTAATTTGTGTATGACTCGGAATCGACGGGAGTTAGGATTTAACAAAATGGTAAGCAAAATCATGGAATCGAAGTAGCTGCTAAGTGCTAACCAGCAGGTCGATCTTATGGATTGCCGGAACAGTCGTAATGAAATATAGTGGGAGTATTACCTAAATATACATGATGTTGCTGTGCCTGAGGGAAAATGTTGACAGTGAAGCGACAGGAGCGGGAAGTGGGAGAAATAGGAAATCTGCATGGGATGACAGAAAGGAATTGAGATTAGGGCTTGATTTATTTGTCTAGGGAAAAGAGGTAGGGCCGTGATGCTATCCGGTTGGGACTCAATGGACTGACGGGTACTGCATCCCTATGTTGTTAGTTGGGCTGTTTCCGCTTGACTGCGAGCATTTAGGCAACGTAAAGAAATCACTACGCATGCCTCATTGACTGCTGCTGATCTTTTCGTTTCCAGAATTGTGTTAGAAAACATTTTGCAACCATATTATTTTATACCATATTTACAGTGAGAGCGAAATGAACAGGTGAACTTTTAGAATACTTGGGAAAAGGAGCATTTATGCCAGACAGCATTAATAATAGCTACCCTATTATTGTAGTAATTTTAAGACAAAACATTACGTTAACGTTAATTCGATCATTTTGCAGCCTGTGTGCAGCGGCTCACTGAGAATGTGAAGTTCGGGTTGTGGAAATGTCTGGCTGCCGTGCAGTAGTGAAATTACTAAACATTCCCAGTTTACAAATAAATGTTTTTATGAAATTTCAAAACTCAGATCGCGAATGTTGGTTTCGCTACGGCACCGTGTAGACCGTTAAACTTTTCCATCGCTGTTGGAGTATTCGATGCCACGCCCGAATGGCCTCACTTGACCCCTTTTAGTTTTTTTCCATTTTGACCATGATGAATTTCCGATTTGATGAAATATAAATGGTAGTGACAGGCTGCGTGTAGGTCCAGTGCGAAAGCTGGTGGCGCATGATGTTTTATTGCACAAATTGCATGTATTCTGTGGTAGAGTACTCCGATCCTCCGTTTACGAAACAGTCGAATAACGTATTCGGTTTTGTCTGCTCCGGAAAATTACTTCCAATGTTCCAGTTTTTTCTGGTGAAATTTGCATGTAAAAAGTGCAAGAATGCGTTAAGGGCAACTTGAGGCATTGCGTTTCCAGTTAATAAGTAAAGTTGGAATTTCGATTGAATATTTTTATTAACGGTTTATACTGCACTGCTTACTGTTTAGTATTAGTGTCATAACGGTATTAAGTGCTTAAAGCAGTGAGTTTAAGGTATCTGTTTTCTTGAAATAGCGATTGTTCTCGTTTCATTTCTGAAGCAGGCTTGAAAGTAAGTACTGTTATCAGACTTATCACTGTTGTACAATACACGGAATTTGAATGTTTTACAGAAATGTTCCCGGCTCAACCGATATTGCTTTTTTCGTTCTGGAATAAGACACAGTAGTAAATCGCAGTACGAGCACTATGGACCATCTATCTATGTATACTTATACGAGTATTGCATGTATTGTATTAACAATAAGCTGCTCTATGTGGTTGCGAACTAACGATTCTGCATGGTGGCCGGCTAATACTCACTTCCGCTTACGGTTCATGGAGCATATCGATTTTTCGCGAACGCATTGGTTCGTTAGTTCCGTGTACCAACTGCCATTTGAGGCGCTTTGATTACAGTTTCTCTTGTGTGAGAGAGTTCTGTCGCACGAAATAGGGAAATGGTTTATAAAGTAGCAAAAGATTCAGTCCCAGATTGTAAAAGACCAGTGAGGTGCGCGCACAGTACAATTATGCTGAGACATTATTAACCGGATGGCAGAGTGCGTGTTGGTTCCACACTTCCACTACGTACCTAGTACCTACTCGTAGCACCTATCGTAGACTCTTCTGAAGAAACCGGCTAAATTGTATTGCGTCTAACTTCGCCTTTATGTAGTGCCCTTACTTCTAGAGGATTTTGTAGTAATTCGAAGTTATAACTAATTTTAAATTGTTCTCAGGTGATCTGTGACATACAGATAGAGTGTCCGGATAAAGTGCTACAAAAAACGATAATGAACATATCGCATATGACTGATTCAAAAAAGATTGATTTTCGTGTTTCCCGAGAAATCTGCCGTCGAAATGAACTTATTATTTTGCAGGTGTGCTGTGTATTCGATTTCGGGTACTAGTTATACACTAAGCAAATCAATTACTTGTAGTTGTCGCTGCCCTTGCATCTTACAATCAGCAACGGTGATTTTACTGGTTCTGAAATTTAAATCGACGTTTCTGCTTCTTTTTATGAAAGTTACAATGGTGTAACGAGGCAGACTTATTGTTCAGGAAATTTAATTAGCATGGAGATCTTTTGTATGACTCTTAGAAAATAACCGCATTTCCGGAAGAGGCCAAGAAGAGTGCTTATAGAACAAGGTTTTATAATTTTTTAAGCATATTTTTATTCGCAGCGGTTCGATATTGACTTTGGTTGGTTAAGTGTTAGGATGATTTCCGGTTGTACATTATCTCGTAGGAATTTACTCTATGGCGGAGTCCAGTACATTTGCGTGTACATACGGAAGTTGTTTACCTTGGGTAAATTGGTGTTTGAGTAGTACTTGTGCGATATATTCATCGACGTTTTTTCCTTGGCTTGATTTTGTGGTTACTGCACCATCTTTTATTTGCTTTCGAACGCTAAGAAGCTTATCACGTAACATCTTCCATAGTTGAGCATAGGATCACTGTGAGATGCCTCTACGGCATCGTTATGATAAACTGATGCTGACAGTTGGTTAGGTTCTTCTACTCGGAATTTTGAAATATTCTGGGATCGGGGTGTTCATTTCTGCTTATTTCCTTGGAATTTCTTTCCCTTTTTCTGATTTACAACATTTCCATAGAAGTAGCTTATAAAAATAACGTTATAGGAATCAATATTTTTTACGTTAGATTAACGAATGTTGTAGAAATGACTTCAGATGTTAGCGTGGAGCAGCCCTAAATGCGAATACGTAGAGGTGCGTCAGGACTGCATTCCCAGACCGCCCAGCATTTCTGTCCCACATGGCATTCAAGATGTATATCCTAGAAATTAACACTAAAATTCTAGTTTGTCGAAATAGTTAATTGGTATCATTTTCGTGGATGTAGTAACTACCGATAAGTACTTAAGCCTCATTCACCCTCGCAAAACAAGGAATGCTGACGTGAGCCACTTAGTCTTCGGATGCTAACGTATTTGCAATACCTGGGATAGTTGTGCATTGTGTGAGTGTCGAAATAGCCTTCATGTAATTGGTACTCTGTGTACAGCACGAATTTGAGAAGGCGAATGGCATTTATCTTTGGGACTAGGGTTAGGATAAAGGTTAATAAATGAGTGGCATGCTGGGCTTGTTAAATTACATCCGATCATCATGGTGAAAGAAGGAAATGGGTAAAAACGCCTGCATGTCCGTTTGACGCAATCTGGCTGCGCCGGCATTCCCTTGTAATGGCAGGGATTTAATTTGTTTTTATTATCCCACGAATCCTTTTTTACTGACAATTGACTTACAGGGGGGTATTATTATTTTGGCCCAGTGTGTGTTGCTTGCGATTAGAGGACAAGAAATGATATATTTTCTTCCCCGGTTAGTGTAATACCGGCTGGAGAATTTTTGCTCTATGTGCGAGTGTTTCTCGCTGGATGCTGTATTTATGTGGATAGATTCAGTGATTTACGGGGCTGTTAAAGTCACACGGATGTGTGTTCTCGCTCTTGCGCACTTGCCTCTTGTGGGCCTACCGATCGAGGGTCTTACACTGGCGTTGCCGAACGGATTAGCTGGGTATCGTGCTGCGTGTGCCAGTAGCCCACGTATCCGCCCTGGCGTTTTTATCATTTACTCTTTGTACTTGTACTTTGCCTTGGATTGATAATGCATTATCTGTGTGCAGTGTGGTGTTGCAAATTGTAGTCGATTTTGTAGTTATTTCACTTCTGTTTTACTCATAAATTCCAAAAAATGGCGTGGCTTCTGCTATCCCGTTGCTTTTTTGCTTAGGCCTTGGAAGCTATTTCGGTTTACGTTTACATAAATTTATGGGTGTGCAGTTTTGGTGGGGACTGGGGAGGATTACTTACAGTACTTTGTTTCCTTTGCTGCTTGCGAGGATTGCGCTGCCGATTTATTGATCAATGTTTTTCTTATTTTCATGAGCATCCGCCAGATTTCTGGTTCGGCAGGCGAACGATTTGTTTTTTTCTTAATAAAAATTGTGCTCGACAGTCGGCACTGGACTGGCAACAACTGGTATCATCCAGTCACTGGACGTCAGGCTTACTCAATAAAAATCACATATTGTTTTGTATGGTGGTGCGGTGTGGGAGCCGTTCTGCCGGCTTCCGTTGTATAAACTTCGGGATCGTTTTTCATTGTGATCGTAATTATGGCTGCTGCCTCATTTTGATAACGTTTGCGGCAGGTTGTTCACTTGATTTGTTGGGAACAATTTGATTTTGCGTGGGTAACATAATCCCATTGGTATTCGTAATGGAATATGATACACCGGCCGAGATGCAGGGTGATGCAGTGATTGTATTATCGGGTGATAAGAGCGAGGATAGTGAGAATGATGGGACTGGACTGTGTTCCTCTCTTATAGACACGGCTGATCCACTGGAAAAGGAGCAGCTTTTCATTCAAAAACTCCGCCAGTGCTGCGTTATCTTCGATTTCACCGATCCACTCAGTGATATCCAGTACAAGGATATCAAAAGGAACGCCCTGCAAGAAATGATTGATTACACATCCACGAACCGCAACGTCCTCACGGAAGCCATCTATCCCGAAATGTTCAACATGGTAAGCCGTAAGCTAGATGTTATAGTAGCCGCAGTGCAAACTGTTAAAAGACGGTGCCTCTATATATCACGTAACTTGGAGAAATATGTGAGTGAGAATGCGCGAAATTTTTTATGGATGCATGAAGCAAAAAACCTGACACCTTACAGAAAAACCTGTACATGTAAAAAAAGTTAAAATTGAAGCAGTGAAATTATTTGTTTTACATTGAACGTTCAACATGTTTTCATATCTTCTTGATTCCGAATAATCCGGGAATGGTATCGAAAATGATAATCGGCATCTCGTATTTGAAAAATCTTGTACGGAGATTTTGGCTATTTATTTATGTTATACAAATCACATTTGGTTGAACGTTAAAGCGCAGTGTATCGTAAAAATTAGCTTAGCATAAGTAATTTATTAAATGGCTACTCGTAGCTTATCACACTGTATGAAACTTTCTCTTCAGTAGTTTCAAAAACGAAATTACGTTATAGCAGTTTTTTGTAGTGTTGTTATATTTGAATGTTGCTGATGATTTTGTTGCCTTCTCGTTTCCATGAGCTGGTGGATTTCGTTATAACATTCGCGTACATTTTTGCTGGTCATAAAAATTGTTGCTTACGCAATTGTGTGTTAGGAAAATCGCGGAAATGTGCATGTGGGCAGGAGCAAATGTGGATATAAATGACGATGTCAAGTCGAGCTAATGATTATTGATTCGTTGCGCCAGCAGCCACTGACAGGAAGAGGCATTGGCGTTCGAGATTGAACCATTAATATGTTCCAAATAAAAAAGTAGAAATCCTTAGGAAAAGTGGTATATATTGGTTTTAGCCATCAGAGAAACAGAAAATAGCGATGCAGAATAAAAAGCAGGAACGCTGTTAATGGGGAAATGGCTTTTTTCTTGTAGATAAGTGTTAATCTGTTCCGGACTTTACCGCCATCTGCCAATCCCATCGGTGCTGAATTCGACCCGGAAGAAGACGAGCCGACACTGGAAGCGTCGTGGCCGCATCTGCAGCTAGTCTATCAAGTGTTCCTCCGCTTTCTGGAATCTCAGGACTTTCAGGCCAATCTGGCCAAGAAGTACTTGGACCATGCCTTCATCATCAGTCTCCTCGATCTCTTTGACAGTGAAGATCCACGGGAGCGCGATCTCCTCAAGACCATTCTCCATCGTATCTACGGCAAATTTCTCATGCTCCGTGCTTTCATACGCAAACAGATTAATAATGCATTTTATCGGTGAGTCGCAATTAACGCCCGTTTTTCACGTTCAGTAAAATAGAGGAATACGTTTTTAATGACATGCAATAATAGGAGGATGTGTGCCCTAGTGGGTTGGGTTCGAATGGGTCTCTGGAGAAAATTTAATCGTTATGGAATGTTCCTGATAATTTTGTTTTTACAACTTGTCATTTTTCAACCTGATGACTTGCGTGAAGTTTTCTCTCGAATTATTATTAACGGGATAGATTTGATTAGATGTAGCATAAAGGCCGTTTACTGTTTTCGCAGGTAATTTATGTACTCTGTTTAATATTCTAAATTTGGGAGTTAGATCAGTAATGAGGCAACATATCAGGTTTGGGTCACTAAGATAATGAAATGTCTGCAGCGTATGTATATTCATAGTTATTAACAATTAGTATCTGAGATGTCCGTAGCGTTAGGAAACTGCAACAGCTAAATTTATGATACGATTTGCTCTAAAATAAGAGCGTGAGACTAAAGTGTGTTAAGTGTGGGGATGGTAAATATACGGTGATGGCTAATTTTAGTGTTGGTTTTATTTGCAGATTTATCTATGAAACGGGTCGGTATAATGGTGTTGGCGAGTTATTGGAGATACTTGGCAGCATTATTAATGGCTTTGCGTTACCGCTCAAAGAAGAACATAAGATTTTTCTGGTTAAAGTCCTCTTGCCTCTTCATAAAGTCCAGTCACTGGGAGTCTTTCATCCTTGTCTCGCCTACTGTGTAGTGCAGTTCCTGGAAAAAGATGCCAGTTTAACGCAACAGGTACACTGCTTACTTAATTTCCCTAGATTAATGTTCAAGTTGTGTTGCCTAGTTTTCAAGTTGCTGTAACGAAATAGACGTATATCTTTACAGTTATGCAGTTTGCAAACTTCTGATTCGCTGTTTGCCTAGTATTATATAATTTTAAATCGTTAGTGCTGTTTGGAAAATGTCTTCTACCCGTATTGAAAAGAAAACGTTCCTAAAAATCTGTACCTGCTCGAATTAACGTGCCTACGTGCTCGTATTAACAATATTAACTTTGAACTACAATTGTAGCTAGCTAACTAGCTAACTCTTGAGGTATAACCTTTGACGCATTGGTTGTTCAACAAAATCAAAGACGTTGTGATTGAAGTTTTGTTTCATTGCAGGTGGTTAGGGGATTATTAAAGTTTTGGCCGCGCACGGATAGTCCCAAGGAGGTTATGTTTCTCAATGAGATGGAGGAGATTTTAGATGTGATAGAACCGAGTGAGTTCCAAAAGATCATGATTCCTTTATTCCAACAGCTGGCGCGGTGCATTGGCAGCTCCCATTTTCAGGTAAAGGTGGCATTAATTATGAGATTGACGGTGCATGTGACGCTTTAATCATCGCTTATGGATTTTCCAGATAATAATGTAATTACTTTGGTGTAGGTGGCCGAACGGGCGTTGTATTACTGGAATAATGATTATATTTTAAATCTTATGCGGGATAATGCTCAGGTCTTGTTGCCGCTAGTGTTCCCTGCACTGTACCGAAACAGCAAAACGCACTGGAATAAGTGAGTATTGAGTTATTGAGTATTTATGAAAATTTTGGAAATTATTCTTTTACTTATTTTACATTCCGGCTCGTACAAAACCCTGTAATTGATGTACAATAACCCGTAATTGTAATAGAAAATACAAAACCCGTAATTTCGGTTATTGTGTATGTACAATAAAACCAAGTTTTCGATGTGTGTGATGTGATCTCCACTAAAATAAATATATTCATGGTTTATTAACATTAAATGGTTGTTTTCCAGAACGATTCACGGTTTGATATACAACGCCCTGAAATTATTCATGGAGATGAATCAAAAGCTGTTCGATGATTGTTTCAAGCAATACAAAATTGCAAAAGCTATGTAAGAGAAAACCATTAATTTATGTTGTTTTTGGAAGACGCCATTAAATCTGTAAAAATTTAATTTTCGAACATTAGGGAAAGAGAACGAATGCGTGAGCGAAAAGTCGCATGGACGAAAATTCATCGAAAAGCATCTTGCAATCCCGCTGTAAGTGACGTTTCTGGCAATCCCGTTGTAACTTCCTGCAGCATAGTCACAATAAAATTACAGTTCTTGTTAGCAACAAGTTACAAAAACAACCAGCATATTTGTAGTTTTCCTTTTAAAACTGTGAAAGTTCCAATTTCTAACGCTATTTGTGCCGAAAGAAAGTTTTATGATAAAGAAAATTTATTATTCATGGGTATTCTAATGTGCGTTTGCTGTGCGAGCGATGTCATGCTTTCAGCACGCTTGTTTGTTAAGCATGTTTACAAGGCTGACTTGTGAGCACTCTGGTGAACGGCAGTTTGTCGGTTTATATTTGTCAGAAGGCGTTTTAGACGATGATTGTGCATGGTACGAGTATTTATAGTTTGCACAACTGGCTAAAGATTTCAATCTGGATTTGGACTTCTTGGATGAAGCGTATTTCGGAAGTGATACTGACGCTACCGGTGTGGAAGATGAACGTTTTGAAATGTCGGAGCAGCCCAAGAAGGAGAATCCGGCTGTACTGTCCGTATCGGAAGCCATTAAACAGTCACTTCGAATCGAGGAGGTAACTACATCTCGTGTTAGATGACTTGATTGCGGCGGTGCACCGAAAATGCACTGAACGGGGCACTAAGAAGAAAGCACAATACCTCTTACCTCTTGAAATATTGAATATTTTGAACAATCTGGGAAAGCTGCATTTTTGGACTCCTAGTTTCTTATCATAAATTCTTAAACTGTAACAAATTAGTGCACATTCTATTCTTGCTAACAAAATTCTGGTTTCGGTTGGCCGAGTGGGTTTCGTTGCGTTACGTTGCTAGTGTTTTCTTAGTGAACCGATGTGGCTATTTTAGAAAAAAGACAACACTCGGCGCACTGATCGGCCACTTATCCGGCGGAAATCAGAGTTACCCCATGACGAAACAACCGCACGCATGATTGAAGATCATAAAAAGAATGAAATTATCCGTAAGTATTTTCCTCCTTTTCGGTAAATCTCGTTTTGGCTGTTTTGAATTGAGAATCTTGAGTAATCGTTTCCAAAAGATTCTAAAGGCTATACACTCGCTCGCAGTAAAATTCATTGCAGCTTTGACATACTGACCCGTACTGTCAGCATATTCCTTTAAGTAATTGCTTTCGGTTTTCAAGATTGTCAAAGCGCTGATTTCAACATTTCATGATGAGAGGTGTTTCTTTCCATACTTGAACATTGTTACCTCCTAAAAAAGCTCAGATAAGAAAGTTTGGCTCTACCGTATTTATCGCGAGTGTTTTCTGACCTTGTTGTGATTTGGCCGAAAGTAGCGTGTAAAATGTGGAATTAATGTAAAATTGTCGCTATGTAGACCGTAAGAATGTCCCCTCTGCTAATTGTAAGTCAACGGCTGTGCCAATTGGAATTTGTTGCGCCAATTTGGCTGTGAATGTTGAATGTGTTGTTTGTCATCCCTAGCTGCCCCCGCCATTGCTGCCCATGCCATACCGGCTGCCCCCGCTCCCATCCCCGTGGCTACCGATGCTCTAACCACCCTGAGCGCCCCCGAGCCGGTTGCTAACACCACCCGCGACCAACCCGCCCGCCCCACTTCCAAATCCACAGTCCCACCGGTGGCCGCTAGTGCTGGTAAAAAGAAACGCTAAGCTAACCACCCGATTCAGCGCAACACACATTTTTCACTGCTCTTTGTTGGCAATGGCATTGTACTCTCTCCCCATATTATAGCGGTTCATGTCATAATCTCCGATGCGTTATATTTCCGGGTCATGATAGCTGATGTTAGTAATAATGTGGTAAAGAATTGGCCGTATTAGGTGTATGGATGACTGTTTTAATTTAATTTCCACTGGCTGTCGCGAGAAAGTTCCAGTTTAGGATTAAATGAAAGTGCAGCGCTAGTGAGTAATCTGGGTGCGATGGAGAAAATATCAGATTTGAATAATTCAGGACGAAGCACATGACTTGGCCTTATTTAGAATTTTTTTAACATGAACCTGTTCTGTTTGGTTTGGTAAAGCAGAGTTTCATTTTTTGTGCAGCATATCCAGCGCTACTGTTTCACTGTTCGTTTTTATTTTGGTTTTGCTTCATTTCGGTTTTGTTTTATCATTTCAGATCGGAAATTCTGACAAAGCGGAGCCTGGTGTATTTTTTGTACATATTCGGTTGCGATGGTTTATGGGCTGCGCTGACTTGATACCGGAAAACTGAAAGGCTAATTTTACCCTGTTTTATTTACAGATTTTAGTTGTCCGCTGCGCAGTTCTGATTCGGTTGTTAATGGTAAAAATGTTTTGTCTTGAATCAAGATGGTATTTTGGTTGTATTCAATGGGACTATTTTTGAAGTATTTTTGGAAGTTTTTTTGACATGTTTGTCTGGCTCCTGAGTTTTGGTTGTGTATAAAACAGTCAATCCGCTCTATTTATCGCTTAGCAAAAGCTGATTTCCATGATCGATCTGCCTCATTTTTGGTTGACAAAGGCGTAACAACAGCGCTATGTACAAACAGCTATTACTTATTCACAGCTTTCTTTTCTGCGTTTCCATGACTAGAAGGAATTATCAGTTTAAACAAATCAAGGAAATGAAATTGTATTTAAAATTAAGACAATTAATCTGCGCTTATTATACAGATACAGCATGCTCTTTGGTTAAGGAGACAAGGTGCGAAAGCCTAAAATACTTCCAGAATCCACATCGTTTTAGTTTTCGCCGGGCAGTACCCAGTTAATACGCAATTTACAATTCCGTTACTGGCTTATACTGTGTACTCTTTCCGAATGGGAACACACGCTCCCACTCCCGCTTCAAGCCGACAAAAATGGATTCCTTTCGGTGTAAGAAATAAAGTCGGCTTCCTGTCATTGCGGAACTGCACATCCACACACCAAACAGTAGCCACGCTCCAAACTGCAAAAATGCCGGCTCAAGACAACTATAGCACAACGTTGAATCTGTCAGTTGAATCAACGACAAATTTAACTGCACAGCCACTCACTCCTATCTGTACAACATCATTTCTTAAAAAACATTAATGTGATAAACGTATCATTTTTCAAACAAAATGTACAGAAATAAGTTTTAATTCGCCAAGAGAGATTTACATAAATTCAGGGATACGGTTTCAGGGTGATGTACTGTATCCGCTCGCACATCTTGAACCACAGAGTTTGTGTACGGGAAAAACACACATTCAATATACACACTCTAACCGGGCAAAATGCACGACTACGAAATATTGCTCATTTGGTTTCAAGATAAACGGTTCTTCTTGTGAATTTGTCCAATGAACCAAGACTATTCATTTAAATGGCAGTTCACTCTGGAAAAAAAGGTTCCACAGCTGAAAGCTCGAATTGTTCTGTGGTTCATCGCCATCAAGAATGTTGACGCTGAACGTACCCATCCCCCTCCAGGGGTACCCCAAAAACCACAACAAATCAGTTTGTAACTCGTGCATACGGCAAAGCTGTATGTTAATGGCTGCTATCGAGCATAAACATGATTAAAATTGTTAGAGCTCTAATTTTTTTTTAATATTCAAGAAGTTCTCCAGACCAGATGTTGCAAAGACATCCGAAATTTATCAAATCGCGAATCGCGCGTTTGGCCCGGTTAGAGTGTGTATATTGAATGTGTGTTTTTCCCGTACACAAACTCTGTGGTTCAAGATGTGCGAGCGGATACAGTATTCAAATCGAAGTGCTTTTTTGAGAATTGAGATTATCTATTAAGTATTTGCTTTAATTACCGTGCCTGAACCAAAAACTAAATAAATCGTCAATTGTGACTAGTAATTTCTGACACTAATAGTACTGTACTTCAGCTAAGCACCAACAACTGAAATATAGATATGTTGCGAAGTATGACCTGAAATAATGGCATAATCGCTTGACTACGATATCACCCCAACCACATGAATAATATTAAAGGAATAATGTAAGTGCTCCAATGCTACCCTGCAGTGAAGCGGAAAACGCAATTTCTCCTGCTGCTGTTACTTAGTTATTATAGTCGCATATAAACTTACACGCTGCATTAAACCGGTAGTCTTACCTTAGCGATAGAGAGATCAATATAAAATGAAGACCCGTTGTCAATGACACCGGGAATGGTGAAACCATAGCTTATCACGCGACATCTGCAACGGTACGCATACATTAGACAGCTTTTGTCTACACAGTACACATTACGTGAATATGTAGAAATGGGTAAGAATAGGACTTTACTCGAGCATCATCAGCATCACAGTCACAACTTACTTGTCCTGAAACTTCGAGGCATTCTCCAGACTTGAGCACCAGGCTACGAAGCCGGAAGTCAGCGATGCTGCACCGGCCAGGCTGAGGATGGTAAACAGCATGCTGACGAGCGTGTTAGCAATTGTTGACAAGAGTGTACTGCAACCAATATGTAGTCTGAGTCAGTAGAAGTATATCTATATAAAAGTACAAACCAAGGTGGTAATGCGTTAACGTTAGATGTAGACAAGCCCTGATGATACATCAAGTACGATTACAAATCTAGAAACTTCATAAAAAGCGTTTGATTCCATAAGTAAATGGTCGTTACCAAAAGAATGAACGCGCCATATAAAACTGCACTTCACGTACATGCAGTGATAATCTTATAATGCTCATTAAACGTAACTAAAAAAATTGCAGTAATTTTTCTGATATGCAATGTGAAAGCACACCCTGAACAGTGTAAAAGATCACGGATGCGTTTCTTGGTAAGGGAAACAAGCAAAACCAGCAGCCTCCCAGTTCTCACCTTTCCACGCCCTGGTACAGCCGAACCGACAAGGCAACAACACTCATGACGGAAACGGACAGTGCCATAATGCCCAAAACGATTGCGAAATCGCAGGCCGAGCCGTTCGACCAGCTGACGCTGGTTGGATACGGAGTTTTGGAGCTGTTGGAGAACGCCTCGGAATACAGCGCACAATGCCCGTTGAATGCATTGAAATGCATCCAGACGGGAACAATCAGGAGAAAGGACAAAATAGCCACCAGTAAACTGGCAACAATCTGCGCAGCAAGATTATTACTAGTAGTATAGAAATTAAAACGCAAAGCAGCTAATACTTTGATTAGGCATTATACGAAAAAATGCGACAGCGGCCCGCGGGTAAAGAATCAAAGATTTAATGAGCGAATTACGATTTACGATTTACAATTCCAATCATCATAACTACTCGTACAGATCTGTACTGGTATATTGCGATAACACTGTGTAACAACCTATTATCTGCAATTTCGCGGCTGAGAACCGAAACGTATCTAGTTCTATTTTTTTTAAAATTTTGTAAATAAAAATAGAGTTAGAATGCAGCAGTCATTTGTGATATCACTGACACAATAAAAAGCTTTGGTCAAATACTGTGCAGCGAAAATGCAGTCACGACTCACGACGGCAATTTTCTAAATAGGTATTTGTACAGAATTTTTATAGAAGTACGCAACTTTATTCCGTTCGCTGTCAATTCCAAAAGATAAATGACGTCGAATAGTAAAAACAACAGTTAAAGATGCAATCGGGTTTTTAAAGTTGTTTTATAATAGCAGATAATGCGCTACTTGACTTTTCCTGGTTAGTAATGGAAGAGTTTGCTTGTTACTTACCTGAGCCAAGAGGAATGCCGTCGCCGAGGCCTGCATGGCGCAGGCTGTTAAGAGCAAACAGAAATCAATAAGTCAACGAAATCTCAGGAACTGGGATCCACAATCGGAAAGGGATCAAGGCGAGCAAATAACTGGCGGTGCCAAAACCGGGTCGTGTTCCTGTGGATGCTCCGCTGCTTGTTTGTACAGAACAGTACTTACAGAGCGCAGGATATCCTTCGGATGTTTTATTGATTTTCCTATCAGCAATTCATTAAACCTGCACGCACAGACAACTGGCTGCCGTTCCCCGGTAAGCGTCGCTTTGTAAGTTATAAAGAATCTAATCCGTAACTTACCATTAGGAGAGTACTGTAAACAAACATGCGCTGCGTTCTGCGAAGTGACGCCAGTGTATGTGGTATTATTATGGCGACGCTAACGAACAACCAGATGCAAATTTGCCCAAATAAACATTAAACATTAAACAGTGAGTACGTAAGTGAGTGTCGGTGTGCATGAACGTTCCAATGAAGGTTCGGTAGTCGGCGAGTCGCATCGCAGATAAAATAATTTTATAGACACAAAGGGCTAATTATTAAGAATTTATTATGTATGTACTACTTTAATACAACAATATACTCAATCATTATATTTACTATTTAAATGGCTCAGTACAGTCAGTAGTGACTACGAAGTACAGTACCGTACGTATAGTACGAGGTACGTTTGTTTCTTTTCAGGGAGACTGAGTCATCAAAGCGATTTGAAAAAATAAATCGGTTTCTGAATGAATCATATTTTCAAAAAAGTTGAACCGATTTCTCCATCATCGTGCTTCATATGCACTTCACAAGTCCATTGTACAGATTTGTTGTAGACAGACTGTTATTACGAGTACAGGAAATACTTTTTACTGTTTTGTCAAATGAATAATAATATCTATATGGAGAATAACAATAATGAAGAATAATGAAGTCACATTCATGTTGGTTGCAGTTGCATGAAGATGCATCATGCAAGCCAACAAAAATTAACCGTGTTGCGATGACTCTCAAACTGTCGCATATCACCGATGCTTATCATCGCAAGTGCTATAAAAATGGCAAGCGGTCGGAATCAGACCCGTTCTTGTGTGATAACCGTTCGCTGCTTAGCTCTGCATCCCTGCCCGATTCGCCTTTTTGAACCGATAGGTCCTGATCACCTGGTCACCTCTCTACTTCCTATCAAAAGACACAGGAGAGGGCAGAGTTGGTCAGACTGGTCAAAATGCATATGGTCTAAGTTGCCACATGAATGGGACAGTCTACTTTCCTTTCTTTTACTACGTTTTCTGTATGTGATGGTGCTGTTATATGTGATTTCGTTTCGCAAGGATCTGGTAAAAAGAAGGCCAGAGATGCTTTCTCATATCACGCGGCAGCGGTTGCGATGTAACGGTCGTTCTGTGATATGTAACTTTTAAAGATCGCCGCAACACAGTTATTATGCCGGACAGGGTGAACGGTGGACACTGACCACTCCGTTTACAAACTTTAATTATTCACAAGCTTTCACTCGGTCCACAACCTTCTTCACTACTCTGTACCTTTCATTCCGTGTGCTACCTTTAGCGCGCACAACCTTATGTCCATTCACTCCGTTCACACCCTTTTCGCCGCGCTTTTCCGCTTTTCACGTTCTACCATGAACACATTGAACAGCAGCATGGAAGGAAGAGAACTTCGCGATCAATTTTCCCGCACCATAGTTTCGCAAAGTGACGCAAAGTGCAAATGGATTACATAAGGTAGTGGCCACCCAAAGGTTAATGATGATTGTGAAATTAAAGGCTGCAAAACGAGTGGTCAGTGGTCACCATTAATGAAAGCGACCTACCTATGTGGAGTTTGGGCGGTTTTGCTCAACAAAATGAAGAATTAAATTTTGGTAAGATTGTGATTACGACGCAGATATCCGTGAGGAATTTGTAGGCTAAACATACATACGCGGTTCCAATTGAAACGAAACCCCAGTTGGTTCGGAATGCCGGGTTAATCCTTATTTAATTCATGTTAACTGTTAACCCACACTGCAACTTCAACACCTGCCCCTTCAGAAAAAAACAAGGAAAGCGAGTAATTGATTTATTCCTTGACACTGACAAGCAGAATCTCTTGAAGCGAAAGGGGAAACAGAACATTATACCGTATGTATTTCCCTATTACTGTGGACAATGTGCACATACATTAGTTATGTGACATAAAATTCACATTTTCAAAAGCATTCAGCAAAAATAAAGGTGCTAGGGCACACCTCGGAAATAAAGTGATACAATACTTTGAAACATACTTTGAAACGAACTTAGCAATACTTTCAAAGTGCTGTAATACATTGAAAGTACTGGTGTATCAAAGTGACCTTCCCGAACATCCCCGGCTAAATCGTAAAATATCTCGCTTATTTGGAAGCTTTTCACTTGTGAAGTTTTCATTTTAATTCGTAGGCTTGTTTCTGCATTTCTAAGTAATCGTAAGTACTGTACTTGGACTCGTAGTAGAAGACAAACGGAATGGATAAAACCGAGCGCTTTCGCGAAACATGAAGCCTGCAGGGGTTGCCCATTCCACAACACGTCTCGAGTCTGGACCACCAGTCCGGCCGGCAGTGAGTTGCAGAAGCATGACATCATGCGTCGATGGCAGATTTCTCACCTCACTTTTGAACTTTTCGTTGTAAGTTTGTAAGTTAAAATAATTCATGTTATATTATTGTTGCTGCAGAATTCAGACTTCGTTTCCTTTCTCGAATGTCCATGATAATATTCACATATGCGACACGTATGTACAAGTAATTGTTATTTACTAGTGTGAGCAGTATCCCGTAAACAGAGTTGGCCATTGGGAATGCGTACGTAAATTTCTCTGCGGCGCTGCCCGTGATCCTTCTCTTCCCCATCGTTAATCTCTGGGGCACTTGCATATTCTTTACTGGAATACGATCGAGCTGGAAAGATGGAGGGGTATTACGATCGCGATGCACCTCACGAACGTCATTCAGGTGCTCTGCGAACGGGGGTGCGAGTGCACCGTAAACACGGTACGAACACGCTCTTTTTTGTTTTGCATTGTTTCTACTAGATGTATTCTGGAATAAAATCCTGAGTTATTTACAATGCGATAGGCGCTGCTCCGTACGCCCGCGTGGTACACACGGACAGAGAAGGAGATGCGCAGATGGGCGAAGGATCCGCCAGCAGCGCTACCAGTCAAAGGTACGTCCGCATTAAGCCAGTTTGTGGTAGCATCTGCGACTGCAGATGAAAAACGATATTTCCATCCTGTTGCAGAGTGGCCGCGTTTCATCCCCGTGGTGGCCAACAGGCGCATCGGAGCCGCAGTCTCTCGGTCGCGCTTCCCGCTGAAAGGAGTAAGTAGAGCTTTCCACAGCTCTGCTTGATGGTCTTCTCACACTTTGTATTGTTGCACTTGACAGACGTCTTTTCCCGGTTGGGTCCGAGAAATCTCCGAATATCTCGCGAATCCTTCGGCACGCGCAATCGCGGGCGCGCCCGAGTGGTGTTTACATCGCGACCGCCGCTGACGGCTTGGTTTAAAGTTCGGGTATGCCGAAAATCGTAATCTTTTCGATTTGCTGGTATTTCTGTGGTTTTGCGTTTTTATAATATACGTCTTAGCATAAGCTGTTTTCGCAGCTGGTTGGTGCGGCCACCGTGGACAGAACATGGGTCATGAATGCCATTGGAGAACGACTTTCCGCGGAAAACATTACGTTCCAGCCGATTCAAGTGCGTGAACAAAGCAGATCTGTTTTTTACTGGACGATTTCTATTAAATGGAACGTTTGCATTTAGGTTGCCGTCGATGGAAATTCCTTAACATTCTATGTCAAGGACCAAGCTGCTGCAAATAGACTGAGGATGCTGAATAAAGCGATTCAGTTCTCTCATGGGCCAAAGGTACCGTTCAGTGCGTTATTGGTTTTGGCTTTTCATTCCGATATTTAATAGTATCATGTCTTTATGCAGCTAAAATTAACATTGTCTGTTTATACAATTAAATTCTTTTATGAAACTAATGTGATTCTTGGTCGTCTGGGACAGATGCCTATTGCCGTAAATCCTTCTCAAGCTCCCGTTGTACATTTGGATGAATCCGTAAAGGCCGCGATAAAGACCGCTATGGGCAAACGTTATGACGCAGCAACCCACTCTCTGACTTTGAGCTTGTTTAACGAAGCTCCTGGTGAGTGAGGGAACCGTTTTTGTTGGCTGCACAACTGCTAAATTCGGCATTTACTAAATTGTATAATGCCTTAATGGCCGAGCCGACCTATTGGTGAAATCGGTAATTCAGTTTTATTTATAGCATTGTGGTTGTGGAGTAGCAGTTGATATTTAAATAGATAAAATTCATAATTAATCATTATTCTGTTACTTTAGAATTTAAAACTGCCAGCCTGAATATTCAGCTGTCCAGAGCCAGTCATATGAAAGCGGTTTTGGAACTGATTGAAGCCAATATCAAAGAGCTGCAGTCTCTGGACCTCAGTAAAAATCGTCTATCGCAGTTGATGGACTTTTCTCGTTTGGCTGACAAAGTGCAATTGCGCCAGCTAAACCTCAGCGATAATGCGATTCGGCATATACGCGATGTGGAGTTGTTACGCTCTTTTATCCACCTTGTGGATCTGGATTTAAGTCGGAATCCCATTCGGGATGCGTACCGTGATACGCCTGCATACATTGAGGATATACGGAAGAAGCTACCGAATCTGCTGCGGTTAGACGGTGTAGATCTGCCCAAAAAGATAGGATTTGATGCACCGGCGCGTATCCAACTCCCAGTACCCACTCCGTTCTATACGCCATTTGATGCACAGGCCAACCAGCGACTTGAATCTTTCTTGCTACGGTACTATGAGTATTTCGATGGCAGACGGTCAGAATTGTTGGGTGCTTATTCGGAAGATGCGCAGTTCTCCCTCTTCATCCCGAAATTATATGACAAGTACGTTCAGTAAAATAAGTACTGCTACTGATATTAATTTTCATATGCTTGATTCTGTAACAGATTGTACGTTATGTAGGAGCTCGGGTTTCTATTCCCACAGCCGAAATCTGAACAATGTCACCGAAAGTGTCGTTCAAAACGCGAAATTGTTGCTTGGAAGGACGTCCATTGTTGATTTCTTTGGTAAATTACCTGCCACTGCTCATGCCCCGAAATCGTTTACAGTGGATGTGTTTTTCAACGAGGTTTGTTGAATCTCTTTAATTAGTTGGTCATATTCGGGCTGACTAGTAAATGCATTGGAATTCTGTCATTATTAATTAGGGAAAGCTAGTGCACAGGCCGATTCGCTTGCACAGGTTTACAGTAACTGAAAATGATTAAATGCCAAACATTGAAAATTGAAATTTTAAACATTTAAATTAGTACCAGGCCAATCCCTTTGCAATCCATTAAAACACGCATTTGACTTTAAATTGGTTGATACTTGAACTCTCAAAAATGTCGGAAGGTGGTTTGCTGAGAGGTTCTGTTAAACTACGCGGTGTACACCAATGGCCCAACTGCCCCAAGACTGTACTTTGTTAAGAAGCATCATTATGGAAGAATTTGTTGTCACTGCAGAATGCCTTGTTGGGACTCATGGTAACAGGTGTTTTTCGAGAAGGTGAGATTCTCACTCGAATTGATATCTACAGTGCGCTCAAAGTTTGTGTTTATCCTTTTAGATCAACACAAGCGCCAGCAATTCCGTTCATTTTCACGAAATTTCGTCATTGTGATATCAGAGGAAGGGTGAGTCCACAAAGAAATACCGAATGTTTTGGCCAGAATTAATTTCTGTCAATAATTCATTACCTTTTCATCAGGTGGCGGATAATATCCGATACCTTGACCGTCACCGCGCCTTCCGTGGAGCAAGTCAATCAGTTCAGGCAGAACACGGCGCCGGAGAATCCTTCCAACAGTGTTGCTACACCTGCACCTACTGTATCCACTGCCAGCGCTCTTGATGAACCGATGAAATTGGCCATGATAGTTAATTTTGCCAATGAGAGTGGAATGAATGAGCAGTATAGTCGATTGTAAGTTTTCCGGCAGTCTAAGTCCTGAAAATGATGGAACTGTGGAATACTGCGTGTTTTGTTGTTGTAGAGCGCTGGAGGACAACTACTGGGATTATGCGAAAGCTGGTGCTGCTTTTTTGCAACTGAAAAGTGAAAATAAACTTCCCCCGGAAGCCTTCGTAAAATAGCAGCACTGTGTTTCAGTTTTGTTATGGTTCTGTTTGGAGACTACACAAGCTGTTGCTTCGGCTTAGCCTTTCTTCGATGTTGATGATAGCCTGAATTTTATTTCGTTGAACTGTCAGTTACTGAGTGACAGTGGTTTTGTTGTGACGGACCTCGGGGAAAAATACGTTAAAATACACAGTAGTGTCAGTACGAGACACGATAGTAAACAGCTGTAAGTATGTACAAGTACTTCAGCTTCTGGAAACAAATCTAGAAAAAGCGTTTGTGCACTAACTTTAATGTAGTAATCGCTGAACCATTGCAGACATCGGAATAAAAAAATCCCCAACGACTTGAAAATATTGCAGAACCGGTCAAATCTTGACGTTCACTTCACAAGTACTATACTTTGACGCAACGCACTGGGAGTAAAATCATCCAATAAAATGTAGAAATGTAAACGACTTCAGTGCTTTTGATTTGGGACTTTGGAATGGGCTCGTCGAGCATAAACACAGGATAGTAGAAGGTTTTCGATAGCCCACAACAAGAAAGACGCTGAATATACGTAGTAACAGTGATTTTATTTATTCTTTGACGAACAAACCTAAGTTACCTAACAGTAATAATTTATAAAACGACATCGCTATCCATTCCTCTCATATGAAAAGCCAGTTATAAAAAAAATTTGAATTAATTTCTTGATGGTGCATTAACTTCATTTCATAGTAACGCACACTTTCAAACTGGTCAGTGAAAATAATAAGCTCATTTCCGTACTAACAGTAAAAAGAGATCAAAAACCAACTCAAAACATCACTTCTGATCGGCCGAGACACTTGCGTACCATTCCGGATGGCGCGCCGCAATCATTTCCGTGGCCTTGTTGACCTGCATGCAGATGGCCTCCAGCTTCTTATCCCATCCGTTCAGGGGATGCTCTTGCTCGAACGTCACCGCCCCTTTAGTGTGATCAATCTTGACGTGCAGTCGTCCCTCCGACACCATGTTGACCATGATCTTCTCCAGCTTGGCCACCGGGATATCCAGCAGACGCGACAATCCCTGGAACGTCGCCACACGAAAGTACTTGCGAGTGGACAAAATGTTGTGCTCCAGGAAGGTCTGTTCCAGCAGCAGGGAGCCATCGGGAGTCAGGGCGTCGCGTTGGTGCGGCTGCAGATTGGCGGCGAATTGGTCAATTTCCTGGCGCTTAATGGTCTTACCGTCAAAGACTTTGCAGAGAAAGGCGTAGGTGGGCAGCTCCAGACTGCGCTCGTCCTTAATCAGCACGGCCATGACGCGAGAGCGCTGCGAGGAGACCGGCGCCAGGAGGATGCAGTTGACGGCGTTGGATAAGGCCATTTTACGCTCGCTTTCCGCCACGGTCGGCCGACGAGACAAATCATAATAACGCTGAAAAACGAAGTAACTATTTTAAAACTGTTATAAAAAATATCTTCACATTTACCATTGCTAATATTATAAACACGATTGACCATTATGATTATCTGGCGTCGATGCGCGTACAGCAAAATATACTATTTACAAAACTTCACCAGGCAGCAAGACCCCGTAGAACTTTCTGCTGATTTTAATTTATAAACAAAAAGGAAGGCTTTATACCAACCTACTGCATATCCGTTGGAGCACATTTACGCAGTTTTTTTTTATTTTAACCCTGAAACTTTTTCGAATATAATCTATTCTATTTTCTTTCACTTCTATTTTCGAATCTTTTCCAGCGCAGCTGAACAGCCTTGAAAACTGAAAACAGACCGAGGCCTAAAAACAGCCAGAAGGAGCAAACAGCCCTGCAACGTGCGCCTTACCTGAGATGCTTCAATGTACTTGCGCTTAAAGTCTTGGATACGGGCAAAAGCCGCCGAGTGCGAAATGCGGATCTCTTCGGAAGCGGCGCTATCAATCAGCAGGCCCAAACGGTGGATGTAGTTCTCCGCTTCCGTGAACTCCTCAGCCTCCAGGAACAGGCGCCCAATTTGTAAATACAATTCCATCTTGTTCTCCTTGGTATACTGTTTCTGTCCGCTCTCCAGCGGGATCTGTGACAGCACACGGGCCGCCTGCAGCCAGTTCTGTTCGCGCTCCAACTCGGCGGCCAAGCGCAGTCGCAGCGGATACATCTGCTCCTCGAAAGAGATGGAGCGCGACTGCATTTTGTCCAAGGCATAACTGATGACCATCTTTTGCATCTCCGCGTCGAGATCATTCACTCCCGTTACAAATTCGTTCAGGTACTGCCGTGCCGAGACGATGTTGAAGGATTCGCGCAGAATCACGTCCAGGAAGGATTTCAGGCATTCACCTTTAACATCGCTGCTCGGCAGCTGGCGGACTACATCCATCAATGTACGGCCCTGTTCGCCGGACTCACGAAACGTTCCCTGGCCGCTTCCTATCTGGTTCAGAATTTCCTTGAAAACCTGCACTTGCTCCATGACGGCTCAGGAGACAAATGTCATAAATCGAATAAGAAGCAAACACAATTTTCAGTGCCGATTTTATAATCTACGTCAAACCGCGAATCATAGGCTAATCTTTTACACCAGAAACTAAACTAATAATTATTAATAAAAGGTGCAAAGATTGCAGGAACTCAGAAATGAAGTCAACAAACTTTCGGAACTTTCAGTTGCATGGTTTTTCAGAGTCGGTTCGGTTGGCTTTGACGGAAAAGTGAACAGATGTGAGTATCTAGTGAACAACACTGTCACGGCTCGGTCTCCCAATGGAGCGGCAGTCACAAAGCAAATGGCCAGGAATGCGGTGTGTATTGCACGCGGACCAGCAGATTCGGTCTGGCTGTATGTGGAAAGTATGCGGTACCGCGGACTGATCGACCAGCCAGACTGGTCTGATGCTCACTATGCTGCGATTTTTGGCACTTGTCAATGGGAATAAAATGCCAAATCCAAGCATCAATGAATGAGTTTACAAAAAATCATTAAAATGGGACGGTCTCTGTTGATTTACACCGTCGTACGTTTCCGAATCCAGGATTCTTGTTTTTGTTGAAATTTTGGACATCTTTTTGGACATTTCGCCATGTCGTTTTGATTATTGGCAATTCTGTGTATTTGTTTTGAACGGAAACCCTATGCAGGCTGCAGCCCAGAGCTTCGCTTCGACTGTGTTGTTGATTTCGCTGCATTTCTGATGGATGCCATATCTGCTGGGATTTTTGGGTTATTGTTGATGGAACATCAGTGAATGTGGCGCGAAAGTGGATCAGAGAAGTGAACATGTCCGCTCCCGCGGATGGGTCCTTGGCGGGTAGTCAGGACATTAAGCAGCATTTTGTGACGCGGGAAGGAGCGTACCGCAATCTGGTGACACACGAGTATTCGCGTCCCCGTCTCCAGAATTCGGCCTTGAGCGGTGCGCAACAAGCCAATGTGCCCGTTAGAATGAGTCTGGTGCAGGTCGCTGATGATCAGGAGACGGGCTATCCGGATAGATTGCTCTTTAATATTGGACGGGAGATCTTTCTGTATGCCTTCAAAAGTATTTGGGAGGTGAGCAGTGCTTCGTGCAGTCAGCGGATGACTGATTGTGCCAGCTGTCTTAGAAAATTCTGATACGGATTATCCATGGAATTAATAATTATTCTATCTATTTGTTAATTTGTAGGCTGTATTTCTTTCCAATAAAAATAATATTATGTTATGCCAGAAATTAAAAGAGTGCAGCTTTTTTAATTTTCACCGTTTATCGGTTTATGTGTATTTTATTCTGTTTTTTAGAATGTACTGTACAAGTTAAATTAAACGGTATTCTGGCAGCTGGCTGTACAGTTATTGACGGATGTATTATGTGTATAGGTTCCCGACTTGGCTCATCCGCTGGATCGTCAGATCCATAAAGCTCTTCCAACATGCCACGATATAAACAGGGTTAGCTGTTCCACTCAAGGCTGCACTGTCCTAATTGGATTTACGACCGGTTCTTTCCACGTGACGGATCCCCGAAAGGATCCGCACATTTATAACGAAGATGTAAGTCTTTACGCTGCGGAGTATGTGAGGATCGTTTTCTGCCGATAGACAGGGGGAACTGTGGAAATATAATGACGAGAAAGTGTTGTTTGGCTAATTTGGCCTAATTATCGTGAGCACGCATCCAGGCTTAATTATTGCTCCTTGGGGCTTATCGCAGGCTGCAGCATCCATCCTACTGGCTGCATTATTATTTAACTCGGAAAAGAAATTATGAACAGCTGAATACGCTTTGAACCGCTTTCGATTGATTTGCAGTTAACCCTCGTTTCACCGGAATATGGATACTTTATAAATTGATAGAGCTTTAGACAAGAAAACTGGTTTTATTTTTTTTCACTTTTTGAACTAGTTTAATTTAGTCCAGCAGTGCTGGTATAACATGGTGTTATACGATAACTGCAAACCGGAGTGTAGAAATAAAACGACCGTGTTGTATTCGTCAGGCCGAGGGTTGCCAGTTGTAGATCGTAAAAAAATGATTTTTAGTGGCCTTGCAAGGACTAGGAATGGGTAAAATAACTGGGTAGAGTTGTTTCACATTTTAGTGTGTGGATTTTATTTGGGAATCTTATTTGTATGTATGCCTTACTCTTCGTATTTTCAGCGGATGCTGGACAAAACCAAAGTGACCTGCGTTAAGTGGATACCGGGCTCGCTCCAGCAGTTCCTGATCAGCTTCTCCAGCGGTCAGCTATTCCACTGTGATGACTCCCTGTCGTGGATAACGGCCCCACCTTCCTACAGTCTCCACAAGCACGGCGAGGGCTATGCGGTCTACACGACGAAATCCCGGTCGAATCGGAATCCGCTGTATCGGTGGATGATTGGCGAAGGATCTCTGAATGCGTTTGCATTTTCGCCTTGTAACCGTTATTTGGCCACCGCCGGGCACGATGGCTATCTCCGCGTCTTTGTCTTCGATACCATGGACCTGTTGGGAATAGCCAGGAGCTATTTTGGCGGTTTATTATGCCTGTGCTGGTCACCGGATTCTAAATTTGTGTGCTGTGCCGGGGAGGATGATTTAGTGCATATATGGAGCGTGGAGTACCGGCGGATTGTGGCCCGGGGCCGCGGACATCGAAGCTGGGTGACGGCGGTCAGTTTTGATCCGCTGACGAGCTGCTTGACGCAGGATGTGATTGCGGGACTTGCGGATGCGGGGAAGAATACCGGTGGCGGGGGAAACAGACCTGCTGGGTAAGTTACCGAGTTGTAAAAGAATTAACTTTATGTATAGTTTGTCGTTCGTTTCTCTCGAGCGCTATGTTGTGTGTACTATCTTGGTTACGTTTTAGGGCAGAAATCAGTTGTAACTGTTGTGTGAAATGTCGGTGAGGCTGTTGCTGTAATATGAATGTGTATGTGTGTAAATTGTGTACTTCATGAGTGTAACTAGTGAACATTGATAACTATAAAAAAGTAATTTTCTCGTGAAAACTATTGTTTGGGATCAGTATGAACATACTGTGACATAAGACCGGTAGATAAAATGGTGCGTTACTGGCTTCCTTGTTTCCATTTTTCTCATCTGCTATGGTGACACTTGGTTGTAAGAACTTTCAGATTTTCAGCATCCTTGTAGATTGTGCGCAGTTCGGGTATTTTATTTATGCATTGGTAGTAAATCAGTAATTAGGTTTGTTATTTATCGGTTACTTTGAGGGTTTATCAACAAAAGGGAATCATAATATCTTTATTTGGTATATATGTTAGTTCGTGTTTTCATTGCAGAGACGCTGTGAGCCAGCGGATAACAACGTACAGGTTCGCCAGCGTGGGTCAAGATACGCAAATCTGTCTGTGGGAACTGACTGACGACATTGTGAAGCAATCGGTCGTATCCCGATTACGCACCGGCTCCGCCGTTCTTCCCATGGCCCCCGTCCTCAATCCGCCATTCCCCCTTGTGCCCGAGAAACCCGCCAAAGAGCACAACCACCGTCGCAACATTCCCCTGTTGGGCGGTCGCTTCGGCGACAAATCGTCCTCCAGTTCGCATGCGCACAACAAGCACAGCGCCAGTGCGCCCTCCTCCGTGGCGGCGCCCTCGCGGAGTGAGTCGCGTGATGAAGGCGCCGGGGGCGGGAAGATGCTGGGCAGCTGGCAGTGTCCCAAGTTGGACGATGTACCGCTGCTGGAGCCGCTGGTGTGTAAGCGGATCGCCCAGGAGCGGCTGAATGATATTGTCTTTCATGATGACTGCATTCTCATCTCCACGCAGGAGGGCCTCATTATGACGTGGGCCCGCCCCGGCCGGACCCCGGCCAATCACTCTAGTCGGCAGAATTCGTGTTCCAATTGATATGGATGGGTGTGGATCGATTTTTTCAGTTTGTTGTTGCGTTTCTTGTTGTCGTTTGGTTGTTTGTGCGTGTGTGGAGGTTTTGATTGTTTTTAGCGGATTCTATTCGAAATTTGAGCACCCCCGGTCTTTTCAAGTATTTTGATTCTTTACGGTTTGGGAAAAATCTTAAGTATTTCATTAATTTTATCTTGGCGTGAAGTTGTGAATTTTTTGGTTGTTGCGTTTCTTTTAAGTGAATGTGCTGTTTTTTTTCTAGCGCAACGCACATGGTAATTTGTTCTGACTTGGAAATGGAAACTTAGAAATGCACAACATCATAAAAATTATCGAATTGACGTGATTGCATATGCAAACAGCAAAAGCATCAATGTCGGAAACGGATGCTGAGTACAACACATTCTGCGCGCAGAATTTTGAAGGCTACGCCGTACATCCGATAAAACAGCGTTGGCAGCGTCAGCACCGGCGGCGGCGGCTCGCATACCGGCCTGTCCGAAATTGGATTCCAGCAGCATAGTGTTCTGGGGCGCATTGCAGTTGTCGGTGAGGCAGATGCATAGTTGACCTTTGAGGGTCAGATTGTACTGCTGCCAGTCGGGCAGGACGACGCTTACCGGGCCACTCGGTTCAGCAATGGGATTGTCGCTGAATTCGTAGCATTTCTCACTGGTACCGAATTCCGGGTCCAGTTGGGAGAACACCGAATTGAGGGCAGTGGATGCGGTCAGACAGCCGGTATTACGCGCTGTGAAGTCGTTATTTATTTATCACTATTACTTATTACTTACTTCTGATGAAAATTTAAGATTAATATTAGAACAGAATTTGCTTGAATGCTAAACTTTGAGCTGTTGCGTTAATTTCGCATTTTTGTTTGTCTGACAAAATATTTCGGACTTCGGAGTACAATATGTATGCACAGCAAATTTGTTAACAACATATTGACCGTGAAATGCTTTTAACCTGACAAGTGAAAGTAACTGTGAGACGACCTTACAACAAACATACTGTGGTTTTGTTAAAAAAACGAATGCCGACCTTTTGGTTGCAAGTGCATAATTACCATACTGCGAAATCGTATTCGCTACTTATACGTACTCGTATACACTGTACTTGTTCATAGTACCCAGTCAGCTTTGTAACAGATTTCTAGCTTACGTTTACGAAAGTTCGTGTATGAAATGAACGTTCTAATATTCTATTTTTCTAGCAGTGACTGTTTCTGTTTCTAACAAGTAAGTAAAATAAATTCTCCTACTGGCAAATGATCTAACAGCCGTTGAATTGGCTTTCGGGACGGCTGTCCAAAGTAAATCCGTCGAAATGCAGGATACACCGTCTTGTGAACATTCTCCCAGAAGGAAGGTTGTGGGGTCTGTACAGTATTCTGCTACATCCAGCGTTAAATTAGGTGACCTTGGACAATAAGCGCACTGTAATGCTCTCCCTGTAAACGTCGACAAAATATTAAAATAATTAGTCGAATATCTCCCGAATGTAACAACAATAGATAGTATCTGTATAGTTTTTACAGTAAGTGTACATACATACTCGTTTGTGCACTGTCGGCGGTGCGATTACCACAATAGGCATTAATTGATTAATAGCTATTAGCGAAGCACAGCACAATATTGTTTTGCGACTTATGAACACAGACCTTATTGCTTAGCTTGTAAACAGAGCTCGAGAGATAGAAAGTGATTTGTGCGATAATAAAATTGATTTTATACATACCAACATCCACAATCCAAGCAGCAAGAAAGCAGATTAACGAAGATTTATAATTGAACATGGCGAAAAACCCGAATTTGTTTCACTGTATCAGTACGGTTTGTTTGTACTGTACAGTGGCCGATACTTGCATCTACGGTGTGGAAGATGAACAATGATTACAAAGCTCTTTCGATCGCCACAAAATTCGTAAGATAAACTGGAAATTGATGTTTCACTGATAAAAAGCAGTTTTCAGTTCCATGTGCCGTATTAATTGATATGCAAGTAACAGAAATCAAAACTTTTTACTGATGAATCTGGAACAGGCCGGATGCTAGCACTCTAGTGTCAGCTTACAAGACCAATGCAGGGAGTACGTAATGAAATGCAAAACAAATGTCAGCATTAGTTTTACTTCCAGAATAGCGCCTTATGTTGATTGTGAGTTCGGAGTACGAAGTACGAAGATGATTGTCCATAAGGTCTTAAAATTAATACTGCCCTTTATTATTTATGTGTAGTTCTTATACTCATACTTTCGAAAGGTGTTCGTATTACGTATAACACGCTTTACCATCATCTGCTTTTTACTATTAAATTAAATGTTTATTTGCATAGCTTACTTTTCAACCAAATTTTGTTTTGGTTAGCAACTAAATCCCGCAAATAACCCATGGTGCTGCGGTGCAACACTGCAAATGCAATTGCAATGGAACAAGCCCAATAACAGTTGTAATACCAACGTGCTTAGCAAGTCGGTACCGCAAACAGCTCGAGATTTCAGTTCTCTGTGTACAAACTACGGATGCTGTTATCTGTATTTATGAACTGGATTGTAGAGATGTACTTACTATATGGCAATAAATATGACGGGACAGAATCAGAACTGATTAGCGCTGTGAGCAAAATTTATGAATGTTCATAATATGTTTATTACGTAACTTCTATCAAAATTCGCTCATTTTAAATTAAGTCTTAGTATTTCGCTAGTCAGTCTGTCAACACGATTAATGATAGCAAAAAAAATGCTAAAACTGTGAGAAATCATCAAGTGAGTATAAACCCAGCATTTATTCGCCCTCCTCCAGCAGGTTCACTTTCCGGAGACAATCCGCTAGTAACCGGAAGTAGGTTGTCGTTGGAGGCCACGCGTTTGGGTGGCTGCGTGCAGTGTTCCGCTTTGGATATAACGACGTCTTCGTACGACGGCGGCAATATATCCGGTTCCCCTTCGCTGACCACATTATTGTAATTCGGTGGAGCATCCAGGTATTCTGTCGGTCGGTCGGGGCGACGGTTCCGTGAGTCCCGCTGGCGCTGGATGGAATTGCTGAGCGCTGCTTCGTTAAATACGCGGGTTTTGCAATAGCGGCACAGGGCGAAGAAGAGAATGCCCAAGCAGAATACCACTATCAGCAGCGCCAAGGCCATCAAGCCGTAATTGCCCATGCTGCTCTGCGACTGCTCCATCGGGCCCAGTGTCGGGAAACTGGAAGTGTTGTGCAAGGTGTTGGTGAAATTGAAAATGCCAGACAAGCGCCATGCCGGTCTAGCATTTGTACGCAGTAGAGAGATGTTCAATCGTGGCATTATTGCTGACCATGTAAAGGGCAAAGAGAACCTTTCCGTGTGTTCCAGCTCGCTCGTCGAGTTGTTCTGGATCTCCGATATGAGTTCGGGATTCGAGATGAGTGCAGAATCCACAGGTATATACATTATAATTTGGGAATAGTTGTCGTTGGGCACCCCGGAAGATCACAGCACGTACAGGATTTTTGCGGCGTACGTTATATACGTTATATATACGAGCATATGAGTCAGTAATCAAAACCGGCATCACAAACTCCTAGTATAATTCATCTTGGACTTCCATGATCGGCTGCGCCTTTGTACATTAGTAAAATCCAAGGGTGGAGATACAGAGAGTCAAAACCAGTTTTAATTCAAACAGTATAATACGTCATACCATAATTGTGGTTCTAGATCTTGCTCACAGGAGAACAGGAAAGATCCAGAATGAAAATGCTTCCTATAATACCAGCAAGATTACTAAAAATTCATGGACTGCACATCCTTCGTAAACAGTTTATTTATGTCTGGGCAAAGCTATCCGCACTAAAATCTTTTTAAAATACTCCAGCTTCAAGGTTGTGATTATTAGCGGTTGGATAGAGGCTTCTATTTTGTAGATGTTCGGCAATGAGAGTAGAAGGAAGAAGTGCTTACACGGCGCATGAAATCAGAATGTTTACTTCGAAACTATCTTATTAGTATGCTAATGTTATCTCGAAGATATATCGGCCCATTGTGTCGGGCATGATTAAAACCTCAGCCTAGTCATGTTATGATAAAAGGGCGCAATATATACCGGTAGTTATCAATAATAAAGTGTAACGTGTTCACGTAGTTTTGGATGGCTCACAGCGTAACTTATCGGATCGTAGAGCATTTTCAGCTATGTATGTCCACATACAGTAAATACCATATTTGGCTGCATGCACAGTTCTACGTAATTCTGCTGTGTTGCATAACGTTTTGTTGTTAAAACCAAATGATCCAGAAAAGGGTGGTCGCAATGGAGGCTTGGTTGCCCCACCGGTGGATTGGATAAGATTTTGCCGGTGTACCGCCGCGAATCCCACGGAGACGTTCTGTCGAAAGTTATTAATATACCGTTCGCCAACGCGTTTATTTCAATTATGTGCTTGAGGTCGACAATTGTTTCTCACTACGACTCTACGAGTACTTCAAGTACTTCTATGGATAATGGCAAAGACGCAAGACTGTTGAGCTCATGCAAAAAGCTTCAAGCAGCCCATCCGGAAGATCTTAACAGTACCCCGCATGATAGTAGTGCACCCACCCTTCGGGCGACAGCTCAATATGCCCGTTTGATTCCGCACTTGAAATTTTTGAGTGCTGCAAAAAGCAAAATACCATTAATTTTTACGGCTGGCAACTTGCATCCTTACTGGAGATTTGCTCCCAGTAAATAATATTTATGTATCAGTTTTATTGAATCAGTGCCAGATTTCCTGTTTTTTGGTGTTAAGTATACATTATATGGAACCGCACGAGCAACTAGACGCCCGTGGTGGCCATACGCAGACACGCGCACCCTTGTCCGAGGACATCGTGAAGAAAGTTGAAGAGTGAGTACCTTTAAACCGTCAGTTCGTGTAGAAATACTGGATGTTTTGGCTGGAATTAATCTCCTTGATTAACTGATTATAATTCAATACGTTTTTGCTAGACTGCGGATAATGTCCGACACCATGAACGTCAACGCGCCTTCCGTCGAACAAGTTAATCAGTTAAAAATCCTTGCACCAGTATTGTTGCACCTTCTCCTTCTGTATCGACTCTCACTCCCTGTCCTCTTGATGAACAGATGAAATCGGCCATCGTAACTATTTTTGCCGATCAGAGTGGAATGAATGCACATTACAGTCGACTGTGAGTTTTCCGTAGGTTGTGTGCTGCAAACATGCCACTGTCACGTGACTCACGTTGAACTGTGGAAAAGTGGGGTTTTTGTTGTTGTAGAGCGCTGATGAGCTGGGACTGGGATTTTGAAGAAGCGGGTGCGGCTTTCTTGAAACTCAAAAGTGAAAATAAAATTCCCCCGGAAGCCTTCGTCAAATAGCAGCGCGATTATGTTTGGTTTTTGTTTGGAGAATTTACCAGGTATTTGCTTGGCTTTTTGTTATCCTTCGCTCGATGTTCATACTTTATAGTACTGTAAGCGTGCAATGTTCCGCTGTGAATTAACGATGTTTTCGTAGAAGAGGCGGCAGTACAGAATATCCGCTTCGCCTTTGTTTACCACACTATAATATCGTCCGGTGGAGCATCCAGGTATTCTGTCGGGACGACCGTTACGTGCGTCTCGCTGCGGATCATGGATGGAAGGCCTTACTTGTTAGCGCTGCGTCGTGAAATAAGTACTTGAGTACTCGGATTGTGCAATAGCGCTGACAATATCTTGTTTCTACTTAGCTTTTTCTATGTCCAAAAGTAATATTACAGCTAAATGTCTCGGCATTTGTATTTACATCATTGTTGACAGTATAAAGGCAATGAGCTCTCTGTGTTTCAGCTTGCTTGTCGAGTTTTTCTGTGTCTTTTGTGACTGAATCGGGAATGAGTGTAGAGTTCACCGGAGTGAATGTTTTGGAATACTTTACTTTGTAGTTTCGCTACAATGTACACACACTGTTACAGTATATGAATTCATTAAAATATGAATATGTTGGACATGGGTGGCGTCCTTGACCCTTGTGCATAATTAAAATCCGAGATACTCCAGGGTTTGTGCAAGGCAAAACTGGCATCGTTTCTAGTGTAATGCTGTTAGTTCTTCCGATTCTGGATCTTGCACACAGAGATATTTTGCTTAATGTAGTCACAGTTAATTTATACGTAATAGCTTACCTTACAATATTTTTATCGCTTACAACAAAATTACCGTAATATAACGTGTTGCAGAATGCGAAATCGGATATGGGGCGAGACAAAGATCGAGATGCATGTACAAAAAATTAATGTATGTGCAAAAAAGCGATAACACCATTCCTAAAAGCACTGCTTTCATAATTATGCTTTTCTGTTAATGTTAATCTATCGGGAACTGACAATTGCTTATAACACTTACATGCAGAAAGATACGATTGGTACTGTATATATGCAGACATCGATATGCCGCGAGTGGCGGCAAGGATCTTACTGCATTAAGCTCTATCTGTTTTTAATTGGATTAACGGTCAAGTCAATTCGGTATAATCAAGCGATCTGTGGCAAAAAGCTAACATTTGACGGAATTCGTAATGACTCTCAAACACATCCCGGCTGCCGGTGTGTAAACTGCAGTCAGTTCATTCTTCGGCTTTGAATTAACTTACGGGGTGTGGAAGCCGGTAAGCGTTTCATTAAAGGGACAGTTAATATTTATATCGCCGAAAGAGATAAACTGAATGACTGTATCATCTGCACTAAACGCTCCTTTGATCGTCACCGCAGACACCCGGCAAATACTTACCGTACGATCGCAAGGATACCTACGTCCGTCACCTTCGCGTCAGGCGCACTTTTATTGTGTTTGTTCATTAAAAGGATATTTCAGGTTAATTTGACCATACGTTTATTTGATTTATATTGGACGCAAGTGGAATAGTGGTCAAGGTGAATGACCAGATCCGTCGCATGTATAATAAATGTTACTAAACGAAAGACTATATCTATATTTTGGAAAGAGCGGTTTCAAGCAGCATATGTATTAATGTATGCAATACTTTTACACGATGTACAAGTACTAGCGATACTGCTGGCACAATGTAGCTGAATATTGACGTATTTGAATATTTGTCATATTTGAATGTACCTGAGTATTTCTTCGATAGTTTGCAAAAGCGGCCTTAACAGAAGATTTCACAATAACAGAAGATTTTACAATCGGCATTTTAGTTAAAACAGACCTATTAATATTGTAAATAAATGCAAGGTAAATAAACGCACGGTACTGTGCTTATTTTAAATATTTTGCTTATAAAATATTATACATGGAAGTATTAATTTAAAGCAGGGTCGGGCTCGTGGTCACGGGCATCTTCCGCTTTACGCAGCAAACTGATCCGAGCACAACGGGATAGCAGGCAATTTCTGACTACAAGAATTAAGTGGGTAACATTCGAGCTGCACCAGAAATTGCGCATCCTGCTGCACGGTGTGCGCCTGTAGGAAGTAGTCGATGTCTACAGTATGGTTGGGCAAGATCTTCAACCATGACGCGTGCCGTCCGCCGCGTGTTTGGGCGAGATGACGGGCTTTACATGTCGGAGCGTGGTGTTACCTCCGGCCGGAAGCAGAAGCGAAAAGAAGGTCACAGAATGTACGGTCATGCGACTGATGGACATCTTGAGCGCATACAGAAAGTTGAAATGCTGATACTCACAAGTCACAGGTTGATGGTGCGAGGTTTTTTCAAATTCGCTCAACGGTGGATCTGTCTTAATGCTAGAATTTCCGTTAATTATGGTACATACCGACCAAATACGAAAGCGTTAATCGGGTTGTCTGCTCTTGATGTATCTGTATTAACAATAATAATAAGATAATAACAAGAAAATTACAATTAGTTTAAATACAGTATAGTAAAATTAAAAATTAAAAGCAGTATCCATTGTCAGCAGCATTCTGGTAAAGTTGAAGAGTAAAAAGTGCATGAACTGATACCGCTGGCCATGCAATGAGCACCGTATCCCGCTTCCGCTCTAACGTAAGCGTCCAGAAGTACTGGCATTGCAACTAACCGTTTTAATACGCTATGGCTCATTTGAGACGAACGGTCCACTCCAGGCGATCACACTACGTACTAGAGTAGTGCTAGCTGCACCGATTTGGTCCGGTCAATCTGTTCTCGTATGTATGCAATATCACCACAAATATGTACGTATCCATGATGCAAAGTATTGTACTGCTCTAATAAAAATGCTGGTGTTATAAAAGGGTTTCGTATCAAGTACTTATTACACCGACCTATAGTTCAGCGATCGATGTACGTACTTACGGTTAACTTCCTCTTGCAGTTTACCGCGCACTGCAGTGGGAACGTGCCGAGATGCTGGGTTATCGGTTTTAAGTTCTAACAATGATCTAAGAAGTCTACTGTAATTCACATTCTGAGAATTCAGCGCATCTACACTAGATACGGCTTAAATGATTATTTCATTTTAGTCACAATTTAAATTTGGTCTTTCTGGCACAGTTTGAGAAGACGCATTTTACCGCTTACGGCTACATCTTGCAAAGGGAAGGAGCCATCGAGACTGTCGTTTGTCGACTCTGTTAAACAGGACAGTAAGTTACGGCTTTGTGGAGTCATCTTCCGGTCGGTTTTCAGTTTGTGCCGTTCCCGTGGATGCGGCCGTTTGACAGTCTTCGGCACATCGATATCTTGTTTCACCCACGTCGTCGCCGAGTGGAAGGGCAGGACTGGATCGTCCTGGGAGAATCGGATCCAGATGCAGAAACTGGATTCGCATCAGCATTTTCCTGGTAAGGTGGCTAGAAAAACGCTGGGTCAACGTAAGAATATTTCTGATGGTTCCGTATATAAAGAACGGGCACGTGACTGTGCTGTGAACTGTTGAACACGCGCACGTCAGCACGTGATACTTACATGGCTGTAATGTTAATATATGTATGTGAAGCATATTTGACTTTTTTAAATGTAATATTATAAAAGTTGATGTACCATACATTTTTATATAATTAACGTGTGTTGTATGCTGTAAAATCTGGAATTTTGAAAAAATTGTGAGTAAGATTTGTTTTTTGAAGAAATTCAGCCGATTTCTGTGCGTGTAAATAAGTATTTAACAGAAAATCACCGTTAAATGAAACTATGATTTGTTTCATTCACACCTGTTTGTAACTTTCACAACTAAAGCTGCTGCTGCGAGACTACTTAATGCCTTACGGAATTCTGAAGATTATTGTGGAAAAAACTACTTGTCTTTTGTAACTGTTTGTAAGTGGGAATTCTTTAGTTCCGCGTTTTTTGTAGCTGCGATTTGTATTTGCAAACTTATTTCAGGACGCATCGAACATTTTAATTTTATTAGTCTAATGATCTAGATTTAAGAAATTTGAGTTGTTAAATTGAGTTGTTATGTTGTTAAAGCATTTTGCCTCATATTTTCGTCTGCATGACCGGTCGTTAAAGATAAGGATGTTTGACATAAAAACGAGCGGTATCTGTCAAAAGGACTGTGCCTTATGTCGTGTCAGCGCTGACAAATATGTTCATAAAACCCGGTACATGTCCATATGATCATATCATATCTAAAGTAATTATGGATTATATGTAGCGGGCGAAAATTGATGCTCCCTGTGCAGACCGCTTCGAGTGCGGTCTTTGTATGCGTAGCTGTTAGCAAATGTTTCGTTTGAGATATTTTGTCGAGCCCATATTCCAGAAAGAAGATATCTTGGCCAATTTATGTACCTGATAACCTAGGACAATATAATCCCGGATGGCCATTTTTGACTAAACATCTGTTCGTGTTGTATATGTCAAAGTGTCATAAATATGCGGCAATGCACTGCAATTTTGGCGAACGTCTTCCGGTAAATTAACTATTAAGTTTAGAGGCGTAAACAAGGACTTCTAATAACTGGAATAATTCGATACGATTGTTTTTCTTCGATTGTTCAAATTGTTTTTTGTTCTTGGTAAACGAATTTTCAGTTTTGATTACTTCACCCTGTAAAATTGTAAATACTTATATAAAGTGATTATTTGGCACTAGCGAAAGTAAAGCTTTATACACAACCCGTAGCTAGGGTTATGTTTTTAATTTGGGTGTTGTAGCGTGTGTTTTGTTGTAGCTAGGGTTATGTTTGGTAAGCAGCTTTTTGTTAGTTTTTGTATTGACAATTTAAAGCGCCGAAAATATTGAAAGGTTTTCAAGTGCATTAGAGCTAATGGCAGTTAATCAACGAGTGTAAATTAAACCCATTTAAATCACCGCTTTGCTTGGGTGATTATTGGAAGATTGAACTGATACATATCTCACTTAACAGCTACCGCCTATTGTACTGACGACAGTAGCGAAATGATGATGGGCTGCATAAAATGAGCAATGCGCATCAAACGCACAGTGGTCAATCGCGTGCCGTTTATTAAAAGCTAATGAGGGGAGATAATCCTTTTCACTCCTCTCCTTGTCCTTTACCCCTAACTGCCGTCAGAAGTCTCTTTAACGTACAAAATGTATTCATTTTTGTGACTTGAAACCTATATTTTTTAATACGCAACGTCTGATTTTCTATTATTGTAAAAGAACTGACAGTATTTTAAAAGGTTATTGTTACCGGCATCTACCGCTGCAATTTGTCGACGTCAAGAACAAAATGTGTCGTGAAATATGTATTGATTATGCATTTACTTGATGAGCAAATTATACCAAATGTCGCTCTGTGAAACATAAATAAATGAAAAGTTTATCAGATCAGCAGATCCCAGCTGGATAGTGCTAATGAGGACACGGTAATAAAGTAACCCGCGGTGTGTTGTTATATTAGGATTTTGACGGACACATCAATGCCCTTCGCCACAGGGGTGCCTTTTTATTTCACCATAACTGCCATCTTTATTATCTGTTCACTCCGGAACAGTAAAATTAGCCGCTTTTAACAGTCTGCAGAAAGCATTCATTGATTCTCCGTGCGGAGGTGTCATACGCGCAATCTCCGTAGCTGAAAATAAGCTTATTACGATATTCACAAATTGCCAACTTCGTTTCGAGTTTTTTTAAAATTATCGCCTAATTGTTGTCTTTGCGAGGTTTTCGGAATTACATATATTGATAGTTTTTTCTGATAAATTATTTTAATTTCAGAAGGCAGTTAATTAGATTATGCACGAAATCGAAGTTAGTGAAATTAGCCTTATAGCGCATTGTCGAAATTACAGTACGAAATATAACTGATTTATTATTAAATCTCTACTCCTACTCGTAGATGAAAACAGTTATCGTGTTGTTGTCTGGAGGAAGAATGTGCCTTGAAAAAAATTTGCTGAATTGGCGTGAATCTTATTCTATCAGCATCGCATCGTACAAGCGAGGCAGATAAATGCGTTTGTATACTTCTGTCAATGATGGTGTGACATTCCTTGTTGTGATACATAGCGGATGTTTCGATAAGCGTCCTAAATAAGCTGTTAGAAAAATGTAAGTGTGGCTAAAGTGATTATTTATTTAGCATGTTGGATATTAGTATTTGTCACTCTGCACCAAAAGGTGGAATTTTTTGTTGACGGAGGAGACCGACTCTCCGACAAGAAATGGCACTGTAACTGCTGAGCTATTGCAAGGTCACCCGCTGCAGTGATTCATCAATGTGTTGCGGTGATCCGATTCCGTGCCATCCGTTTGATGAGCCTATTGTCATCGTGCATTAACCTTGAGTGGATGTTGACTGGAAATTGTCGCAACATTTAGTATTTATTGCCGCTTCCTTTAAATTAGGGATATATTTTTTGCAGACTGCTTGCATAATGACATGCGTTATGAAATGCCTGAGTTTTGTGCATACTGTGTATCATGTTGGAGGTAATGCTGCTGGTGCACAGAAAATGTTGTGCGGCTTTTACCGGCATGTGAAAAGTGTACGAGTCAGTCAATTAAGTTTTGCAGATGCTGTTACTAATAAAATGCCGACGCTGTTGGTGTGAATCGTGGCGTGATAAAACGAATCAGATTTAGATGAATAAGTGAGTATTAAATATCTGATCGGGATCAGTTCATCTTTAGTCAAACACCTGCAACCCCCAATTTTTCATATTAGAGTCTGCCTCAAATCTGAAACAAAGTTAAAACATTTTATCAGTTTATGTATCTGTATTTTATATAAATGTTTACGTATGAAGTATAGTTCGAGAAATTAATGTTTTCGCATTCCACAACCACCATAACACCCGCCCGGTGCCGTATTTATAATTAGTGGCGAGTCACTGGCGACTCTGCATGCTGGGAGACGTAGTCGATTGCGGATGCGATCGTTGACGTGGTTAATGGGGGAGAAGCAAATGGGGAAGATTGATGGCAGCCGGGGATAGGCGCGCGCTAATGTCTGCCGCTAGGCTCTGTATTCTGTACATTACTGTGTACGTGTGCGTGAATGCAGCAGAGAGGAAGATGCGGGATAAATCTTGGATAAGAGCTTAGCGTGCAGCGTTATTGTTTGGTGTGGCGCGGAGTTAGCGCTAAGGCTTCCGCGATGGGCCGGGGATGATGGTGCTGGCGAGTTTAAATAGTGTCAAATTCAGATAGCAAAACAGATTGTAAGCCTTCATGCAGCTTCTCCGTCGCGCCATGACGCTGTTGCGCGTCTACTTCCTGTGGTGAATATTGCGCGGGAAAGACCCACACTGAAAATTGTTAAATGAGCTGACACTATCCAGCTCCGTTTACTGTTAACCGAGAAAGGCGGATTATCACGCAGCAGTAGAAATCCGAGATTTGGAAGCTTCCCGATATCTTTACAGCGTAAAATTAAAATTAATATTCGAAACAGCTATGTGCATTAATCTGTATTTACATCATCCAATATATTGTAACTCACTTCTTGTTAACGTTTTTACTGTACTTATATTTATAGTCACGATACATTAACAAAGTTGTATTTTATAATTTTGGTGTGCTTGTTGGCCTATAAACTTTTCATAATATTATATTGCACATACAAAACTAGAGCATACATACTGCCGGCATCCTGCCAACCGAAATTATCGAGCTTGCCATCTAGATGCTACATTAGCCTACATAATACATATGTTGTTATCGTTATTAGAATTTGTAGTTTCATGGACATTGTACAAAAGTTCAAATTCGTATTTTTAGAAGCTATATTCGCGCTCAGCTCGTCGGATAGATGAATATCCTGCTAACACAATAAAAACGAAGATACGCAGTTTTCGTCGCGGATAGCGGCGCGGTTAATAATAACAAAAACAGACCGTATATTTCCTCCCATGAATACGGTCGTGATGTTTCCACTGTAAACCAGTTGTATGGTTGCGGATGCAAGCCTGATTTGAGAGCCGGCGCATTTTCCACGTGAGATACAGAGCGCAGCGTGTTTGAGAGGGGCGAGAAAATCTTTTTCTGTATCATATATGCATTATTGTGTGTCTGTCACACTAAAGCGCTTTTTGAATCGATATGGAATATAATAAAAGAGAAATGAAGAGCATGGATTTGCTTTTTGTCCGTGATTTGTTGATCTAGCCCGGGTGATTTGAGCGGTTTTCTGGTTGAATATGTCAATGACACTAGAAATATTTCCTGTATTTCCATTAAAATGCTATTGCTGTCTTGCGGTGTAGGATATGCTGTCACCTGATGAAGTGTTGGTTATTCCGATTATATTCTCGCTGAAAGTATCTCAGTTGATTGCATTCGGTCAGATCGAGGGAAGCTTTATATACGTGTACACCTACTGCTAGCGCACATATATATTATAATATATTAAACAGAACGCGAAACGTA